TGAGTAGTACCGTGGTGAAGAGCAACAAAGAACAGAACAAAATAGAACAGCTAAATTACAATTGTTAGCAGCAGCCCGGGACGCCCGCCCCCTTTGGAACCAGCTGGAGTCCTAGGATGATGTTGGATTTTGGCGTCCAGAGTCAGTCATCTGACACGAGACCCAAGACCTCTTGCATCGGTAGCCTGGCCGTCGACTGCCGGCAATCTCTGAGACACAGGCAGGACGAGGAGCTTGCAGAAGAGCGACCAAAGAGTCAACATCCACAGCATGTGCAGGACATGGGAATAGCACGAGCAAGGATCTCTGTGCCAGCGCGCTGCTGCAGCCGCCACCTCCACCATTGTGCAGCAACGAGAGAGGCGCTAAGCAGGACCAGCGGCTGGTAGTGGCAGTTGGAGGTTGTGGGAGGCGCATTATGTGCTTTTTATGTGCGTCGTTCTGCTCGTCAGTTGCTCGTGCAGAAGAGGAACCTTGGTGTTGCGGTAGTCGTACTACCTTGCCTTAGGTAGGGAGGCGGCTCACTGCCTGCTTCTGCCTCACCACCATCTCTGTCGACCTCTTTTGCACCCATCAGGGTACATACAATCATGGGCGTCCGGATGGCTTCATGTAATATGTAGTCGAGTCGCCCAAACAAACGTGAGCAGAGCGAATACAAACACTAGTAGTGGCAGATGACTGGAGCGCCTCGTATCCCACAAATCTTTAGATAGATAGAGATCTATTACTCGGTATCCATAGCAAAAGCAGAAATGACCCGGCTTATTTTAGCTGGCTGCTACTAAACAACTGCCAAGCATCCGGGTTCCGGATTCCAGAGACGCCATGGCATGGGCAGCGCCCTCCCAGAGGCTCCATCGGTCCAGAAAATGAAGCGATAAAACGGTCGGTCGCTGTGCTGTTCTCAGAAATCGCCGCACAGAGGCCTGGAACTCACTAAGCGGCCCTGGGCGCATGTCTGGTGCATGCTGCATGCTGCATGCTGCATACACCGCTGGATGGCCCAATGGCGTCTGCCCACAGGGCGTGGATTGTGGCCAGCAGCGGGCCCTCTGGACGGGGATATTTTTTTTTCTCGAGAGAAGCTGCAAGGATCAGAGCAGATGAGGGGAGGAGGAGGGGCAAGAGGGCCATCCGGTGAGTCTCGGCGAGGACAGGATAGCGGGAGAGTGCCAGCGAGGAGGAGGAGGGGGGAGAAATCAAGATGACAAAATAGAGAGGGAGAGTATGATAAATGATAGGATGAGAGGACGACAGAGAAGAGAGATGGAGAGAGAGAGGGTTACAGCGAGAGGCGGCGGAGAGTTGAACGGAGAGTTATCGTGCCAGTCAGTCAATGCCCGGTTCAGAGCAAGCATGAGAGAGAGCATGAAGCATCCAATGGCATGGGACTGCTGTTTGAATCTCCGGCCATGTTAGAGGGCGAGCATCGCGAGCTAAGCCGGACAGCCCTGGATCGGATGATTTGGCCATGCCTCACTGATCGTCCCAGTGTGGGGGCGCAGAGGAGGGAACAAGCATCCATTCTATTAGTAGGTGTATAGAGGCAGAGGAGGTGTGCGGTAAGAGAAGTCAGTCAATGAGCCAGCGTCAAGCAGAAATGATTGATTCTTCAGAACGGTAATATGGCAGTATGTAGGAGTTGATTATTGGCAGAAACCTCCGAGTCCCACGAGCTGATGGCTCTTGGCCTCGTATTGGTGCCAACTGCGAAGACAGACATCGTACATGAACGTGAAGATGAACTGAGTGTCTCTCGTCTTCTCTCGTCTGGTCTCCCTCTTTCCTCCCTCCATTCCTCCCTCACTGTCTCTCTTCATCTGCATCCCCCACCTCCGTTCAATCAATCAAATCGCTTCGACAATCAAAATCAATCAATGCCCGTCTGAGCTGCTGCAGAAGCAAAAGAGGCAGCGATTGCATCATCCGCCTTCTCGCAATTAATATCCATTCCATAATATTACCCCCTCGACAGACCAGACCAGACCAGACCGGACCAAACCAGACACACGCACGCCACGCCACACACTCATGCGCACATAGTCGTTACCACACGCACACGCACAAGCAGAACCCGCATATCACGCCTGTCCACGCTGGCTGGCATAAAAGAGCCAGCGAGGCGATGATCAAGTCGTGTCCGTCCCCGGCTGGCTTTGGCGTGCAGCCTTCTGCAGTCGCCTCGACACAGACCCAGGACCCTTCGCAGCTTGCTGCATGACTGGCGATTCCCTGTCACACTTTTTTTTTTCCTGCTCTCCCCCCCCTGCGACCTCGCTTTCTCAGCATTGCAGAGCATTTCTGGTTAACCACTTTTTTCTCTTTTTTTTTCTCTCTTCTCTTCTCTTCCTCTTCTTCTTTTCCATTTGCTCTTTGGCGGTTTCTGCCTTCAATCTCTCCCTCGGCAGTTCTTAATGGCAGCCGGGAGGTGAATTCCAGGCTGTACTTGAGGTATTCTTACCCCCCCAGTCACTCCCTTGTTGCGTCCACACCGACGGCGGTTTGTCTGGTCTCCCCGGGTCCGGTGCCACCTTTTGCGAGGCCAACTCAGACTTGCCAACTCACAAACTTGTTCCCATCCCACCTCCCAATTCCCACCAGAGCCCACTCAACTCCCATCCCATTCAGCACAAGAGAGGAAGAGAGAACCCCCCCAAAGAGACGTCGAGTGAAACAAGAAAGAGGGTTGACACGACGAAGCAGCATCTTGCATCGCGCCGGCTGTCCAGCGGAGCAATTCGCCTCATCACCACAAGCTTCGACCACATCAGCCAATACTTTTGCCAACTGGACTGGTCCTCTGGTGGGTGGACTGGAGCTTATGCTGTCCGATGGCCTTCTGGGTGGTAGGCGGGGGAAATCCGCTTGGTGACGCTGCTGCCGCCTCGTCCACCGCTGGCCAGGTGGCTTACATCAAGCGCGGCAGCTACTCTAACGGCTCTGAGGCTCTCGGTTCCAATGGCAAGCGAAGGGGCTACGAGTATGCAGACGGAACCGCGTCTGCCTGCAGCAATGCGGGTTGTTACGGCATCACCAAGAGGCCTCGACTGGACGACTGGGGCCGCGTCATCGGCTACCATGGAAAGGGCCATCATGCCGCCGGCTGCGAGCACAAGCATTCCGGCGATGCTGCCATGCCCGATGCTTCCTCAATACACGTCAAGAACCTCGCCTTTCTCGTGATCCGGGAGCATGAGCCGTCTCCGCCCCCGACGCCGCCCCCACAGTCGGACCACCGAGCCGGATTCCCTCCGCCGCAGCCGCATCTCGGCCCATCCTTTATGTCTGCCCCTATGGAACGCACCCAGTCTGGCCTGTCCATCTCATCAGACACGTCTGCTGTCGAGCCCCCCTGTGACCAAGAAGGTGACTGTGACCATCACGATCACCCACCGCTGCTGAGCGATCTTGCCGCTGCCCGGTTGGTGCGGCGCCATGTTGCCAACATTCGCCGGTGGAAGCATCGCGACTCACAGCACGGCCGCATTCTCAAGGCCCTCATCAACCCCAAGTCCAGGGAGGCCGACTTCCCCTTGGACAATGACGCCCTCCGGAGCATCTTCTCGGCGGCCAACGAACTCTTCTTCGCCAACAAGTTGACGCAAAGGGTTACCTGGGACTGGAGCCACCCTGCCAGCGCACAATACGAGAGCCACATCGTTGGCACTACAGCTTTACGCCGCAGCGCTCGTCTGGGTGGCTATGAAACGCTCATTGTGTTGTCGTCACCAATTCTTAAAGACACCAAATACAACCGCCGGCTCCTCATCTCCACCTTCTTACACGAGATGATTCACAGCTTTCTATTCATCGTCTGTGGCATCACAGCGCGACACCAAGGCGGTCATACAGAGGGCTTCCGTCAGATTGCCGAGATCATTGACGAATGGGTTGGGAAAGAACATCTCCGATTGCGTGACATGGAGGCCGACCTTGAGCGTTTCATCCACGAGGATCATCCTCCCGCCATAGCTGGTTACGCGACTGTGGATGATGGGATGCCCCATTTGAACAACTATCATTATTATAACAACATTAACAATAACAACAATAACAACAATAACAACAACGGCAACACCTCCGACACGGTATGGCCCAGCAGCGAGTGGCATCATGCTGAGGCTCAAGACTACCGAACCATCGAAGCACCTCAGCCTTATACACGATATCCCTCCAACCACGACGAGTGGGAGTGGCACGACAGAGAGGGATTCCCGGCCCATGTACTCCCTTCATATCATTACTAATGACCTCACGACACCAGTTTATCTGTTTTTTTGTTGTATTGTTTTTATGATATACATATTTTTGATATCCACCCTGGCGTGTGTTCACGCGTACAGACGACACAATGATATTTTTCCTTTGTCATCCGGACTGAAAAGAGCGAGAAAAGAAAAACATGACATGATAGTAGACCCTGGGAGAAAGAGTATGGAGTTTTTTGTGTTTTGATTTGTGTTCTTTTGTATAAAAAATGGTGTGAACGATTGAAATCTGTTTTATGTTTTGCTTTTTTCTCTTGTCTAAAGGATATGTGTATAGATCTTTTGTTGTTTTTTCTTCATCTATATCTTATAACCTGTTGTAGCATCCAAGCATTTGAACAGTACTGGATACTGTCCTGATTTCACACGTCGGAAAAAGGTGTTTAGGGGAAACAAATAAATGTAAAAATAATATAATTTTCCATGAAAACTTTGCGTCTTTGTGTGTCTTGTGCGTGTGAATGTTCGGGTGAAGCTGCTCGGTTAAGTCGGTGAGATGCCGCCGAGGTCAGGCTAAAGGACCCAAGTGCTAAGCTATCCCGGGCATCTTAGTCCTCAAGTATGCAGCTCCTAGGGTCTGGGATTCCTGCATGAGGGGATAGCCGACAGGTCATTTGCAAGCGTCTACTTCATACGTCATAAGGAGCACAGAGAAGTCAGCTGGCGGGAGCCGGGAGGAGGAGACACCACAGGACCCCTATTTTGCATCTTTGCAGATCATTCTGCAGTCAAGTTTTTGTTTCACGAGTAAATATCATATTCAACTACAGGAGTATCATTTTTCCCAACGCCAGTGCAGATGCAAAATCCCAGTGCAACAACGTGTGTATATCCAGCGTCCAACAAATCCATCCAAGGGATTCACGTATGGTGTGGCAGGATCTTCCCTCGCCCCCCCAGAAACCGATTGCCACGTTGATCCATCCTCCTTTTTTTAATCTCTCTTCATCGTACGTCTTTTCTCGACAGCGCGCGTACACGTTCACGCATGCGCCATATATGTTCTCAATTTTTCAGTCAAATTTTTTAATTGTTTGCAGTGCCCGTAGTTTTGTAGGAGCTGCCCCGGTTTCTGCCGAGGAGAGGAGAGCCTGTAGTAGCCTCGTCATCTGTGGCATCCTCATAGTCGTCTACGGGGTTTTCATCTTCGAGTAAGACTGCGTTGTCTTCGTTGTCTTCATTGTCGCTGTTATCCGCCGACGCTGTGGGTCCCTGTCCTTCCACGATCATGAAGACGGGGATGGCACCAATAGCTGCAATAATGCCCAGGAAGAAGTATGCGGAGACGATGTAACCGTGCTCAACACCCCATGAGAATGCCCATCCAGTGGAAGCAGGGCCGACAGCTCGCCCAAGGCCACCAAACATGGTGGCAAACCCGTTAAGAGTGCCAAGAATGCGGAGGGACGTGGCGGAGTTGGTGAGGAGGATGGTCGTGGAGGGAAAAGCAATGATGATGGCAAAGGCCTTGATCATCATGACTGTGAGGATAGCGGCAAACCGTGTCGCAGGGGTGGGGAGCAGAGAAGTGTAGGGAGTGATAAAGTAGACGAATGGCGTCAAGACAGCTACATTCAGTTAGCATTCGGTGCAGTGGGAGAAAGTGGCCGCTTGCAGCAAGACTTACAAACTACTTTGAAGCAGTTCAAAACACCATAGCGGTTAACCATTGGCGGATAAATAAGGAACTGGATTAATCCGCAAGTGATACCGTAGATGGTGAAGAGTGTTCCAATGGTACCTGAGCTAAGTCCAAAGCCACCAGTAAAGTAAAAGGGGAACTTTGTATTCTCAGGAGTTCGAGGAATGACGGGGTAATCCAAAAAGACGGTGATGTTTTGGTCATAGGCAACCGAGTGGAAAGCCAAAAAGGTGTATGAGATAAGATTGATCGTGGTTTGGTAGGAAAACACGTCCTTCATTCCAGTAGGGGGGTGCTTTGGCGTGGTGGCTTTCTTGGGCGTCACTCTGCTCGGAACGAGCGGTGCAGTAGCCTCTCCGTCAACAAAAGACCTGCGACGCTGAGAAATGAGCTGCGGCTTCCGGCGAATAAGTCGTGTGAGGCGCTCTCCAACCAAGAGTCCCCAATCCTTGTGCTCCTTCTTGTCGGCCAGAGTTTCTTTCAGGAAAAAGGTCGCGCTGGCGGCAGAGATAAGGAAGAAATTAGTGGCTAGAAGATTTGGTAGAAGGTAAGGGAATTTCTTGAAGAGCTCTATATTGCCAAAGAGACCGGGAAACTGCTTGGCTGGCTGAGCGAAGAACCCTCCAAAGGCGGGCCCGACGACGGATCCAAGAGACCAGACCAGAGGCATAATAGAGAAGGCTCTTGGTTGGAGCTCCTTTTCGGTGACCATTTCAGCCACCATCGTTCTAATGATGCCAACTATACGTAGGGGAAGAAACACCACATGTCAGCGCTTCGACTTGGAAATAGAGATGAGAGAGAAAACTAACCATTGCCGTTACCACCACCCATGATTGCTCTGACAGTAATGGCCATGGTAAGACTTGTTGACAAGCCCCATATGATGAAGCAAATCATAGTGCTGATAAGTCCATAGATGAGCACTGGCTTTCTGCCAAATTTATCTGAAGCCTTGCCCCATGGGACGGCTGTGATACTTTGACAGACGGAGAAGACCGAAGATGTGACACCGGCCCATTTTGCCACTTCGTCACGCTTGACACCGAAGCCCCGGATCATCTCAGGGAGATAGGGCCAGACGGAGGTGTAGGCCAAAGGCTCTGCAAATCTGGCGACGGCTAGATTTTAAGCAGTTAGCATGATGGATTATATTCATTGTCCGTTTAATTTGCAGCCATGATGCGTTGGATAAGACATATAACGGCGGCTTGTATGCCTCATGGAAACAGCCACCTTCCATCATGACATCCCCAATGATGCTTACCTAGAATTGCCAGCTGCTGCACAGGCAGCTTCGGCTTCGGTTTAGAATCTCTTGTCATTTTGGTGGTCTTGTTGCGTTTTCGTGCAGGTTATGCTGGAAATGAGCAACCAGATGAGAAATGGCGTGGAAAACGAGCGATCAGAGTCTGTCCATGTAACCAAAGTGAGACGGACGCAGATGGGCAAAGATGTATGTAGTGAAAGAGAAAGAAAGCCTCAGAGCTAGAAAAGCATGACTCTAACACGCTGGATGAAGAGCTCTCAGTCAGGCTGTAATGACAATACAAAAATGAATGCTCACGGCCTGGAAACAGCGCAGAGCGAATGTCTAAAGCCAGAGAGAGAACGTGAAAGGTTGAAGTCATGAAAACGACGAAAGCCATTGGCGAGAAAGTTTGTCGACCGTCTGCACACCCCGGGATTAGTGAATCCCCACCCCGACTAGTCATCTGCACAGGCGGTAGATGCGCTAAAGAAACAGGAACCTGCGCTGGATACGGGCCAGACAAGGGCCAGCCAGCTTCGGCTTCGGAGCCCGCTAGACAGGCTCCTCGGAACCGAGCCGATCCCATGAAATGTCTGCATTTGCATTTCCTCGCCATTGCCACGAATAGAATCAGAATTTGGTCTACTTGTTTCTCACATGCCATGTTTAGTGTTTACTTGTAAGAGAGACGGTCTCCATCATCATCTCTCCGCTTACAATCTATAATTATGTGCCCTCGATGGGTGATGCATAAGGGATGAAAAGCTCCGTGACTTGCAAGGCTTTTCTCTTACGCTCGGCTCCGGTGCCGTGCTGCAGGTGAGCCGAGATGCATTTCATCCGTCTGCAACAGAGGCCACGGCGTGATTGGCCTGGGGAGCCTGAGCCGGGCAGCCCACGGGCGATCGCAGACACCGATCCCTACACCAGCTTGGCGGCTTCACAGAGCTGACCTTTTGGATGCTGTCACTTTGTGATGAAGAAAAGAGTCTCATGACACTGGAATGCGTCCGACAGCGGAGAGGATCCCCGTAGCCGCGACGGCTGGTGTGGACGCCATGTCTCAAAAGACTCGGCCTGGAGGACTTGAGATGGATGGGCCAAGCTCAGACCGACACTTTGCAGCTGAGGCACGATGTCTCCCTCGAGTCCTTGCGGGCGGCCCCCGCGTGTGCTCCCCGAGGGAGAATTAATGGCCGATTCGCTGCTCTGTTAAGCGCGCCCTGGAGGTGGAGCAGAGGCCGGATTTGTGATGCTCGCCATCGAATTTGACGCAGCTAACAAGAACAAGGCCTGGTAGACCCGCCAAGCACGAGAGCGGAAACAGGGGGGATGCCCCGGTGAAGGTGAGGAAACATTGAAACTGAGGGGAGAAGAAGAGGCTTGGCCGCTGTTGTAAAACGGCTGAATGTGATCCGCCCGTTGGATGCCTGTAAGCGGGAGAAAAGAGAGGCTATGTGAGAGAGAAAGAGTGTGTGTGAAAGACGGGCACTAGTTTGATAATCCCAGTATGCCCGCGCCATTCCCACGAGGCAGAACTTGGCGAGCAGTATGGAAGAGTACAGTAGTAGCAAATAGCATAACATGTTGCCTCCTCGTGACCCGTTGTATGTAATCTGCACTCGTCGGCACTTACATATATGTATATACTGCTTCTTTTGGTGTTTCTGGTGTCGATACAAGTAGATATCGCGGAGAACACGCTCTGAGGCGGTTGAAATCGTGCAAATTAACATGGAGCTCCATCTTACCTAAAGGAAAAAGAACAGCTCCCCACATCTCCCCGGCAAAATCAGGCAGGAGCTCATAGCGCCTCGTAATAGCGTGACGTCGTTGCGTGCTCTCAGGAACCTTTGCGTCAACTTGGCGATAAGATAGGCAAAATGCTCCAAGATCCCTCCCAGTGCTGCGATAGGCCTACAAGCTGCGTTTGAGCTCCAGATTTCCAGATTGGAGGCAGCTTTGTAATATCCAGAGACGGCACAATGATCGACTCTCTTCTCTTCTCCCCCTTGCGTGTCTCTTTTCTCCTCTCTTTCCTTCTTCCTCTCTCCTCATCTCATCGCGCAGATGCCCTGTGAGCCCCGAGCTGAGCCTTGGACTGTAAATTAGAAAAACCATGGGCAAAGTGTAAGTGCCATTGATGTCTTGCTTGCTGCCTCTTCTCCCTCACTCAACAGTCAAATCATCTGCCTCGCCACTTGGTCACACCCCCCCAAGCCATTTAACATCATGTGGCGTAGCGAATCAAGGCGAGCCTTACGCAACACCGCCCCGCGTCTTCATCCAATTCCAACACTTCAAAGCTGTTACACAATCAAACGTTCCTCAAATGCATTTGATTCATTGCCCAATTGTTCATTCCTCCAACTTGAAATCTTACAGATCCCAAAACATCACTAACTCTGCGGGTTCACAAGGTCGTCAACCGCGCCTGAAAAAATGGCCAACGAGTCGACCCCGTTGATCCAGACAGTGCGAGTTGGGCCTCCGCGTCGGAGATACCATCACAACACATGTCGCCGCTTCTGCACAATTGCCTGCGTCAGCCTGCTACTCTGCGGCTTTGCCTCCTTTGCCCTTCACGCTCTGTACATTTGGCCTTCTGGACTGGAGCATCGCCACCGTCATCCGCACCACGGCCACAAGCATAAGCACCTTACGCACGAAGATCTGCAAGCCATCCTGCTCGGCACACCATCTGGGGAAAAGGCGGAGGAATGGAGCCGCTATTACACCTCTGGAGCACACCTTGCTGGTAAAAACTATTCACAGGTAAGATGAGAGCATATGTTTGTGTCCATGATGTTAGAGCATAGCATTTGAAATTCTGCAAAGATACTAAACCTATAACCATAGGCCGAATGGACCAAGGATAGGTGGGAGGAATGGGGCGTCAGCTCCAGCATAGTCGCCTACGACGTCTACATCAACTACCCCGTTGACCACAGTGTCTCATTGCTACAAAAGTCAAGCGATGCCAAGTCCTGGAATGTTGCATTCAAGGCATCTCTGACGGAAGATGTGCTTGAAGAAGACCCAACCACATCTTCCAAGGACAAAATCCCGACTTTCCACGGTTACTCTGCCAGCGGCAATGTCACTGGTTCATTCGTCTATGTCAACTATGGAACGTACCAAGACTACGCGGACCTGGTTGATGCCGGCATCGACCTCAAGGGAAAGATAGCCATTGCCAAGTATGGAGGCATCTTCAGAGGCCTCAAGGTGAAGCGCGCCCAAGAGCTCGGCGCGATTGGTATCCTCATCTACAGCGACCCAGGTGATGATGGTGAGATTACCGAAGAAAACGGTTACGCTGCCTATCCTGAGGGCCCTGCTCGCAACCCCAGTAGCGTACAGCGCGGAAGTGTTCAGTTTTTGAGCTCCCGCCCAGGTGACCCGTGAGCAAGATCAACATTCTCATCCCATCCACTGAGGCTAACTTGGCTTACAGAACAACCCCTGGCTACCCTTCCAAACCCGGCGTTCCTCGTGCTCCAGCTGATGAGACGACTCCATCAATCCCTTCCATCCCCATCTCATACGCCGATGCCATTCCGCTTCTCAAGGCTCTCAACGGCCATGGTCCTCGAGCCAGCGACCTAAACAAGTGGTGGAACAGGAACCTCGGTTTGGGATACAAGGGCGTCGAATACAACATTGGTCCCTCACCCGAAGATGTCGTCATTAACCTCAACAACGAGCAAGACTATGTCACTACCCCTCAATGGGATGTCATTGGCATCATCAATGGCACTATTCCCAACGAAGTCATCATTGTCGGCAACCACAGAGACGCTTGGATTGTCGGCGGTGCCTCTGACCCCAACAGTGGTTCGGCTGTTCTGAATGAAGCTGTTCGAAGTATTGGAAAGGCTTTGGAAGCAGGCTGGAAGCCTCTTCGAACCATTGTCTTCGCTAGCTGGGATGGAGAGGAGTATGGTCTAGTTGGAAGCACGGAGTGGGTTGAGGAATATCTTCCCTGGATTTCTGACGCCAACGTGGCATACGTCAACGTTGATGGCGGCGCCTCTGGACCGCGATTCTCTGCTTCAGCAGCACCCCTTCTGAACCAAGTTCTTCGAGATGCGACAAATTTGGTTCCATCACCCGACCAGACTGTTCCGGGCCAGAGTGTGGGAGACGTTTGGGATGGTAAGATTAGCACAATGGGCTCTGGAAGCGACTTTACTGCCTTCCAGGATTATGCCGGCATCCCCAGTGTTGATTTAGGATTCGGTGGAAACGGCAGTGGCCCTGTGTACCATTACCACAGCAACTACGACAGCTTCCACTGGATGAGCGAGTTTGCCGACCCAGGCTTCGTCTACCACAGAACTATGGCCCAGGTCCTAGGCATACTGATTAGCGAGCTTTCCGATAAAGTCATCATTCCATTTGGAGCGACTGAATACGCAGACGCTCTGGATGGCTATCTCGACAAGGTTGAAGCCAAGATCCAATCTACTGATGTCGAATTGACCGCCACCGATGCCGAAATCTTCGCAGTCAGAGGCAGTGCTACATCTGAGGATGTGATTGGAAGCCAAGACGCCTTCGAAGAAAGCCTGAAAAAGATCAGACGGTCAATTGCCGAATTCAGAGAAAAGGCAGTCAAGCTGGATGAACGGGCCGCCTGGGCAAAGAAGCGGCTCGAGAAGGGTTTCCCATGGTGGAACGTCATTGGCAAGACCAGACTTGCCTTTGCAATCATCAAGACTAACCGCCAATACAAGTATATTGAGCGACAGTTTGTGTTCGAGGGAGGTCTCGACAACCGCAGTTGGTTCAAGCATGTTGTGTTTGCTCCAGGCCTGTGGACTGGCTATGCCGGTGGTACGTACTTTATCTTTTCTTATTTCATTTTACGAGCATTCCCCTTTTCTTTTATTAGACCCTTTGACAACATGCTAATCATGTTTCTACAGCTGTGTATCCCGGCCTTGTGGAAAGCATTGACGCCAAGAACTACAGCAACGGACTCAAGTGGGCCGACATCATCAAGCACGCCGTTGACAAGGCCACGAAGAGCATTCAGTAAAGATGTCTCATTTTTTGAAAGAATAGAGGCGAAATCGATCCTCATAGTATACGAGGAATGGACACCGTATGGTGTGAATATTGTCCATATTGTGTATAATATTACTATTGTTGTACCAAGAAGAGTAGTGTTGTTTGCGACTGCGAATTTTCTTCCAACTGAAATTATTTCCTAATTTTCAACTTCAGACTCTTTGTGAGAAGTGGACATCTCTCCTTTACGAACGTGATGGTCGATTGGATATCGCGATACTCGTGAGAGAGTATGAACCGAAATTCTATGCGGCTCAGCATTGTGTAGAATCCCTAATTAAGGTTAAACTATAATCCCCCATACATGTGAAATATTTACAGAAGCCCAACATTAGGGATAAGTACATACTTTCAATGTTAACAACACAGCCTGGCCTTGATCAAGTACCGCAATCCTGACAGTTCAAGAATACCTTCCTCCGCCCCCTTCCAAAAACTTCGCCTCCGTGACAATAAAATCCCGGCTGCAGTGGCACTCTCCTTCACGCAGCAGTAAAATCTCTCAAATCCCATTCTGGCTAAGATCCTTTTCTGCTTGTTGTTGCATCAATCATTCTTCCAGTCACTTCTCGTTCGCTCTATGCTCTTCTTTCAGAAGTTGTATCTGAGAGCAAAGTAGGTTGAGCGCCTCGGCCTGTGCTTTCTGAAGCGCATTGCACTGCCTGACTATCATTTCTAAGCGGCTGATATTATCATTGGATTGCTGGTTTGGCTGCGGGGTGCGAGTCAGAGATCCGCTTCGATTACCATACGAATCCTGTAACGCCGTGTTTCTCCTCTCATCTCGGGCAGGCCTGGCAATCTTAACTTCCGAGACTGCTGTGGTTGAGATCCTGGTGATGGCGTCAATATTGGAAGAGGGGGCAGAGAACGGGTCAGATTTTGGCCTCTTTCTGTCCACATTCAGCATCTTGACAGCTTTGCGCTTCCCATATCTAGTTTTGGTTGTTGGATGGAATGACCATCGCTCCATTTGAGGCTCCTCAGGTGTTCATTGCTGCAGACCAAAAAGGTCTTCAAAGTTCTCAGGAATGATGCCGACTGGAGCATCGTTCAAGGCTATCGGGTAATCTCTCGCGAACTCCTCAAACCATCCCTGATTCGCGCATGCTGTTGGTCCAAACATAACTCGTAGAGTCCAAAAACGTGCCCATGTCCTCTCTTCAGACAGCATCCACCTGCTTATTTTATGCATAGAGGCAATGCCTGTGGTTCTTGAGATTCTGTAATCGAGGCGTTTGTCCTCCGACCTGAAATCATCTTGTAGCTCAGGTGGCCAATCATTCTTCTCAGCAATGTACTACTTGATGAGTTGGTGGTAGATAGCTTTGTTGACAACGTTGTCATCGTCGCTGGGCATCGGGTATATTCGAAAAAACTCCAACGGGATGTCGTCGACTGGGATGGGCGCAGTTGCTGTGCCGAGAGCTTGATCTGGCTCCTGTTTGACTCGACCATCCATGTTGCAAGTTTGATGGTCTTGAAAAGAAGTGGAATGAATGGATAAAGAGAAGAGAGGAAAGAGAGGAAAGAGAAGAAGAGCATGAAGGCGATTGTAGAGATATCGGCACGTGATGACGATTGCTGCCACCTGGTTAGAAACACGTACCTTATGTACCTACTTGTAGTCTACCTGCGAAGGCACCTGTAACAAACGCCATCATTTCAGCGGAGTGGCTATCTGGTATCCAGTGACTCAGATAGAGAATTGGTGATAATAGAAGATACTGGAAGAATTAGGTGACAATGGATCAAGACGTTTCCTCTGTACCTTGTCTGCTACAATGCCTGAACTCCGTTTACTCGCTTAGTGCTACCAGAGTTTGTGACGAGTCACTTGAATTCATGCTATTCAATCCCAAAGTTGACTATTACATTGCCGGCGTCATATGCTAATGATAATTATTAAGGTCGTTGTAACTTGTTTCATATAATCTCCAGATGATTAACTCTAGATAACATTATGAACCCCTTATTCATTCCTTTAAAAGGAAATGTCACACCTGATGTCAAAAAGCGGTCTCAACGAGCAACCTCAATTGTCGGGCCACTTTCCAGTCTTGTGGTACTGCGTAAGATTATCCATCTTAGCATTCAGTTTGGCCAACTCTCCGTGTAATTCAAGCAGAAGCTTCTCCATGCTTGAAGAGACACCTGGTCCATCCATGATTTCGTCATTGAAGATCTCACCAAGGACCCTCGGAACCACCTCCTCAGTAATCACTTCGCCTTCCTTACTATTATTGAGCGTCAACCGAAACTCCGAGTGGGTCCTCGAACTCAGTTGATTGGTAGTGAACCTATCGGAGATTTCAACCATCATATCCTCGACGACTTCATTAACGTCTTTACCAAACATCTCTGTGAAAAACGTGTTGGCGTCGACGCCCTCATCGGGATCTCCGAGATGCTTTGCAGCCTTTTCCAACAAAGTCTTGCATAGTACCCTCTTCTAGCTGGTATGATGATTAACTTTGGGATTGGCGCGTTGCTTTTCAGCCGACTTTTGCGACTGGCGGAGGGGAAGCATTATCGCGGTGTCGGTGTGCTTGGTTTCTTGCGTGGTTTTCTTTTGCAGGATCATGTGCTTTGCCCGTCTTCTCCGTGGGTTTGGCTGTACCTGTGGTTAACAAGAGTATTAAAAAGGTGTCACAGCATATGAAGACATTCTGAAGGCAGGAAAAGGCGAATACAGGCATACCTGAGTGGAGAACGGGATGGGTTGAAGAGGGAGGGAAAGAGAGAGGGGGGAGAGGGGGAGAGGGGGGGGAGTTAGTTTTATAGTTGAAAATATAGCCTTTATCACGTGAAGTAATTTCAGCCAGTGATTTGAAGTTGATCAAAGGGCCGACGGTTCATCGAATAAAGGAACAAAGCAGCCGGTGGTAGCTGAAACAATACCCTGCCCCGTTTATTTACTTTACTACAAAAAAATTCCAACGCCAAAGAACTTGAATAAATGTATTTTATTAATTATTTCTTTTTTAACAATTCATTAGTCCGTGATACACAAAGAAATTTACATATTTATGATACATATCGTGATGTTTTTGTTGGTGTTGCGTCAGCTGCCAGTCACAGGGGGAACGCTCCTTTGTTCATAAACGCGAAGAAAGACGTCAGAGTTCTCAACCAACAAGCTAGCCGGCCTGACTGGTTGAACAAAGGTATACGAAGAAGCCGTAGCCCCTTTGTTTCTAGGGAGATCAGAGATAAATACAATCTTTTGCATAACCCTAGCTGTGTGGTCCGTGATAGTGACCGTGCAACCCTCAACCTTGAGTCTTTCACTTGCCCCGTTGCCGCCACTCTCTGACATGTTGAGACGCTTCATTAACCACACGTACTGCGCCTTGAGTTCAACTCAACTGTGAAATTCGCATGAAAATATGTTCCAAGCTAACTAGATTTTGACCAAACGAATGGAGAGGAAAGTCAAACTTCTAAAAGAATCCTCATTTGCCATAGAGGCTACCTATATAAAGAGTCCCCTGCCACTTTGAAGCCCTGCCGCATGTGCCTCAAGCCATACGCAACGTGCAGCAATTCAAGCAGGCACGTTCTACTGGATTCATGGTGTAGCTGCTATAAAGGTAGTTATTCGTATAGCAAACATTCACGTCCCATTTCTACCTGTAGATATCCGCTGTAGTAAATAGCAAGATGTTTTACTTCGCGTGCTATTTCGACACTTGAACTCTACGCAGTTCTTGAGGTGTCGGATAGCTACTCCGTAAATGTAGTGGATATTTATGCTACAGTTTCATTGCTGATTTTTGTTTCTTGTAATATATGGTGGCTCTTGCAGTTTACTGACACTTGGTATCGAGACTCGGTGCGCAGATTTTGTAAGGCGTCTCAACACCATGACAAGTACTTCGCGATTTTTACAGCATGTGGACAAAGGAACAGCAAAAAGGGAAGATTTTCCACATATACTGAAGCCAGGAGAAAGAATGAGTTATTAGACTAGATTCAAATTACGCTCTTTGCTGCTGGTGTTTTATCCTGGCGAAGGAGTCAAGGAGCCAGCCTTCCCATCCAGCTGTCACCACCTGCTTCACAACTTTCGCTTCATAACTAGCTGGCAGTTTAGTTGGAGTTCAAACGCTTTCACATGACTCAGCTTTTGTTTTGTTTTCTCTTCTACTATAAAGCATGTCTTTTCCTCTTTCTCTCTTTCTCTTTTCTTCTTTTCCTCGTCAACTCTTCTTGTCTTCCACTAAGGTAGGTTTATGCTCTTCCAGCTTCGGACCATCCAACTTCAGAACATCTCCTTATTCTCACACCGTTCTATACCTGTACTGACGGCAGTAATAGTGAGAATCACGCAAACGACGAGAATCTCAAACTCATTTAAAGAACGCATTCATCGTACTAAAGCCTACACCGACCACGACGCCACACTGCCGCAATGCCTCCCAGCACCCAACTTCCTGAGTCCGTCCAACAGCAAGACAACAATGACAACGGTGTCAGCGTCCTTCAGAGAGCCAACTAGAAGCAGGCGACCGGAGCGAGTTTGCACCGACTCCAACAAAGTCTCGAGCACCAACTCAAACGAAAAGTCAAGCTCCTTCACGTCATGGAGACTACGATGATTTCGATGATGGAGAAAGTCGTCGAGGTCGCCGAGAAGGACTCCGACGCCGGTATGATGATGATTATAGCTATGCGAGAGGTTCTTGATGATGTCGACGGTTATCTCGACGAAGTCGAGAGAATTGACCAAGAAATCTTACGTCTTCTTGTGGATATCAAGGCGTACCACAGAAATGCGAGGTTGTCCAACGACAAGTAGCGTCGTTGCCTTTACCACTTCCAATCGCCAACGAGTGATGTTTTTGGTATGAAAACGGGTCAAAATGGGAATTTTCTCGGAAGTATTTGACATCAGCTCATGGGACACAGCGTGACAAGGTTGGCAAGATACCGACCCCGTCGTAGCTAGAGCTCTAATAGCATCAACGAAGTCCCCTTTCATAATGTTGAATCGTCTGGTGTGACGCACTAAGTGACAGTAAATTAATCACGTAGTTACAGCAATATATATGCACGGTATCTAAAAAAAAAAAAAAGAAGAAGAAGAAGAAGAGAAAAAAGGAAGGGAGGGAGTGAATGAGAGGACATAGTGATACTCAAGATTCTTTCTTCTTTTAGTCTTTAGACGCTGACTTTTGAAAGTAGCTGAATGTATTAGCAGAGGTTTGCCTACCGATGATTAATCTCGGTGACGCCCCAATCCACATACGCCGACAATCATATGTGGGACAATTACGACCGGTACAGCTCACAACAGATATTGAGACCTATTTGGCGGACGAAAGGTCGGGAATCGCCCTGACGGACCTCTTGGGCGCAGATCAGCCGGACGAGGTTGGTGAGGACCCCAAGTATGAGGACGAATACCCGTTTCACGTCACGCCACAAGACACATCGGCAGTCGGCCTGGATACAGCAGACATCGCGGACACATGGGACGCTGAGCAAATGCATCGCATACTGGCTGTCCTCTACAAACACCGTAGACTCTTCCGTCCTGGGCCCCGTGAAATCGGTGTCCTCATTCATTATCAAATTAAAATTCCTGTACATTTTTCATGAAACGATGAAACTATGATGCCATCGTCATGCCATATGACCACAGTCTTTGCAAAGAAATAACCTGTTCACAATGATCCCAGTCCACGCCGATTTTCCCTTGTTCCCCCCTACCCATCGCCATCATCAAATCCCAAACCCGTGTCCGTAAAAAGACCAAATTCTAACGTCGCCGTCAAATCTGATGGTAGAATTGTTGGCAAGCAAGTAGAGTAAATTGCTCCCGGCAAGCCCAATCCTCGAATTTCCTTCGTACCCAGTCCAGCGTCGATTATCAACTCCGTCGCGAATCCAACTACTGGCGCTGTCGCAACAATTCCGCCCACAGCGCATCAACCGATGCTGCCGCCGCATTGATCGATGTTGTTGCCGCATTCATCAGTGGGAAAAACGATTGGATCGCCTCTGCCCGCCCCTCTTCCCAACCTTTTGCCCATCCCTCTCTGCGAGCAGCGGCCACCGGATCCATCTCCAAATCGGCCGTCTGCAATGTTCCAGAGCCATGGTTGTCAGACGGTACTCCGTTGTTGCGATTTCCAAAAGCTTCCTCGTAATTTCGGACCCGGCCTCGAGCATTCGGGAATATGTTTTCGGGTGCTACGGCCGCGCTGTATGCCGCTGGTGGTGCCAGGGGAACAGTGCCCGCGCTCGGTGGCATAACTTCATGTTCACGGCTCTCCACGGGTTGACTGGTGATTTGAGGATCCAGTGGTGTGAAGCTTTGCGATATCTCTGCCTCCTCAACAATATAGTCGGCGGTATGTAGATTCACAGTCTCAGGAGCTGTTCGAGTAGCCACTGTCGACGCTGCTCCCGGTCGCCTGCCACGTCGCCGTCTGTTCGGTGTCTTTCTTGTGACTTGGGTGCCCTGCTGGGCTGGTGTTGTTGTCAGCTGGGCTACGACCGGGGCAAATTCCCTTAGTATTTGAGCGTTCAGTTGCTCCAGCATCGCCACCGTTGCGCTTCCGGTTTCCGCGCCTAGTCTCCGGAACGTGGTTGGTATCTGTCTCAAATTCGGGAAGTTTTCTGCGTAGCGGCGTGCGTCCTCCGTATTCATGTTAAACTCTGTCGGCATGGTCACAGGTGGCATCAATTCGAAGTATCGTTCGGTGTGATCTCTTGTTGGAACAGTGATCCCTCTTGCTGTCATCCTGTTTATGTATTCGTACGACAAGTTCTTGTATAGCGTCCGCATGATAACCCATCCTCCTACCGAAACGCCGAGCTTGCTTCTGTACAGGCGGTGGCTCGACGGCTGCCTCCTAGATGAAAAGGTGTGTTTATATTCCCCATCAACGATGATCCTGCGCAACGTTTCGCGGTCTTTCGGGCTCATGTCAAGGGAAAATGCCCAATACGCTTGGACACACGCCACACCATCGGCAAAGTGCTCATCATCTTTGTTCATCCCTAAATCGCTTATATTAAGCGACGCAAGTCGGGGCATCTTGAGCAGCGTTTACCGTCCTCCGGGTTGTAGGTGGCGTTAGTAAATCGATGTCGACAGAAACGGGGTAAAATCATACAACAAAGGAAGAGGAGGAGGCGGAGGAGATCTCGAAAGGGGGGAAATGAAGGAGGAGAGAGAGAAGGAGAAATGCGGAGACACCAGACAGCTGGCCATGAATTCACAGCGGTGGCATCTGGCGAGTGCATGTATGGGAGGCGTTGACGGCTGCCCGTTGACCCTCGACAGCTGGCCAGGCACTCAACGCGTGAACGCGTTGTGAGCTAATTTATCTCAACATTTGCCCATGTTTTCTTGTTTTCTTTTTCTTCTCTCGGCTTCTCTTCTGTTCAAGGTCGCAAATCAATTTATCACTTTGGACCCCCCTCCCTCTTGGATAGCACCAAGCTACCATCAACATCGTCATAGCTTTCAAAGCTTCTCAAGGTAATCAAGCTCTTTAAACCCTCTCCAACGTGACCAGACTCTTCTAACGTCGTCAAGCCATCGCCAGCCTCATCTTGTGGCTCAAGCTCTCGTCAACGTCATCAGAACATTTGTGTCCGTCCATACGATTTGCATAAAGCTGAACACCGCTTCCTCTGCCCAGATATTAGCTACCCAAAGTCCCAATACTCTGTAACGACGTTCTTGCAACGACATTATGGAGGCCTTTTTGGAGGAATTCTTGAAGCGAGCAATTGCCCCCCTAATGGCCGACATTGTTTCGATGAAGAAAGACATTGCCTCCATGAAGGAAGACATTCTCGTCCTACTTCACCGCTCTTATCACATGGAAAGACGTGTAAATCTTGCGATGGAAGCGGCCAACGAAGCCAAAGGAGAGATCGAAGAGTGCTCTGAGCGCATCGATGACTATCTCAATAAGGCCAATGACGATGACGGAGTGTCTTCTGTTGGTGATGCTGACGGAGTGCCCGATGCCGACGATAATGCAGTGGCTTCTGCTGATGACGACGGAAAGTGTGATATTTCCACCGAAGTGGTTGATGTCGATCGCAAGGATGATGCCGACAACTAAGCAAATCCTGGGTGATTGTCCTTCTCGTCGTTGGCCCTGAGAACAGGATTGGGGATGGAGATAGTTGTCACTGGATTTTGTGATGAAAGGGAACAGATATCGACAGTCAATGGTAGCTAGGGATAATAAAAGGCGTTAACCGCAATTGCATAGATTCAGCCGTGATATTAGATCCGTTCACTCATGTCAACAACATCACGTAAAGCATCCATTATTACCAAGATAATTAATCAACTTTAACAGCTTTAAGGCGTTAGATATCTGTAATAGATAGCTGGCTCCTTAAGTATCGTCTACTACCGCTACTATTATCTACCTACTATCACCTACTATCGCTACATTCTTCTAGTACTGGCTACTATCATCTACTGTCGCTACTTTCTCCTAGTATTATCTACTCCCCTCTATTACTATTACCTCTCCTCTGCTGCCCCTACTTCTGTTATAGTTGGTACAAATATCTAGAGTCTTGTATATTCGCGCTACTTGTCTAGTATCTCTAGATTGATATCTAACCTAAAGGTATACTTCTTTAAACCTTAGTCATCATCCTCATCTCTATTCACCATCGTGATAGACATGTGGTGCCCATCATCAGAATCGTACTGGGGGGTGAGCGGCGTTTCTGGGCTCGCAGGCTCCTCCACCATCGTTGACACCGTCGTTGTCGGAACCGGGCGTCGGGGGATTGTCAATTGCCGCAATGGTGCCGTCTGGCGTCTAGGTAAAGGAGGGGCTTCCTCGTCTGTATCTTGTATAACTGGAGGCGCAGACTCGGTTTTCCGCGGAGGAAGACGCGGGCTTTCGACTTCGAGCTCGTTGGTTGGCCGCTTCGGAAGAGGTGGATTGGCGGGCTCGGTGTGTGACATAAGAGCCGGAGGCGTAATTGTCAGGCCATGCAGAGATTCAGCAGACCTATCTCCATCATGGACCTTATTGTTATGACCATCTCCAAAGTCAATGAGGTCTTCTTCTTTATCTTTCATCTGGATGACATCGTCTCTCTCGATATCTTTCCCAGCCTTGACGTTGACGAAGCCACATTTGCGTAGAATCTCGCCCGTAAGAGAAGGATACCGAAGATGGCCGCTAACGCTCTCACTCAAGTCCACATTCACAATGCCATGGACATCTTTGATTGGCTGCAGACCCGCGACTCCAAGTGCGAGGCTGTGCATTCGGTAGACGAAACCAAGGACCATATCGTTCTCGGAATAGACATTAAAGATCTTCCCAGACACCACAGGTCGGATGGCCCGCCAATGGGCTGGATCAGAAGGCGCTGGAGTGCCGATGATGACGACTGTATCGACCAGACCAAAGGCGTGACGCTCAGCGAGGGACTGCAAACAAGCATGGATCGTGGTAGCACCAAGTGAATAACCCATAAGTGTGACGGGTCTTTCACCTTGAACCTTGTTTATGAGTGCGTCAGCAAGAAGCTGCCCGGCCTTTCTAGATCGGTTATTCGCTCGGTTGAACGGATTGTCCACGTTAGAAGCGACAGCTAAAACCTGGATTGGCCAGAGGGCAGCCCAAAGGGTTGCCAGAACAGTTCGCTTGATGACTTCAGCCTTGAACGCGGTCCAGGCAAAGGAACGGACAAGGTCATTCAGTGCGGTTCCCAAACTAAGAAGAACCTTCATCTCATAGCGCAGGGCGAAAACTTCCGTATCAGTGCTGAGAATGCGCCATGGTTTCTTGATGTCATCCTCTGAGTTCAGCCAGCCGTTGATTCCTATGGTAACACGTAGGCGACGTTGTTCTTTTTGCTCTTTAGTTAGATTCTCCGGGACATCTGTGGTAACTTCCTCTCTGAGTGGAAGGAAGCGGAAGTCCTCCACCTCTTTTGCGTAATTGTCCATCATTTCGCCCTGCGAAAGTATGTCAGTACACGAACTATGTCCTTCTATCAAGGCGGACATCTCAACTCACAGTCATCTTGGCGCCATAAGCTCCAAACAAAGTCCCGACTAAAGCTCCATTCATCCAAAAGATGCCGAGAAAGCTCGCAACACCTCCCAAGCCAACTCCCCCCAGTACACTTCCAATGGCTCCAGCAACAAGAGGAGCAGCCAAGCCCCCTGTGACTCCGATAACCGCAGCACCAGCTACAGATGCCAGCCCAACTTTCCAAAAGCGGCTGACTTTGTTCTGTTGTCGACGCTTAGCAGCTTCGGCATCGGCTGACATTGCTTCTTTCTGGTCATTGTTGGCCGTAGAAGATTCCATGAGAGACATGGCGATCTCCGCTTCTGTCTTGTTAAGGAATGTACTAGACAACTCCAAAGATGACGCCAAGTAAAGGATCAGAGCGCGAGAATGGGCGGAATACTTCCCAGTAGATAGGAGCAACAGCAGCACACAGGCAAGCGCTTCCTCTCTGTCCTCAACCGGGATGGTTGTCAGCCTAGTGGGTATCGGTTTGTATGCTGATTGCAGCATGGAGACATCCTCAGTCTCATCTACCGGTTCTCCATCTATATCGAGAAGCTGTCGATCGTTGGGCATCTCGAGTTGCTTCTTGTCCAACATCTCACGCCGGGTTTTCCTCTCAGCCACAATCTTTTGGGTATCTTCCACGTTCACAATCTCCTCGAGCTTGGATACGACTTCGTCCCTCCATTCCAGAGTGTATTTCAATGCCGCTCTTAAGGATTTCTCTGCTTGCCTGGTGGTCTTGACTCTTGGCTGTGGTAAGCTCTGAGGCTTCTCGTCCTGAGATACAGAGGTACCCGTCTTTCCCGGCGAGTCCGAGCGCGGTGTTTCATCATATTTGTTGCCTTCATCGTCAGGAGCAATGGATCCAAGCTCGTCTGGGTGAGTCTGTAGCTCAGAGATCATGTAGGAGATGATGTCTTGGACAAGGGCCAGCAATGCCTTTCGCCTAGCAGGATTTAAAGCGATGATGACCTGCCGCGGGTCTGCGCATGGTGGCGCCATATTGACGAGCCTTTATCTCTTTGGCCGTCGTTTCTATGGTCGGTAATCGTCAAATAGATGCTGTAATTCTCAAAAGCATCTGTCGATGTAGGAAGGTGATTGATTGAATGCCTGGCATTAGGCATTGACAACGGCTAGTGGCACCTCACACGTCACAAGCATTAATTGGGCTGTTGCCGGGCCATTGAATCCTTCAGCCAAGACGGTCTAAATCGTGTGAGGAAGCGAGACACGGCTAAAGGCAATTAACTGCAAAACATCAATTTGAACAGCGCGGGGAAATGATGGAAAAGCATGCAGATCGCTGTGAGCAAAGTGCATGTGAGAGACATGGAATCCATTGCTGACCGCATCAGGCCCAATCATGGGTGTCTCACTTTCAATCAGGCTCTATTTTTAGTGAGAACACTCTTCTATTCCAGCGTTCGGCCAACCAGTGATTTAGTGCATTAATAAGGAGTGGCGAGCATTTGGTCAGAATCGACTAGAAGCACGTTACAAAAGGCTTTTTGATCTCAAAATTACAATGGGCAGAATGTGTAAGAGGCATTCATTTACGAAAAATCATTCAAAGAAAAGAATGCAATAAAAAAGGAGAAGCCAAAAAAAAAAGCCAAAAAAATGTAACTCTTCTCCGGGGAGAATTGTTCTCCGGGGACGGAATCGAACCGCCGACTTTTCGATGAGATGTTACCCATTACAGTCGAACGCCATGAACCAACTAGACCACCCAGAGGATGTAGAAGAGTTGACTTGGAGCAAACTAATTTTAATTATAAGGCTCTGGTGTCTACCAAATGTGCGAAACGCTAGTATTGTTTAGTGAGGTGGCTGATAAGCGCTCGATAAGCCTGGCCCCGCTAGAAAAATTGCCATTTCTCCTACCCAAGCGGCCAGCCACGAGCGCAGTCCAAAGGGCAGCTGTTAAGATTTTACTCCTCGGGCCTCATGTCGAATTATCACCCACGATAGCACCACCGTCCCCTATTTTTCAGGTACGGCAACCGTATTACCAATTCCTTCGACACAATGGATGCGCATGCGCTCCTTTCCGCCCAAGGATGGCGCGGAACAGGCCATTCTCTACATAAAACGGACGACGCAATTGGTCTGGCGAAGCCTCTACTACTCAATCGAAAGACAAACACCAAGGGTCTTGGAAATACAAAACACTTCACAAGCGATCTATGGTGGATGGACGCCTTTGATGAACAGCTCAAGGGTCTCGACACGTCCAAGAAAGGCAAAGTCGAGCAGACCGTAAAGACTGGGAAACTCAATGCGCTCGACCCTGGAAGCGTATCAAAATACTCCATCTACGCCTCCTTTGTTCGAGGAGGCTTCCTTGAGGGAACACTTAGCACATTGACAACGGACGACTCGACTAGCACGGAGTCTGATGACAGCGACGAGAAGAAGAAGACAGAGTCCACGAGGACAAAATCCACAAAGTCGAAGAAAGAAACCAAGGAAGAGAAAAGAGCTCGGAAAGAGGAGAAGAGGAAACGGAAAGAGGCGCGTGCCCTAAGAAGAGCAGCAAAACTCGAGAGGAGGTTGAAAAGAGCCGAGGCGAAGAAAGATACGTCAGACTCCAGTAGTAGTGTGGCAGGGGACAAAGCGCTTGGGCGTGCTCAGAAGGAGGAAAAGCGACGGAGGAAAGAATTGAAGAAGATGAAGGCTTCGGGTGGTTAATGTGGAAAATAGAATAACAGGATCACATATGGCGCATTAGCAGGGAGTTTGGTTATCTTTTTTCAAGCACAGGGAATACCCAATAGACAGCGTTTCATGTTTGTATTTCTTTGGACGCCTTGCCCGGCTGTCCTGGCTTGCCCGACAAGATCCAGGGCCGTCTATCCCAAAATTCATCCTTGATGATGTCCAAGTGTTCCACCACCACCTTTGCCTTGGCCCTGCGCTTCTTGTCCTTTTCGGCTTGTGATTTTGATTGCACTGGCGGCTCTGCGAGGGCATCTGCTGCGGCGGCGGCATCGTGACTGCTAGGCTCGGCCAGTTCGTACTGCATACAAATGTCAGCCTTCAAAACACCAGTTTCCATTCGATAAGGAGCCTCACGTCTTTGAACACAATGCTTCCTTTCTTGAAGATTTCCGGTTCATTGTTGTAATTAATTTTGAACCGAGAAAACAATATTTCATTCTTATCCGCAGCCAGCGTGCCCTGGAAACCAAGTTAGTATATATCGGCGCAACATTGAAAGAGAATGCGAACTGCAAGAGTTTTTTCTGCCTCCTTGTTGTCGAGGCCTCCTAGTTGTATCAACTTCCAGAAGGCTGTGTTATACAAATTATTTATGTGGCCTTCCATGTCAGTAAAAAGTAGTTTGCTGTTGATCATAAGAATCCTTACAATCAGCTTGCCGCCAGCTCATGTAATCACGAAGATTTTGCACTGTCGGATAACAGACGGCTCGACCGTCAAAGGTCGGGAGAGGGAATGAGAGGGGAGTGTCTGGAAAATACGTCGGCCACAAGTAGACGTAATTCGCTGTAAATGTAGAGACAATTGTGGTGACGAGTTTGCTGAAATTTTGTCAGTCGACGCCGAATGTAGGGTAGCCTGAGGTTCCGGCTTCGCACCTCGCTCTCCTCTCGAAGAGGTTGCTAGACTTGTGAAATACAAAACTGAGAATCGTTAGACTGTAGAATATGCTTAGGATATTCGATTTGAAACAATATTACCTATACTCGTCGCTTACTCCGTAGGCAATAGTGATCTCGGGGATATCAGTCACCACCGCCTTGGCGGCCGCATTCATAAGATCAAGAGCTCTCCGGTCATTTGGCTTTTCGAATTCATATTTCGCACACATCCTTGGATAAAAATGTTAGATACTATGGCAATAGTTCCATTTCATCTGTGTCATTACTTGGTAAATCCTCTGCCATCTATGCGTACTACAATCCATGTGTTGGGCAAGAGGGAGTCTGGCTGCTCGAAACTTCGAACATATTCAAACCTAGACCATAATTTAGCATGTGACAACACAACCCGGAGTTGATTCATCGTACTTGGAGTTCGCCATTCCGAAATCCGGCAAAAGCTGCTTGAGCTTTTGTAAAAGAAAAGGTTTGTACTCATTTGAGCGTAAACAGAGATCCCGAATACTTGTGCGTCATGCTAGCGGCACATCCCCGCGGTGGAGCATTTTCAGGTCCCTCAATTCCGCGTTAGGCTCACGCCTCGACTTGAAATATTAGATTCACCCCTCGCGTGGCGCTTTCTTTTCATCAGCCTTGCAGCTTCGCATTCGTGCTTTGAGCTCGCAGCCTTCTCGCGTCTCCTCTACCATGTTGCTCTGTTTCTCTCGAATAGCCCCAGCCCTGTTACCGCAACGATGAATCTCCTACTTTCCGACGACTATCTCCTCCAGGACTATCCTGAGAGCATGACCAGCACGATCCGATCCGGCCATGCGACGATGCTGAGATTTAACCGCAAGGGCGACTACCTTGCCTCCGGCCGGGTGGATGGAACCGTTGTTGTTTGGGATCTGGAGACAATGGGTGTTGCTCTGAAGATGAGAGGGCACAACAAGAGCATCACATTCCTAAGCTGGTCAAAGTGTGGGCGGTATCTGCTGTCAACATGCCAAGGCTGGAAGGCCATACTCTGGGATCTGGAGACGGGGCATCGGCATCGTGAGGTGCGCTTCCGGGCTCCAGCTTACATGGCAGAGCTTCATCCTGAGAATCAGTATGTGCATCCTGCATCTTGCATTGCAAACAGTGCCATTGTCTCATTTACTCATCCCTTCACCTAGTAATCTTTTCGTCGCGTCTCTATTCGAAGAGCAGCCACTCCTTGTCGACGTCTCCGAGCCAGTAGACGTTAAGCGCGTTCTCCCGTCAGCACCGAGGCGGTCAAACACGGACAGCGATCTTGCCCTCAAAGAAAAGCAAGCAAAAGAAGATGCAAAGCAGATGACGACGTCTGCAATATGGACAGCGACCGGCGACCACATAATCGCAGGAACGAGTAAAGGCAAATTGAATATTATCGATGCCAAGACGCTCGAAATCATATATACAGAAAAAATATGCACAGGTGTCATCACCACCATGCGAATAACAGGCTCTGGCCGAGACCTCCTGGTAAATTCACAAGATCGAATCATCCGGACATTTCGAATACCAAATCTCTCGGTGGAAGATCTCGACCCGGATACAATACAGTTGCCACTCGAACATAAATTCCAAGATGTGGTTAACAAACTGTCCTGGAACCATGTTACGTTTAGCGCAACGGGCGAATACGTGGCCGCGTCTACGTACAACAATCACGAACTCTACGTTTGGGAGAGGAATCACGGCAGTTTAGTCTGTATGTTGAAGGACCCCAAGGAGGAGCAGGGCGTTATTGAGTGGCACCCTTCTCGCCCGCTCTTGGCGGCATGTGGGTTGGAAACTGGCCGAATATACATATGGTCCGTCATCAGTCCTCAAAAATGGTCAGCGCTGGCGCCAGACTTTGCTGAGGTGGAAGAAAACGTGGAATATATGGAGAGAGAGGACGAGTTCGATATATATGCACAAGAAGAGATTCACAGGAGACGGCTTGACGCCGAGGACGAGGATGTGGATGTGCTGTCGGCTGATCATGCAAAAGAGGGGGATGATCTGGAGAATTTTCGCATGCCCATCTTATTCAACCTGGGCGAGAGTGATAGTGAGGACGAATTCGTTGCGGTTTCGACCGGAACCATGCGACGAAGGAGTCCGGGAGAAAGCCAGGCTGATTTAAGCGCTGGAGCTGAATCTGCCGCCCCTGTGCGCAAGAAGGGAGGGGCTGGAGCGAGGGGAGGAAGGAGTAAAAAGAAGTGATTTGGAGACTTGATTGCATGGCGTTTTTACTTTTATTTTTCTTAATACCTTGCTGGTGCCGGCAAACAAATGGGAAATAACAAATCATGGTGCTAGGCAGCGGTTACGATGGCATGAGATATAGAGTATCATATCTTGGAGAAAGTATTGCAAGTTCATCGATATGCTTTTTGAATGAACATCACATATTTAACGGCCCTTTTATCCTCTACTCTCTCCACCCTTTGATGGACAGCCAGCACCTCAGCCATTGCGTAAGGTTCAAGTGTCGGAACAGAATACCAAGGGAAGCTTTCCACTCTTTCTCGCCTTACCTTTCTTTTTCGCCTTACTTTTTACTTGCCTAACAGGTAGTAGATACCCAGCTTCTAAATATAGGTATGCTACTCTCGATACTTTACTCCAATAGCCGCTACTATTGCTACATATTTCTACATATTTCTACTATCTGCTGCTATGGCTACCCAGGTATGTTCCTCTACTTTCTGGTATCATCATCCAAACTTAATCCTGATTGATCCACTATAGACAAGCAATGATAGTTTTCACACCAGTCTCATCAGCTATATAAGACACGTTGGCACCCCAGAATTCCCACACAGCAGAGGCTCAACCAAATCTGGTATCTCAAACGAAATATTCCAACATTACGATGCAGCAAGTACTACCCCGGGGGCCTCCAACTGATGAAGAGCGCCAGCTCTACTACAAGGGGCTCCCTTCTCGCCCCAACCTCGTCGCGCGATCAAGCACACATGATTGGGTAAATACATATAGTTTCGACCGTATTAGGTGTATGTATTCCTATGCGGATCCTAATCTTTATGTACTTCGCCCGGTTGGAAGTTACCCGCATTTACATCGGCTGTGGAATGATGCATCGTCTTCGCTTAGGGTCCAGATTTTACGAGCTCTCAGCAGGGCCAACTGGACTGCCATTGATATTCTACGTGTCTGTATCAATGGGCAAAACCCTATCACGCTCATGGTAGCTGTCACCCCTGGGTCGCTAACCTGGATCGAGGGTTATGCTATCGTAAGGGAATGCAAATCTATTTTCGTAAGGTATGGTATCTTCTTGGACTGTGAGATACGCGAATCTGTGGTCACTTTCTGCACCGCGGATCAGCTCGAGACAAGTTCTACCGCCGAAGCCTCTGTCGACTCTTCTGCCGATTCTACAAACAAGACAGGCTCAACGAAAACCTTTCAGCTCTTTTCCGGACCAATGCCAGAAAACGACCACTGGATGTATGCAACTACGTGGACAAACTTCTCTGACGTGCTTGGCACCACGATCGCCATGAAACACAGAGATTCTCTTACAGGCACGAAAGGCCTGTACCTCTCTTTGTCACCATCTTCTCCTGAAGCCGAGCCCAAAATCCTGGCTTTGACTTGCAGACACGTGGTGATTGATTCCAAAACAGAGGGCGGTTTAGAAACATACTGTCGCCCAGAGTCTGCTCCCTTCAAAGATGTCATTCAAGTGGGCCAGCCGTATTATGAGTACATGGTCAAATCATTGGAGCACAGAATATCAAGCTACCGCAAAGACTCTAAACACTTTAATGGCCGGATCCCCTGCTCACCTTGCGCGAAGAACGCCGTCTCTCTCCAACATGCCATAACGCCATTCAATGCCGCTTCCTCCAGGGTTTTTGGTCAGCTTTTATACTCGCCTGAGTTGAATACTACGGCAACCGAGCCTGGGGCGCAATGGTTAAGAGACTGGGCATTGATCGAACTACTTCCAGGATCCCACCAATCTCCTCTCAGTTTAATAAAGAACAAAGTGGATATTGGATCGGTTGTTGACTTTCTCACTGCGCTCTTTGGACGCAAACAAGTGGTCATGGATATGAAGGCGGAATACGGCTGCCAAACCATGCAAAGCAGTGTCGTCCCAACCGACCAAATTTTCAAATCCGATTGCACCACTGAGGATGAGTCAATGATGGTGATAAAATACGGATTGAGGGGAACGTTTACGTTGGGTCATGGGAGTACGTTAAAATCGATCGTTCGCTATCCAGAAACCCCAGGCGGCGTAAAGCGGGAGAGTGAAGCATGGGCCATAGTATCAGTTGTACCCGCTAGAGTGTGTCTTCAAGAAGCCTTCTCAATAGCAGGGGATTCTGGCGCTTGCGTTTGGGATATGGAGCGACGACCTGCCGGTATGATCACGGCAGGCAGCGGTTCCTCCGAACAGGTGTACGACATTACATATGCGCAGCCGTTGGAGGGAATACTGGCGGACATGAAATCATGTGGCTACGATGTGTCTCTGGTTTAAAATAGGGAGTTGCTATTTAGCATCCCAAGGACTGCGTTGGTTTGAGTATCGAAGTTGGATGTAAAAGAAGGCTCTTTATTTACTACTATCTATATGTAGTAAATACCCGTTTCTTCTAGTATTTGCTATTATAGCTATACTTCTCTCGTCTCCGTTAGTATAGCTATATATCTCAAGTGTTTCTTTTTACAATTATATTCGTCTAGTGTTCGGTATTATTTGCGACATGTGATGCCGCTGTATAGCAAAATTGGGATGCTGAATACTACTACGGAGTCGAGGAGCGATAGTAGAAGACACTAGAAGAGAATGGCACTGGTAGCGGATACTAGAAGAGAATATATTGCAATAGATGTAATAGCAGATACAGGTAGGTAGAAGTGTGGCAAAAGTGGCCGATGCTAGCTTGAAGAACCAGATGAACAAAATACTGAATGTCTTCACTGCATCTCGCTGCGACACTTGCAATAATACGGCTCCCTTGACTAAACGTGAAGTAGTGAACCAGCATGTGAGGCTGATGTGAAACCAAGAGCCCGGGAGCTGAGTCACACCGGTAACATGCTAAAAGGAGCGTGCAGTGGCTTCAGGGAGTGTGATTAAGATTCGGTGCTGACAAAAACAGTGAGAATTTTTCTCTGAGAAACCCAAGCAAATGGCGTGAGTTTTATTGTCTTGCCACTCTCCTTTCCACAGTGCAGCGCAGAAGTGAACCTGATTTCTTGCGGCCTGAGGCACCAACTGCTGCGGGCGCAAGGAGGTGGTGGTCCCAACACGGCTTAGCGGCATCGAGGCACCAAGCGCCCTCACGTCCAGAACTTTCAGGCTTCTTCTGATCGTCTCGCCTTAACCACGACAAAACTCTGCTCACGGCTCCAAATCATCACCAAGCGTGTCGGGCATCGAGTCTGGCACCTGGAAACTCCCCGAAAACGACGATACGAGCCTCCGACCTGCGATTTACGTATTCAAACGGCCCTAGAGCTGGTGGCGACGGGGGAGACCTGCCGTGAGGTTCTCCTGGGCCTGGTGGCCAGGACTGGCGATCGAGAGGGCGCCATCTCTCAACAACGCACAACCGCTTCTGCCATCGATTCTTCGGTTTCCAGCGATAGGCACTTGTCACCTCTTGAAAATTCCAGTGTTTTTCTTCGCGCTTTGCACCTGTGCCGCGACTGCGAGGCGCGTGCTGCATCCGCCGCCCTCACCGATCCTTTTCGACTTCCGTGATTTGTTCAATTGAAATCTCGCACCGACCGCGAAAATGGCGAACCTCTACTTCACCCACTCGAGCGCTCCGCTCAAGACGGTGCAGGAGATCCAATTTGGACTCATGTCTCCCGAGGAGATTAAAAGCATGAGCGTGGCACACATTCTGTACCCCGAAACGATGGAGGAAGGCGGCACGAAGCCGCGCGACGGTGGCCTCAACGACCCTCTTCTCGGCTCGATCGATCGACAGTTCAAGTGCAAGACCTGCACACAGGCTATGGGCGAGTGTCCTGGTCATTTTGGACACATTGAACTGGCAAAGCCCGTGTACCACCCTGGCTTCATCAAGAAAGTCAAGAAGATCCTGGAAATTGTCTGCCACAACTGTAGTAAAGTGCTGGCTGATGAAGTTGGTCTTCTCTTTTCCATGAAGCCTTTGCCTCACTGGATGCTAACCTGAACTTTACCAGAGCGATCCCGAGTTTGTCGCAGCAATCAATACTCGAGATGCAAAGCTCCGCTTCAAGCGCGTATGGGCTGTCTGCAAGAAGAAGCGGAGATGTGAGAATGAGGACCGGACAGACAAGAACAAGGACGAAGAGTTTGCGCCTGGCATGAAGCCGACCCTCGTGGAAAGCCATGGCGGCTGTGGCAATGTGCAGCCTCAAGTGCGACAGGTTGCCCTTCAGTTGAAGGCCGCCTTTGAAGTGGCCCAAGAAGATGGCCCCAAGCGGAAAGAGACGGCTCCCATCACTCCGGAGATGGCCCATAGCATCCTTCGTCGTATTTCCGAGAGTGACCTGCGTAACATGGGTCTCAACTCGGATTACGCTCGTCCAGAATGGATGATCATCACTGTTCTTCCCGTTCCCCCGCCCCCAGTCCGTCCTAGTATTTCTATGGACGGCACCGGTACTGGCATGCGAAACGAAGACGATTTGACCTACAAGCTTGGTGATATCATTCGTGCCAACGGAAACGTCAAGCAAGCTATTCGCGAGGGCTCTCCGCAGCATATTGCGAGAGACTTTGAGGAGCTGCTTCAATATCACGTTGCAACCTACATGGACAACGACATTGCGGGACAGCCTCGTGCCTTGCAAAAGAGTGGTCGCCCGGTCAAAGCCATTCGTGCCCGTCTCAAGGGAAAGGAGGGTCGTCTGCGAGGCAACTTGATGGGAAAGCGTGTTGACTTTTCTGCTCGTACAGTCATCACGGGAGATGCTAACCTGTCTCTGCACGAAGTCGGTGTTCCTCGCAGTATTGCCAGGACTCTGACTTATCCTGAGACAGTCACGCCTTACAACATTGGAAAGTTGCATCAATTGGTCGAAAACGGTCCCAACGAGCATCCTGGAGCCAAGTACGTTATCAGATCCGACGGAACCCGTATCGACCTGCGACACCACAGACGCGCAGCTCAGATCTCCCTAGAGTATGGCTGGAAAGTTGAGCGTCATCTGATGGATGGTGATTACATCATCTTCAACCGACAGCCTTCGCTGCACAAGGAGTCCATGATGGGTCATCGTGTTCGAGTTATGCCTTATTCTACTTTCCGACTCAACCTCTCGGTTACTTCCCCATACAACGCCGATTTCGATGGTGACGAGATGAATCTCCACGTTCCTCAGAGCGAGGAGACTCGTGCCGAAGTCAAGGAGCTGTGCTTGGTCCCTAACAATATCGTCTCACCCCAGAAGAACGGTCCTTTGATGGGTATTGTGCAGGACTCTCTTGCCGGCGCTTACAAGATTTGCCGACGTGACACCTTCCTCGACAAGAACCAAGTCATGAATCTCATGCTGTGGGTCCCCAATTGGGATGGCGTTATTCCGCAGCCCGCTATCCTAAAGCCGAGACCACGTTGGACTGGCAAGCAGATCATTAGCATGGTCATTCCCAAAGAGATCAGTCTACATGCCCCCGAAGACAAGTCAGATTCTCCTCTCAAGGATACTGGATTGCTTATTCAGGCTGGTGAGCTCATGTATGGTCTCATGAAGAAGAAGAACATTGGTTCCGCCTCAGGTGGTGTAATCCATCTCTGCTACAATGAGTTGGGACCAGAAGGTGCCATGGCGTTCCTTAATGGCGTTCAGCAAGTGGTTTCCTACTGGCTCCTGCAAGAGGGCCACAGCATTGGTATTGGTGATACCATTCCAGACAAGCAGACAATCGAAAAGGTCCAGGTGCATATTGACACCCAAAAGGCAGAGGTCGCCAGGCTTACGGCAATGGCTACCGCCAACGAGCTGGAGGCGCTGCCTGGTATGAACGTCCGAGCTACTTTCGAGAACAAGGTTTCCATGGCTCTTAACATGGCTCGTGACCAGGCTGGTACTACGACGCAAAGGAGTTTGAAGGATTCAAACAACGCCGTCACCATGGCTGAGTCAGGTTCCAAGGGATCATCCATCAACATTTCTCAGATGACGGCGCTTGTCGGACAGCAGATTGTTGAAGGAAAGCGTATTCCATTCGGTTTCAAATACCGAACTCTCCCGCATTTCACCAAGGATGATTACTCACCCGAAGCTCGTGGCTTCGTTGAGAATTCTTACCTCCGTGGTCTGACACCCTCCGAATTCTTCTTCCACGCCATGGCTGGTCGTGAAGGTCTCATTGATACTGCCGTCAAGACAGCTGAAACTGGTTATATTCAGAGACGTTTGGTCAAGGCTCTGGAAGATCTCAACGCTCAATATGACGGAACGGTTCGCAACTCTCTTGGTGATATCATTCAGTTCCTGTATGGTGAAGACGGTCTTGATGCCATGTGCATTGAGAAGCAGAAGCTTGGCATTTTGAAAATGTCTGACGAGGCGTTCGAGAAGAAGTATCGACTTGATCTGGCCAACCCCCCTGACTGGTTCCGAAAGGACTACGAGTATGGCAACGAATTGACCGGCGACAAGGCTTCCATGGCTCTTCTTGACGAGGAGTGGGATGCACTTCTTGCCGATCGCCGTGAAGTGCGGCAGATCAATCGCTCCAAGATGGGCGAGGAGTCGATGCAGCTTCCTCTCAATATTGGTCGTATGATCGAGACAGCGAAGCGCGTGTTTAACGTCAAGGCAAACGACCGAAGCAACTTGAGACCTTCTGATGTCATTCCTGTTGTGAGGAACGTCATCAGCAAGCTCAAGATTGTCCGAGGCGACGATCCGATTTCCAAGGAGGCGGATGCTAGTGCTACCATCCTCTTTAAGTCTCTTCTTCGTTCTCGGCTAGCCTTCAAGGAGGTGGTCAAGGAGCATCGCTTGAATAAGCTCGCTTTTGATCACGTCCTTGGCGAACTTCAAAACCGATGGGATCGATCGTTTGTTAACCCCGGTGAAATGGTTGGTGTCCTTGCTGCCCAGTCCATTGGTGAGCCCGCCACGCAGATGACGCTGAACACCTTCCACTTTGCCGGTGTGTCTTCCAAGAACGTCACACTCGGTGTGCCCCGACTCAAGGAAATTCTCAATCTGGCCAAGAACATCAAAACCCCCAGCATGGCTGTGTACCTTGATACTCCACTGGCTAAACAAGAGCAAGCGAAGAAGTTGCGAAGTTTGGTTGAGTACACCAACCTCCGATCGATCACTGCCGTCACTGAGATCTATTATGATCCGGATGTTCAATCTACAACTATTGCAGAGGATGTCGATATGGTCGAGTCCTACTTCTTGATTCCTGATGACAGCCAAGACACTATCGATCAACAGTCGAGGTGGCTCTTGCGTATCACACTTGACAGGCAAAAGTTGCTTGACAAGGAAATCAAGATTGACGATGTTGCTCAGCGCATCAAGGAGGAGTACCCCAATGACCTGGCTGTCATTTTCAGCGACAACAATGCCGATGAGCAGGTCATTCGAATCCGCACCATTCGACAGAACGACGAGAAGGATGAAGATGGAGAGAAGAAGATCGAAGACGATGTGATGCTAAAGCGTCTTGAAGCCCATCTTCTGGACACTCTGACGTTGCGAGGTGTGCCTGGTGTTGAAAGAGCTTTCTTGACCAAGGGCACTCGCCTTGTTGAGTCTACTGATGGATCTGAACTCGCGCTCAAGGACGATGTTCGCTGCACACAATGGTACTTGGATACCAGCGGTTCAGCCCTCCGCGAGGTGCTGGCTGTTCCAGGAGTTGATCCTACGCGAACCTACACCAACGACCTGTGGCAGATTATCGAAGTGTTTGGCATTGAGGGCACGCGAGCTGCCCTTGTCAAGGAATTGACGGCTGTGTTGGCCTTTGACGGTTCCTACGTCAACCATCGACACATTGCTCTACTTTGCGATGTTATGACGTACCGCGGAAGTATATCTGCTGTCACTCGACACGGTATCAACCGTGCTGATACTGGTGCACTCATGCGATGTTCATTCGAAGAGACGGTCGAAATTCTTCTCGAGGCGGCTGCTACGGGAGAGCTTGATGACTGCCGTGGCATTTCTGAAAACGTTATGCTCGGCCAGATGGCTCCCATGGGAACTGGTCACTTTGACGTCTTCCTGGATCCGAAGATGCTGGAAACCGTGATTTCGGACAACTCTCGCATGGGACTCATGCCAGGCATGCCTGTCAAGGAAGGAGAAGTCGAGGGTGCGGCTACACCTTACGATACTGGATCTCCCATGGCCGACTCTGGCTACCTCAGTCTCAACTCTCCTGCTGCTGGAAACTTCTCGCCCATCCAGGGAGCGGGTTCAGAAACACCAGCTGGATTTGGAACCGAGTATGGTGGCGGCGGCTTTGGTGGTATAGGATCTATGAGCCCATACTCAATGCGTGGAGCAACCAGCCCCTTCAGCACTTCTCCAACCTCGCCATTCAGTTCAGGTATGGGTGGCTACTCTCCATCATCGCCCAACACTGGATATTCGCCTACGTCTCCCATGATCGACGGCGGTATCGGCCGATACGCGACATCTCCGTCATTCAGTCCTTCCTCGCCGTCTTTCTCGCCAACTTCGCCGATGCTGCGACCAACGAGCCCTGCCAGCCCCAATTACAGCCCCACGTCGCCAAGCTACTCGCCTGCATCCCCGTCATCGCCAAGGCACTATTCGCCAACGTCGCCGGCTCAGTTCAACTCTCCTACATCACCTAGCTACTCGCCTGCTAGTCCCAATTACAGCCCTGCTTCTCCCAATCTGCATGGAGCTGGCGCGACTTCTCCGTCGTATTCTCCCGCTTCCCCCTCGTGGTCTCCGACATCTCCAGAAGCTTACTCGCCTACGAGCCCAAGCTTCTCCAAGAGCCCTGGGTCGCAGCAATCTCCCACCAGCCCCAGCTACTCGCCCACATCGCCGTCATTTTCTCCTCGGACGCCTGGGCCGGGAGCTTCCGGAAACCAATAGTAAGTCATACTTTGGAGTCTCGAGACTGTATTACCCATTAGAACATGGCTGACCAGTTTCTCTTATAGTTCACCTAATTCCCCCGCTAACGATTGATTTTATCCTATAATGCATACGAGGCACGTTTTGCCGTCGACCATTGATTTATCGTTTTTTCTTTACCTCTTTTCTTTCTTTTTTTTTTTCCTATAGTTCTCCCGGTGGAAGGATTGTGAGAACCTCAGCATGATAGATGTTTATGCAGCCGGTAGTAAAAGCCGAAAGTGGATAAAAAAAGAAACACCTATACAAAAAACACTCATAGTTTTGTCGATTCGCGGTCTTCTCATCAGAGATAGAAGAGGTTGATGACAGGTTTGCAGCTGATATGTATACTAGACGCGAGAATGAAAAGTTTTATCGAGGAGATTGACGACCAGATTGGAATCAGATTGCAAAAAGATAGTGGGCTTCGCGGAGGAGAGAGCAAACCTGTCACTGGAACTTGAGCTTTGAGAAATGGATTTGCTTAGTTGAAAACAATACTGCGATCCTGAATTATCAAGTGCCCTTGTTCCAATGTGAATGCTTGCTGCTATGTTTTGCATATGGTATCTGACCTAGGTTCATCATTTTGCTCCTGGAATTTGCGACCTTATTGTTGGTAAGGCGAGAGGTTGGGCTTTTAGGGTAATATCTGCGTACTGTGATAGAGGTACACCTAATGTGTTAAAGCAATTGACTGTTGTTTTGAGAAACTCACTGAGATTGCAGCCTTGGACCTGTAGAATTGCTCGATTAATGGGCTTTGTAGTACTAGTTTTACTTAGAATAGCTACTAGAAGTAAGATGACCAGCAGATACTAGAGGAAGTAGCTGATAGTAGAAGAGAGTAGCGATAGTAGAAGAGAGTAGCAGAGAGTAGAAGAGAGTAGCAGATAGAAAAAATGGTAGCGACTATATTTTGTTGAAAGGAACAGAATGACACACATGGAAAGACGTTCGGAAGCTTATTCTTTGTGGCGTTGGTATATGTAAACAAGAACAGACATACTGTGAGGTAGATACTAGAACTTAGACTAATCAACATTCTGTTTCCTATCTACGTACGTATTACAACATATTTACATTTCTCTAGTAACTGCTAATATTTTCATTCTAGTACAAATACTAATAAGAAGTACAGCCAAGTCATCCTGGAGGGGAAAACACACAATTCACATCAATAACGTCAACGTCAACATCGCGACAATGCCTCGTACTAGCGCGTACCTCGATAGTCCCGCCTTGGACCATGGTGCCAATCCCAACGACAATGCCAATTAGAAACGGGCACTCGCAGAGATTCGTCACGGTATTGGGCACCTTTGAAACCGTGTCCAGGAAGTTGCGAAGAGCGTCGAGCATGTTTCAAAGGGTGTTAAGCAGGTGAACGTAAACGTGCAGCCGATGCTCGTTCAAAAATATACTCTCGCCCCAAGATCATCTAAGCTTAACGTCGCTATACAGCTAAAGCAAAGGCGTCTGGACGCTTTTATCGTTCTCTCTGTGAACACACTTCTACTAAACCATACGAGCATCAACGGCATCTCAATTCGAACCGTCATCAAGCCAACGTCGCCAAGGAGAAGGCTGGCGTCGTAAAGAGATTACGTTGCGACTATTATGACTACGCTTGCAACAAGCCGTCACATATGAAGACACACGAAGCTGGTGAGCGCCATAAGAAGAGAGTTGCTGACGCCAAGGCTGCGCTTGACGCCGAGGCCATCGTTGATGACTCCCCAGAATAGCGTGATTGCTTCTAGGCATTACTCTCACGTGGTTGCTATTTCTGGGATCGTTTTCGCATAGTTTTTATTTCTGGGGTCGTTTTCATATGGTTTATAATTCTGGGATCGGTTTTATGTCGCCGCCTTTATTTCTTTTTGTTACTAAGTTTATTTCTCGGCAATCTTTTTTTATTTCGTCATCGGCATTCAGCCATTAATCACTCTAATAGAACGTTGATGTTAAGCAGGTCTCGAAAAAAGTCAGTCGGGTTTCGAAGGACATTGAGCATGTTTCGGACAATGTCGACCATCTCGACGCTCCGATGAAGCAATTGCACCCAGGTATGCTGTCGATGATCAAGAATGAGATGCAATCGATGAGGTCTAAGATCGATGTTGTCAAGGACTGCTTCTAAATTGAGATAGACATGTCGAGTGGAAGTATTAATAGAGAGGTCGTCGAGGTTAACGCTACTCTCACAATCGTCCTCAGCCGTGTCAGTGCTATTAAGCACTTTCTTGAGACTGGACCGTTCTCTGACAACGAGTAAATTGGGCACTATTGGCGGCAAGCGAAGACAGAAAAGATTTCGAATACCCACGCCTTGAATAGCAAACACAGTAGCAGATAGTAGCAGATACCTCAATGACGTTTAATTCTTCCAAACCGTCTATGCCGTCCACTTCCATCAGAGCATAATGAACTGTATAGATGTGGGATCATCACATCGTGGGGTTATCCAAGCCTTTCTTTCAAGCGCAGTCGAAAGCGCGATATATGCCGCCTTCTTCGTGAGAAGATGAGCATGAGCACCAGACGCCAAATGATATAGAGCTGGATTCATCAGATTCGGCGTCCGAATCTTTTCTTCTGTATCTAAATTGAGCTAATCTACCACCTATTAGATCTCTATTAGAGTGCGGATACACCTGGCTATGGAACTCCGGCGTCAGAGGAAGAGGTCGTAAATACCTTGATGGAGATATCTCAAGGTATGACTGAGTAGAAAGGTAGTAGCGATAGTAGCAGATATGGCGAATGGACGCAGAACTGGTCGGTCTTGTCGTGTAGTAATGGCATCCAGCAGCACACTGTCTTCTTTACCGTAGATGGTATGGACAGTATCTCCTCGTACAGAGGTCTGAATCGCCAATTCAGAGAAAGGTCCAGCTTCTTCCACTATCCTGTTGAACATTTAATGTGCTTCAAATTAAAGACCGAGCGTCATACCTAATCAGTAATCTAGCCACAATTTCCCCTTCATCGAAAAAATCACCCTTCCAACCCTTGCTTGTACAGCCATGAATCATTCTCCCTTTCCCAATGCACCGTCTTCCCTTGCTTCATCAAGAAGTTCAGTATAGTCTCCCGCCCCCTTAGACACGCCTTTCGCTTGTGACATTTCCCACCCATGTGCAACTTATTAAATCCACAGCGCAATAATCCTAGCTTCCATCATCTCAATCGTCCCTCTTGCTAAATCTGCCGCTTAGCAGCCCTGTCGACACTATACATGCATTCACGCATCTCTAGTAGATCATGTGATCTTACCAGACCGTGTGCGCAAGTTCTCATCTATACAAGAAATGTTGTTGGTCGCGCAGAATGATTATTGCACGAAAAGGGAGCAAGTACAAGACACACCCAATGATCCACGTCATATAGAACTAAATATTGATATATATTACACGTTAGTAAAAATGATTGACTCGATTTTGCTTTAATAATATTCAATCATGCCTATTTTTCTCCCTTCCAACGGTACACAATGCATCTATCCTCTCAGCAATAAACACACCTCTGTTGTCCAAGCTTCATTACGTGCTGTCCTTTGCAACAAAAAATCTTGGCGCAAACAGAATTCAAATCCCACCATTTACTTCCTTGCATACACAATTTCCTCTCCATCTCTTTTCCTCCCTTTTTTTTTACAAACATGTTTCTCTTTCATCCCGGTTCGTATCCTGCCGCATTTGGTCCGTGCTTCAGGTCAGCTATTTCCCCCCCGGCAGCTAGCAGGCCGTGTCTATGCAACGTCTTTCCCGCTCTCCCGCCCTGACCCGCCGTTTTTAAGCTTGTATTGCCGCGAAAAACGGGCGGAAGCTGTTTATGCTATTTCGTATCGGTGCCGAGCCGGATCCTGGTTAGCCGGCGTAAAGGGCCGTGCTGCAAAGTCTGTCGTGGTTCGTGTGATGGAAGATGAATCCTTCCGATTGTACGTCAGCACGGTCGCCTGAGAACTCCCTAGATTTTGCAGAGCATTGTCCTGTTTGGTTGTGTTATTCGTCTTATAGTACTGTGGAAATCATGCTGCAATCTGTCAAAATACATCATGTTCAAAGCATACATAATCACCCAGATCTTGCCTTGATTGAGCAACTAATTCGTATTGTTGAGATGCTCCAAAAATACTGTATCACCAAACGAAGCACAATAAGTATTTCAGAATGAGTAAATAAATACTCAGCACTGAAGCGGCACCCCGGCAACGCAAAGAAGAAAAAACCGCCTTGGTTTGTCTGGACATATTGAACAGCCACATGATGACTGCTCTCACGGCTAGCCAACACGGCCTGCTGCTGACACTGCGTAACCTGACTTTTGGCCCTCGTACCGCCGGCAGCTGGGGAAGCGGCTCTGTGGGGAAGAGGCCGTATTCTGTGATACTCTTGTTACGAACGCGCAGCCGCAGCCCTTGTGACAAACCGAAATGTCCCAACAAAGCTCACACGGCGACCAGGTAATGAGACCCCCGCGACGAATGTATCAAAATGACGAGCATAGGGCGAATCAAGCTAATTATATGTATTTCTGGTTCGTCAATTGGTGGCTGTGGACAATTAGCTCGGAAAGGGGCTGCGGCCGCATATGCGGCCAGGCTGTGTTGGCCGACCACTTGCATTCAAAATTTGACCACTTGGCTCGCGAGGCAGACAACATCTCGACAGTAAATCATAGGAAACAATCAGTTAGGTTGGGAGAAGGACCAAAAAAGTAAAATAAGACACCGCTGTTAGATTTGGTATGATGCTCTAGCTGTGTGGCCTAGGTATAGGCAGATGGGCTGGGGCCATAGGAAAAAGAACATCCTCCCCGCAAAGTCCGCCATATCCATTCATTGCCTCATAACCATCGACTATGTACATGCGCTATCAACCATCAGGTGTACAAGTGAATTGTATCCTTCTCATAAGTAAGACAGGACGGAAAGAGAGGAAAGAAAAAAAGGAAATAGAAAGGAAATAGAAAGGAAATAGAAAGGAAATAGAAAGGAAATAGAAAGGAAATAGAAAGGAAATAGAAAGGAAATAACAAAGGAAATAAAGAAAAGACGAGACGATCGTCAAAGAAAAGATGAAAAGTGAAAAGATAAATGGATGGATTGTAGAAAGAAGATGGAAAAGAAAAAAGGAAAAAAGAAAACAGGCTAAAATCAAGAGAAGAAGGCGTGGATACTCCTCTTGCGAAAGATGAATCCAGCATCGGGGGTTGGAGGAGTCTAGGCCAATTGCTAGGCCCTCCAACTTTTGTCTATAATTGAGTGCATAATAAAGAGAGATATGAAGAGAAGAAAGGGAGAAGGAGAAGAGAAAAAGAAGAAACTATGAAAAAAGATAAGAAAAAAGATGAGATGAGATGAGAAGAAGGAAAAGAGAGATAGAGAAAAGGAAGAAAAGCAAGAAATGAGATGAAATCGCTTTGAGTCGTATGAACCAATAATGAGGGCGATATGAGTTCCAGTCCATTGGTTTATTCAACGGCCTGGATTAGGGCACTCGGCGCGTCTGCAGTATCCTTCCCATGTCTGAGTGCCTTGGTCTTCGATTTTAGAGCAGCCACAGCTGGGCTTGCGCGTGGACTCTGTGACGGTGCAGCCACAGTGGGTGTAGTGCTGTCGAATGATCCAGACACACATGTTGATTGTTTCGGAGAGAAAGTGGCGTTAAAGTATAGTGTATAAAGTGTAGAGCAGAGAGATCTACTGGATGAGTTATTCCGAATTGGACTTGGCGCACTAGACGGCAGAGGGCTTGTCAGTACTCCTTTGCACAGAATTGTGGTCTGCTTGGGAATGACTCTTGCGTACAATGCTTGATCGTTTAGTCTTTTTAGTGTAGAAAGGATTGAGACGCTGCTTGTGTCTAAAATGCTCAAGTGCCGAAGATGGGAGAGATGGGAGTGCTCAAGATGAGTGAAAGAAGCTGTCTGTAGAAGATTGCCGGATGATGCTCTTGGTATTGAATGCTGAATGAAGCTTGAAAGGAGATATCGAGAAGCACAGCAGGTGTGTTTGTCGTTTATATATCTTGTGGAACGAAAGCCTCGGGACTGCGTAGAGGCTGTGAATATACATTCAAGTTGTTTGCTCAGAGCAGCGTTCGTCCTTACCCAGGAACAAAGCCCCTTCAGGCAGAGTACAAGTCCAGACGTCAACCGATGTATGGCTGTTGGGTGTTTGCTTCTTCTTCTTCGGGACTTGCCAGACGCATGCGCACGGCTGTTAGATGCACATTTGCATGGCCCCAGAGACATAACAAGGAGACGAGGAGCCGACATGTACGTTAGTCGCCACCGATATATGCTCGTACGTGCGGCCGTTGTTGTTATGTGCGGTGCCGCGGGACGGTGTTAGTTGTTCGTTGTGTCCAGTCTACTCTGCGGTAGGTGCGAGGTTCTGTCTGCCTTCTGGCCCGTTCTCTCGCCAGGGGGGCATTTTGTTGTCTTGTCTGGGAGAAGGGGGAGGCAGTGAGCAGTGAGGCGACATCAAGTAGCCCTGATCGGACCACGAGGCATCGCAGAATCGGCAGTTTGCACAAGGCCATGCCATGTCAAAGTCACGGCGCGGGCCCAGCTGTGGGTGTACCCGGTCGGCAAGGCCTAGATGATGCTCAGAACCAACAACACCTGGGGCGCCTGGCCCCCCCTGCCCATGTAATGTACGAGTATGTACGTGTGTGTGTGTGTGTACTTTGACGCACTTGGATGATGCAAGCTTGACTGACTGCGTGTGTCTGTATGCATGTATGCATGTATGCGCATGTGGACGAAGAATCTTTCGCATCTTTTTGGGTGTGGGGGGTTGGGAGATGGATGGGCAGAGATTGGCCGTGGGTGGAGGAAGCTCAACTCAGTCTTGAGGAAGAAAACGAAAGTGGAGGCGATTTGCATCTAAGATTCTCAAGGCCTAGCCCCCACTGGGCCTGCAATTCGAAGACACCAATGCGAGGCGTCTGGAGCTACGATGCAGGAGCCGCAATTGGTGCCGTGATGCGATATGGCTAGGCAATGCCTAGGGCTCTAGCCCGAGAGTCAATGCCATTCTGTATTGGGCGGAGATGACATTGTGGCATTGGCAGCTTCAGTATTCACAGACATGACTCCAGCTGGTGATGCCGTATTTGCTTGGGCTTGTGGTGTTGATGTCGACGTTTGACGTTGATGTCATCCCAGTCATCGCAAGAGTCATTAAAGCTGGATAAAAAAATTTCGCTTAATTTCGCCTTCTCTTTCCGGGTTTCTCCTTCCGTCATTGACCAAAAACGCACACCCATACACCCCCATTGCTCGACTTCAAGTTGTTGGTTGTGTCTGGTTGAAGATTTCAGAAGGCGGAAGAGCCATTTTGACTTACATGCCCACACGCTAGAAGGGCCCTTGCAAGATCTTGACTACACGGACATGGACATGGACAGGGACACGCAGTGGAGTCACAAACAATGACGAGTGGGCATCCATCCTTTTGTGTGCCACAGAAGAGACGGGAAAAACATGCCTTGGGTGCATGTAGCCGGATCGTCATACCAGCTGCCCATATACCATATACGAGTTTACGTACAGACAGTACCTGGGGAGAGGCAGGGACAAGGGCCACGGAGACGAGAGCGGGACATGACTCTTTTTTCCTTCAGCCGGAGGAGATGGGCTACATGTACTAAGGTAGGTAGCACTTTGCAGCGGTCATTGAGGGGAGAGGCAACGAGTCCATGGGGGGAGTGGAGAGGATCGTAGCTACATGATGGCTTCGACTAGTGAGCAGATCAGGGATCTGGAGGGGGGAGGTGCGGATAGGAGAGCTGCAAAGTGTGTAGAATCATCACATCGTGTGCGTGATATTGCGGAAGAGACAAGAGACGCCAACACAACGAGAAAAAACGGGACGCGCGGGTCACACCAGAGAGTCCATCATCAACGGCCACTTTCTCTCATGGCGACTTGGCGCGCTCACCGAGAACGCCAGTGTCACCGGAGATGTTCAATGAGAGCACGAACTTCACAGGGCTAGTCTGGCATCACGACTGGCTGAACTGAACTATGCGGCACTGAGCTGAATCATGGGCAGGAATCAGGATCATGCTAGCTTCACACACTCCTCGTCGGAGAACAATCCGGTGCAGAAGAGCCGGCTCCTTGATGCGTTTCCCGCATCCAAAATGTGCTTGTTGGCCCTGGCCAGTTACCCAGCCAGGCAAGGCGTTGCTCGTTGTTGCGCCTCTAAAAAATCGACGGGGGTATCACAAGCGTTAGACGCCCTGTGGATCCAATGGATGTCGCACATGATCCGCAGCGAACAGCGTCTTATTCTACTTGTGGCATAGCCGGTGAAGCCATCGCCAAATACTCCAGCCCAGGTACCTTGGAGACTTGATGGACGGCAGATGCACATGTATCGATGCTTGTATGCGGTGGACGGCAAAGTTGCAGTTGCTGGACCAGACGGGGATCAACTGCTCTCCTCCAATCTCGGCCAAACCAAAACGTCTGCTCTGTCCAACAGCAGAGAATGCCGGCTCAATTGCATGTACTTGGACCGGGGGTGAGACGACGCTACATGTACTTGTGGCAGCTTAGTAGCAGTTGGGGCCACATGAAGCCATAGCAGCAGTGGATGAACATATTGGAGAAAAAAAAAACTCTCAAGAAGGCGCAATTTAGTTGCTAGGTATCTGCCTAAAAGTGCATCAATACATTACTCCTCGAATGGTTAGTTATTCCACATTCTATTCTCCAATGCCTCAACGATTGGTGTCAGGCCTGAAACTTGACCTCTGTCATTGTTTGTAGTCCGCGTTGCTCTCCTTCAGCCGTTCGTCTCCGGTCTCACTAGGCACAAAATAATGCCCGCAGATATCGATTTTTGGGTGGCCCCTGGATAGATAGATGTACCCCCAGACCGAGGATTGATTAGCGACATCCGGATGAGACGTGGTGGCTTTGCTCCAGTCTGTAGACGCGAAGACGCCGTGATGCGGGCTGTTATGGCCCAATGCGGAAGAACCAGCGTTGCATCATCAGCTCAAACGGGCGTGTCGTCTCGCATATCGGAGCCTTTGTTCCCATTGCAAGCGCGGCTCTCACATCAATCCGTGCTCAGCGACACCAGGGGCTCGGTCAAGAAAGCCTACGATGCACATCACATCCCCCAAGGATCTACGCTTCAGTGAATGAAACAAAGGCATTGTGGCAGTGGCGGACAAAAGAGCTGCTGCGCCAGAAGCCCTATTTTGGCCCTGGGCAAATGGCGTCTGGGTATCACGGCTCAGCTGCAGCTCTCACGAATCTCGGCGTCTGGATTGGACCAACGCAGCCAACACGGCTGATAACTTGTGGGCTGTGGCGTTATGGAGACTCGAACCAAAAGGAACCCCAGCTCAAGCTCAAGCAAACGGCGAGCGGGGGGTTCGGCAGCTTTTTCGATAGAAAGGGCTTGAACGGGGGAGAATTTGAGAAAATATTGTTCATTTGACAGGGGAATTGAGAGACTCTTCGCAGTTGTTGCTCTATGGCCCCCACCTTCAGTATAGGCGTCATAGCTTGAGATGAGGTCGTAGCCGTGCCACGCCTTGGTAAGCGCAGCGATTTACTACAAGATGACAAAACAACTTGTGCGCTTTATCCTTGTAAATTGTTATGTTAGAAAGATACTGGACGAAATTGCATATATGTTTTTATCACTTCATTAATAGTATTGGTATAAGGCGATGGACAGATCAATGCAGATTACCTATTACTCAGCGAGTGCCGGCTCCTGGACGATGAAGATCTACAAGTGGCAGTGATGTTGATTTGATATGCATCGTCATCCTTCCGCAGCAGGTACCACTCTCTCAAGGATCTTTTGCTGGTTCATGATATTTCCCGTGGCGTGCTGCACACGCTCCGTTTGTGCCTTGGTCTAGTATGGTGGTCCTGGAGAGGTCTGACAGAGCAGCTGTCATCGGAAGCAACGCCACATGTGTATGTCTGCTCTCAGTAAAGTATACTAGGTAGGCAACCTCGGTATTTCGGTATTGGAGAAACAGAAAGAGGAAAAAGGTCTCTAAATCACGCATCCGCTCTACCCAGCAAGTATTGGAAGTCTTGTGGCGTCCTCAGCTTGGGGGCCCGGAGATAGAGGCTTTAGCGATTGACCCCGTGGTTGGGACAATAGTGTTTGGTACCTAGGTGACTCAATGTTCCTTGTGCTGGCTCGTCTTTCAGGTTGGCAAATCGAAATCCTGAATTGATGCTTCGTCGTTCCAGGTTCTCACTAATCTCACCAGTGCAGGCTGAAATGTGGCTTTGCACTGCTGAAAGCTTGGTACTTGTGCCTATCGTCGGGTACCTGAAGCTTCGATTTGCGACCGTGCACTTCCAAATTCCACTTCCAGAACTCTAGATTCCGGTTCCTGGGGCTGAGCTGAGCAGCTGCTTGCCAACGCACGCTCTGACAATGTCTATTGGGCCTGTTTTCTGGCTGTTGCTCTCTATCAATTCTTGCTGTCAACTGATTAGCCGCTCCAACAACAGCTTGCGCCGCGCTGCTCGAGGCAAAAATAGAAGAAACAAAAGAGCACAGCCGCCGAGCAGGTATGCAGGTACCGAGTTACTTAAAACATTTCCAGGCACAAGGCGGTTCTTTGGCGGGGTCGGACGCCGTCCTGCGCTGTCATTGGCCAGATTGCCACATGTCAGCCTGAAAGCTTTAAAAGAGCCTCCGCACGCGCGGCTGTGAAGGGCGGCTCTGGCTTTTCCTCCATTCACACTCTCGACACAAGCGACGTCCAGGGATCGCGAGGCGCCGGCCGCCAACGAACCGCCCTCAAGGACAGAATAAGCGCATCTTGATCCGTTTGCTGTTTGCTCTCTCCTGATGTCGGCCTGATGTCGACCTCATGTCGTCATTCTCTCGACGACCTCGTCCAGTCTAGATTGGCAGAGACCAGACCGTCGTGGCTGAAGCTCTCCAGAGCACCAACGCCTGAGACGCCGTGTTAGACGCCTGATAGGAACTGCTCCCCCAATGGCAAGACTGCATTTCACGACCACTTTCGCTTATTGTTACCTGCGTTGCAGCCCTTTGAGCAGCTAAACCTGTTCTTTCTGCTGGTTCCAATATCAGAGTCGACTGGCCCACTCTCTTCGTTGTCGTCTTCTTCTTCGTGTTGGTCGTACACCTGCCAGGTTCGTACAGTCGACGAATCCGCGCGGGCGGTGCCGCTGAGGCTGGGACAACACCATAGACTCACCCCATCCACCTTGCTTGACTGGTTCAGGGGTTGTCAGTCATTGAACCACGCCGAGTCTTCCCCCGCTCCGGCCCGCTCTGTGTTGGTTTCTTCGTGCCGTGCAGCAGACAAGGATTGGGATGATGATGGTGTTGCTACGGGATTGCCCGCTCTCTTGATGATATCGTGGGTAGTGGCTTGCAAACTGGAAGAATTTGGAGGAACCAACGACTGGTCCGTCTCCCGCATGATACTACAGATAATCGCCTGTTGGTTTGATGTACACATGCCGCGGCTGCGTTTACGGACTGCCACACTTGCTGTCTGCCTTTGTCTTCGCCTCGCTATAATTGGGCCACTTGAGCCCCTTGGCTAACACCAAGTTCGGTCTTAAGGTGTGGTCGATTGTCCACATGAATAGGCCAAGAATGCGGCCGACGATGTGGCCGACCCCCTTCGTGCGGCTGTCGCGATCTTCCCGCTCAAAACTCAATGCGGCCTTCCATGCGACCTTGATAATTGCCGCAGCCGGCAATGCGAGACGGATGACCGTATTGACGACCGCATCTAAGCAAGATGTCCTTTGCATCTGCCAGATCAGCCGACACATCTCTCGGACACTTCAAGAGATGCTAGTGATGCATGGCGCAGCATCTCTCGGGCCTTTCCCCGTTTAGCCCGGCAAGGCAGGCTTCAATGGCCTCACCCTCGGTGCCAATGTTACTCCGAGCCAGCTTACAGCTCCTGCCGTGTTATCAAGCATGCGTTGCATCATGATACTTGCTTCCGTCCGTGATGTAGTGACCCGAGATCCACATGCAGCCACACCTTGCGGAGCTGATCCAACAGCTTGACCCCAGCACATTTCGCATTCGTCAAGTGATTTTGCTCCTAGTTGCAATCTGCTGATATTCCTCTATGCAGTATGAACCAAGACATATTAGCATGGTTCAATACCCACGCAGAACCAACAAGTTACGCAATAGCATCCCGAAGTGGCAGCGTCATCGGTTCCTCATTCAGAATTTGCCCCCTTGTCCTTCTGATCTAGGCGTAGAAGCTATGCCCAACTACAACTGTTGAAGTCATCATTAGGTACAAGGTACTGAAAGTGCCTGGCACTGCCGCGACTTGGCTGACTGACTGATTGTTATAGTTCCAGCAGATGAACAAACCCAGAACTTGACCAAATGTGTATGAACGGTATTCCTAAGCTGTCTTTGTCATTCAATTGCTTTGTTCTAGCAACTAGACATTGGTATATCGTCTCCGGTACTCTCGTTACGTCGGACTTTTACGTTGATCGCCATATACCAACCCCTTTTCATCATGATCCAATAGGGGGACAACATGGCCGACATTGGAACTTCTGCAATGGAATCAGCCATTGGGGGCCAGAGGGTCTTGGCCGCAGGACAAAATGTCATCAGTGCATATCTAGATCGACTCAATGTCTGTCCTATTTTGCACATATTCGGGCAAGAATTGATTCCAATGTCGTGAGCGGACCCAGTTCCGCATTTCCCGAAGCAGCTGTGAGACTAGACCGGGAGACGCTTCTCCACCGGCGTCTGGCAAACAACAATTTTTTATCCTTGGCTTAACGCGCGTATTGCCGATGCGAGAGACGCGAGCGGCCGTCTAGATGATAGACCAACAAAGAGTCAATATCTGTTTTCCCGTTCACGAGCGTTGCACTGATGGCGGCTACAATGAGGTTGCCACCCATGCCGAGCATCTCGATGTGACGCTGTTAGGGCGCCGGCTGACGGAACCAATCAGAGCCCATTTTAAGCGCTTGCGATTACCACTCGCGGTAACTCGACCCACTGAGGCTCCAAGAGCTTAGACCGAAATGGGGCGGAAGCTCAGTATGGATGGCTTGAAAGCTGAACCTCACTGGCGAAAATGCTGTGTGTAAACGCCTGCTAACCTGATGGGCTGATAAGCCAAACGAATCGACATGATGGGATCAATATATTGATTCCTAGTGGGTGAAGTATGACAAACCAATATTCTTCTCGTTACTAGTCCCAATGCTTCATCTCCGAGCAACTCCGCGAGAAGAGGGACGAGCTACGAGTAAAGGCCGGCCCGATGTAAAAGACGGCAGGCGGACTTCATTCTGCAGCTGCAATATGCATGGCGTTTCCTGCATCTTAATCGAAGCAATCACCAACAGACCTTATTCTTCTGGTTAGATGGAAACAGAAGTTCGGCCGCGGGACTTGGGCATCGACGTCCTATACACACCCCTCCTCGGGCCATAGTGCCCGCATGTCTCCTCCGGGGTCCGTAGTTTTCCGGTCTGGAGCCATCATAACTAACCATGCAGGAGGATTTTTTTTCTCTATCATGTTCGTATTTCGGACATACGGACGAAATCTTCCACCTTTCTACGTTACGGCCGGGCCGCGGGCAATCTCGTCGGTGAGCCGATGGCTTGGTCATGTTGCTTCAACCCAACAGATGTTCGTCGTCAGACTACAAACCCACTTGAGTGACTTGACAGAGATTTTTGATCCTGAAGGGAGGACGAATGGCGGAGTATCTGCTGCTATCGCTGCTTTTTCTGACTATCTCTGCTTTCTTTCATTATTGTTGCTTTCTTCTACTATTGCTACTTGCCAGGACTATTACTATTCTTCTTCTATTATCAGTACTTTCTTCTAGGACTGCTACTATTCCTCATATTTGTTAGATTCAAGATGTTAAATTCCAAAAACTAATCTATGATATAGTGCTGGAAAAACATTCTTGAATCCATTCCTGTAAGTGATATTCATCGATTTCACGCAATTGTATTATCAGTTTCCTAATTATTTAGACTATAGTACACACCCAATCTATAACTCCATCACCGAAATAAGAAAGACATGACTTCTTTCCACCTCTTTACAATGGAGATGATCATGTCCAGGCGACATCAATACATCCACCCGAGAGAGGGATTGTTCTTAGCTGTCTTCTCCCTCGGTTTTGTCCAGTCTCTGTATGAGCACCTGCCCTGGCCACCCGTTGGCGTCAAAAGTCTCCATGCGCTTGAATCCTTGAGATTCATAGTAACGAACTAGCCCTCCACTGCCACCAGCATAACAATCGAGTCGAAGTAAGGACACGCCGGCCTCGCGAGCCAGTGCGCGCGCTTTCTCCAGCAGAAGCGTGCCGATCCCCTTGCCGCTGGAAGCCCGGTCCGACGCGAGATATCTGACGTACAGCTCTGGCTCTGTCGCTGGCTGGACGTAGTGATTCGCTTGGCCGACTGTTATGGCACCAATGACGCCGTTGATGATGGAAAGCTCCTCGTCTTCTCCTCCTGATTTCGGGGGCGAGTAGTTGGTGTCAACGGCGATCCATGTTCCGCCTGACTCGGCGAGCTCTGTTGCCTGCTTGATTCTGTCGGGGTTGGTTGAGTGCCTCTCTGTGCCCCATTGTCCTGTTTGCCCTTTCTTTACGAGCCAGGCTGTTGCGATGTCCATGAGTCTTAGCATGGCGGGGACATCTTCAACAGTTCCTGGGCGCAATGTCACGCCGTCTATAGTAAAACTTTGGGAAGCGTTTCTGCAGAGTAAATTAGTTTCTTCATCACTTGTATTTGAGATCAATTTAGTTGTCTGACATACCCTTCGGACATGTTGTGTATGCTAGTAATAGAACAATGACTTGAATCCTGAAAGGCTTGAGATTTCAGAATAGCTTGGGTGCTCGCTCTGGTTTGTAGTGTCAGAGTCTGAACAAGTTAAATATGTTTTGTGCCAGCTGTTGAAGAACTAAGTAATGCCAGGCAACCGAGGCAGGAATATCTATATTGCAAGCACATGTATTCCAAGAAAGCATGAGTACGTACGTGTGTATTGGAGTGTGAACTCATACTCCTAGCGCTGTTCGGCCAATCATCGGGAGGGGTACCCCGCGCATCCATAGGATCTTCCAAAGAACCCTCTCGAACTCAATAGATGTACTATATTAGACTACTATACTGAACCTTGGCAAGGCATGCGTAATTGACTACTCAGCGTATGCGCAATCATTGTTCTCAATGTATGCGTAATAGAGTGACTGTTCGGCAGACACGTGGCAAAGACGTTGAGTCAAGGAATGAAGGATTTTGAGTGTCCCGCCAATCACCACTCAATCTAGGTATCTCAACAAATTTGAGGGATAGATGTCAAAGAATGCCAACTGTTGAGCTGTGTTTTGATGGGCCATCCAAGTTACATCTAACATCTTGGGTTCAGAGAGTCTGTGTACGCTGTATCGTAGAAACTCTAACATTCTTTCCAGATAGACAACATGTACCGCAGTTTGAACCGCAGTTTACATCGGCGGCGCGCCGTGAAGTCTTGATAGTTTAAGCTGCCTAATAAATACAGGCTGGTAGTAGTTGTATCCATAGCTTACTTCTACTACAGAAATTTATGCCTAAGCGGTGTTCCGGGAGGGGGCTGCCGAAACGGAGGTGATGATGCGGAGAGTGCTCCACCGTTGGAGCGGCGCCGGCGGCCGGAGTGAGTCCCGTTGGCCAAACCCTTGTGGTGGTGCAATTGGCACTTTATTTCGGCCCAACGATGTTGTCGGGATTAATTAAAGCCGTCGTATGAGTCTGGAGATCTTGATAGTATCTATTATTATTACTACTCTCTACTACTATCGCTACTTATTCCAGCCTTGCTGCTCTTTAGTAGTATCTGCTATGCTTGAGCAATAGGATGTCGGGTTGCTAAGGTACAAGATAGCTGCTACTTAACATCTCATATTCGACATGTCTCTCATGCGCACGGCACAAGCATTATGAAATTTTAACGCAGCCTCCTTCCAATGACTTAAAATATGACATGTGCCACAGTCGCGGTACGATGGGGTTGATAGTATCCGCCAGGGCCAATAAAGGATATTGGGGCAACATAAAAGTAAGTCTACAATATGCAACTAGGAATCATTACCAGCTGCTAGGTTTTACGCCTCCTCTCTCCTCCAGCTTGCTCTTATGATTAAACACCACGATGGCTCAATCAGCTGCGAGAGCTGGTTTAATGACAAGTCGTTCCATTTTGTTATCTTCTGAGAACTTCTCTGGCAATCTCACAGCTATGGTAGTAGAGTTTTCTGTATGGCTACCGTGTTGATGCGATTTTATCATGACTCGCGCACGACAAGCTGTTGTCACTACCTGGTTGAAGAAAAAGGGAGTGACTTGCCAGCCACCGGTGTCTACCATCATTGATACTCTTTCTGGTAACTGCTTCTGGCATCAGCTATTATTACAATTAGGAACATGAGATGCTAGATGGTCAAATTAAAGTGTTTTCTAACAAATCTCGTAAAAGACAAAGAAATACCGTAGAGTAGCTGCTGGCAAGAGAGCCACTATCTACCGCTCACAACACTATACAAACATATCTTGTCATCATTCTCTACCGTCTTTTCTCAATTTTCCGCGTGTTTCCAATCTCGAAGCACAAATCCTTCAAATGATTGTCATTGGCACCGTCAACAGGATTCTCACACGCATTCGCCACAATGGCCTAGAATCACGATAGATCCCCCAGCCAAAAGCTCATGCAGAAATTTCACAGTGACAGCAGGGGCATTCTGCCTACGAAAGACCAAAGATACTACCTCTGCCGTTTCTACCCGCGTCGTCCTGCCAGATTGTCACCCTCGGATCGCCTTCACAGGCCAAAAGTCGATTAGGAATAGCGAGGATGCAGCAATCGGCCAGCTTCGGGATGCAAGCGTCTCTCGGCCGGGCAAGGGTGCAAAATCTGCGAGAGGCACATCTCGGGTCTCGGGATCGAAAAGTGGCATGTTCCGACACGGATATAACATGGGAAACCCAGAAAAGGTTAAAAAAAATCTTTTCTTCAAATGTCAGGAGATCTTTAAGCAATTCCAGATCTATCTAATACTCCCCGCATTCTGGGCTCTGGCCCACAGACACATGGGAGAAGCAAGCTGGGGGTGGGATTCCCGACCATCGGTTCCGAAAAATCCCTTTGGGTGCCGGAACGCTCATCCAATAGGCCTCGAGGATCGGCCGGGACTGCGGTGTTTACCCCGGATCTCTTGCCATTGTGTAATACTGCCGCCCGAGCATCAAGTGGAGCTCGGCTTCCGTGATATTGCATCTCCATCTTTGACATTTGACTCTTGGCCGAGGCACCGCCTTGCTGCTCCGGTGGCACACACTCGAAGATGGACGATGAAAATGGTTGCGCCCCCTGCCCGGTCGGCAAATCTCTGGCTCTATTATTTTATGTTTTTTTATGCAAATGAACTCGGATTCATCACGTCACTTGCTTTAAACCCGATCAGCGCTAGGGCTTTCGTAAATTCGCACGTGGGCTCTTATCTCCCTTTGCCGCGAAGACCGCCAGAGCCCGAAAGAACCGGAGGACAGCCAAAGAAAAAAAAAATCCAGTGAGACCGCCGGACCCCATCCAGGCGTGGGGGGAAAGATCTCTGCCATTGGCGCCAACAGGGAGAAGAAGGGGGCCGCTACCATGGAGAGCTGCATGACGGAGATGCCAGCCAGTTCTGAACCGACGAATTATCCCCTGGCTTTTGCATCCCAGATGTGCTGCGGGCGACGCGATGCAGAGCGCCTTGACCCAATGGCGACTCGGCCAGGGCCACCGCTATGGAAAACCAGAGGGGCAGCACTTGTGTTCACATGATGATGATGTGTGTTTTTGGGACGCTGAGAAGGATGTGAAGGCTGGTGGGAGGCGAATCGCTGCCCGTGTGTCGTCAGATCCGTGGCCACGTCTCAGCCCACCTCCTGTGTCTGCTACCTCCCATGACACCCCCCTTGACGGCATGCCATTATCCATATCCATATCCATATCCATGACAATCTCTCTCAAGCATCCGTGCTCCCGATCTTGCGCGGGTCCCCCCCATGTTGTTACTGTAGGACGGCCGGGCTAGCGTCAGTGGCAGCACTCTGGAGGAGTTACGTACGTACGAGTACCTCCTTGGGATGTACACATTTCAAATTGCTGTGACACCAGTGCCGGAGCTTGGTGAGCATAAAGAGCACGTAATCCGCTCTTCCGTGAGATTCTTTCCTGCTCTTCTCTTCATTCATCATCCATCCTCTCCATATATATTCCCAAGCTTCTCTTCCTTTCATCTATCTCTCATCAAACTTTCCTTGTGAACAATCTCATCATACCACCTTGCTTCCTCGCCTTACAATCTTTTCCAAAGTCAATACTCTACAAATCTACAACATTCAAGATGTCTCTCGACTTTGCCCGTGCTGCTCTGGCTGAGCGCCGCCCTTCCTTCTTCCTCTCTCTGGCGCCTGCTACTTCTTCCTCATACCCGCAACCTGAGAACAGACGATCCTCCGTTGCCGAGGGCTCGTCTAGACCCCGACGAGCTTCCGTCAGCTCCCCTACCGGTCTCAGAGTCCTGAAGCTCGGCCCTGTCTACTACGGTGAACACATGGGCCAGAACAAGGACGACTTCTACGATGTCCCGTCCTCTCCTCCTCTCCCGGCCGTCACTCCCTCTTCTTTCCTTTCACTGGCACCGGCCACTTCTGCTTCCTACCCTCAGATGCCTGCCAGCAGCCCCGTTGCCCTTCCTGAGAGGCGACGATCCTCTTCCAGCTCCACCACCGGCTTCAGGGTGTTGAAGCTGGGCCCCGTTTACTGGGGACAGCACGCCGAGGATCACAAGGACGACTTCCACGACGTTCCCTCCTCTCCTTAGAATGGGAATTGCAATCAATTCAAAAGACAAAACACTGGGAATTAGCGATTGAATTTTTTATTTCATCATTTTTTTCTTTTAAACACCCCACGAGGGATGAAGCGAGCGAAGCTACGGTTATTATCAAGACACTAAAAAAAGTTTTCGGCAATACACACACAAAAGTACAAGCCGCTATCAAAATAGCGGAAATGACTCGAGAGACAGATTTTACCCTCTCCGCCGGCATTGGCGCCAATTGCTAGCGCCTGATGCACCTGGCTTGGCATATGTTATTGGAATGGATGGATGGATGGATGATCCGGGCGAATTGGGTTTCTTTTTTTCACTGGCGAATGATGAGAAAGATCTTCCAACTATGGAAAGAATGTAACAGTTTGACGGGGCTATTTTAGGTATCACCTACTACTAGTTTGCAACATTGTGCTACGGGAAAGCTTCTTGGACAGATTGGTTTATTAGCAAGATATGCAGTATGGAATCAATACACAAGAAACTCTTTGACCTAACGAACACGTCCCAACACCTTTTACTGTTGCTTTTGATCCTTTTCGTGGTGGTCATGTCGCCTCCCACTCTTGGCGTGGGACTGTGTCTCAGTTGGAGCGATGCTGTTGGTGCAATTGCGAGTGAATGTCAGTTTAAGCTTGAAATGCCGTGTCTCTGGTAACGTGAGGGAACGCTGATGTCTCTGCTTTAAGATTTCTGTGGCACTTTGGGAGCGAGACATTGTGGCGAGGCTGCTTGGCAGCCAGCGAATACTGAGACGGCTGGATGATTCACGGAGTTCGGAGTCCATGGTTGATAATGCGAGTACAGAGTGTATGACTTATTCGGCCTTGGTTAACATCTACATGCTGTACAGGTACCTTACGTAGCTCTCCGTGACCTCCGTCAAATATGCCAAAAAGAGGGCATAGCGATTCAGGGGTCCGGAGCCAGCTGCGTCGCTCACTAATACACCAAAAAGGATTGCTCCAGAAACTCCACGGACTCCTCCGTCCGAGGGGGATCCCAGATACGGCCATCCGGTTCCCATCCGGCTCTTCCACTTGACCGCCCGGTGATAGCCGGGGGAGCATGGCAAAGAAAATTATTTTCTTTTTTTTGTCTCGTGTCACATTCACTTCCCCGTATGTGCTGCAAGATATATAAGAAAAAATCTTCACTAGGCTGTGTAATACCAGTAGCGAGCGAACCAGCTGCTGGCAGTGAGAAAAAATGGTTCGCTTTTTATGCGAGCATAGCATGATGTGAGCGAGATGGATGGGACGCCATGACTGGATTGGGTTACCCCGAGGCCGGGATTCCGAGGCAATGGGAGATGGCAAGCATGCTGAGCTGCGAGGGATGAGGATCTGGAACCTCCGTGCATTGGGAGCTGTCTACCTAGTACAGTACCTTGTGAATGCATGTATGTTGTATGGATGGCTTGTATGTTATGTGTGAGAGCATGTCTGTGTGCTGCAGGGGGTTTCAATGCGGACGAGGGGAAGACAGTCAAAAGTGAAGAGTGACGAGATAAGCGGGGTATTCTATTCTATTCTTTTCATTCAGCTCCTTGATTCTGTCTTTTCCGGAGTTTTTCGGTGGTTGCTTTCATCCAACGGACGAGATGGTGATACCAATGGTCATCCTGGATACAAAGTACACAAGTCTGCCACACTGCAGCTAGATGGAACACGAAATCTAGAATCTGGTAGACTGTTTTGTTTTTTCACTTCGCCAAGTGCGGGGAGGGCGAAATACGTCGCGAATGGAAAAATCAACCCCCACGTCCAATCCTCGCCGTCCGTGTCTTCTCTTTCATTTCATTGTTGCTTGGCGGCGCCTCCCTGCCTTCGGGTATCGCTTCCCTGGTAAATCCGAAACGGCCGTCGCACAGGAGAGCAGAGAGAGGCAGTACGCCGTGGTTACATGGCAAACTTGCGGTGAATGAGAGGGGAGGGGAAGTAGATGCCGAGTAGCGAGCGGCTGAGAAGGCACATCTACGATAAGGACTCAACTGTAGTGGCTTCTTTTTTCTGCCAGGTACCACCACCAGCGGTTTGCTAGTGGCTTGGTACATGTGAAGCACGTATCCCAGGGATTTCAATGGCTCTTATGTATACCTACATAGGTATGGTACGTAATTGAGGATGCTGGTTTGGCCATGTCAAAAAAAAAAAAAAAAAAAAGTCATAAAGGAATTAAACCAATTAGAGAATTGGAAAATGCAATCCTACGCGTTAAAGTCGTTGGTTAGTAGGTACGTACTCGCGCTGGCAAAACGGCTCTAGCTGTAACTGTAACCGAGGGTGTGAAGGAGGAAGGAGGCAAGAAGGAGGCAGGAGTGACGGGTGACGGAGCGTCGGCGGACGTGCAACGGGGCAGGCACGTTGTGCAGGCATTGGCAGGAGAGGATTGGGGGCGCCAAGCACAATTCTGTAGGCAGCCGGATTTCTCACCATTCTCTCTTCTCCCTCATCTTTGCCTATCACGATCATCTGTCTTGTCCGTGGAACCTATACGAGCATCTGAATTTTTGCCGTTTTTGCCATTGACGTGTGCCTTGCAGCTGCAGTGGCGAAGCAATGGCCTGTACATGTACCGTACAGTAGCCATGCACATTGCTGGAGTCATCAAGCACGGAAATGCCCCGAGAGCTCCGTCATCAGCATCTTTGCTGCATTGCATTGATTGCGTCGCACCTCCATGGATGCCTCGGAGGGACAGGGACCTCGAGGGACCCTGATCTGATCAGAGGCCATTGACCCCACATGAGATCTGAGGAGCGAAAGGGGCCCTGACAAGCCTGACTCTGGCTAGTTGAGCTGCTGGAGCACCGGAGCCAGGACCAAGCTTGGGCCCTTGCCCCTGTCACGCGCGATAATGTTGCACAAAGTCGCCTCTGCCATCTCTGGTGATCGTGGCCTGGCCAGGGTGCTTAGCTATGGCCTGAGTTAGTCTCTCTGAATTCAGCAGTGCTACTACGAGTACTGCTACTGCTATTCATCATGAATACCCATTGACGGTGCTGGCTGCTGCAGACATGTGAGAGCCCTACAAGTACCAGCATGCAGACAGCCCTTTGAGGTGGATTCGCGGTAGGATTTTGATGACGGCATCCACCATCTCGATCTCGACTTGATATGCAAGCGCATCCTGCCAAGCTGCACTCCAAACGCTCCTACATTCCACGTCTCAGACTGGTGGCAATACAAGGTTGTTGGGAACCGTAGCTGATTAATCCGATCAAAGCATCACCTTGTTGGATTTTAGCAGCGAGCTTCACTATTCCATCTCTCAGCGAGGTCGATTTAATCATTCATCAGCTGAGTAAGAATCAGAGCTGTCACCAGCCACGCAAAGTTAATTCATTACGGCCATGTTATACTAAACCTTATCAAACATTTGCACAGGGCATCTTCAGATTTGACACATCCATTGATCTTTTCGGCCATTTGCCGTGATCTACGGGCAGCTAAAAATAGCGTCTATCATCTATCATGGAGAATCAATTCCGTGTAATGCCCGATGGCATATTTGCCTCCAAGCCAGATGTCTTCTTGCTTATACCAACGACATCAAAAGGATGAAATCTATTGCGTGAAGCCATAGTCGTCCAAAGATGAAACGATACAATGAGCTCTCGTCAAGGAGTGAGTTCCAAGACAAGTGAGCCGTATCAATTATGAATACCAACTCCATGTGGCATTTCTATCAGTATGCGCACCCGCATCGTTCATCCACATACCTCGTCTTGACAACGGTTATGTAGCCATTGGCTTCACAGCGTGAGCAATCTATCTTGCGAGGGGGTCCATTGTGACAATATGGGCAGTAGATTGAGGGGCCTTGACAGCAGTACACCCAGCACCTCCCCCGGCAAACATTGCACGACGCACGGGTTACCTCCTCGATTGCCATCTTGTACCAACCCTTACCGCGGCACTCTTCACATGTTGGATCTGGTTTTCGTTCGCGAGAACGGTCAGAGTCCCTGGACGATCCGCTCCGAGTTGAGTAGCTTCTGCTTGACCGGGGCATTATGAATGGCAACGACACTTTAGATACGAATAATCTGTCTGCAAGAGCGATTAGTGTGGCAACCTGAGGTTCTCGGAATTTGCAATCAAGAACTGCCTGACTTGAGGTTTAGATCGGGGTATCGAGAGAGTAGAAGCTTGAAATCGAGTTCATTTACACGCAAACAGCCCAGGATACTGACAATACTTATAGCCATGAACTTGCGATTTGAAGGCATCGACAGATGCAGTTTTGTGATGATATTTTGCATCTCCTCATAGCCGAACTGTGAGATATGTCGTTATTTGCTGCCACTGTTGTGTATCGTGACACTTGGGAACGGCTTCTAAATGGCTCCCATTGTATGCCGACATCTTGCAATACAGCGAGGCTAGCAATCGAGAATTCGGGAGGGGAGAATATGGAGCGCCGAGTCTGCATCTTTAGGAGTTACTTTCAAGACGCCCGTTTGTTTGCAGAAGATGGAGATGCTTTTGGCGACTGTGAGTTGTCACATGGGCTCTTGATGGAGCATTGACTCACACATGAACTGCAAGTACACGAGATGCAAAAATGAATATTGCACATATTAAAATAAAATTTTCTCACTAATGATGGTAAAGCTATAAAGGAAGAGGATATAAGAGTTGGGTTTGTGCCCCCTTGTGTTGTGGTGTCGCAGAGAAATCGACATACTGAACATCGGCCTTGGGCAATTTGCCTACTAACCTATACCGCTGCTGATAACGCTGTTTTGTCACTTTTGTTACTCTATTTTTAGGGAAAGTATCACCGTGGAATTCTGTGGTTGGACACGAATGGTCGTACAGAAATACGATATATGAAGTCCTCTATTCCTATCGTTTCCAATGTTTGTTATGAGTTTCAGTACGTCCACCAGTCTGTACCTGTGCTTGATCGGCTGGAGAGTAATGCGGTATCATATGCCCAATGAGTTTTACATGGCAGTACAGTTTTACATATAAAGATAATTGCCTTTCGCAAAATGTTCCTACCAAACTCTCGTATATCCTTCCGCTGAAAGACTGGCTCTTCCTGTCTTGCAGTTTGTCTCCAAGACTATCGAAAAATGACAACAGCATACCAATAGATAATTGTGGAGTATAAGCATTAAGCAATAGGGTAAAATATACGCCCAGAAAACTTGACCCAGCTATACCTGCCAGGCCACCACTCTTCTTCTCCTCTCAGGATCAATCACTTTCAAGATTGCCCTCCAGTCAATCTCAATCACTTCCTCGTCCTGCTTCTTCAAAGCATCATCATCGACCTCATCATTTCTCCGTCTCAGAAATGAAAATGAGCTGCACTCCTTTCCCTGGTGAAACTCACACCACGCCCGCTCATGCCTCCCCTTGACTCTCAGCCTCGCCTCTCTTATCCCCGGATCCGCCAACAGCCTGACCAGCCCTTCCAGCGGGGGCCTATCAAACACTCTCTTCTTCTGCCGCAGAAGCAGTCTCGAAGCCGAATGGGGCCTCTCCTTGGTCCCAGTGCCGTCCTCCACCACCAGGGTCAAATCCCCCAGCTCGCCTCTCACAGCCATGTCCTGTAGGAACGGGCCCAGATCCTCCCAAAGCCATCCTCTCAGCCTATCGATCCTCATCTCCAGCTTTCGTACCCTGCGCCTTGCGTCTTGCGACAAGAGGAGGGATCGGCCTCCGGTCTGTCGCAGCAGAAGCTGGCTCTGCGCCTGTTGCCTGCTGCTCCTTTCCACATCATCCGGCAGATCCTCTGCGGCGTCGTCGATGAAGTGCCTCACATGGGAGGAGTGGTTGCCCGTTAGGTCTAGAAGAAATGTGTTTGCCGGTCCGTAGAATATTGGGTGGGCGATGGCGTATATGGATGGGTGGATGAGGAAGATGGGCACTGGGTTGATGCTGAGGGAGCTGGCTGTGCAGGGACAGAGGGGGATGCTGCCGTCGTTTGGGGCTGTGAGCAGTTGCCTGAGGATCAGCGACAGAATGTCGACGGGAAGGTCGAACAAGTGAAGAGACTCGGGCATCGTGATATGATTCCAAAGAAGAGAGCACTCGAGGTTTATCGGTGCCCTCTTGGTTGCCTGTTGCGAGAGCTACGAGGGCAAATTGGCTGTGCAGCGTATCAGCCTAATGAGAGTAGGCGGCACGTTAGAGATGTCCAGGGCTTTGAAAGAAGGTTTCCTTTTGCACTATGTAAATGAGAAATGACATTTCATAAGTCCAAGATATTTCCAGAAAGATACTTGGGCAATACGACTGTGAAGATGGAGAATGTGGGGTGACTGCGTGCATGTTTTAGGCTGGGATTTGCCCTTCGGAGTTTAGAGCGCCGAGTGCGACGCTGAAGTCATTGGCCAGACGTCTGCGACCACCAAGTTCACGCATGAAGACACATATGAATGGTTTTAAATTACTTATCATTATGTACGAAATAAATTCAATTTTATTAAAAGAGTAAAGAAAAATGCTTTGCATAGTTGCATCATTGGGAAGAAATTTGGGTGTAGGAGAACATCAAGATGGTAGAGGAAAGAATTCTTGGCAGTACGACATACGATCACTATTTGAGGATAAGAGTACTAGAAGCGTGTTTGAATGTATATTCATCACGTAAGAATTGCGTCTCTATTGCAATAAAATTGCTACTTGAGCGATTATCGGAAGTATGTAGCCTGTATATAGCCGTGACAAATAAAGTAGATGAAGTATATCCTCTTAGCTGAGATGCATTATGGAGTCCTGAATGCGACTACTATGCGCATCAAGGTCGAAAGACACTCAAACAAGTGACGTGAGCTTGCCGTTGACCATTTCCAAGATTTTTTTAACGAGTTTCATCCTATTCCATAGGTCATCAAGCCTCCTATTGCATTTGTTGATGGTCTCGTTGTTTCGTTTGTTATTCTCCCCCTGCTTGCGGATGGTTTCTTCAAGGTTCTCAACTCTCTGCATGAGTTTCTCGACCGTTAGCTGCAAGTCCATCCTGGCCTGCTGCTCAACGCGGCAAGACTCTTGAGTACGAGCACAGCAGTCTCTGAGCGATCTGATTTGCAAGTCGTGGAGCTTTACGCGATGGAAGTCATGAGCACAAACTTGTTGGTTGGCCAGATGCTCTTTGGCTTTCCCATTTTGTTCTTCGTTCTTGTCCTCGTTATGCTTGTTCTCGTCTTCATTGCCGTCTTGTCCGTCTTTATCTTCATCTTCGCCTTCATCTTCGCCTTCTTCATAGTATTCAGCTTCATCGTCTCCCTCGTTCTCGTTGCCATCATCAATCTCAGAGGTCGTGGCAGAACATGCGACTTTCGGTTTCTTTTGAGGTTCGTTCGTGAGAATCGTGGTCTTTCGTTTTGCCCCCGTCAACGGAAACGTGGCAAAGAATTCCATCTTGCGTTCTCTGATGCTTGGTTTGGGCTATAGAAGTTGTAATGCTTTGTACCTTGTTATTGGATTGAAATGTCTTTTCGGAGACAAAAAGCCTGGAGCTTGGTTTGAAGATCGATAAAGAGTTGAAAAGGAAGAGAAAGTTGGAGAGGAAAAAGCGCATCATGTTTGAGTAGAGGAGGCATGGGAGCCAGTGGCACGTGATGCATAGAACTGCTGGCAGTTGTCAGTGGTTTCTTGAAGCTCGTGTCAAACGGAAGAGATAATTGACAAAGGCCCCATTTGTATAGAAGTAAAACATTGCATGCTCGTACGTTCACTAAACAATATTCCAGCCGAAACTATTCAATTGGCCGTAAAGTAAGCATCCGTATTCACCGCTAGTTGCCATAAATTGACGTGTTTACATAGCCGTCAAGGACAACGTGAATCAATCGGTTAGGCATCACTGTTCCACACAGAGCAGTCACACTATCAAGAGTGAATGACTCCTGCTGCAGCTTTCCGCCTCTATTACTGCACACAAATATAAATTCAGGCCCCCTTTCGAACATCCCATCTACTCTTTTCTTCCTGTTTTCATCATCGCAAAATGCTTCGCATATACTGTAAGCATCATGACTCCTCCTACTTAGAGTCATGTGAGTGAATCGTCCAAAAGCTCGTTTTCACGGTCAAATTGTCGCTCTAAAATCAGCCATAGTCATACTATGTACCGAATTTACTATACCAACTTCACCACATACAGGATGTTGCGCTTTTGAGTCTTCAGGTGGACGAGAGCCAACACTCTTGAGATATTACCCGATCCAATGTTCACTCAATAGTTGACTCCGTCTGGTGTGGTAACGAGACTACACGACAAAACGTACACACCTAATACAGCGCCTGGTTTGACAGCCCTCCGTTGTCCGAAACTCGGACCCTTCTGAAGCATCTGGCCAAGGTCTACAAGCGTGCCCGCAAGTGTTTCACCAAGCTCTAGGAGGCTGAAGAGGGCTACGCTGCATCTCGTTTCTACTTCGCCCAAAAGGAACGAATGACCTACATCATGTTACACAATGCCCGAGTGAGTGGAGCGCCAGCAGTCCACCGCCACTTGTGCAGGGTTTGGCAAAACTGCCAAGTCGAGGGAATGAGAGGCGTTGACGTCCTCGATTTCTTGATGGAGAGGAAGGAAATTGATTCGACTCACACAAGTGTCTGAGCTTGATTCAATCGTTAACTCTCTCAAACAACAGGAGCTTGCGATTGAGCCTCCATACAACGAAAGCAGTCAAAACAACTTCAGTCAGCCTCAACAACAGCTGGTAGCTTTATTTCTGCCGTAACTATTTTACCACCAACAATTCACCGCCTATGCTTTATTTAATCTTGCGGAAACACTTGTGGTTCTATTTCTTTTCTTCCTTTTCTTCTTTAGTCAATCCTACTACTGGCATACGACGCATCGGAGAGGCACGACTACTATGGACGAGATAAAGAGCCACAAGCCACTACGTCTTAACTTTTCAGAGCTGAATGTCCAACCGGGAAACAAAAGGCGGTTTGAGGCTTTAAGATCTGCCTAGGCCTACCGTCGAAAAGATCTTCTCAATTTTGTCTTGCCATTCTAAGCTTCGCCAACGTCGTCAACATCATTATAGCTTCTAAGATCAATTATACCACGACGATGCCCAAACCTTTGTACGAGTGCGCGTCGCCACACCTCCCGCCTATTCGGATTGACCTCAGTGATATTCCGATTGATTACACTGACGAGCAATATTTACATGCTCGGAGCGCCGTCGAGGCGTACTGGAAGCAGGCCTATAATATGACAAAGGTCGAACAGATGGAATATCAACAACTGATCAAGGAAGAGCTGTACAAGAAGGAAGGAAAACTGGTAACCAGACCAAGCGACCACAATGTGTATAGAGCCTGCCGAAAGAAGCCGAATTGGGCAAGGTTTATCTTTATCCATGCAATCTATGACGCCTTGGAGTTACTTGATAGACACCTCCTGGAGGAACACCACTATACCAGCGTCGACTGAGAGGACCTGACGTCGAATTATCGTCAGCATCGCCCAGCCCCAGTCGAGGCAACCAAGCGAAAGAACGCAGAGGGGCAGTCGGTCCCGAATAAAAAGCAGAAGGCAACGCAGAAGACGACAGCAGCAGCTGCTGCTGTCACCAACACAGCTAGTAGTACTGCCATTGCCACTCCAGCTCCTGCACCAGCAACGCCTATGAGACCTCCCCCTGAGTCGTCGACTGTTTCATCGGCGCCATCGTCTGCTGTGCGCCCCCTTCCGTCGTCGACTGTTTCGTCGGCGCCATCGTAGATGGATGAGAATGTAAAAGGGGAAAGAGATTGTCACTGTGAAAGAAAGAAATTGGACGCTCAAAACCTCTAGTTCATGCAGCTCCTATCACAACAAACAATTGTAGATTAAGGCAGGGAAGAGGACTTTAAAGAGAAAGAATGACGGACAGACTTTGTTTCAGTATGGAGTTAGGGACGCATAAGGTGACTAGCAAGGGCGCCAGCATGGCAAAGTCATTTGAGATACTCTATCATGACTTGCGAAGAGAGGGATTAAGTGCGTCAGGATTACAAGGTCATTTAAGAAACTGCATCATAGCTTGCAGACAGGAGGAATAAGATATTAACCGCGAGTAAGCATCTCAGCCTCATAGTAGCAATAGAGTGATCATCCTTCGTGGAATAAAACTGCAGAGCAAGAGTCCCTGGAAGAATTAGCATGCCATCAAGCACGAATAGTATCTTTTGCATTCTCAGCTTTGATCAGGTATTCAGCACTGTAGAGGCTTTCTCAAGCGCATTACAGTCGTCGTCTCCTCCCACTAAATATTATTTCCAACAGCTTCCCACAGAGTGCCACCGTCGATGGGGCGTTTATGCAATCGTTATGGAGAGGCCAAGATGTGATCCCTTATTATTATACATTGGATCCTGAACCATGGGTCAAGTAGACGCTTCTGCTAGGCTTCATTAGTATGAGACTTTTGCCATCAACAGCATGCCCTCGATACGCTTCGTCAGTTGTACGCCGCGAATGCTCAACACATGACAGAGAGGGAAGCATACGATGAATACCTCACACTGAGGAGAATCTACGAAAGCACCAGCCTTGCAAACGTGAACAAAGTAAGAGAACGGAATGAGAGAAAGTATTGTGAGTTATCTGAGCCGGTACCGGCCGGATGTACACCACGGACGCTCTTTCAAGGCTACTAGTAACAGTTTCGTTTAAAATAATTACTATCAGTAATGAAAACATAATGTTATAAGTAAATATTAGAGAAAGTAGCTAATAGTAACGGATAGTAGCAATAGTAGAAGATAGTAACTACAGTAAAAGGCGAAATGGGTGTCGCGGATTGACTACCTACATGTACGTAGATAACGATCATAACAAGGATCCACTTTTAGTCGGATTGTGACTTGATCCCACGCTCGTGAGTCTCCAAGGGAGGATTCCGAGGGCTCTTCGGTCGCGGCAGAGGTACTGCAATCTGGCCAAACATGCTCTCCCTCGATTCAGAGTATCTTTCACCGCAACGCTAAAGAATGGGGCCCAGTGCTGTCACAGCAGAAGGCTTTATACGCCCTGAGTGAGTGACCAATCGTTAAATCAAGCGCCTCAGAGTTCTAATATATTTCCAACAGGAGAGGCGGATGTGGCATTTGCGGAAGAGAGACCAGTCGCCGCTGTCAGGCCTGCAGCCTGGATTGGTTCTGCAGTCAAGAGTGTCAAGATCAAATGTCATTTAATCATCTCACCTTGTGTTCGGCCCGCTCGATAACAACAGCTGACAAACTCTGGCATTATGCTGTTGGGGATCGAATTCCTCAAGACTCAGAGACGCGTGAGCATTTTGGATTCACTCGGTGCCGTGGCTGGAGAGATGAGAGTCAGCTCCTTGGCCTTTACCAAGGCCTTATACGTGTTCTGGGTATTCAGGCTATCCAGCTTAACGAATGGCGCGAGAGAGATATCCTCGTAAGCAAAATTATAGAGGCATTTTCTGAATTAGCTGAGAATGACCGTGAAACCTACTTCTCGTGGTTCCTTCGAAACCAGCACATCCTTAATAACTTAACTTCACCTCTTCAACCCACTGACTGGCAGATTAGTAGTCAGTTTGATGAAGACTGGCGAAGACTGGAGGTGGCCGAAAACTGGCGAACACTGGCTACTGTAGTTTTTGCCTTTTTCTTCTACTTTCTTCTTTATATTGTGGTTTTCCGTATTGGTATAAATGCGATTGCGAACTTGATATGGGGTCTCCTGGATTTTTGTTTAAATTCGAACTTGGTATGGGGTCTGCTGGATCTCGGTTTATTTTATTATTGTATGTTTATTATGTGAAACTAGGGTCCTCTCAATCATCTACGTAACCTTTTATTGATAAATGGCTATTTATTGAAGCGTGTGGGATTGACATGTCACTCTTGGTCTTTGGAGTTGGTATATTTAAGATCGATGCTAATTTTTAGAGAAATCCTGATCAAGTATCGTTTTCTTTTTGCATGTATATCATCAAGCTATATGCTATCCTTCACTTGTTATTTTGCCTTTTTTTCCTTGCTACGACTGTTACTTCGTACTTTAGAGGTACCGTTACAAATTACACAATGACATAACCAACATGTGAAAAATCACTTCCTGGAAGCACGCATGCTACAAAAGTTAACTGAGGTATTAATTAATTAATTAATTTATTTATTACGCCCGGTAGAAAGTCTAAAAGGGCCACTATGAACCTATGGCCAGTGTACATTCTGAGGTATTATTGTTTTGAGCATAAGTAGCTTCCTCTTTACTAATACACATATGGAAATACAAGATGATCCACTTGGTATTAATTTTTTTATCTTTTACATTGTACAGTATACTTCTATAAAAAAACGAAACTTGCCAAAAGCCATACATGTCAAGTGGCGAGCATAAGTAGCTTCCTCTTTACTAATACACATATGGAAATACAAGATGATCCACTTGGTATTAATTTTTTTATCTTTTACATTGTACAGTATACTTCTATAAAAAAACGAAACTTGCCAAAAGCCATACATGTCAAGTGGCGATGCCCTTGCCGTTAAATATATAGTACTTGGGCAATACAAGGCCTAGCGCCGTACTAAACCAGCCACAATTAAGCATAGATTCGCGACACTCATTTCGCCTTTTACTGTAATAGCAGCAGATAGTAGCGATAATAGCGGATGCTACCCGAAAACAAAAGGAGGCAGATACACTCTCTCACCCTTCTCTCCAGTAGCATCTCTATGGACTTCTAAGCTCCCGACTCATCGATATTGTGAAACTCTATACCTCACCATCATGTCCTATTGCTTCAGCACTGCAGCAGGAGGAGGCCCTAAAGGAACATCATTCACCGGCAAAGCATTCTCCTCATCCGCCCTCTTGTTGAGCTCCTGCACCGAATCAAATCTGTCGCCTCCATATGTATGGCCGGGGTATGCAGTATACACTGTAGAGTCGTTCACTGGCCCGGGTGTCACGTTGGCCATGTTATAAAAATCGGGGGGACTGTTTCCATGTGCCGCAGAGGCTACCTTCCGTTCATGTTTCCGTATCACTCCTTTGAACAAGAACTGTCAAAGATTTGTTAGTATCATTGCCTAACTGTACTATATTGTTGAAGCAACTCTTACTTTTTCGTATGCTCGTGGCTGCAGGCCCTTGTTAAGTCTTAGCTGGAGATTGATGGCGAGGATCACGTGGAATATGATGATTGCTGCGATGATAGCCACAATAATGTAGTACTTTGTATAGGAGTTCTGATTTGTTTGTTAATAACATGGAAATCATTCAGTGCTGGGAAACTTTACTCCTTCTCTAACGTAGATAAGCACGTCGTTGTGAATCAGTGAGCCGAAAGGCACATGCTGATTTCGCGCCTTGGGCGCTGTGAATACCATTCCCGGCATAGCCACCACTGTTGTCTCTTCTGGCTCAAATCGAAAAAAAAGGCCGTGAATTGGTATATAGTATCTAGCTGTCAAGCGCGTATACAATAATGCTAGAAGGGGGACTGCTGTATACTAAATACAAGTTTGCAGGGCTACATATCGCAATGGCATCAACCAATGGGCGGCCCTTGCTTCTCCCTGAAGCGGAAAGAAAATTTAAAAAAGAGTCATATGGCAATTATGTGTCTAGCGGGTGGCGGAGCATGAGAGTCTGTGCTTTTGTATTCTACCAAGGTCCATTTTGGAGATTTGTTTGAAGATGTCTTGAACAAGACGAAAGACGACTGCTTCGATATTGTCGCCCTAATCTTGATGGTTTAACCAACTTCTTCATAGTCCATTTTTCTTCAGTTTTATACATAAATAGTTAAATTAATATAATGTTTTTGATACATATTCTACAATGATGCTCAAACATCGTGAGATGGTGTCTCTAGAGTATATCCGGCTAAGTGGGGGAGGTGATCTGAGCCAGGGGCTAGAACTTCATTTTTCTTTGGTAACCAACAAGAAGCCGTCTGACTCAGATAGCTCCAGCTATTGAGAAGCATAAATCTTTACTTTTTTAAAGTATACTCCACGATAGACGGAGCACGACGTTGGTGGCACTAAGGAGTTTGTACTAAGCCTCCTTGACATAGAAAAGCAAAGAAGAAACACTTGTAGAGAGCCGTATCATTCAATAGCCCTCTTGTAATCGCTAGATACAGATACTATCAAAAAGAAGGGCACCGCCGCTGTAATACTTTTGCATCCTGTAACGCCAGCCATAATATATATGTACGCAAAATCTGCCTATAAACCCATCCCTCCTCCGGCCCAGGCGGGAAAGGCATCCTCGGGGTTAACGGCGTTGCCTTGCGGTTGCCTCTGGTCTTGACGCTCCGCCTCGTTGTTCTGGACATGCTGCTGTTGCATTCTTTGCCTCCACCACAGGAGCAAGACAAGGGCTCCCGTAATGCCTATGATAAGGGCGCTCTCGATAACTCCGTCTAGAGGGTCCTCGCCGTCATCTCCGATAGTGCCATCGTATATGTCATCATAGTAGTCCTCGTCATACAAGAGTTCATCGTCCTCTAGGAAGTTGGCAATCCACTCTGATAGCGACCAGTCCTGCTTTTTCTCTGTACAACTTGTCAGTAAAAATCTTTGACTCCCGTCTCTCCGTTTTGTGATTAAACTTACTCGGCTCGTCTTGAATGGAGTGGATTGATCCATTAATCAACGTGTTCCAAGCACTTCGTATCCGAAGCTTAAGCAGTCCAAGGGTAACGGGGAGGTACGCTTCATCATTAACCGCCAACGCATGGTCGTAGAATCTCTTGGCAAGATGGAAATCCTGTGTCAGCCCGACGCCATTTTCGTGCATCCAACCCAAGTTGAACAGCGCTTGAGCGCTTTGCGAATAGTCGGAAGCGCCCGTATAGCACTGAACAGCTTTGCCGATATCCCGCTCCGCGCCAATACCATAAAAGTAGTAGTCGCCCATCTTGACAAGGGCGTCGACGTTTGCTTGCCTAGATGCCCGTGTCCAGTAAATCAGGGCTAGTGCAGGGTTATCGAGGAGCCCGGATTTGTCCTTTCGTTTGCGCAGCAACTCAGAGAGGGGGAGTTTGGATCGAATCGTGTCGAGGACATACGCAACATTGGTCTGCGCCTTCTCGTAACCTTGCTCAGCCGCCAAAAGATATTCAAGAAATGCGAGGTCGTAGTCTCCAGCCTCATATGCGTCGTTTGCGTCTGCCCACGACGAGACAAGGGGCTCTGCTTTTTCGGCCACGCTCTTGTAGTAGCTGAGCGCCATGCTGCACAGCTTTTCGCGACCCAGACCGTGGAAGACCAATTCTGCCAGATAATAGTTGGCCTCAATGTTGCCATAACGAGCAGCTAACTCAAAGTAGTTGTTGGCAATGCGAACATCTTCAGTGCCGCCTTGGTCGAGGTATAACTGTCCCATTTGGACTTGCGCCGGGGCATAGTCGTGGTCAGCGGATACTCTGAACAACTCCACGGCTTTGACCACATTCTCCTTCACGCCGTAGCCGTGCAGATACATGAGTCCCAAGCCATATCGTGACAGCGCATCAGCCTGTGAGTCGCCGCGGTCAAACCATAGCTTCGCTCTGTCAAAATTCTGAGTCACTCCGTCCCCCCTCAGATACATCCGGCCGAGGTAGCCGGCCGCCTTGCCAGCCAGTTTCTCAATGCCTGATTTCGCATTGTCTACAACGCGTCCATTCCTCCAGTATCTCGATGCAACTAGTAAGAAATATTTCCTGGCCAGCTCGTAGTCGTGGTCTAGCCCTCGCTGACCCTCGTAGTAGATGCGTCCCAGGTTGAATGAGGCCTTTGAATCGCCCTTTTGAGACATGAGATCCAAATACTCAATGACATCGCCAATGGCAGCGTTGGCATCCGAGTTGGGACTAGGCTTGAAGGCATTCATGCCGGCGCTTGAAGCACTTGCTCCTTCTCCATATAGCCCACCGTCGTCATCTGCAATGCGCCATGCCTGAGATACCCACGACATTCCACCTGGGGGGCCAGAACGGTACCACTCGATGGCCTTGTCTGCTACGCGCTTGTAGTATTTGACGGCAGTCTCACAACTTTTGGTAGCCCCAATGCCTGCTAGATGGCGGAAGCCAGTGGCCATTTCGGCTCTGGTATCTCCTCGAACAGCGGCGAAGGTGTAGTAGAGGAGCGCTTTGCCTTGGTCTCGAGGGACAACATCGCCAATACCTGTTGAGTAATACAACCCAAGCATGTACTGCGCTGTGGTATTTCCGTGGCTCGATGCCAACTGGTGATAGTACTTGAACGCAGCCTTAAGGTCTCTGGGGTGGCTGTAGTTGCCAAAGAAATTGAACTCGGCAAGGGTATACAAAGCATCGGAGTTGTTTTGGTTGGCAGCCTGCTCGAGAAATTCCACAGCATTCAACAGGGGACCGCTGAGCGTCGTCTTCGATTGTGATGGCGCAGTGACGGGTCCGGTTGGGATGGTCCTGAGAAGCAGGCGCAGGACTGAACCGAATATTCCGGACGACTCTCGCCTTCGTCGAGGTGGTCGTGGGATCTTTCGGAGCTCGGCAAACGCTGCATCAACGAAATCGTGTCCTTTGGCCATGTCAGCGTCTTCCATTGCAGCTTTCGCATGAAGAAATGGCTGCATACCAGGCTGCGAAAAGGCAGCACCTTCCTGCCCTCCTGCAGCGTCTAAAAAGGATTCAACCGCATGTTTATCAGCACCGGTTTGCGCCGAGGCGTCGCTTTGGCTGCCGAGAGGTTGCTGATCGGGGGAGCTGATGACGGCTGAGGCCTGCGCAAGCACTGAGACAACCCGCGTGAGCTTGAATCCAAGCAATGGACAATCTGGCGGAGCAACTTACGGAGTAGCCAGGCTATCCAGCCTCTCATTCTGGGCAATTGCTATGTGCCTATGTTCGGAATAGAAGCCCGCGGCATGGCTATCGTGTAGAAAAGAGTAGGCGGTGCTTGTGAGTCGCAAGATGTTGCATCCGATCCAATTCGGTATCGTACAAGCTGTCCACTACTCGGAGAGTAATAGGTAAGCTTCCGCTTCCCATTCCGCGCCATGGCGTGAGATGACTAATCACTCCTGTACTGTATCAGGAACTGCCTGACTGCGTGTGGCGTCATCGCCGCAGCCGGCACGTGTCGCAACGGCGTGAAGAAGAGCAAAAGTTTACGTCAAAGACGCGAAGAAAAAGCCACTGCATGCATGATGAAGATGGCCGCATTATGCACGTCTGCTGCCCAATATACAATCTTTTTATGCCTCGTCACGACCTTGCATGATGTACCAAGAAACAGCTGCACAAGATCAATGGCGAGCTGCGGGTTGGAACAGAGATGCCCGGCGAGGTGGGGCCGATTCGGCCAGGGTCTCCCCCAATACCCCAAGCACTGGCTGAGATCCAGTGGCGCTGCCAGGCGTCTCATGCGCTGAACGGACCAGACTGTACAGAGCCCAGAGCACAGAGCGCATTGGAGGCACTGGCTGGCGAGTTCTCCCTGCCTGGAGCTCACAGCGCTAACGCCGCCACTTTTCAGCCGTCACGCGTGAAAACTCAGGGTTGCAGCGCGTTAATGGCTGCCCTAGCCCGCGTCGGAAGACGCGCTTCCTGGCAGCTTTTAACTGCCCAGCCATCCATCAATTCCCGTCAAACATCTTGCACGCATTGACTCGGTTGAGGCTCTTAGAAGTTTCATCCCCTTTTCTCTGCCTCTCTCAGGGTCTATTCTTGTACCTCTCTCTTCAACATTCGAATATTCCCGCCAATTCCTTTCTCGTGGCTTCAATCGTCAGTCCGCCGGCTGTTGCTGCATATTCCCTCTTTCGACGACTCAGCCGCCCAACTCCACTTCTCCACAGCCTTCAATCCCGCACAATGTCGAATCTCAAGAGAAAAGCGGCCTCGACAGGCAACGAGACGGAGGCCAAGAAGACAAAGGCCAATGGCAGCATTGCTTCCTTCTTCGGGGCCGTCCCAAAGCCTGCCGGAACCAGTGCAGTTTCTGCTTCTCCAGCCGCCAGGTTTGACAAGGCAAAATGGATTGAAGGCTTGACTGCCGAACAGAAGGAACTGCTCAAGCTCGAGATTGAAAGTCTCCATGACAGCTGGCTTGCATTGCTCAAAGATGATGTAACCACCAAGGAATTTCTCGAATTGAAGAAGTTCCTAAACCGTGAGACAGCGGCTGGCAAGAAATGGTTCCCTCCAAAGGAGGACGTCTACTCCTGGTAGGCTGCCCAACGGCTTTCTTTCACATGTCACATAGCCTAACATGTCCAGGTCTCGCCATACCCCATTCAACGAAGTCAAGGTCGTCATCGTTGGCCAAGACCCTTACCACAACGTGAACCAGGCTCACGGCATGGCCTTTTCCGTCCGACCGCCCACTCCGGCGCCGCCTTCGCTCAGAAATATGTACATTGCTTTGAAGAAGGATTACCCCAGTTTCGTTGAACCAGCGAATAGGGGTGGCTTGCTGATACCGTGGGCCGACCGAGGCGTATTGATGCTCAATACATGTCTTACTGTCCGTGCCCACGAGGCCAATTCACATGCCAATCGTGGATGGGAGCGTTTCACACAAAAGGTTATCGATCTCGTCGCCCAGAAGCGGACACGAGGTGTCGTATTTATGGCATGGGGAACACCAGCGAGCAAGCGTGTACAAAAGGTGGACAAGCAACGCCATCTTGTGCTCCTCAGTGTTCACCCTAGTCCTCTCAGTGCATCTAGGGGATTCTTCGATTGTGGTCACTTCAAGTCGGCAAACGAGTGGCTTGTTTCTCGATACGGTGACGATGGTGAGATTGACTGGGCATTGAGGCCTGACAATACGACCAAGAAGGCTATCAAAGAGGCCCCCAAGAAAGAGTCCAAAGAGGACGCAGCGGCCTCCACGAACGGAGAGGAAAAGAAGACAAAAGAGGAAGACTCAGAAGAAGACTCCTTGAAGAAGCCAAAGGGTGATGCAAAGACCAACGGCGAGTCCAAGGCAAAGAAGCCTGAACTCGACGATGACGAGGATGTCGATTCCGATGAAGAGGCGGCATTAGAAGAGGCCCTTAGAATTGCGGAAGAGAAGATTAAGAATTAAACAGCTTACCTAGAGCTATTGGGTGGGAATTCTACGAATCGGGGAAGAGCGATATGTTCATGACTTTTGTCAGTGTATTTACGAACTATAATGGCAACTCAGGTGACGCTATCACAGGTAGCGTCAGCGGCGCGAGGTTTGGGACTTCAGATTGAATTACTTGTATAAGAAACGAAAATGACTTGAGACTGACAACTTACGGGGCTATCAAAAGAATACATCGTATCGAAATTTTGTCCCAAGTGCTACTCTTGACGTCTTGTGGCACTCGATAGAGGCAGGCAAGGGTTCGGCTGCCGAACAATTTCATAATCTCCAGGGCTACAATGATTTCGCCTACGGGGCACGGATTCTTCCACACAACATACAGAGTGCAGCTCCATATGTCGGTAGGTATGACGCTGGGTTATAGTATTCTGTAACTAATTCAGAGATAACCTAGCCAGAGATCCTAGGCAAGGCAGGCCGTTTATCTGATGTCAATTTCGTATTTCGATTATGAAGGGCGCGGTTAGCCGTCGCTTCGAATTGACCACGGGTAACGGCCACCTATTCAGCACTCAGAGAATTTTATTCAATAGCTTCCCGCAGAGCCGGGACAACGGCCGGCCTCTCCCGTCATGTAGGTATTCTCTTTCCAAGCCTTGGTTACCAGGAACCCAGCAAGCAATAAAGCAGGGGGCTGAGATAGCGCGAGGTAACCAGCTGAACATCCTAGCCATCACGCTCCGTACCCGAATAAGAGCTTCGAGGTGTAAAAGTATATGGTGTGCGCCTCTCAAAGCTAGCCTTTTCGGCAACGACAGCCTTGCCTGTGTGTTAATTACTCTCGCTTTGTAATAATCACGGTCGAATTATAGGGGCTCTTCTCTTCCGGGGTAAGATTTGTCTTGTCAACGTTGATGTGGCCACCATCTACGATGCTCAATCTCAATCTCTTGAGCTGGAATACAGGCATTTCTACGCGTACAGTATGGACATACTAGCCTAAATTGTACACAACCGACAAAGTTGTAAGTCAATTTACATCAAACGGCGTCTCTTGATAGGATGGGCAACTCGCAGCTTTGCACCGAGTAAGAAGCTGGATGCTGACAGCCCTAATGGTAGGCTGAGGATTTGTTTCAAGAGATGCTAGCGCAAGCAATCAAACAATATCGCCAGTGGCCCAAGCTTACCCAATCCCTGCCTCGTATGATTTCATGTTTACGGAGCAAGATTCCCGCCCAAGTACTTGCATCAAGTTACATGTACTCCGCATGGAGAAAGCTGTTCGCACCTTAGTAAGATCAGATACCCGACTCAGGCGCCGTAATATTGGGGCAAAGGTGCAGGTCTGAGACAGGACAAGATAAGCCGCCGTTAGACAAGTTGGTGTGCATGTGGCGCTGGCATTGCGTCCTGCCTAGCAGCTGTAGCATGAAAAACATGGAGTACTTGCATCTGCATGTGCCCAATCCAGCTTCATGNGGTAGTACGAGTAGTTACCTGTAAAAACTTGGACACCCATGTACACACACGAGTGATAGAGGTGATGAGCTTTTGTACGGAGCTCCAGCTGGGACGCCCAATGGTCTGGCTTCATTTAAATTTCAGGGTTAGGCCGTCCGCTGGCTCCCGGGGCAGCCATGTTTGGCGCCCAGCAAGTACTGGTACTCGCAAGTTTTTGACAGAACTGGGCATCCGCCGCCAAGGTACAAGCATCATCTCTGTTCGCTACGGCGTAAAGACCATTCAGAGTGGTCATAGCAACCCCCACCATTGTCTCGGCGAAGGCTGAAGCCACTACCGCCTCCAGGCACAAGTACCGGTACTTGTTGCGATGCAGCTCCACCAAGCGTTCGTCTCTATCGTATCGCATCGCATCAACATGTCATGGAATCATCAATACGTGTCAATACTTTCTGCATGTATGTAGGCACATGCATCGACAATGGAGTGGCACCTTGCGCTATCAGACTATCAGGTACGGTACAACGCACCACGGCCAATCGCCCAAGTCTTGGCCCGGCACCAAACATCCATGCCAGCAGGACAGGAACAGAGCCCAATTGGGCCTTTGTGACATCAAGGTAACCAACACCGACTGTGATGCTAAACCAAATCAACCAGCACAACCACTCACTGCAGTTGGCCTGCCGGCAGTAGCTTCGATGCCCGCCGTCGCCCAAGCAAAGTACCTTTCCGCAGTGATCTCACCGAGAGAGTACCTGGCCCCAGCTGGCGCACTCGCGCGCTTCCCACCAGACAATTTAGCATCTAATCTTAGTCGCATAAAGACCCGTAGACTGGCCCCTGGTCTGGTCGCTGGTCTGGTCGTGTCGCGCCCCTGAAAGGCAGACGAGCAAAAAGATTCCCACCATCTTCTTCGCCATCGCAAACAAGCGAAATCATCCTCTTCTTCAGTGTGCGGGACGGCGTCCCTTCTTGAGGAATCGTGATCACGCCTTTTGTGTGCGCGCTGGCTGCTTCCCCTCGTTGAAAGCTTCACTTCATCCGCTTCAACAAGTGCCCCTCCTTTCTTTCGTTTCTCTCTGTCGCCTTTGTTTCTTATTCAAACCCGCCCACGCACTTATACGACATTCGCAGCGCGAATTGATTGCCTTCTTCTTCTCTCCATTTCCATTGTCGAGGCCGGTGGTGTGATTGGCTTCTCGGCAAGCTCACATCGCTTCGCCTGGGCCCTTCGCCCCAGACTCGGCTTTGCTTTTTTCTACTTCTTCTGTCTGCAGGCTATAATCCACCGCTTCTTGACAAAGCTGGAATCTAGCAGCAGCAGCAGCAACTTCCTAACAGCATATTTCTTTCCTTGGATGATTTATGCCAATCGTTGCATCGACAGCCCATTCTCCAGTCGCTGATAGAATTGCCCAAAATGCCTGGCATCTTCTCTCGTCGCAAGAAGGACGCAAAGTCCAAGAAGAACGGACTCGACGACGCAGATTTACTTCCGCAGAAGAAACAATGGGACGATGCTTGGACCCGCAAGACGGTTGAGCCCGAGGAGATTCGGGAGCTTCTGCACGGCTGCTGTGAGGAGCTCAAGTCGCGAGGTAGGTCATTCACCAGCGCTGGACGTTGGGCAGCTTGTCACGATTCTAGTGATTTCTTGCACATTTACCTTTGACTAACCATTGCGCTGCAGGCCTCGATCATCCATTCTTCCTACTCCCTTTCCGACCGACATCGAACCCCAGTGCCGTCCGCACGTTTATTCGAAACTTCTTCAGCCAAGACCCTCCGATTAGCGGGGAGATGCTGCTCCAGGAGCTGCGCATGACAGAGCCCATGGTACGTATCTCTGTTTGCATGACAAAGTGAATTGCTCACAAAAAGTGCAGGTCATCTCGGGAGTCGTAAAATGGTGCTGGAGCCGTCTTCACGGAGGCCTCGTTGGCTGGGATGCGTATGAGTTGTTCAAGGTTGGAGAACGAGGTATGTGATAGGGACTACTAATAAGCATTTACGATTACATGCGGGTGCTGACTTTCTGGTGCTACGCAAGACTCCAACATGGCCCGCGATTCATTCAAAACGTTCATCCCCCTCAGTGTGGAAAATGCGGCGCGCCAGCAGATAATCTTCGATTTCTTTGGTCTGATAGCGGCGGTCGCTGCTCATGGCAAGAACAATGGCTTTGGTGGGCGCAAGCTGTCTCGTATGGCCTCGTGGTGGGCCTTTGACCACAATGATACTGGCAAAGGTTTCGACGGTGGTTATGGGGCATGGCTTAGGTACGACGACGATCTGCCAACTCTGAATACGGAATAACGATGGAGCTTCATGCTAATATTTTTCGTGCTTGCAGTGCTGCGGATGCCACCAGTCATCTCTTTTTCGCTTATCTGAGGTCGCTTTCCCCTGAGCAGAACCCCACAGGAATCACCATGCTGCCCAGGTCTCTCCAGAAGCTGCTTCAGGAAACCGAGTATCCTCCGCAGAGGCCGGAATTGCTTTTAGTCAAGACCAAAAAGGTGGTCATGATTGTTGACACAGTTTCCCCGACCCCGTTCGCCTTGTTGCGCCGAGCAAACCACTTTCAATACCGTGACTCGGATAGCGAACTCCAGGAATTTTCCAGCTACGAAGACCCAGTGCAGGCACTAACAGACGAATGTCAGCGAGTCCTCAAGGCAATCTCATCGGCTAATCAGTCACAAGCGTCGAGTGTCAAAGTTTCTACGAGCTTACGAGATGCCTCTTGGTCGCGATTCGAGGATATTGGATTCGCCAGCTCCCTGGAGGAGGAAGACGACGACGAAGGAAGCGTCGTGCCAAAGAGAAACCAACAGCTCAAACAGTTCCAGGGCCTCCGCAACAGCCCTCTCTCCGGCGGCAACGGATTGGCACGCCCGACTACGCCTTCGTGGGCAGACTTTTTGTCGGCCGGTTTCGTCGACGATAACCAATCAAGGCCCAATTACCTGCTGCCTCCCGACAAGATTCTCCCTCCGCTGTCGCCAGATAGCCGTCAACACAGCTCGCAATCTCATAACCCAAGGCTCGAGAGCGAACGTGATGTTGAGCCTGGAGAGCTCGCAAGTATTAGGGTTATCGACCTGGATGATGCTTTCTGGTGGGTGTGGATGACCAGTCTTGCTCCAGAGGAGACCCCCGAACGCAAGTCAGCTTTTGGTAGATGCGCTGTTGTTGAGACTTCCATCCGTGGTTGCCGCTGGCTTGTTGTGGAGGAGATCATCGCAGGAGCAGCTCCCGACGCTCAAGAAGGAGCCTATATTGCGGAAAAGAAGGGATTGTTTTCATGGACAAAGCGTTCCAAGACCGTCTCTCGACGCAAGAAGTCTCTTGACAAGAATGACAAGACTACAACCGCCAACGCCAACGATAGCAAGGCCAGCATTGGCCCGGATGCTCATGCTAGAGTCCAGGCAAAAGCTGCCCAGCTAAGAGCTCAGCAGGACCGAGAGGAGAACCGCCCGGCGCCTGTTGTTCGCCGCGGCCGCACAGATGCCGAGTTGATGGCTGAAAAGACTAATAGTGTTATGACCCTTCAGCCCCATATTCTGGGCGAGGCCTCCTCAGCCATGAAGTGGGTTAAGAAGTACGACAAGGGTACCATCAAGGATATGTATATGGCCAACGACAACGCAGGTCGAGGAAACGCAGTTCCCGAACCTACCGAAAACCACGAAACTTCCAGTGACAATCTTCCCTCGCCCGCAGTGCCTCCAAAGGATACTCTTTTGACACCGGCCGCCTCTCCTTTGCCCCATGGACACTCTGCCTTATCATTGGTTCCCGAGAATGTTTTGGAAGAGGCGCGATCTCGCTCTCCTCTCCCTGAGCAGGCTCAAACTCCTGTGTCTGCCACTCCTGAGCAGCCAAAGGCGGAGCCCAGCCTACCTACACCGCCCAAAGAAGAGCCCGCTGCACGGGTTACGTCGCCTACCTTTAATGGGAAGCCCTCGTCGTTCGAAACTCCACGGAGCCCCGAACCAAAACAACAGAAGGGTGGCTTCTTGAAGATCTTTGGCCGCAAGAAGCGTGCCTCCAAGAACTTGGAAAGTGTTAAGACTGATTTGAACAAGATGCTTGAGCAGAACGCTGGCAAGAAGTCTATCGAGAAGCCAATGGCCAGTCCTGCCGTTGTCTCCCCAATTGAGCAAGAACCGGACACGCCAGTGGACGGAGAGCCGATCTACGAGCCGATCTACGACCAGCCGGCCGATGATGATGCTGCAAACGATGATGCCCCTAATCAGCCAGAACCTGAGCACGATTTCTCAAGATTCGACCAAGGCCCTCTCGATGATGTACCAGCCTTTGTCCCAGAAGATGATGATGAGGATGAATATGAGGATGCGGTGCCACCACCGATTGCTCGTCCTGCCCCCAAGTTTCCCTCGAAGCTGCCCGTGAAAGAAGCAACTCCTGCTCCTCCTGCGAAAGAAGGACTCCCTGCTGGAATTAGCCCTGGCATTCAGGACCGTTTTGCCCAGCTCCGCAAGAATGCGGCTGAGCGAACTTCTTCCCGCCCAGATGACTTCCCCAAGCCCGCAAAGACTGAAGGCGAGGATGGAGAAGAGAGTACGTGCTAATGACTATCCACTCCTGGTTTTTATAAATGTGCGTGCAATATACTGACTTTTCTGCAGCAATCGAATCTCGAGTCGCACGCATCAAGGCCCGAGTCGCCGAGCTCACTGGCAACATGGAGGGCACATCAGTTCCTCTCCGTAATAACTGAGCGAACAAGCTAAACCGCTTGAATCCGTCCGATTTCTTGTTATCAATACTTCTTCTCGTTACTATTTCTGCCGCAATTTGATACCACTCGTCGTCATTTTCCCTTGATCGCAACCAGAGATACGATGCAATGTGCAGCGTTTCATTTTTAATACTAGTCCATTCTCTCTTTGTCTCTTTTCCTCTCTTTATCCCATCTTTATTTCTTTCAGACTTCTGTATGATACCACCCCAAAAATAGGAGGCGAGTGCGGGGAACATCAAAGCAAGTCGACATGGAGTTTCAGCCTTTTCTCCTACCACGCACGATCTCAATCATCTTTACACACGATAAAAGATAATGTTGAAAAGGTTTATGCGTATGGAATCTGGAACCTGTCTTTGGCGTTCCCCTCTCCTTCCTCTATCTACCTGCCGTTTTGATCCGGGATAAAACTGTCTGTCATATTTCCCTATTTTCTTTTTTCTCAATTCTTTTTTTTTCCCGCCGAGTTTTCTTGATTTTGTCCTGTCCTCAAAAAGAAGAGCGTTGGAGGGTTCCATATGAAGATGGAAGATGATGAATGTCGTTTGATACGTAGTCCCTCGAGGTTTTGAAGCCTGATATAGAACCTGAGAATGCAAGAAATACTACTCGTGCTTTTATACTTTTTTACTAAGATGCGTGATTGAACTTTGAGTATTGTTGTGATATATATATCAGGGGGCATTGCCATTCTTTGTCTGCTCATGTAAAAGTCGATACGCACAATGGCGGATCTCCACGCTGCAGGTAACGGTTTGCGACAATCGATCCGGATGTCTGAATTGATCAGAGGGCATCATACAAAGTATTTCCAGATATAGTAGATGGAGTAGATGGAGTAGATATAGTAGATAGAGTAGATAGAGTAGTTGGCGAGACCTTGCTTTTTTTATGACGACCGCGTAAACACCCCAACAACAGCAGAACTCGGTGAGGAGCTGCTGAAAAAACTCGATGGTCGGAGGAGAAGATGACAGTAATGCAGTGAGAGCTGTGGGCAGAACTGGAGACGAGCGTCGTCAAAGATAGTGGTGAAAGCTTCTATGGAATCAAACACCTGATCGAAGTTGTAGGTGTTCAATACTGCCGAGGCCTTTACCACTCTCTTCGACGAAGCCCGTATCCAGTTTTATCCTCAGTTATCGACGGCATTAGTATTGTCGTCGCCACCAACTATCGAGTTTTTTTCAACAGCTGCCGACGGAATCTGATCGTCGTTGGGGTATCTACGCATTCGTCATGGAGAAAACAGGATCTTGTCCCCTGCTGTAGATTGGCTCATGAACTAATGCCAAAGCTGGTGTTACCTCTAGGCTTCGACAATACGATACCTTTAATGTCTACAGCATGCCCTAGTATGTACGTGCTGCTTGTTGTAATGGGTATCGAATTACGCACAAAAGCCTGCTTGTCTGGACTCCAGTGCTCCCAACAGTCACCAAGGTTGCTTGACGCCGACTGTTGTTTATGTTCTTATAGGTGGACAAACGGAAGCAACCCCAAACGAGCTCACGCATCACGTTGGTGATTGCATCTTCAGACGCCATGACGATAAAACGATGACGACGAGAAGAGTGGCGATGATGACGACGAGCTGTCTTGAGACCAGACAAGGAAGACGATGGAGAGACAGAGAATGAAGACCTTGAGAAAGAAGAGAGAACGGGAGAGACAGACAGTGACATAGTGAGGTTATAAGCCGTCATTATGATTCTTCCAATGGCCTCTTACTCGATTACCCTGTTTGCTACTGTGAAGCTGAGATGATTACTCGCGATGAGTACCTTATTCTTCCTGCCTGCAAGCTATGATGAAGTATCTTAAATGGCCTTGTAATCCTGACGCTCTCATGACCTTATGCGTCCCTAATTCCATACCAAAAAATCGATCGTCCGTCATTCCTTCTCTGCGGAATCCTCTCTACCTCCTTCAGCCCTGCTTTCTACTAAAGCCTTCATGAACCAGAGGACTCCAGCGTCTGACTCCTCTCTTTTACTTTGATGATCCCTTTCCGCTTTTCCATTCTCATCAAGCTTTTTCATAATCATCTCTTGGTTCTTCTCCAATCGCTCCATGCACTTCATGATCATCTGGTGATCATTCTGACCAGCCTTCATGACTCTTTCTAACTCCTTGATGCGCGCCTCTTGATCTGCTGAGCTGCTGTTCTGTGCCACCTTCTCAGCTGTCGCATTGGTCTTCGCAGACGCCGGCACCTTCACTGCTGAATCAGTCTTCGCCATCTGTGCAAAAGCTTGCATCATTGCACCGGTTCTCTTTGGCGATGCGTTCCTCACTTCGGGTGTAGCTTCCTTGGCATTATCCTTGGTCAGCGTGTTATTCCGACTCTCAGTCGACCTTTTCTTCGAGTCGATGATCGGCTTCTCGCCGCTGCTCTTATATGACGTGCCCTTCAGGTCAGGCTTGGTTCCTGATTGGGGAGTGCTTTTCGATCTTGGTGTTTGCTCTCGCAATGACTCGTTGCTGGTGTCCTTCGAAACGAATCCTCTGCGATATATATCCAGCTCCTCCTCTGTGGTCAGCGTGATTGTAATGTCATTCTTCGTGACCACTCCATTATGGCAGTCCTTAAGGTCCTCAGGGGTCAAATCCATCCAGCTTAGCTTTTGCAAACGGATTTGATCACCATGACCTTGGTCCTTCTCATTGCTGACTTTTCGCTTCTGCGGCAAGATGCTCGGGACCAGTGTGCCTTTTTGAGTTTCGTCTTCAATCTCCTCATCATTGTCATCAGCATCTTCTTCTTCTTCGTCATTCTCTTTGTCCTTCTTGTCGTCATCACTGGGATCTATGCGCAGCCAATCTTCATGATTATTGGCGATTTCCAAATATTCTTTCATTTCCTGTTCATCTTCCGGATGACCATCATAGTAGGCGTCCGAGGCATTCTCGAGCTCCAAGGTCCTAAACTTCTCCTCGACGATGCTAAGATATCGCTTGTGAAGACCCTGTGTGGGATATACCGCTACCAGCGTGACATAATCCGGCCAGCGCAGTTTTTTGGGACGATCATGGCGCGACGTGGGATGTATCGCGCGTCGATATAGAGGATGACATGCAGGTGATCTGACAGAGGACTTTTTAGTCTTGTATGCACCCTTCTTAATGATGTCGACCATTGTCTTGCAGTCCTCCATGCTCATGACTGCTGCTTGTTAATGATAGGCCTGGACGCATCTTAAAGCTTCAAACCACCTTCTATTCCCCCGTTTGACATTCAGTTCTGAAAAATTAAGCCGAGGTGGCTTGTGGCTCTCTGTATCCCCCATGGTAGTCTTGCTCTCGAACGCTTCGGGTGTTGGTGGTAGGATTGGTGAAGAAGAATTGAAATGAAGGTTCAGTTCAGTCTTTTTTCGCGAGAATAAATAAAGCATAGGCGGTCAAATAATAGCGGTAGGATTAATGCGGCAGAAACAAAAGCTGTTAATCTGAAGTCGGACTGAGATAATTTCGGTTTGCAGCTGGCAGCAGCTGCTTTCGCTCCTCAAAGCTTTGACACCCAACTCCCATATACTAGCATTTCCACTTATGTCGTATAAGACAAGAAAAGTCAAAGAAACTACTTTAAGCAGAATTGATAATAGAAGAATATTAATTGAGGATCATCGTAAGTCTGAGGCTTCCATCATCGCAAATTTCTCAAAATAACATTCCTTTATTTTAATTTACAGCATTAGGTTTACCCTTACTATGGTGCAGGAAAAGAATACTCTGGTAGAGGAAAAGAATCAATCTTCTTGCGAGAATAAATAGAGCTTTAGTGATGAAATGATAGCGGTAGAGTATATACGGCAGAAACAAGAGTTCCTTGACTTCAACAAGTTCAGTTTGCAGCTGGTGGCAGCTAGAAGAATGTCACATGATATTCATTTCACCCTCTACTCTCTTATAAAATCCTCCTCTTCCTTCTTCCTTCTCTTCCTCTTTTTTTCATCCTTGTTCTTACATTCATAGCATATTCTTCTTCTCTGTCGACGTTACCAGATATACTCATTCTAACTACCTCCATCTACATTCCAATACCTCTACGAACAACAGTACGATGCCGATAAGCAACTCTCAAAACCACGCCGTCAATGGCACGACAGTATCTCCTGTCCGCCTATTGCCACACGATAACCCGTGCCCAAACCCGCAGTTACCTCCTTTGATCATTTAAATTGACAATCCATATGTCCGACAGCCAGGGGGTCAGGATCAAACATTTTACGTTGCTGTTATTACGACCTACTAGGGGCAGGCTACAAACATGACGCAAATTGACCAGAACGAATACCTGAGCTTAATAAAGGCGTCATATTTCAAGATGGATCGTGACACTGAGCGAGGAGCTGTTCACCACCCTCTTTATTCGAAGCTAGTGGATGAGCCTACGTGGGCTAAGTTTGTTTTCCTATCGGCGCTTTACCCAGATATTTCACGTATCATAAGAAGAGATCCAACACCATTTCAACGGCAAATGATATCAGCATTTAAATCCATTGAGATCGAAATTGATTATAAAGGCTATTTGTTTTACAAACCTAAATCTCAGCGCGATGACCTTCAAGACAAAATATTTTCGTCGCCCCCATCTGGCCCTCACTCCGATCTGCTAAACACAATATCGACTATGCAAAATGCAATTATGAAGTTAGACGAGAAACTTGACGCAACAAGAGAGGAGATGAGACAGCAACGCGAGCAACACGAGCAGCATGAGAAGACTATGCAAAATGCAATTATGAGTCTGAATGAGAAGTTTGACGCAATAAGAGACGAAATGAGACAGCAAGTCGAGGAGTCGAAACGGAAGTTCAAGACGGGAATCGAAAGAATCCTTCAGCTATACTCTTGAAATGTGGCCGAAGTTGTCGACGTTACACGCAATAACGATTCGGCGGCGATCAAGTTGGAAACTGCGTCGACGACATCTGCAATAGAGTCATATATGGAAAGGCGATAGTCGGGCATCGACTCGAGAGTGCTGCCGGAATTGAAGTCGGTGATTCCATGATCCGTCAAGCGGTCAACTTTTACTTGAATAACACCCTCTCTTCTTTGCATTTGACCTGAGGGGTCAACTTTTTTTTGCTTTTGCTATAAAAAGGCGCGTTGCGGCTATAGGAGGTTTTCATAGGATTGGGCAATGGTAGTATGAACATCATAATAGACATGATGTTTTTAAGAGACCACTCTCTCAAAGCGAAAGAAACTAAAAATGATTGCTTGAGATTGTAGTTGTTTCATGCTCACATCATACTAAAATAGAGCATGTATTCAGCAAAGAGGTTGTGAATAAGGGCAATATCTTAATAACCGCAGAGACAAGAGTTTTCATCATGTTTCCTAGCTTCATTGATGTGATCTAGTTCCCAACTGGCACCTCCTGCGGTGATGAAGCAATAGGACATGATGTTGGAGAATAAAGTTCATAGATGCCGGTGGGTTGGGAGATGTTAAAGTCTTTTGGGATGCTACTGGAGGCGAGGATTAGATTTCGGGCGCCCCGAAATGGCAAATGATGCGTATTTACTACGGATAATAGTATCCTAACAAATGGTCAATGTACAAGTCCTGACGCTCAGGCGTCTTCGAAAGGCAGAAATGGAATGGAAGCCAACTTGCTAAACGCCGCCCACGAGAAAAGAAAGAATCAAGACGAAAAAAAACAAGTAAAAGCCAATGAAGCAAACTCCCAGAATATTGAACCCTCGGGTATAATGCACGTATATCGTCACTCGCTGCGAATCAGTCATCTTTGGTCTTGCGCTCGTTAATCAACCTCCATGGCATCGCACGGATCGTCCACGTGGAAGAACGGAGCTGACGCAGGGTCGCTGCGCGGCATCGTTACGGCGGGGGTCTGGAAGTATGTCTGAGACGCCATTTGAGGCGGCATGACATTGTTGGGTATCTCGTCGGGCTTGACTATCTTCTTCTGCTCCTCTCTCGCTCGATGTCGGGCTTCGATGATGGCCCTGCGCACGCTGTCCTTTTCTTCGGGCACCGAGAGGGACTTGGGATCGCTGTAGAGAACCAACTGCATGCCAGCCAGCTCGCCCTCATCGTTGGCCAGGATGTGGCGCGGGATGCGGTTCTCACGCAGATGCTTCTCGATGTCTGGCAGGAAGACGAGCTTGCCGTCGTCGTTTTCGCTGTCTGAGGAGAGCTCGGCATCCAGATCGTAGATGTACACTTTGTGCTTGGAATCGTCGACCTGCATCGTCTCGTTCTCATCCGACGTCGGCTTGGGGCATGTTGACGATGCGGTGGCAATGGCCGGTGTCTCGGCCTTGACGTGGAGCTTGGACTTTGGCTCTGTCACAGGACGTTAGCGAATTGACCGCTTACGGAGGTGCTTGGAATGCATTGGGCTGCATCAACATAAAAAGAAAAAGAAAAAGAGGCAAGGAGACGAAGTAAAAGAGAGTAAAAGAGAATACACTAGATTAGCTGCAGATCTCACCTATATTGAGCCGACTGAGGCGCTTCGAAAGGCGCTCGCGATCCGAGTCGAGCGTCTCGGCCTTCCTCTTGCGCCGCTGCCTCTCCATAGTGAGGATGATGCCTGGCGCGGGCGCGGTCCCCAGCATTGTCTGTATGGTCTGTTTGTTCCGTTCCGCCCTGCTTAGCCGAGCCGAATTGGAGAACAAGAAAAAGAGTCAAACTGTTACGGAATGCCGCCGTTCAAACTAACTCGCCGATTGCATTGAAGCCCTGCCCGTGTGACTCCCGTCTGTGCTGATGCGGACGCTGGCAAGGTCGCGGCTACAGTGCAGCAGCTCGGCCAGAAGCGGGCGACAGACGTCCTTTGTAGGCTTGAGTCACTCTTGTAGAAGTTTCTACAAAACCCACCCGCCACAACCCCGCCGATTGCTCTCCGAAGCATCGCATCTGCACCCTCGCCTTCGTCTTTGCCTTCGCCTTCGCACTTTTGCAACCACGCGCTTTGCTCTCCAGCCAAGAACTCAGAACCAGACTTTTGCAAGCATGGCGGGCAACTGGCCCGAGGCGCAGGTGCGCAAGACCTTTTTCGACTTTTTCGAGCAGAGGGGGCACACGCTGGGTAAGTGGTGAAAAAAATATTGAGCCGTTGGACAGGCATCGCCATCACCCCTCCAGAGTGGCGGGGTTGACTCGGTTTGGGGGAAACGAGAAATCGTCAACTCGCGATGGGCTGCAACGACAGAAACAAGATGCTGGTTGATTGTCTGCAATTCTCAGTCTCAACCACGTCTCTTTTTCATCGATTGCATTGCCTACTCTACAGCATTCATCCCATCGCGGCGGCCCATCCACCATCACCAAAACTATGACTGACACATGCTGATATTTTTTTTCTTTCTTCAACAGTGCCCTCTGGCTCCGTCGTGCCTCACAATGACCCGACCCTACTCTTCACCAATGCGGGCATGAACCAGTTCAAGCCCATCTTCCTGGGCACCGTCAACAAGTCCGACCCCATGAGCAACCTCAAGCGCGCCGTCGACACCCAAAAGGTCATCCGCGCTGGTGGCAAACACAACGATCTCGACGATGTCGGCAAGGACAGCTACCACCACACATTTTTCGAAATGCTTGGTAACTGGTCATTCGGCGACTACTTCAAGAAGGATGCTATCGAGATGGCATGGGAACTCCTGACTAAGGTCTATGGCCTTGATCCCACTCGCCTCTACGTTACATACTTCGAGGGCAACCCAGCTCTCAACCTCGAGCCGGATCTGGAGGCCAAGGACTTTTGGCTCAAGACTGGTGTGCCTGAAGATCACATCATTCCTGGAAACATGAAGGACAATTTCTGGGAGATGGGTGACCAGGGTCCCTGTGGTCCTTGTTCCGAAGTCCACTACGACAAGATCGGAGGACGCAACGCTGCCAGCCTCGTCAACATGGACGACCCCATGGTTGTCGAGATCTGGAACCTCGTTTTCATGCAATTCGACCGACAAAAGGATGGCAGCCTCAAGCCCCTGCCTGCCAAGCACATCGACACCGGTATGGGTTTCGAGCGTTTGGTCTCTGCCCTCCAGGATACCGCTTCCAACTACGCCACCGATGTCTTTACTCCTCTGTTCAAGAAGATTGAGGAGGTCACTGCCGCAAGACCGTATACCGATAAGTATGGCGCGGACGATGTCGATGGTATTGATACCGCCTACCGAGTTGTCGCAGACCACATCCGAACCATGTCCTTCGCCATCACAGACGGTGCCGTGCCTAACAACGACGGCCGCGGCTATGTCATTCGACGAATTCTCCGACGTGGTGTCCGATATGCCCGCAAGTACCTGAATGCCGAGATTGGCTCATTCTTCTCCAAGATTCTGCCTGCCCTGGTTGAACAGATGGGCGAGCAGTTCCCTGACCTCGCCAAGAAGCAGGGAGACATCAAGGAGATCCTCGACGAGGAAGAGGAGGCCTTCTCCCGAACTCTGGACCGCGGTGAGGCCCAGTTTGAGAGATATGCTGCCAAGGCCGCCAAGGACGGCGTCAAGAAGCTGGAGGGAGATGTCGTCTGGAGACTCTACGACACCTTTGGCTTCCCTGTCGACTTGACCAAGCTGATGGCTGAGGAGCGAAATCTGGACATTGATGAGGATGAGGTTGCCGTTGCCCGTGAAAAGGCTAGAGAGGCTAGTAAAGCTGTCAAGGATTCAGTGCAGACATTTGCCAAGCTCGATGTTCACAAGATTGCCGAGCTCGACTCAGGGCTCAAGGTTGCAAGGACGAATGACGACGCCAAATACCTCAGGGGCGACAGCAAGGGCAAGGTTCAGTACATCTTTGATGGCCAGGCTTTCGTCAAGACGACCAAGGATATTCCCGCCAACACCGCCATTGGCGTCTTGCTCGACAAGACCAACTTTTACGCAGAGTCCGGTGGTCAGATTGCCGACACCGGTCGCATCGTCATTGACGATGTCGTCGAGTTCAAGGTCATGGATGTCCAAGACTTTGGTGGATATGTCCTCCACAGCGGCTACATCGAGTACGGAGTGCTTTCTGCCGACGATGAAGTTATCTGCGAGTATGATGAGCTTCGCCGCTCGCCTATCCGTAACAACCACACCGGCACACATATTCTCAACCACTCCCTGAGAGAGGTGCTTGGTGAAGACGTCAACCAGAAGGGTTCCCTGGTGGACAATGACAAGCTACGGTTTGACTTTTCACACAAGACTCAGGTCAAGCTCGATGAGCTGAAGAAGATTGAGGAGCTCTCAAACAAGTACATCCGCGCCAACTCCAAGATTTTCTCCAAGGAGGTAGATCTCGACCTCGCGCTCAAGATTGAGGGCCTTCGTGCCGTCTTTGGCGAGACTTACCCTAACCCCGTGCGAGTGGTTTCCATCGGCATGGATGTTGATACGCTGATTTCGGACCCCAAGAATGCTGAATGGAGAAAATACAGTGTTGAGTTCTGCGGTGGCACCCACGTCGACCAGACCGGCTTGATCAAGGATCTTATCATTGTCGAGGAGAGCGGCATCGCCAAGGGTATTCGTCGTATCATCGCATACACTGGCGAGGCTGCCCACCAGGTCCAGCGCGAGGCCCAGCTGTTTGAGCAGAAGCTGGTTGACCTTGAAGCCCTTCCCTTTGGCCCCGAGAAGGAGGCCCAGGTCAAGGCCGTCTCACAAGACCTTAGCCAGCTGGTCATCTCAACACTCACCAAGGACGAGTTCAACCAGCGTTTCCAGAAGATTGCCAACGCTGTCGTTGCCGAGCAGAAGAAGAAGCAAAAGGCGGAATCCAAGACTGCCGTCGACACCGTTGCCAAGCACTTTGAGGCTAACAAGGAGAGCCAATGGTTTGTTGGCCGACTCCCCATCAGCGCCAACGCCAAGGCTGTGGGCGAGGTCATCAAGCACTACCAGTCCAAGGACATGTCAAAGTCTGTCTACTTGTTTGTCGGCAGCCCCGAGGAGGGCGCTGTTGCCCATGGAGTTTACGTCGGAACTGTGAGTTGTTTCCCATGTAACCCCTTTTGTTGTCATATTTGATGAAAAACAACACCATATGAACATGTCACTAATATCTTTTCTAGCATCTGTCCTCACAAGGTGTTACTGCTGAGCACTGGGCTGCCTCCGTGTCCGATGTGATTGGTGGTCGCTCAGGCGGCAAGGAGCCATCTCGCCAGGGCCAAGGAACCCAGCCGGAGAAGATTGACGACGCTGTCGAGACTGCTCGGAAATGGCTGAGCGAGAAACTGAAACTGTAAAAAGTTTTGTGTATTATATATAAGGAGCTAAAGCTTTGTTTGTTGCCAAATTGAGAAAAAAGAGGTACATATGAAATTGGGAGAATGGGTCTATTGGGTGATAGATGGGCTATGAGTAAATAGGTAGCGCCAGATGAGTAGAATGATATATCACAATTATTCATCTGAAGGTCGAATTGATAGATGTTGTTGATTTTGTACTTTTCAAATGCTCGTAATATGTCTTGATACAAAGTCATATAAGTCGGTTGAGATGTCTATATACACTACTTATACAGTAACCATGACACTGGCGTTTCTATAATGCGACAGGAGGGGATTCTCTCCGCTCCGCGTCTCCGTGTCCTCGACATAGGCCCACCGACGCATGAAATCTCCGTGGGACATGACGCGGGTCAACTTGCCAGTGATGGCCCGGTAAATAGCCTCGGTGATGTTGAAGTCTGTGGGGAAGAGGATGTCAAAGTAACCTTGGTGAACCTACATTGTCCAAGCACGTTAGTTTACGTTCATGAGATGTTTTGGTCTGTTTTTTGAACTTACAAGGGGGGTTGTGACGGGGACCATTCTTCGCTGGAAACGTGTCTGCACGACGGGAGCGTTGAGGCCCTTGATGGCTTGGGGGAGAGCGTCGAAGTCGGACGTGAGGAGACGGTGCGCGGGAAAGTATTTTTCCAGGACGTCGAAGAACTGCATGAGCCTGGTGGGGATGAACTCGGCGTGGGAGAGGTTGGCGGCAAAGGGCATCTTGGTAGATAGATAGCGGAGAAGAGGGTTGGAAGGATACGGCTTGGGATAGTTTCCTCCGGTGGCAGCGTGGCGGACGCGAAAGAATCTCGCAGCCAGGGGATCCAGCTCATGGACGTAAAACTCGTAAAAGTCGCCGTCACCGTCGATGAGCACGTGGCCCTGCAGGGGCTCCTCGGTGGTGACGTCGTACCGGATGCCGTCGTGGGAGAAGTTGTCAAAGACCTCCATGGCGAGGAAGAAGCACGGCGAGGGGACGTAGCGGTCCCACTCGAAGATGGACTTGTTGATGATCTCGACTTTATCCGCGTGGCCGCGAGACTCGGCGGTAGAGAGGAGGTGGCGGTTCTGCATGGCGGCGAGGGAGGAGGAGATTTCGATGATGTTGAACTTTGTGCGGGCGTAGACTTGGGGGTCGGCGGCGCGGATGTAGTCGAGGATGTTGAGCATGAGGGTTCCTCGCCCGGCGCCCATTTCGAAGATGAGCAGGTCGTCGTAGGGATACGTCGTGAGGCGATAGTTTGAGACCAAGTACCGGGCAATGGCCTCGCCGTAGTACGGCCTGAAGAGCTCCGTGGGCGTGTGCCACAGCTGTCTCGTCGGGCTCTCACCCTCTTTCTCGTCGAGCAGGTCTTCGAAGTCGGTGTATCGCTGGCCCAATTCGGCCTGGAATTGTAGCTCGTCACGCATGGCATTGAAGTCGAAAGGCTCGCCGGGGCTAAAGATGACGGCCTCCTTGGAGAAATAGCCGTACGAGGGATTGTACAGACTGTCTGCCATTTTGCCCATTGTCAGTCAGCCTTTCCAAATCTGCGCATGTGAGAGCGCATGAGGCAACACAACACATACCGTCAATAAAATCCCGAAGCAGCATTTTCACTTTCCGGGGCCGCTCCGTCCTCTTCTTCAGCTCCTGCAGCGAAATGTACGGATACTGCGCAAACTCTTCTCTCCGGTCCTCGGGCAGAATGTGCGTCCGTTGCTGCCAGCGACTCTCGTTTGTCTTCATGCCGCGATCTATCGACGGTCTTGTGCCGATGCTGCGACTCGGCTGTCTTTGCCTGCTGGCCAAGCCACTGCGCAGGCCATTGCGCAGGCCTTGACATCCGCGAGGACGGTGTCGAAATAGCTGGCGGAAGAGATGGGCCACAATGGGAGAATCCATGATGGCAAACAGTCACGATGCTTTCACAAGGTGAAATGTTTCTCGTCCCAATCAGGCGCTGTAGCTATTGGCAGATCCCGCAGCTATGCCCGGAAAGTGGTTTGTTCCGAGTAGGGCTGCCCCGCGAGTTCCCGGTACGTACCTTTTTCTTTTTCTTTTTTGCGCTCTAACACCGGCCGGGATCAGCAATGACCTCAGAAAAGACAAAGTTTAGTCTATCCTACAGAACTTTAGCGCTTCTTCGCTTCTTCATCTATTGTCAATTTCAATAGCCCGCAGAAAAATGAGGGCATTTTGAATACAATTATGATGAGGCATATCCGGTCACGGCCAGTAGCATGTCATTGAGCGATCATCCCAAGGCCTATGGCACGGCAGCCATTGCCGTTGCCTTTACAGCAGGCATCATTGCTACCCTGGGATTCAAAGAGCTGTATCCCGAGCTCGAATCCCGCTACCAGCACAAGAGCACCAGCCGTGTGAATGATCGCAGGAGATCAAGTTTCTTCTGGGGAGCGCCAGTGAAGCTTGAAGATCATGAGCCGAAATCTTCGACATCTCGGTCCGCCGGAATCGCGACGAATGGCATTGAAGGCTGCATCGGCAACACGCCCCTCATTGAAATCCAGTCTCTTTCCGAAGCCACTGGCCGGGTCATCCTGGCCAAAGCCGAGTTTCTCAATGGCGCTGGAAACAGCCCCAAGGATCGAGTGGCTCTCAACATGATCCTAGAGGCCGAGAAGCAGGGCCTCTTAACGCCGCATCAAGGGGACACCATCTATGAAGGGACCGTGGGCAGCACAGGCATCTCGCTTGCTACTCTGGCCCGCGCAAAGGGATACAAGGCTCACATTTGCATGCCCGACGACCAGGCATTCGAGAAATCGGATCTTTTGATTCACTTGGGTGCTACTGTTGAGAGAGTCCCTGTGGCTCCAATTACCAGTCCTGATCATTTTGTCAACTTGGCCCGAAGGCGTGCCATTGAGCACACGCGATTTTCCGAGGATGGCAGCAAGGGCTTCTTTGCGAACCAGTTTGAGACTGAATCCAACTGGCAGGCTCATGTCGTCAGCACCGGCCCGGAGATCTACCAGCAGACGGACGGGGACCTTGACGCATTCGTAGCTGGTGCAGGAACCGGCGGAACGATATCGGGAGTGGCGAGATACCTGAAACTCGAGGCCAAGATGAAGAATGTCAAGGTCATCCTGGCAGACCCCCAGGGAAGCGGACTATATAACAAGATTAAACACGGCGTCATGTACTCGCCCACCGAGAAGGAGGGCACCCGGCGCAGGCAGCAGGTCGACTCCATGGTGGAAGGAATCGGCATCAACCGCATAACCAACAACTTCGAAGTCGGCAGAGACTTGCTCGACGATGCAGTCAAGGTGACCGACGAGCAGGCCTGCCGCATGGCTAGGTGGCTCGTGGAGAATGACGGCATCTTTGTAGGGAGCAGTAGCTCTGTGAACTGCGCCGCTGCTGTCATGGCGGCAATGAAGCTGCCCCCTGGGAGCCGGGTCGTTACCTTGTTGTGCGATTCTGGCACTAGGCATTTGAGCAAGTTCTGGAAGAATATCAAAGAGATGGGCTTGGAGGAAGGGGAACCCACAGATCTATTCGCGGAATTGGGTATATCAAAGTCATGATGAAAAGCCTTGACCTTTATCTTGTACATAACGGAGCTAGCTCCGTAAGCACCATCACATGTTGCCCGATAAAGAATGATTGATAGAAAACCGGCAGCAGTGATCTATTAGATGATCTAGATAAAACATATTGCATAGCCTCGCGGCAACACCAAATTCATGATGTGCACGCCGACGCAAGACATGCCGAAGAAGGGGTAAAAATATGAGGAAGGGAAAACACTACTTGGCGCCCGAAAGTCTTGAGTTCTTCATATCATACCCGAAAAAAATTAATCAATTTTCCATAACTCCCATCCCGAAAAAAGTTCCACCCCATTCGCTCCGTAGGAAACATCAAGCAAATCGAAACAGCGTCCTCATAGTCCTCGAGGCAGACGTGACGCCTTTGTTGTAATTTTCTCCTTCTTCTCGTGGCCTCCTTATGAGAACTATAAAACACGCCTCGTTAGTATTGTAACATGATAGGGGAGAGATGAATAGAAAACATACCTTCCACCGGTTGCCGCAATTCATACACTCGCAAAACGTCGTCATCGGTTCATCAGCACTTCGTGTCTGTGCCTGGGTGTAGCTGACCCTCTTCTTCTTGCACTTGCCGCACTCCAGGCTGTCGCTGATACTCTTCTCCGCCATCGGAACCTGGGCCTTCTTCATGTTCTCCTTTTCCAGCTCCATCTCCATCTTTTTGCGCTCCTCGCTCTTGAGCTCATCGTCCGTCATGCTAACGAATCGATCAGGCGAGATGTCTCCTGACAGGACTCTCTTGCCCAGGTCCCGATTGGACTTGCTCTTGAGATTTTGGAAGAGCGATCGGATCTTCTTCTTGTACTCGGCGCCCTCGCCGTTGAGGAGGGTGAACAGGGCGCTCTCAACGGCAACGGCCTTGGCGATGACATCGCTCTCGGACTCGGTGGATCGGTAAGCGAGGCCGTTGTACAAGAGGCCGATGCACTGGTTGCGGACGTTGGACTCGGTACGCTTGATGCTGACGCCGTCGGTGTCGAACTTGCGCTTCTCGGGGTCGCCCTTGAACGCCTTCTTGGCGCCGCTGCTGGGCGCAGCGTTGGCGGACGACGGGTTGGGCGGCGATGCGGCGGCGGGTGCTGACGGGGAGCCCATCTTTGCCTTTTGCAGCTTGGAGTTCTTTTCCTGCTCGACGAGCTTCTTCCACTTGATGACGAGTTCGGAGGCGGCTCGAGCAATCTCCTTGTTGGGATTTGACCGCAGTTTGCCGACAAAGACACCTGCGCGCGTGGCCTGCCAGTTTGCGACAACTAATGTCAGAAGAAAGAACAACGGGCAATGAAGACATAAAATGAGAGCTCATGATCATGGTGACGAGAAGCTGCGATTGGGAGGCGATGCCTGGGAGCACAATCGGTGGGCAGTGACGAGGGTGGGCATCCAAACGTGACAGATAATCAGATCAAATGGATCCTGCCCGAACATGCATTCACGGCCCTGTATAAGAGGGCGCACAACATTCACAGCCTCGTCTCTGCCCATTCCCAAGCATCCCCCTCTTTGTAGAACGGCCGACAAAAATGGCGACGGAATCAACGTACCCGTAGCATCTCCTCGGTCGGTGACGCATCCTTCTTGAGCGACTCCAGCAGCTTCAGCGCATTCTCCGGCGGCTCGTTGGCGGCCACGACCTTGGTCAGCGCCTTTACGCGCGACTCGAGCTCACGCTGGTCCATGCCCGGCATTGCGGAAATTCTCGGTAGCGAAAACGATTCTAAAGCTGGCGATGATGATTCGAAAGAGGGCAAGGCAAGAAACAGCTAGGCTTTTCGGAATTAGGGAAGTAACAAAAAGAGCGAGACTTGACGGAGGGAAAAAAAAAGGTAGCAGTACGGAATCGGGATCTACCAAGTTTCTCTCTTTGCCCACGCGGCGCGCGGCGAATCAATCGTCGCATACGGAGTTGGCTTGGACGGCTGTGGGCGGGATGAAGTTCCGAGGTTTAGCCGTCCGATTTCGTAGCAGAATGCTTAAGGCGGGTCACGTGGGGGGCTGCCGAGGTTGGCACTCTCATGATTGCAGCAATTGAGACAATACGTGGAAATACCAATGCTGCATGATGATATGCTTTATTATGGAATTTTATGCTATCTTTTGTTGGTAAGCAAGATTATTCAAAACAAGAAATATATTGAATTTGAATTGCGCCTTGGATGCTGTCCTTGTGAAGCTGAAGCGGGCACGTGCTCATTCTTTGGGACATATTTCATGCTCTGAAAATGCCACATGTTGGGATGGGTGCTCTTCAGGATCACTACATAGTCATATATGAATAGCTACTCTATAATTGAATGAGAAATATGACTGATGAGAAGATCAGATCCATAATAACTATAGAAAATGACTATACAAAATCCCATGTTGATCCAACAGCCCAGCATTTATGCGAGTTGTACACTAAGATTTCAAGCACGCCTCTGTCTGTTCGTTTTCCTACGTTTGTTAGCCTCTGAACCCTCCCCTGATTCCGGAGTCTCCTCTTCCCCAGCCAGATTCGCCCTCAGTCTATCCACCGCAGCTGCCATTCGCTTGCTCCCCTGAACTCTCTGCCTGGGAGCAAATGTCTCCCTTGCGCCAGCACCAACGCTCCCGCCAAAGAACCTCGTAATGTTGCTCTGTGTCCCTTCAATCTCCCGCTTATTCATGTCCCGAATCACTGGTACGAGCACCTCATCCGTGCGCTCCTTGCCCCATCCGATCGTGGCCATGAGATACTCTCGCAGCCCTGCCACATCAGGGACGCCCCATTGAAACGGTTCCGTACTACTGTCGACCATTGGGTGAAGGTAGGCCTCGTAAACGGCTGGACTTGGGAATCCGAGCGGCAAGAAGAGCTTAGTGGCCTGTGACTTGCGGAATTTGCGCCTGAAAGAGGAGGACGCATCGGCCTCCTTGGGCCGCGTTTGGGATTGAACCTCTTTCCACCATTCGCGGAACTTGTCAAGGCCGTCTTTGCCGGGAAATTCGGAAAGAATCTCCACGGCTGTGACCGGACCGACGCCAGGTAGTCCTTCTGTGTAATCCGATCCTAGGAGCTGAGCGAGAGAGATGAGCTGGTCTCGGGACAGAGACATTTCTTTATCGAGGTCTGCACCGACATAGCACTCGACAAATTTGTTGCTGTTAAACATGTTCTTGTAAACTCGCGTCCCTCCAAAGAGAAAGGTATCAGAGTCATCTGTGACGATGCCGTCAACCATACCAAGCCGGACCAGCTCCGCACACTGCGCTTCTGCTTCCATTGGCGCGGTGATATAAGGGATACCAAAGAGGCGAAGCAAAGCCTGACACTCTGTAATCATGGTCTGAGTCACTTCGTCTGCGTCACGACGATCCTTCTTCTGCTGATTTCGAAGTGCTCTTAGTTCTCGCTCATAGTCTTCTTTGTTTTGCTGTGTAGACTTCTTGTTTAGTTCACTAGCGAAGCGCGCGTGTTCCTCTGCCTCTTCAGCCATCTGTGCTAGGAGTTCTTCGTCCTCAGGGTCACTAAACTCATCATATTCCACCTCGGCAAATAGGTCATCGTCATCCGCAATGCCATCTGCTGGAGGCTGACCCAAGGGAAGGCTTTCAATTAAGAAAGCATCTGCTTGCGGATCTCCCTGAGCTACTGTGCTGTCCGCTGGCTGGACGTCTTCAAACTCAGGTTCGGGTGAATCATGGCTCTCCTGCGCTTCAACAACCGGTGGGGTCGAAGCAGTGGGAGCTTCGAGTATGGAAATTTCTTCAAACTCAGGCTCAGGCGATTCGCTCTCTACTCTTCCCTTCTCCTCAGGAGCAGGCTCAGTTGTAGGTGGCTCGATGTTTAAATCATCCTCTGGGACTTTGTCGACCGTAGGGCTAGAAATCGGTGCCGGTTCTGGTGATGGTGGTATCTCAATAATTTTGACATCATCGCTGGCATCGTCATCCTCATCCTCAGAGGGAATTTCGATCAACTTATCCCGCAACTCTTTTCGTCGAAGGTTTTCTTCTTCCTCCGCTTCAGCTCTATCCTGAGCATTGATTTCTCTTTCGACGTCTTGCTGTTTCTTGATTGCTTCTCGAATATCTGTCTCATCATCTACTAGCCACGGAGGCAGCGGCTTGGGGCCATCTTCTTGCTGAGGTTCAACAACTTCGAAGCCGCCGCCTAAGCCATCTTCTTGTTCTCCCTCCTTATCCAGTTGTCCGTCATCTCCACCTGCTGTAACCACAATTGGTTTCTCTTGAGGCGTCTTTTTCTTAGCGAACAGAGATGAACCCCAATCCAGCTTTGGAAACGGAAGCGGTCCATCAAATGGGTTCTTCTTATTCTCAAAAGCTGGCTTTGGCTGAGGTTTCTTCATCTTCCGTGACTTTGCTAGGATTGCCTGCATATCGTCATCACTGTCGCTCTCTTTTGCCTTCTCTTCTGATATTGGGGCTTCTTGTCGTTTCGGAACAGCTGCATTGGCCCGGTTGTTCACAATGTGCGCAATCATTGAGCCGCTACTACGACCAATAGGCTTTGGCGCTTCCACGGCTTTTTGAGTCCACTCAGGCTCGTCTCGAACGTCATCATCCACATCGATGTTGTATTCTGACTCCCGGCCAATGCCGTGCTGGCTCTGCAATGATAAAGCGATTGCAAGATTGAGATCATGCTCCTCTTCTGGATGCATATGCTCCGCAGGCTGTTCTTCGAGAATATTTTCAGTCGGGTCCAATCTTCCCCCAACGAACAAGGAGTCTTCGTTGGCGCCTTCGTCATTGACAGCATCCTGTCTGTGGTTTGCGTAAAATTGCTGTCGTCTGCCACTTATATCTTGAGCAGCTTGGAAGCTTGCAGCATCTGACTGGGACAGTTTGGGTAGTCGATTGACGCCCACAATTGGCACATCTTCAAAGTCTTCTTCTTCGCTCTCTTCTTCCTTTGTCTGGTATTGAAATTGAAGAGCATCCACATCGATTGGCTTGTGGGCTTCCCCGACATCTTTGTCTTTGCTGACCACTCCAAGAGCCCAGCCTCCTTCCACACCCTCATTCTTCACCAAGATGTATTCTCGATCTCTTTCTCCCGCGATACGCGCATTAACGCCGAGGGTCAGGTCAGTGCCTGACATTCCGATTTCATACATGAGTCGCTGCGTCAAATGATTTCTCTCCTGGACTCTTTCAATCTGAAATCTCGAGAAAGCCATGCGATCAGGAAACATATCATCAAGCTGTTCCTTACTCAGACCCATTCTGAGTCGACTCCTCAATCTCGCCGCGTTGAGAATGTTGTACCGATCTGGCGGCGGAAGGCTCTTGAAGAAGTCGCCATCGAAATCAATCTTGCTAAAGTCGTACAGGTTGATGTCTTCTCCGTTGTTGAATTGGCGTGCATATTCTTCCAACTCCTCTACGCTCATGATTCGAGGATCATCTGGCTTTCCCATCGATGCTATTCCACCCTCGAGTTCCGGCAGGTGATAGGCATCTTGCTTATAAAACTTGCGATTGCGCATCCTCTCTTGCTGAGACATGCCAATCTCCTCAACGTAGACCAATTCGTTGGCTTCGGGAATTTCTTCTTCTGGTTCTACTGGGCGCGGCCTCTCTTTTTCCCTTTTGCGTTTTTCCTCCTCTTCCTCTGCGAGTCGCTGCATCTGAATAGCCAGGAGCTTCCCAGCAGTCCTGACGGCATCTTCTCGTCTTCCCTCTCGCCTCTGTTTGCGCTTCTGAATGGTTGCTCGCTTCAATGCTGGAGCGCCGCCATCAAACACAAAGACGGGCTGGATACCGAACCAGAGAAGCTTGCAGATGCGCCGAAAGAATCCCACAATATGAGAGTTGCGAAGCGCATTGCCTTCTTTATCACGAACAGCCTTGAGAAACTGGTAGATCCAAATCGATGCATCCACGGCCAGACGCTTTCGATTGAGCGTCGCCAGGTTGGTAGGCCGTGCACACGGCTGGATCACCGTCCAAAGCCCGTTAACACCCATGGTGAGAGTGCGAGCCTACTGATAACCCGCGACTGGTTGGTTTGGCTAGTGAGGCGGTGATGGCATTGCGATCGGGTTTGTGCGAGGTCGACTCGCTTCCACCGCAGTCGTAGAGGCGGAAATGCAAGTACTCGATGCAATTCCGTGTGATGAAGAAGAGTTGAAGATTCACGATGATCGATCGACTCGTGCAGTGACGCTATTGTAGTCAAGGCAGTGGGGCTGTCCAGCACAGATTCAGCCCTATCTATTGGCTAGCTCGATTTATCGCAGCGTCTCTCGGCCGCAGCAGATGCAGCTTTTCCCCCACGCTTTGATTCTCTTGCACCTCCATCCTTGCGCTGCTCCAAGCTAAGGCTAGTCTTCATCATGGATAAAGATGAGGCTCATGAGTATATTTCATCTCTTTTAAACCAGAGTTTGCGTGTCTACACCACAGATGGCCGCATGTTTCGGGGCACTTTCAAATGCACAGATCCGGTTCGTTTCCCCGAGCAAAAGGAAGGGCAGGCTTTGTAATTTATCGTGCTCTTGATGCTAAATCTGGTTTTCGATGACGTAGGATAGGAATATTGTGCTGGGAAACACACATGAATACCGTCAGCCTTCGGAAGAGGAGCGTAGTGCGGCTGCGGCAAATGCCTCTGGCAGCTCAACTATCCTGGATATGACGTCTCGATATCTGGGCCTAATCGTTGTTCCGGGACATCACATTGTGAAGATGGAGGCTGAACAGTTCTTGAGCCAAATGAAAACTCAGTCTGCATGAGGCCAAGGTGGGAGGGCATCTACATGTATATAGAGCTACGAAAGATGTTTCATGACAGAAGCAGGGTGGCGTTTTGAGGTTTGTGCATTCACCTTGGCCAAATGGGGATTGGCTACGCATACATGATACAGCGGATATGATCATTGGAGTTATTTTTACTTCATATAAAATTATGTAACTCATACCAGGTATTAATGAATAGCCACGCGCCAAAAGACTGTTCGAAAGAGACTAAAGCACATTGACCCAACCGGTGATTGTTCCAGCCTTGTCCAAAACTCCCCCGCCGTTCGGCGGCATTCAAATCGAAATTATTGGCGATTAGCCCTTGCCCACCAAGACTGTTTCCCCTTTTGTTGTTTTGTGTTCGCACGGACGATGAGCCGGCATCCTAAGCTGCGAGGATTTCTTGAGTGCGGCCTCGGGACTCGCCGTTCATTCCTCCGTCGCTACCCAGGGCAGAGTGACGCTCCTCCTCCTCTTCTTCTTCCTCTTCGGCGTCACTATCCATTCTCACGCCCTGTTGTTGTTGAACCCAAGAGCCGTTGTCGTTCAGCGGCACGTCCTGGTGGGACAAGTCGTGACCCTCTTCTCTAGCTCGGATGGTGTTGCGCCGCCGCTGAGAAAGATTGCGGGATCGGGTAGAAAGCTTGGAGCTCACGGCAGCGTTGGAAGTGACCCAGTTGGTGAGAGCATCTTCGCAATCCTGGATGATAGCCTTGCTAGCCTCATATCCATCATACGCAGCTCGGGTCTCGCCGGGAGTCACGGGAGCATCATCGATGAGGTCGAGCAGATGTTTTCCGTAGCCAGCAATAATGGCAACCTTCTCGCAGTGCTCGCGGAGGGCGTCAAACTGGTAGATATAAGCAGCCTTGACCTTTTCGCGTGTGATATTGGAGAGCTGAGCCTCTGCCACGAGCGATTCGGCCTCAGCGCGGACCAACTCCTGTTCAAGCACCACAATCTTGGGAGAGTTTGGTTCTTTGTACTTTAATTGGGCGATTTGATCGGTGATTTTTTGTTTGCCTGGTGAGGTTAGCTTTTGTTATAAGTCGTCTACTCGACATGGGGTCTCGTCTTACGGTCTCGGCTGGGCTGAACCGATGCTTCAATGTTGCGGATGCTCTTCATGGTAATGCGGTATTGGTCGTATCGGTCGACGTACTGGTCCTCTAGCTCGCCAATTTCGTAGAGCAAAACGCCGATCTTGTCAGTGACGTCAGAGACATCTTCGTCGGTAGCCTCGCCCCAAAGGGACAATTGTTGCTATTAACACGTCAGTCTCAGCAAGACGATGAACGATGGGGTGCAAAACATACAGCGACTTCCATGCGCTCCTTGGCGACAAGCTCCATACTTCGCATAACGTTCTTCTCCATCTTGACAAGCTGGGACAGCTTCTTGGCCAGGTCTGGCCCAAAGGCGCCACCGGCATTGCGACGAAGAGCATGGCCTGCACCATTGATTAGTCGACGTAAACACACCGAGTCTCGCGGTTAAAGCAGGCGTGAAAAGACAACGATCGAAGCTAAAGTCATTCGATCGGTGCTAGCGGGGTAGCACAATGCTAGAAGAGCTATCGCAGTACTCACCCAAGCTTCCCTTTCCGAAGAAACGGCCGGATTTGGTAGACGACGGCGGAGGGGGCGGACTCTATTCATCAGACTTGTCAGTCCCTGAGCTCCAACAACAGGAGGTCTCAAGATGGCAGATGCCGGCCGATCCATACCTGGAGCTGCGAGGCCGTCGGCGCGCGGGACTGGCGCATGGAATATGTTCGATGCATTTTGGCGGTGTGGCTGAGCGCTAACTGCTAAGAATTGCGATGCGTGAAGATGTGGGAATAGAATAGACAATGGCGATGCGATAGGGATTGAGCGCACAGAAAATAGCCAGCTAATGGTGTTTGTAGGCGGTATCAATACGGGAAGATGCCAGAATTGGCACAGGAGGGGACGGATGGGGAGATGATTATAAGAATGTCACGGCTGGCTGCTTTTTTGGCGGAGCTGGCGGATCGTCATCGGCTGGACAGCTGTTGCGCCTTCGCTACGTCATCCCCGCAGCTCAGGAGCCTGTTTGAGCCTTGACTGAAGAGGAGTCCTCTCTCAACCCAGCGCTAGGCCCAATCCAACGCCTCTGGTACTACGGCGACGACGTCAGATCAGGGCCCGGGACCAGCGGACCAGAGTGATAAGGCGGGTGATTTTGGGTACCTCTACCTGGCAGCTGTCTAAACTGCATGTCTCAGCCGGTAGACTCGACTGGAAGATTCCTGGGCTGAGACACGGCCGCCCGTGTTGTTGGCCATGATGCGCCATGCCGCATTCAGTTGGAGGACGCTGCTGGGGAAGATGCTAGCGCGGGCTAGGGGAAAGTGAATCGCAAGCACAAACTCATTTCTGCTTTTCTTGTTTTTTTATTCTGGGGGGAAGCATCTGACAGAGTGAGACACGATGCGTCATGGATTGCTATCGAAGTAGTAGCAGTGGAGGTCAGTCAGTCCATAGCGCTCGCTTCTGTGAGTACCTGTGGAGGATTGATCCTGTTTAGTTGCAATAGCCAAGCTATTCTCCATCTCGCTGCTTCAATTGGCAAGATAACCAGCTTGCAAAGACATAATAATGATGTGTAGCTTCTCTGATCTAGAATCAATTGGCTCAATGCATAGATCACAGAAAGTAGGGGTCCTGCAGCCTCGACTCCCGCAGTGGGGGGGAGTTAATATCCAGAGCTGTGAAATGGAGACGCATCTCATCTGCAGCTGTACTCCGTATGTAAACCTTGTTTTCTTGACAGGCGCACATCAGATGCAGAATCTCCAGACGTGGAAATTAATCCCTGATGCTGGGATGCTCGCTTAGCCCTTTTGCTCCCACGAAGCAACTCTACAGCCTGGCGAATCCATCCATATCTGGACGGGGATCCACGAGAGCCTTGGAGTTTCATGCAGGTACCAGCTCCACATGCTCGGCACTTGGACTTACGAAGTATCTACGATAGTAGTAGCAATGGTAGCTTAGATTGGGCTATTGATGACACATCTATCAGATCTGATTCTCAGGCTGTGGCTCTTTTCAGGTGTCAAGGTGAAGAACCCTTTCATGACTGGTGATGGTGCTTTACTGAGCAGAAGGGGAAGAAAATGTACAGTATAGTACACGCCACCTGAGCAGAGGAATTGAAGGTTCCCAAACGGATGTAGAGCCTGTTTGATAAGCGTCCACTTCGGCGATAGTGGCTGAATGGATACAAAGAAAAAGCCAAAAAATCCCTAGTAGACAAAGAGAACAAAGTCGACAAACACAAAATGCGACATGTGTTGATGCACAAGTACCAACATGTCCATTATTCTATGCAGACAATGAAGCTGGTCTTTGCTGTAATTCATCCCGTGCCCCCAGAAACGCGTCACCGAATCTGGCCTAGCCGACCGATTTTCTTTGTGGACTTGGGCCATAAGCTCTGGCCAATCACAAATAGCCCGGCCCGGCCAACCAGGGCTCGCGTGCTCCGGGGCTCTCAATTCAGAACGCGATCTGGAAGCCTCTCGATTTCGCGATCTTTATAATCCCAAGCGCCAGTTGTTGGGTGGCCCTTTGTTGATCAGCAGCGGTGCACTGCATGGAAATGCTCTGCTAATCCAATCCCCCCTTCATCGGTGCAGCGGTCGCTGGGATTGGGCTTGTGTTGTGTTTTTGTGGCTTGGGCTCAGGAATCAGAGGCGGCGCCTTGCAGTTGCAGTTGGACGGTCAAATCTCATCCATCCAATTTCACCCAGAAATCTTTCACCCTCAGCCTCACATGAGTACCGCACCGCCCATCGCTCGCCCGCCTTGATTCTCGTCGTCAATTCAACAGCGTGCTAAGACTTGCTATCTATTCTTTCGTTCCATTCCATTCTTCACACACTCTCTCGGGGCCTCTCATGCAGACCCTGACCCTTTTGCGCACCTCGGCCGTTCATTTAGACTCGGGTCTGCGGCATCCTTCGCCCGTCTGGCCGAGAACACTGCTGTAACACAAACACAAACGGAAACAGAGCGAATCAGAGATTTGATTTTCGACAGGCAAGGATGATGCCCCACGGAGTACCAGTACCAATATTCGCAGCATCCGAAGATGGTGACCCAAGCCACCTGGGCCGTCTAGACTTGACTAGCGGATCTGGCGTCGCGGTTTCAACCAGAGGTCCCATTAGCCCTCCTCCGTTGTCCAGAACCTGCGCTTCTGCTCCTCCTGCTCCGGCTACCTACATCACACCTGACGTCCACCCCAGCGGTTGGACACCTGTACCTCTTCCTAATCGCGCGTCCATGCCTGTGGCAGATCGCGTCGTTGAACATGCGCCTGTCATGCCAGAGAACCCTGGATCTAGCGCTAGTCCAGCTCGCAACCTGCCTCCCCCAATGAACGCAACGCCGTCGCGAGATGGCCACCGCCAGCCAGAAGCAGTGCAGACGCCCAAGGCTCAGACGGTTCCTGTAACGGAATGGACCGTCCCGACGCTCGCCAAACAGCTCACAGCCTTCAACCAGGAAGTTCGGAGAGACCACGCATCGCTCGTCGCCCACGCCATTGAGTCTGCCAAATGCAGAGAGTGGCGCACGCATCATGGACTGGATCTCTTTCGCGAGCTGGAGACTCATCCGAATCCAGAGCTCAAGGGGAAGCAAATTAAAATCAAATTCAAGGTCAGAACCCATTGCCAACATTTGAAATTTGAAGCTTGAAATTGGACGTTTGAGCATTGAGAATTGACTCCCCCCGCCTAGCACCACAACAAAAACAAAAAGGATCACAAGGATGTTCGCTACAACGTGGTTTGCATCAAAACCAACAAGGACGCTGTCCCATCTTACAGATTTCACCACGTGGAAATTAAGAAGAACGTGCTGATGCCAAACACCATGCTGACATTTGTTCCACATCTGCGCGATCTCGAAGGCTCTGAAGAGGCCAAGTACAACCTTTGGCTTAAAGAATTGGAGGACATTGATCTCAAATCAGGCTTCAAACCCATGAACCGCGACGAAAAATTCGTTGCAATCATCCAGGCCGAGCGCGCGGCGACTCTTTCGCTTTATCTGGATATGTGGCTTAAGAAGCTCAATATACCACTCTGCAACAAATCCACTCTCATCAGCTACATGGCAAGCCAGGCATCCGATGACGCGATAACTCCCCAGCAAAAGACGGATATTATCAGATCCCAAGGAGATGGAAACAGGATGACTCCAGAAGCGCGCAGGGCGGCAGAGATGTTCACCGCTGCATTTCAGCTAGCCTTTAAGGAAAATCAACCGCAGTTGAAGCAGATCGAGTTGCGCAAGGTGCTATTTCTCGACGAGTCTGTCGATAGTGTCATGGACAATAAGCCTGCGGCCAAGGACGTTTCCATCATCCAGCAAGATAGCGAAGATGAGGTTGTCGAGTCCAATCTGGCCACATACTGCATTCTGGGGTGCCTTATCTGCTTCAGTCATTCTTGCGATCACGGCGAGTACGACCACCAAAACTGGAAACGCACTTTTTCCTTGTCGTCTTGCGCGCCGTTGTCAGATATTTTGAAGAGGAAACGAATAGCAGCAGCAGGCGCTAATATGATTGCTGACGTGCCCTGTCAGCGAAGGTGCTATCGTCTAAAAATCCCCCCTGATCCAAGTGTGACGGTGAAACCATGGACTGAAGACGAGCGCACTCTCCTGCGGTCTTTGTATATCACGACCGATTTCAGCAAAACTACAATGGACCCCATCTGCCTCGCGACTGAATTCTTGAACCGCAACTGCGATGAGGTGTACGCGGAATTTCTTTCCCTCAACATCATGATACCTGAACCGGAACCTACAGAACCCCCTCGTCCGCGACATATTGGATGGTATGACCGCAAGCGAAAGATGCTCCTCGGAGACTGGCAGGACCATACCATCACTCACGAACATCAGCGGCGTGAATTACTTGAACCATGCTCTCACGATGGTCCATGCGCCCCAAAAATATGCTCGTGTGTGGATGCCGGAGTTTTGTGCGAGAGGTTCTGCGGGTGCACCGAAGCAAACTGCCTTTACAAGTTCACAGGGTGTGCGTGTCACTCTCAGGGCAAGACGTGTCTTTCCAAACAGAAAGAAAAGCCCTGTATATGCGTGCAGCTCAACCGTGAGTGTGATCCGCAACTGTGCGGTTCATGCGGCGCCTTTGAACGTGCCGATCCTGCCAACGCCGAAGACGAATGGCTGCACTCTACGGGATGCCAAAACTGTGACTTGCAGCGCGGACGACACAAGACTCTCCTTCTCGGACAAAGTCAACTTGAAGGGGTTGGTTACGGACTGTTTACCGCCGAGGATATTGCTCAGGACGAATTCATCGTCGAGTACGTTGGGGAGCTGATCACCCACGACGAGGGTGTCCGTCGCGAAGCAAGGCGTGGCGACGTGTTTGACGAAGACTCCAACATATCATACGTATTTACTCTGCTCGAAAACGAGGGTATTTGGGTTGACGCAGCCATCTACGGCAACCTGAGTCGATACATCAATCACGCTTCGGAACACGACACGCGGGGATGCAACATCACTCCGCGCATTCTCTATGTAAACGGCGAGTTCCGAATCAAATTTACTGCTCTCAGGGATATCAAGGCCGGAGAGGAGCTCTTTTTCAACTACGGAGAGAACTTTCCCAATCTTACCAAGAAACTGCTTGATAATAAGTCTGGAGAGAAGCCAGGAGGGCCAAGAAAGGCTGGTCGACCAAAGCGTGCCGAAACTGGCGATCGAGTTGCACGTAAAGTACCCAAGATCGAACACAAAAAGGTGGGAAGGCCAAAATCGAAAAAGAAGAAGGAGACGACAGTGAGGACTACTACTACTACGACGACTACGACGACGACTACTTTGATGGAAGCAATGACGGTCTCGGATGAAGATTCTGCGGCTGTCCAGCAAATGATGGAAGAGACTCTTACTCGCAAGCGAAAGCGTCACACGCTGATCGACTCAGAGGAGGAGGAATATCACCCACCTAGCACGAACGCAACGTCATTTGTAGCTGAATCGGGTGTTGACTCCGAAGGAGGGGATCTTCTTGGTTCGAAGCGGCTTCGGAAGACAACTAGATCACAGAGAGTCAATCAGCCCGAAACACCATCATCCCAGGCTGTGAAAGGAGAGGAGCCGAAACCTCGAGGCAAACGAGGAGGAGCCCGACCTGGTAGCGGGCGACCTAGAAAGCACCCTCGGATCATCCAAAGGCCAAAAGAACCATCCCAGCCAGTTGAACCTACTCAGCCTGCTCAACCTCTTCAACAATCTACTCAAGAATCGCAGCTTGGGGCAGATACCAACGTGCCTGCCCCCGTACAGACGCCAGTACCTTTACCCTCGACACCGAAGCAAAGCAGAATAAGCCGTGGGCACGAACCTGAGGATGCCATTGAAATCGAAGACAGCGAAGACAGCGAAGACCAGGACGATCAGGACGATCAGGATGACCAGGAATCAGCCACGAGGAACAGGACGTCCAGGAATAGACGACTACCGGCGAAGTTTAGGGAGGAGGCATAGGCGTAACGGGGGTTAGGAGTTGTAAAAAGAAAGGAATCTATACTCATAGAACTATTTGCGGGGGCTGATCTGAGTTGTGTATTGAGCCAGATAACAAATGAAGCTAGAGCGTTGTTTTGTATGAATTATTAGATAATGTTTATACCTTGACAAGAAAAGTCCAAAGATTCATCATACCGTGGCCTCAAACAGCAAACAGCAGGGTGCTGGGTAGGTAAATTACAGGCATGTGAAAACATGTGCTCAATATGACGACGCCAGCTACGGGGTACTTTTACGTGGACGGTTAAGGAAATGTGGCGCAGAGCTGTCTGCCTTGGTCAAAGCCCTGTTTCGGCGACTCAGGCTATGTATACCTTGACTATGAGTGGCTCCAGACGCCATCATATGCTGTTGTTTATTTTGCATATTTACAGTGTTCAATGAGATGAAGCTATAAATCTACTGAAATCCGCTCATGACATATTTGGCCAATGAGATATTGACATCAAAACCGTTAGAAGATAGCCAGAGGCAGTACAGAGCACTCCCAGGCTGTTGCTAGCAAGCCACATCTCTGTAGCGGGGGCGGGGCGGATCCCAGCCACAAGACAGGAAACGATGACGTGGGTGATTCGACACGCAACGGAGCTGCACAGCTGAGGTACCTGAACCCACACGACAAACTGAACACTTCATCTGGAATTCGAGTTTTTTCTTCCATCTTCTCTTCCTCCTCCCGCCTACAAAAACAGCGGATTGGCTTCACAGACTCTTCGCTTTTATCTGCACCAAACGTCTATCTATCGTCTGCCTTTAGCTGTCGAGAGCTGAATTGCCGTTCTCGAGCTTCCCGCGCTACCCCCGCCGACAAAAACAATCAGAGCTTGCAATTGGAGGCCATTGCCCCGACTCCACGATGACGCTCTACTACACTCTTGTATGTTTACGAAGCTTGATGCAGAGAGAGAGGTGCGATTTCATGGGCTAACGAGATACAAGGTGTTTGGCCTTCTAATGGCCGAGATGGGCCTGTTTATGCTGTTGCTTATTCCCCTCCCGTTCAACATCAAGCGGAGGATCTTTACGTACGATGCCCGACAACGCCCGATATGCTTTTGGGGCACGCGCTGACGAGGTTATCATAGCTTCATTTCCGAGAGCCCATTGATCGCCAAAGTACAGTACTGGATGAAGATTACCTTTGTCTTCATCCTCATCCTCTTCGTCGACAGCCTCAACCGCGTCTACCGTGTGCAGCTTGAGGTTATGGCTGCGCACGAGCAGGGCATTAAGGGAAAGTGAGTATTTCTTGAGAAACCCGGAAATAATACGTCCTTTCTAACGACGTCAATAGCGCTGCCGCTGTCATGGGATCCGAGCGTCTCGAAGTCCAGGCCCGCAAATTTTACTCTCAGCGCAACATGTACCTCTGCGGCTTCACGCTGTTCCTCTCCTTGATTCTCAATCGCACCTACGTCATGATCCTTGAAGTCATGCGTCTGGAGGACAAGCTCAAGACCTACGAGGGCACCAGCAAGAACACCAAGGAGAGCGAGAAATTGGCTGTCGCCGGCAAGCCCGGCGAGCTTGCTGCTCTCAAGGAGAAGCTCGAGAAGAAGGACCAGGATCTCCAGAACCTCAAGAAGCAGGCCGAGCAGCTCAACAAGGCCTACAATGAGCTCAGCGACAAGTACGCTGCTACTCAGGTTGATGGTGAAAGCCGAAAGAGCAGATAAGCCATGGAATCATGTGCTTTGCAAAAAATTGATGTTTGTGGACGAAGACTGAATCTTTCAGTGGCAAACAAATTGATCAAATCCACAAAGAAGTGAAATGAGGTGGAATTATTCCAGCCGATCCGTCGGCTCTTCCGGTTTTAGGACACTACTTATCACACTGTTGCGGACAGCTAAGGAAGAGCAAATTTATCTGGCTGAATGGCATAGAGTGGTTTGGTATGGGTTAGGATGTGTGTGTTTATTTGGTTGGAGTCTTCTGACTAACTCTGTATATTACTCGATTCAATTTTACAGCTTTCATTGGGGACTTTTCCCTTTTTACCATTGGACTTCCAAAATAATGTGTCGACTCCGGCATCCTTTATTTGCTGCTATTGAACTACAAAGTCCTTATTCTACCATGGCCATTCTGCGCCATTGATGCTAACAAACTTGCTAGTATCGGCATCTCTCTTCCCCTCAATGATATCTCGACAGCTCTCACCACTAACACTCGGCTCAAGGGCACCTCGTTTACGACGCTCTTCAGGCGTGCCCGTCAGCTCCGTAGCCACAAACTCCGGATCAAAGGCGAAAACCTTGACTCCGTGGTCTTTCAATTCGAAAGCGTCGCAAGCGGCCAGCATATTGAGAGCCGTCTTGCTCATGCGGTACTCGGTACCACTAAAGCCATAATAAGGGTTTTTGGGGTCCAGCCTGGCGCCGATGGAGCCCAAGCCGCTCGATACATAGACAATGCGCTTCTCCTTGACCGCGCCTTCAGGTTGGACTGTCAAGAGGGGCTTGAACGCCTGGGTTACAGCAAAGGGCGCAATGGTGTTGATCTCGAGCGTGTTGCGAAGCCGAGTTAGAGAATCGGGGCTTTCGTCGACGATGCCGGCGTTGTTGACGAGGATATCCAGGCGGCCTGTCTCTGCTTTTACAGTGGCGGCGGCATTGGCGATGGATTCGGGTGAGGAGACGTCGAGGGGGAGGACGGAGATGGAGCTTCCGCTGCGAGGATGGAGTTTGGCTGCGGCGGCTTTGCCTTTGGTGATGTCGCGGGAGCCGAGGAAGACGTGGTAGGGGATGGGGGATTCGACGAGGGCTTTGACGATTTCGTAGCCGATGCCACGGTTGGCGCCTTGTTTTTATTTGAGTGTTAGTATTTTTGTGTTTGGAGGGTAGTTTGGGTTGGATGGGGGAATGGGTGTATATACCAGTGACGAGAACAACGCTTGCAGACATGTTTAATGAAGTACTAGGATGTATGAATATGATGAATGTCTATTTCTTTTTTCTGACTACGGATCTCTCTCTCGTATGAAGCCTTTCCTTCGACCTTTATATCTACGCAGTTATTGAGTCCTTCGATACCATAATGAAGCCATATTCCTATGCTGTGGTAGAGCGCTCGGCCTCCGGAGTTAAGAGCGTTTACAAATGCAACCACATGAGAAGACGAGACATGTTCCAAGAGTATTCGGCGTCTGGAGATGGTCGGAGATAGAGCCGTGCCCCGTTTCCTGTTCAAGGTGCTTCACGCGAGCCGAACCTTAAGACCGTATCGTAAAGTCTCCGGAGCGTATTTGCCTTTAGATGCGATTTTGCCGCTTTGTAATTGAGACTATGAGGGAGCGGATCTAGGAGGTTTTGATTAAGCGAGGTGCGTGGGAACTTGATGTGTGCCGATTTGGACTAAATGAAGGGGTTGACAAAAATAAGTAGACAACATGGCCAGGCGTTGTATGGGCATTATTATGGGTAGTAATGGCAACTCTTTACGGAGAGAGCCTCACTTATACGGTTAAAACAAAATTCCTTCTATAGAGTGTAATTGCCTTTTTACTTTTGTCAGATCATTGTATTCATCTATATCTACTAACATCGTCTATATCAGAAAGTTGACCGTCATCAGCAGCTAATTTTGTCTACGTTTGAAAAACATCCCCGCTATTTCCCTAGCCCGGCGGACGTCGATCCTAGTGAGCTGCCAATAAGCACCCAATCTAATCCGCTTTCCAACATGTTAGCACGATCAGCTCAGCTTCAGCCCGAATGCTTCAGTCAACATCGCGTCTCGCCAGGAACCTCGCACCCCGAAATCCGAAACCTCGCTGTCCATTCTCAAGGCATTACCTAATATCCACCCTCCAGAAACCCATTTTCAACACGCACCGAGATTTCACTGGCAGAAGAATGAGTTCTTCAAGTGTAGTACCCCACAGCGAAATCACAAAGGAACAGTTCGCGTCTTGTCTAAGTCAATACCCGAGCCTCATTGAGGCGATTCCCGGTACGTGTGACTTTGTCGTTAGACATGCTAAGAACCAGCACATTCAGTCACGCGTCTGATGTACTTAACTGGTGTTGAATCTGAAAGGCCTGTTGAACTAATCTGGACAAATAACATGCGTGCACAATAGCCAAAAATGGACAGAAGACGCTTTCTGAGCTGGACCAGTACCGCTATGTAGATGCGGTGGACACGTTTAACCTGAAGAAGCCCAAGCGCGAGATGAATCTTGACGATGTCAAATTGCTGGTAGAATGGAAGCTGTAAGTTGGCATGTGGTTCCATCGTTATTCCCACTGTCCTCTATCACGATCCATATTCACGGTCGATGACACACCCCCATATACATGAATCTTCATCACGCGATACAATACGCCCTTCAACTTACATCTCACATCCCAAATTACCACATATACGTACAAATCTGAATTAAAACCCCCCTCATCATAGACGACATGGCAAATTCCGCCCAACACTCATGTCCCTCGTCTCCTCCAACCCCCCCTCAGCCTCTCAAACAATCCAGTTCGCCATCAAATTCTACTCGTCCTCCAAAGACATCGGCAGCGGTGTCAGACTCCTATCCGAGCTCAAGGGCGTTGGCCCCGCCACGGCCTCACTTCTTCTCTCCGTTCACGATCCTGAGAGGGTCATCTTCTTCTCCGACGAGGCCTTTTACTGGCTGTGCTGCGAGGGAAAGAAGGCACCTATCAAGTATAACCCCAAAGAGTATCTGGCCTTGCGCACCGAAGCGGAGGCTTTGGCGAAGAGACTTGGCGTGTCGGCGATGGATATTGAAAAGGTGGCGTATGTTTTGATGAAGAAGCAGGAGACGACGAAAGATGCGAAGGCAGTTACTGCAGTTAAGCCCAAGGTGCCGGTCAAGGAGTCGGCTTCCACCTCGTCATCGGCGAAGAAGAGAAAGGCGACTTCCAGTGAAGAGAGCGAAAAGAAGGAGAAAAAGTCAAACGACAAAGTTGTAAAGAAGGATCTGGCGGAAGATGATTCATCTTTGAGGCGATCGAAAAGATTGAGAAAGTGAAGAGAACGGTATCAGTCCAATTTTGTTGTTCTATGTCAAAGGGCTGATGTATGCAGCCTCATTTTTGTATGTATATTAACCATACCTTCTATCATGATGTGATATTATCTAAACTACGGTAATAAATCAACAACTAATCTTCCTCCACTGATTTCACCCGCCCTCATCCTATCCAGTCCTTTGTTGACGCCGTCGAAGCCGCTCTCTACGCCTAAAATGGGAGGCGGCTTGATTAAGCCCTGCTCCAACAACCGTTCCAGCCACAGTACGAGTGCTTCACCAACCGAAGGAACTGAATGGAAGATTTTGATCGGGACGGTGTGATAGGCAATCCCCTCCGGAGCTGCCTCTTTCGGCAGTCCTGTCAATCCCACCAGATGCGACGTCTGCCTCTTGGATTCTCGAGGTGTGTCTGGAGGTGAAGGAGGCGCATCGGCGAGCTTCTTCTGGCGTGTGAGGGCATCAAGCAGGATTGTGGCCGACTCGCGTCCGCGCGTGTCGAGCGCAAAGCGAAGCTGAGTGCCGACGCTGGAGTTAATGATTTCGACTGCTCGGTTGGTGTCGTGGCTGTCGATGAGGAGGTCAGGTCTTTGCGCGGAGCAGCCGGAGATGCGGAGGCCGTGCTTGGCCGTGTCGACGATGGTGATGACTTTGAGACCTGCTAGGCGTGCGAGTTGGACGGTGATGTTGGCTGATGTAGATGATCCTATAGGGTGGTGAGTTACATGTAACTGGTTGATACAGACAGTTGGACTCGTTTACATACCTCCCCAGACAGCTACCCAGTCTCCTGGAACAGCCCTTTCGGCATCACTGATGCCTTGCAAGCATTCTGTTCTTACATCCTCCGGTATGCTTTCCGGCGGAACAGAGCGCATGAGCTGAAGCAGGTCCGGACCGTCGAGTATAGATGAAAAGTCAACTCCCATGCATATTCCTAGTGTAATCGCAGCAGCAGAGAAAGCGACGCCCAAACCGGCAGCCTGCTGGAATGAGATGGACGGAGGTATCCTTGCGACATTGTAATCTGAGGAGACGACGTATTCTTGGTAAGCAGCTTTGCGGAGGTCGCGGTAGTCTGTTGATATGGCTAATACCTGTGTAGATGGCTTGTTAGTATGCGCTTGCTTGAGACTTTGTATTCGTTTCTTTTGACTTGGGAATATCATACTCTGTCGCCTTCCTTTAGACGGGAGTCTCTCCGGGGAGTTGTTACGATCCGGCCGGCGAGTTCTCGACCGGCGATATAAGGCAATGTTGCGATGCCAAAGTTAAAGTCTCTATAACACGATGGCACGTGTTAGTGATCTCTGCGCAAACAAATGAAATGGGACATTCTCATACGGTGATTTCCAGTCGATCGGGTTCAGCCCTATCGTGTGTGTTCTGATAAGTGTCTCGTCCACCTCTACCAACTCAGGTATCTCATATTCGGAAACTTGATAAGCCTGTCGTGGTCCGTGAAGAAGCAGGACGCTTTGTGCTTTTACAGGCTCTCCCGCCATGATGGAATTTTAGATGGAAATAACACCAGAGACGATGATATGATTTAGGAGAAAAGAAAAAAAGAAAAGAAGGGGAATAAAAAGTTGCTTATCAAAACAAATCGTATACTGTAGCATCGGTGCCGAATCCCACGGCTCTCCGCGCCTCCCCGGCTGCATCTCAAATCCAACCCCAGTCGCTCCAGATTTGACTAACGAGATGCATAAGCAGTCATTCGGCATTATCTCCAGTGAACGATGGGAACAGCTCCCGATAAAGCCGCTTTCGGAGGCTCGTCAGCGCGGGAAAGCCCAGATGGCCTGCCAAGCTACTGTAACGAGGGTGTCACTTTGGCGAGGGGCCTGTTTTGGGCCAGGATTGCGTGATTGCTCACCAACCTTGCTCATGGCCCGGCGGCGTTTCGAGAGTCCACTCGACTGCAGGTCACAACATCGGCTATTGGAATTGCCAAAGTACAAAATGGATGAGAAAATGGGTGAAGATGGGGGGCGTTTGGGATGATGATGCGAGCGCCATGCATGGTTAATTAGCTGCTAGATCTCTTTGTTTTCCGTTCCTTTGATGCTTGACTTACACGCAAGCTAGGAGATAGCACCAAAGGTCAGCAGCGCCCGCGTCACTTTCAGCTGAACTATCCCCTTCGCCTTGATCGGACTATTATCCTCCTAAACGCCTAATTTCAAAAAGCTTACAAGAGGGTGTTACTAAAAGAACAAAGAACCGAAAAGAAAAAGAAATCTTTTTACGGCATGGCGACTATTGATCTACCAACTCCCCCGGCTACTGCGCGGGCTTCCCCCAAGCCTGGCGCAGGTGCTAGCTCGACATCCCCGGCCTCAGCTGCTATCCCCAAGCCATATGAAGTCCCAAAAATCAACATTGTGAATCGCTTCATCGATGAACCAAGAGAATTAAATGTGGTAGTCATCGGAGCTGGATTAGCAGGGATTTTGGCCGGCATATTGTTGCCCAAGAAAGTCCCGGGGATTAAACTCACCATATATGAGAAGAACGCAGATGTTGTAAGTCAACACCACAACAACCCATCACCATGACATGATTTACAGCTAATAATTGATTAAAAGGCTGGAACGTGGTTTGAGAACATTTATCCTGGTGTGAGATGCGATGTGCCAGCTCATGTCTACCAATCGACATTTGAGCCAAACACACAGTGGACGGAGGAGTTCGCCCAAGGCCCCGAGATCCTCGAGTACTGGAAAGGATTATCGCGGAAGTATGATTTGTACAAATTCCTGAAGCTCTCTCAGAGGGTCGACGCGCTGGATTGGGATCCGGCTACATCTCAGTGGCTCATCAATGTCCACGATCTAAAGTCAGACACGTCGCGAGTCGAAAGGGCGGATTTTGTCCTCACGGCGATTGGAAGATTCAATGCCTGGAAACTTCCTAATTATCCTGGCATCAATGATTTCAAAGGCCTATTACGGCACACCTCCAACTGGGATCCGACCTTCGATGTCACTGGCAAGAAAGTCGCCGTCATCGGCAACGGAGCCAGCGGTATCCAGCTCGTTGCCAACATCCAGAAGCGAGTCAAGCAGCTGGATCACTATGCCAGAAACAATACCTGGGTAGCAGCCTCTTTTGCCGGCCACGAGACGTCCATTGAGCCCAAAGTCATCCCCAAGGAGCTCCGTGAGTCGTTCAAAGACCCAGAGGTGTACCTCAAGTATCGAAAAGAGATGGAGCAGACCTATTTCAGAGGCTTCCAGGGCTGGTTGAAGGGCTCTGAGATTAATGACAAAGCAAAGGAGACTTTCACACAGCTTGCCAAGACGCGACTGGCAAGCAAGCCGGAGTTGTTTGAAAAGATCATTCCCGACTTTTCTCCTCACTGCCGTCGACTTACACCGGGACCGGGGTATTTTGAGGCTCTCTCACAGCCCAACGTCGAGTACATCCAGACACACATCAAGAGATTCACCGAGACGGGCATCGAGACAGTAGATGGACAGACTCGTGATGTTGACGCCATCTTCTGTGCTACAGGAGCCAACTCTGACATGGCACCGCCTTTTCCCATCCGCTCAGGAGGATCTGATTTGAGCTACGACTGGAGCCACGGAGGCACATATGGCTTCCCATACGCATACATGGGAGTTGCCTCACCAGGCTTCCCGAATCTGCTCTTCATTCACGGCCCCAGCGCCTCGGGAAGATCAGGCACCGTGCCGCACAACGTGGAGAATCAGATTACCTTTTTCGCAAAGATCCTGCGCAAGGTTAGTCGTGAAGGCATCAAGTCCATCACACCATCCAGAAAGGCCACCGATGACTTTGTTGCCTACAGCGACGCCTTCTTCGAGACCACGGTGCTCTCTGAGAACTGCAGTTCATGGTACAATGGCGGCATCCCAGGAGGCCGAATCCACGGCCTGTGGCCCGGCAGCGCCACGCACTTGACCGTCGTCCAAAAGGATCCACGGTGGGAAGATTGGGAATACGAGTACCTCTCCGACTCGGGCAACCGCTTTGCATGGTATTTCGGAAATGGGAGCACTCGGGTCGAGGCCGATCCACAGTCGGACATCACTCCGTATCTCACTGCCGGCGAGCCTGATTTACGAAGCATTCACGAGAACTGGTGGGTCATACCGTAGCCTACGGACCTCAGATTGGGAAAAATCAGATGTCAAAGTTATTTCAAAGTTTTTTTTCTTTTAATAAAATCCACAATATTCAAGATCTAGATTATTTTGTAGCTTTTAACCGACGCTTACTCTGGGAGTGGCAAGCCCCCTTGTCTCAGCGCCTATCTCGGTAGCAACTCCATCGAAGATGCCTAGATTCAATGATGGATCCCCTTCTTAGCTAAGTAATAGCGTAATGCTTCACACGTGGAACCTCGTCTAAGTGCGCCATCGGTTTTTTTTTGTAGATCTTGTGTAGAGAGTGAATGATGATTGCTATCTGATGCCCCTCCGCGATGACGTGCTGGCAAGCATGCGTTTCGCAAGCCGCAACTAAGGGTCCAGTCCATCGGTAGTGGCAGACCCGATGTCGCAATCAGTCAGCAGATGGGACTGAAGAGGTTCGGTAGTCGAGTAAAAGCCGGCGGTGTTGAATAATTGTATGATTGGGGGAATGGTTGATATTGAGGAAGATGCCCGGCCTTGTATAACCTCTTGTGACCGGCTTGTGCTACGTTATTTTACTTTGTCTCAATCCCACTGTTTCTCTCATTATTTTTTGAAGGAGAAAATACTTCATTTCATTGGTCTTGATACAACAGTTTCTCTCATTGCTCCTCTAAAAGAGGTTACTCGTGGTCAAGATGTCGGACAAGGGAGACACTTTCGAGTCTGATGCTGTTGCTTTAGACGCTCCTCCTTTGCCTAAGGAGCAAAGACAAAAGGTGAAATGGTACAGGTCTACGGGGTATAACATTTTAATCCTTGGACTCTGCAATTTAGCAGCGCCGGGCATCTGGGGAGCCATGAATTCACTTGGAGCTGGTGGAAGTCAGAGTCCTCAGCTTGTGAACGCGGCCAACGCTTTGACATTCTGTCTTATGGTGGTGTCGTGCTATTTCTCAAGTGTCCTCGTTCGTTATATTGGAGTTAAAGGCGCTCTCGTATTTGGAACGTAAGTTTATACTTGGTATTCTGTTGCCACTTGTTGCCCTTTGCTAACGTTTCTCCAGAATGGGATATGCTCCATACGCAGCTGGCCTCTACACCAACAACAGATTTGGCATTACCTGGCTCGTGATTCTGGGAGCAGCACTCTGTGGAATCTCAGCTGGTGTATTTTGGGCAGTGGAAGCAGCTATTGCAATTGCCTACCCAGAACCATGGAATCGTGGAAAGTCTCTGGGTTTCTGGTTGACCTTTCGCGTCATGGGCCAGATCATCGGTGGTGCTGTCAACTTGGGCTTGAACAGTAGCAGAAATGAAGCCGGAAAAGTGTCCTACGCTGTCTATCTTGTCTTTATCGGAATTCAAGCGGCTGGTGCTCTGGTTGCTCTGCTGCTCAACAGGCCTCAGCACGTTCAGCGCCAGGATGGCAAGAAGGTCCAGCTGTCCATCACGGAAAGCCCCTGGTATGAGATCAAGGCAACTGGAAAAGCCTTTGTGAATCCTCAGTTCCTCTTGATTGTGCTTTGGATTGGGCAGGCCGTGTTTTCGGAAGCCGTATACTTTACTTACCTCTCTCGTAAGTCTCTTCATAACATCTCATATTCTGGTCGCTAACTGACTGTTTACTTCAGTGTGGTTCTCTGTCAGAGCTCGAGCTCTTGGCTCATTCTTGGGCGGTATCGTTGCCATTATCATTGGCAACCTCACTGGCGTAGGTTGAAACAAGTGAAAGATAGTTTGATTCCTCGACTAACATGCCTCAACGCAGTGGTGGCTCGATCAAAACAAGGTATCACTGAAGATCCGCGCAAGATACACCTTCTGGTTCATCGTCATCACTCAAGGCGCATGGTGGCTTTGGGCCACAGTGATTTCCACGCGATATCGACGCACTCTTCCAACATATGACTGGGAAGATTCCGAATTCGGATCCGGTTTTGGCGTCTACATTTTCCTCACTTTCGGGTTCCAGATCAACTACCTCTTCCTGTAAGTTTAGAATCTTCGGTGAGCTCTTCGGTAAGACATGACTGACACCGCTTTCAGCTACTTTATCGTCACCCACATTGCCAAGGACCAAGGCCAGGTTATTCGATATGCCGCTCTGCTACGTGGCACTGAATCCGCTTGGCAAGCTGTCAGCTATGGTCTGACTTCTTTGACAGTTTTTGCTCAGGTCGGTGGAATTTACATGAACTTTGCTCTATGGGCCATTGCCATCGCGCCAGCCTGGCTAGTAGTGAGACGTATTGGCGGCAACAAGGATGGGCAGTGGGATCGAGAATCAGGCGGATCAAACGAATCTCCTGCAGTTTTGGCTGAAGAGACTTTTACCCAGACAAAAGCCCACGAGTCGTGAGATTGTTGCGGAATCTGCCGATGGCTGGTGAAGGGATAGATTACATCTGGAGTTACGATACCATCTCATCAATTAATACCAAAAGTTTATTTGTTTAAAAATGGAGTGGTTATTCTACGTCTTAGTGACCCCGTATAGTTCAGAGATCGGGAAAAGGTGCAGAGGAGAACGTTTAGCTGCAGGTACTCGGTTTCTTGAGTATGTGCTACTACCGCTACTTTCTGCTACTCTAGCTATATCCCACTAGTGTCTAGTATTAACATCATTTGCTCTACATTTTGATTGTGAGAACCTGCAGTTAGCCGGCCCCAGGTCCAGGAAGACGTGATGAAGCCAAGCCCCGATGTAGGAACAAAGAACTTACAATATGATGCCATATTGACAAATTATCTTTCTCGACATTTTACCGTATTAGGAAGTCTCGTTAGAGAGAGGAGGTCTGGATGTCCGTTGCGTCGTATGGCATCGTGTGCATGAGCAATCGCACTCCAGCCCACCGGGATTCCGAGAGGCATTAAGCTACCGACTTTAATTTGGAAATAACAGAAATTTGTCTAGCTCATGGATATACTGGCCGGCTGCATACTTCGGGATTGGCCGAAACTGCATGAACTATCAAAGTCCGCATGTGAAAGCAGTCCTGTTCGCCGCCGCTACTTGACCTCCGTATCCGTACCATACCCCATTCTAGCAAAATATACGCACTCCACCAGTTTAGATAACTTTGTTTAATCTATAGAGTAGATGCCTGTAAGACAGTGGGTAACTTTAGCGTGCATCTTTCAAAATCGTGGCTGTTTGGCAGCGTTGAAGATTGATTGCTCAATGGCGGTATCCCCACCCGCGCTGACGTGATTTCAGCAACACGGAGCTTGTCTCGCGCATCGCCAGAAAGGGTAATCTGGGGGAAGCTATTTCAAGACCTCAAGTCTGATAGGGCACATCCGACTGAATCTGCCGTATTTACCCAGAATGGCAACCATTTGAGATCACCGTCTGAAGTGGAGAGGGCCGTCTTGCGTGATTGCATCACTTGAATTGCACCATCGTAGCAAAAGCTGTTGAGTCTTGTACAGCCATGACGGCCGCTCCCGTAGCACCGAAAATCGGACATATGTTCCGGAGAGCTATGTAGAATATAGAATATATGTGCCGTATCGGCAGTATCAGCAAAAACTCTAAGAGATTACATACGTGCGAGCTGCTTCAGGAAGTGCCTCCCCTCGAATAGCAAACAAGCACATCATCGTCTTGAGGACATAACATCATTTTTTGGGCAGCCATGGGTTCGCAAACCGGGAAAAAGAGCTTAGTGCTCAATGCCTTTGTAGAGATGTGTGCGTCCAATAACATCCTTGCTAACTTTGCAGAGCAAAAAGAGATAGTACTGACTGTCGCAATTGGTGGGCTGCAGGCAGTGGCCACCAGTCTCCTGGACTCTGGCGCCATCCCGATGACCAGTCTTCGCGCTTCAATGAGATTGAGCACTGGACTGAGTTGGCTAAGCTGCTCGAAGAGGCCAAGTTCCACGGCATCTTTATTGCTGATGTTCTGGGTAAGGTAACCCGGCTATAATCGAGGCCCAATCTCGGGGCAAGAGACTGGGATTATCATAGACATTCTAACCTGATGTTGGTGTGTAGGTGGCTATGATGTCTATTCCGGCTCCCTGGATCCGGCCGTCGTCTCCGGTGCTCAATGGCCGGTACATGAGCCCCTGGCTGTCATCTCTGCCATGGCTGCAGTGACAAAGAGCATCGGTTTCGGAGTCACTGTCTCTACGACATATGAACAGCCTTACCATCTGGCTCGAAGACTTTCCACTCTCGACCATCTCAGTAAGGGACGGTAAGGCTAAGCTTGCGACCTAATACCGATGTTAGATGCACAGCTAACAACCTCAACAGGATCGGATGGAACGTAAGTCGGGAAGATCTGGCTTATACAATGCAGCCAACAAGGGGGTCGAGTGTATGCTAACGGTAGCTGTAGATCGTCACCAGCTACTTGGACTCTGCAGCCAAGAACATGGGCCTAGCTCAGCAACCCCAGGTCAGTAATGTTGCAATAGCTAATGCAGGGCCGCCATTTCGTGATGTGCTGACTCATTCGTAGCATGACGACCGATATGCTCAAGCTGAGGAATACATCAAAGTGATGTACAAGCTTTTTGAGTCGTCGTGGCGAGATGATGCTGTTCAGCTCGATCGTTCTTCGGGCGTTTATACTCATCCTGATCGCGTCCGTAAGATCAACCACAATGGCAAGTTCTTCACAGTCCCTGGCCCTCACATCTGCTCGCCCAGCCCCCAGAGAACCCCCCTGCTGCTGCAGGCCGGTACCTCCAAGGCTGGCAAGATCTTTGCTGCACAGCACGCCGAGGCTATTTTCGTCTCTGCACACGCCCCGCAAGTGTGCGCCAAAAGCATCGCGGAGATTAGAGAACTAGCTAAGACACAGTTCGGCCGTGATCCTAGCAACATCAAGGTCCTTGCTCTTGTTTGCCCTGTCCTCGGCAGGACGGAAGAGGAAGCCCAGGCCAAGCTAGTAGACTACAAGCAATATGCCTCTCTCGAAGGAGCGCTTGCTCTGTTCGGCGGCTGGACCGGTATTGACCTCAGCCAATATGGAGACGAGGAAGAATTGCGGGAGGTTGAGAGCAATGCCGTGAAGTAAGCTCCCTTGTCTCGTCCGTGTTGTAACTAGCTCCGATCTTAACATTCCATGACAGATCTACTGTTCAAGGCTATGCCAGGTTTTCTCCAGGCACTGCCAAATGGACCAAGCATACCATTGCCGAGCATGTTAGCATCGGCGGCAACGGTCCCGTATTGGTAGGAACTCCAGAGCAGGTTGCCGACGGTCTTGAGACTTGGGTTCAAGAGGCCGATATTGATGGCTTTAACTTTGTCAGTACCTCCTTCATCAAATTATTCCATGATGTCTTTATAGTTCATAGTTTACTAACCGACAATCAACAGGCCTACACTCTCTTCCCTCAGTCATTTAAGGACATCATTGAGCTTCTGCTCCCAGAACTCAAGAAGCGCGGTCTCTTCTGGGATGATTATGCCGTTCCACAGGGCACTTATCGTGAAAACTTTTATCGCAAGAGTGGACAGGCTGGGCCACTGGATGAGCACGTTGCGTCAACATTTAGATGGAAGGCGGGAGTTTCTGCAGAGGCGGCTGTTATTCCTGAGATTTAGAGGAGCTTCATGGCGATGAGGACATCACAGACATAAGAGCCCCGTACAGTGCGGATAGCATAGCTCAAACTGATTTGTACAACCTCCTATCAAAAAGGTAAAAAAATGTAAATAGAGATAAAATTGAGAATAAAATTGGCATCTTATTCTCTAATTATGATACTTCTGCATTGCACATATCATCGATGATCTCGAGTGTAAATCGCATTCTGAACGTTACAGTTTGATGGTGCTGTCTCAGTGAAAAAGTGGCTTAGTCACCGCTTTTGTCACAGTGCGCCCGTCAGATATGAGATTCCTTCATTCACTCAATTCAATCACAGAACGCGAAGCTCTCATCACGTACAAAGAGCAAGAAGAAAACATCTAACGCGAAAAATTGTTGTCGCTATTCAACTTCAATCAACTCAATATTGAATTAGGTCTCGTTCAGGCACGCTATACGCCATGGCGCCCACTCAGCTGCCAGAGTCGGGCAACCCTCTGTACGTTCTTTCAAGTTCTCATCTCTTCGCACCTATCGTCCAAATGATGTTTATGCATCTGTCAATGGCCCCTTAAGGATGCGCATAACTAATTGAGATTTAATAAGGGTCTTTTTTGACATAACTCTAGGAGGTAAGTCGAAATGCTGCTGGGGAAGAGTCCGGCGACCGGGTCTCTTTAAGCGTGAAGAGTTACTGTTTGCTATATCAAACGGAGTGCTCAACGTCTCATTCCTCACACGGCATAAACTTTCAGTCCCATCACAATTACCTCGACCAACTCCAATCTCATATCTCGTCACACCGCTAACTCTAACTTCCCCAAAGGTGAACCCCTCGGCCGCATCACATTTGAGCTCTTCAAGGATGTGGTCCCAAAAACTGCCGAGAACTTTCGACAGTTTTGTACCGGAGAATCCAAAGACGCTGGCGGTCGCCCGCAAGGATACAAGGGATCCAAATTTCACAGAATTGTGAGTTTTTCTCTACGAAAGCTTGATTCCTTGGCTCAATGCTCATCTATGTCTTTAGATTCCAAACTTCATGTGTCAGGGTGGAGATTTCTTGAAGGGCGATGGAACGGGATCAACCTGTATCTGGGGCTACAAGTCATTTGATGACGAGAACTTTAACCTGAAGCACGAACAGCCCGGTCTGCTCTCGATGGCGGTATGTCCGAGAATTTCTCATTGCCACTCTTTGTGTCGTGATTTACAGATCGCTAAACTTGCCTGATGTTTCTAGAATGCCGGACCCAACACCAACGGTTCTCAGTTCTTCATCACCACTGTTCCCACTCCCTTCTTAGACGGCAAGCATGTTGTCTTTGGAAAGGTAGTTGACGGCATGGATGTGGTGAAAAAGATGGAGGCTACAAAGACTGGCTATCGAGGAAAGGATGTGCCCAACATGGATGTCACCATTGCCCAGTGTGGCGAGATGTAAATATTGTTGATAAGGCAGCAAGAGATAATTGTCACGTAGGTAAAGCAAAATAAACTGCTGTGAACAAACATCAAAGGTGAAAACAAAGACTCAAAGTGTATCAGCTAGCTAGTCCCTCCACTCATTGCTATCGTTCAACATATTAGTCCCTCTTGGTCTCTCTCCATGTGTATGGCTGTGTCATATGTATCCATCATTCTATACAGAATAATAACTCAAAAAAATATTACTTGCGGCCTTGTTTATCTCTCCGACCACTATACTATCGTCATGCAGAGATTCATGATTAAAAATAAAATGATCATTCTTGCTTGGGCTTGTGGTGGTGAGTACGCGCTTCAAAAGAGGACACATGATAAACGATTTAGAAGAAACCAGTTTCACATCAAGCTAACTGAGACTGAGAACTATCAAAAGAACAAGTTACAGTAGTCATGTGGTTAGGTAGCCTGCTACAGTTCTAGGTGAGAAGTGATGTCGCCGTTTGGCTGAGTTATGAAGAAATTCTATGTCTTGTCTCTTTGACAACTTGAGAAGCTGTATGTGCATATATTCATATGGACAACTAAATAGATATGTACAATTGGAGGGCTTTTTGCGCAGCCATCTCCATAGCGCGTTATATATGGCTCTTCATACACTACATTCTAGCTCAAGATGTTGAGCTCATTCGAAGCGTCAATTAAGTAGTATAACGGCCAACGTCACCACCGCCGGGAGTCCAGCCGCCAGTGTATCCATTCTGGGTGTTGATAAATGTGCCGTCGCCCAGACGCAGTGTGTTGACGGAATCCTTGGAGCAGAGTCCAAAAGCCTGAAGGTTGCTTGGGGTGCTAGCAATCCAGTGCATGGTTTCTGTTATTCAATGTTAGTCATATTCTAATAAATGAAAGAGATGTTAGAGCTTACGTTGACATTCGAATTGAGCGCAGCCCTGGCCAGGCCCGCTGAAGAACGCCCATGCCGCGGAGGCATATGTGTAGATGTTGGAACCTCCGTTGATGAAGTTTGCAGGGCCCATACGGCATCTTTTATCGCCGCCGTTGCACCAAGCAAAATCAGGATCACCCCAAGTGCCAACATTTGCAACCCAAGGAGCGGGAGGAATCTGCTGCGTGTTGGCGCCTTGGTGGTAGTTGGTCTCCGCCTGAAGCAGAGACACAACAACGTTGGCGGCATTGTGAAGATTGAGTTGGTACAACCACCAATGCTCACTTCCTATCGCATACAGCCAGGTTGCTTTCGTAGATTCGACCAAGATGCCCCCTTTGCCTGCGATCGAGGTGCCGCCACTGAAGTTCTCAGCGATGTGATCCGCAACCCAGTTCCAAACATTTTGAATGTAAGGAGATGATCCCTTCGCCACGTGGATACCAATGAAAGCACCCTTACATTCATTGCTATTGTTGGTACAAGCATTAGCCAAGGCTGAAGCACCTCGTGTGCCACCAACAGTAACCAAAGAGTTCCAAATAGCAACATCACCAGGGTTGTTGCCAGCCATATTGAACTGAAGCAAAATAGCACCTGGGAGCACATCGTTAACCGTGATTCTTACATCTTGTATCTGTGCAATTCCAACATCTCCTGCACGGCCAACTGAGACAACGGGTTGTGGGCTGTTTTCGTTCTTGAAAAAGTTGCCGTTGCCGGTGATGGTGGCCCAAGCCTCACCCACGATACGGGAACCCTTAGGGATAAAAAGAGTGGAATCCACCCGATACTTGCCAAAAGGAAAATAAGCAACCTTATTCTGGCTTGCTGCAAGTTCCAGGATGGCATTTAATTGTGCTGCTTCATCAATCGTGTTATCCCCTTTGACCTGACGATTTCCATTCTGCGCAGGGTCTTTGACGTTGAGGAAGCTGGAGATGGGCAGATCTCCATAAGTAGGGGGGGCCACATAAGGGTAACGGCCACCAGGAGCAAGAGCACCAGGTCTCGTGTTACTAGAAGTAACATCGCCATAAGTAGGGTTTCTGCCCACGGTGTTGCCGTAAGAGTAAGTGTTGACATGGCTAGAAGCGCCAACCAAAGTTGAGCCTCGGACAACGACGACAGGTGTGCCATTATCTTTAGTCAGATTCTCAATCATAAATGAAGGAAATTGATTGGTTGTAAAGGTAACACCAGAGTTAATTGACTTTGCGTCAATCAGGGCAATCCAGGGTGAACCGCCAGTGTTTGAAATGCCGGTTCCACAGGTGTCGAAGGTTGACGAGAAAATGCTGAAGGTATTGCCGCCGCTGATGAGCATGCCTATGGTATTTTGAAAGAAGTAAATGTTGTGAAATGATGCTTGTTGATGTCCATCAATCCAAATACCGTTCTGGCCGCGTTCAACGCGAACGTCGGCGAGGCCGAGTGTTGAGCCGCGACCCATCCGGATGCCGGTATGGCCGTTTCCGCCCGAGGAAGAACTCATAGTAATGCGTACATTCTGCAGATGCGCAGCTTGAGCAACACCCCACCATAGGGCAGTAAATGAATTTCCACCTGGTATAGCCGTAGTGTCCAATACCAAGTTCTTAATAGCTACGGCGAAAGAAAGCTCTCCCTTCTCGTTGGTGGAGGGGTCTTGAGCGCTGATAAGAGTCTGATCGCCTGAGAAACCGGCAGCAGCCTTAATAATGGGAGGATTAGTTGGGTCACCCATTAAAATGGTATCAGTGTTGAATCTCAGAGTCTTGGAGATGGTATATGTTCCCGGAGGAATGTAAACAACCTGGACACTAACGTTAGATACCCGTCTGTACAAGTATTTAAATCAAAGAAGTCATACTCGTGGCTGTGAGGCGAACCACTGTGGGTGACGAGAGCCACCCTTTCCATCAGTGTTGATAGCATTCTGGAGAGCATTTCCATCTCCTGCGTTGACAGTCTGATAGATTGGGTAGTTGAAGTCTCCATCCAGGTCAGGAGCGAAACCCCTGGGCGCATTGACATGGTCCATGTTAGGATAGTAGAAGCTGGTGGCACGCTTTGTGATGCCCTCATCGCTGGCAGGAGGGCTAGGAGTCGGCGTAGCAGACGCCGCGCCCAGCAAGAGCGCAACGAGCGCCGTGAGCTTCAACATGATGCCGGTCAATGATCAACAGATGCTGGATGAAGGACGATCGTCAGGACAGCATCCACGACGGAGGAGTATCCGCCTCTTTATACTTCAATCACCGCCTCCGAGTATAAGACCCCTGCTAAATTCGAGTCCTGTCGTCTTTAACACCCCTCACATACTGTTCATGCATGCATCCATCGTAGTCTCGTTAGAAGTCTGCCGGTCAGCCCACAACTCCGCATCAGATTCGACTACCATTCGGCCCGGATCTAGCCCAATTGTCAGCTTCATTATCCAAAGAGGCATCACTTGGCGTGGCGTGAATTACTCCGGAGGGGATGGTGGAATGTCGGGGACATCAAGGGTTGAGGCAGCCATGTCTAATTGTGACTGGGCAGGCTGCGGGGTGGATTGCATTCACCCCACCGATATAACATTGAGCATAGACGAAAGAACAATAAAAGGCAAGTCTAAAGCTGATAATAGTACTCTCAGCCAAAGTCGTGTTGTCCTCATACTCTACTAAACACCTTGGCAAAGATCCAAGACTAGCAGCTGCCAGACTCTCCCCCTTGTCGTCAAGTACATTTTAAGGTCGAAATTCGCCTTGGAGAGATTAGTGCCCCCTGTAAAAGAGCAATCCCCTTGCATATTGGGAGCCTGAATCAATCGATGCAACGATCCATTGAGGTAGGTAGATAAAAACATAGTACCACTCCCGGTATAATGCGGTTGGATTAGTCGCCTACCTCGCCTACTTGAGTAGCTGCCTACCTAAATATGTAATCATCGAATTCTATAGATAAGATTTTTCCTTGAATAGGTGACAGCTCACGTATAGAAGACAGACCGCCCATCGTATAGCCAGAAAGGCACACGAATAACATACAGTAACATACAAGACAAACCATGCTAGCCAACACACAATCGAACAAATCACAGGGTGGGGAGACAAGCTATCTCTAATACGAAATGCCAAGAAACAAACGTGAGCAGTCGTAAACGAGCATTGAGTAGCCTATGTAGCCTATACCATTCATTGGTGGGAAATGCCCGGAACCTGCCGCGTCGAGGCCTCGCACCAGGCAAGTAAGAATAAGAATAGAGTTCTTATGAAGTTGCACTCGATACTGACCAGGATATTTCACTAGCTAAGGTACATGGTCAGTCACTAATGCATCTCCACGGACCACACCTTAGCATCAGCGCCCATGAAGCTACGTACAGTATCATAAGATCGTCTAGAACATGAACATGAGAGGGTCGGAGCTCTGCCAAGCAACGCCGGCCGTCTAGCTGCGGTGATGCCGGCCCTTTCCAGCGCAACTGCCTATCCGAGAATGGCTGCGAATGGCGAGAGGTGACATGGGCTGCAGTCAGGATGAAGTATCATTCTAAGCTTATTTCTGCCGGCTCTGCGTAGCGAATGAGTCTGGGGTTAGCGATCCTACGAGGAATCAACCAGGATTGTTGCGACAAGTTTAAAAGTTAATAACTTGCTTACAGCTGCTTTGTCTCTTACAACCGGTACTTGCCTTAATGGCGTGCTCCATCAACTCTTCCTAATACTAGTGATAGGACAATGGCATGCTCTCCCATATCCTGGTACGTGATATATAAGCCACCCGATCCGCTCCGGACTCCCGTTGGCCCAATCGGGTAGGTGATTAATTCTTGGCTATTGTTTCTCACCAGACCACCTGGAATCATTGAAAAGGAGGAAAACGTCTGTCAACTCAATTGACTATGAAGCCTCCCTACGAGAAGCGAGAGACAAATTAATGCAGGGGACGGAGTAACAAACCATTGCAGCTTCTTCTTCTTCTTCTTCTTCAAGTCCGTTGGTGTTGTATAAGCCATCAATGCCGGGTGTAAGTGAAGTCGGGAGTGGCGCAGCTGCCTCCTGTGGCGCTCTCCCGTCAGCAGCTCCAGACCACTAAAAGCTGCACGCTCAGCACACTTCTCCCCTAATGGCGCCCTGTCAGCGGACGCCGCCCGCCATTCCGCTCACTCGGAATTCCGGCGGCTCACCTGACCACCCTATTGGTACGGAGTACAGTTGCAAATTTTCCAGGCTTATCGCATCGTCTCATCGGCTTCTTGGCTCCAAATGTTCCTCAACTTTGAGACACCGCATCTCACGATAATTTGCTTTTCAGTGCATCAGAGCAAACAGTTCCGCCCAACGCAGCTTCGCCTAATAACAATCAATCAATCATCCCTGTCTGACTAATAGCTTCGGCTTGCTCCCCCGCTCTACAGCAATTTCATCCCACATCCGTCACAATGGGCAACGTAAGACATATTCCCGCCACTCCACGAGCCTCTTCCGTTGCATCACTCCGGCAGTTTCTGACTTGCATGATGAATGTTTAGGGCGCCAAGGCACAGCAGAAGCGTGAGCGCAACAATGAGAAGGGCGGAAAAGCTGCCAAATCGCAGCTCAAAGTGGTGCGTTCTACACCTTGATGGCCCGTCCGGCCACCTAGCCCCGACTACCGCTGACCACCCGCATAGAATGCCCAAGCTATGGACATCCAGTGCCAGATCTGCAAGTCGACATTCTTGAAGACCACAAAGGCTCCCGCGTACGACATTCCTCCCTCACATAATTTATCCAGATTGGGCCATGGCTAACGAATCACGACTCCGTCTAGACTTCTGGAACACGCCCAGAATAAGCACAGCAAGGGCTTGCCCGAGTGTTTCCCGACTTTCGTCGCCAGCTCATAGTGGAGAATGATTCATTCTGACCGTATAGAAAAACTGGGTGTTTGCCAGGCTGCTGGCAAGGCGAAGGGAGTTTGGTCTGGAAGCGAAGCATTATAGCGCTGATACGGAGTATTTGGTTCACAAAACACAATGAGACATAGCATAGCACAGGCCACTTCTGTGGCGTTTCTTGTCATGACGGCCCGTTTCCCTTTGTTTCTGCGTGTTCATTGGTCTGTATATTCCTACATTGGTCCTTTCCCATACCCTTCCAACAGAAGTCAAGACGCCTCGCATGCAAGAGGATTCAAGCCCACAGATCTTTAGTGCGCCTCCACGGCTGTGGGAGTCACTTCTGCCGCTGGCTTGGGCAAATTGCGGGCCTGCTGCTTCTGCGCAGCCTGTGCTTGTTCCTCGAGGATTGACTTTAGGATATCCGGGTACCAGCGTTCTCCAACATCCTGATGGCTCTTGACCCTGTTACGCAGAGTTGCCTCTCCCATTGTGGTAGCCACGGATCCTTTTCGGAACGTAAACTCGACATCATCGATGCGGCCGCCGTTTCTCTCTACAATCTGTTGACGCTGTTCCTTGACCTCCTCGGGGACTTTGCCGATTCCAACTGTCTCCAGCTCTTCAAATGTCGCATCCAACTTGACGCCCTGGAAGAAGGGGATGCTAAACCGAGCACCAGTCCCTGCGGCGGGGGACAAGACACGATGCGTTGTTGACACACAGACGCCCTGAGTCAACGCCTCCATACCCTGCCCAATAGCCACCACAAGCGTTCTATCGATAGGAGGACAGTCGATCCATTTGCCTTGGACGTTTTGGACCTGCAGACCTCGGTGGTTCGTGGCTTGAAGCAAGTAGCTGGTCAGCATGCTGTCCTTGTGCGGGCCTACGCCTTGCCCTTGCGTGCCCTCTGGAAGTCCCAGCTCAGCCAAGTCTGGGTACTTGACAATCTTGAGCTTGTGCTGCGGATCCGCCTCAAAGTACTTCTCAAAAGCGTTCTTTGGTAGTTGAATCGCCTCGGCAATCAGCGAGGTGAAGTAGATGGTGATTTCGCCCATTTGGCGCATGTATTCGGTATAAGTGCTTCGGAATCCCGGCGCGCTTTCTTCTGAGGGCCACTGATTAGGACCGAGCAAGTTGTAAAACCGCGGCGCATCGGGGCCGGGGAGGACATGCTCGGTTGAGAGGTCAATCTGCTCCCTGTGATCTATAGCCCCAGCAGTGATTTCCGCAGAAAGCTGAGAGTAGCCCAGAAATGAAGGCGCATTCTTCATTTCAATCTTTAGTCTGTATCATTTGAGTTGGAGTTTAGTAAGTCAACTCGACTCAATTGTTGACACGTGAGGGTAAAACCTACTTTTCTTCCTGGGGAATGTCGAAGAAGCCTTTGCCCTGTCTGATTACTTCGTCCCACAACTCCTGTGAAATGCCCACATTCTTTAGATACAAGAAGCCAACTTCCATGAGTGCATGGCGAAGTTGGTTGAGAAACTCGGGCTTGGTGGCCGGATCTCTGGATAGATCCAGGTCGAGGAATGGGATGGATGTGAATGACATGGCGAAACGCGGCCTTGAGTCTATATAAGAACCGGGCTACCTGTCGCAAAAGTGAGTATACTCGATATAAATTAGCTTTCAGAGGAAGAAGAAACAAACCCTTATATTTGACCAAAGTACATATGAGGTTATGGAGGTTCAAATGAAGGTTGAAGTATCCTTTAAGCCGAGTCAGCACAAGCGCAAATGACGCCATAAGCCGTTTGTGCCAAACATCTGCCCATCTCTCCACATCCCCGCACGCGCAATCGGCAGAGGCAAATCGGATTCAATGAATCGACGGCATACACGGACTATTGAGGGTCTCTCTGTACTCCGAGAATATGTTGTGATCACACATATAAAATGAATCCGTTTACGTGTAGCTTTCATTGATCTACTTTTCTCCATTGCCGGTGGTAGAGATATGATGACAGATAAATATCCTACTACTATCGCAACCGCCTTCTGGGGTCTAATACTAAACGATATGCATAGATTAGTAGTTTATTAATCAAGGCTCTTTTTCAGTAGTCTTGAATCTAGATTGTTCATCTAAGACGCAGTCATACCAACGGGCTTCTTCCCAGCACACATCGTGATATGTTCAACAACGCCGTGCTCACTTGGGGGTTAGACTTGCTTGTTCTCGAGATTGACTTCGGCACCAACAAAGGTTAAATGAAAGGTCAGATATCATTTTAAAGTGACTGGAGTAGAAACCTAGAGCATAGAGCTTCCCAGAGGCCAAATGAAGAAGAAAAGAGAACATTCGAGAGAGAAAGGTCACGTAGGGTTTTCACCAAAGTTATTTGCGTAAGAATGAGAATTAATATAAGTAAAACATTGACTACAGTGATAGATAGACAAACAAGGGCTATGCTACTGTCTTTGGTCAAATTGGAAATCATATTTATTCTGCTGTGATCATGCACAATCGTGTGATGCCGATGGGCGCGATATGGGGCCAGAGGATGAAGAGAAAGACGACAAGCAAGAAGAAACGGATGACGGCGATCCAAATGAGTGGTTATAAAAGTCATATGGGAAAGATTGCATAGAGCCCCCGGTATGTCAAAGCGCGGACCTAGTAAAAGGGACAAGACAGCAGATGTATTTGTGGCAACCTTTTATTATTGCTGTCATTTTTCTTAAGGCCAATGCAATTAGTTTCTCCTGGACGTTTCATCCCCTATAAGTTTGTTCGGGACTCAACTTATCTGTTTTGTTTGTTTGTCATTGTCCAATCAGTTTCTCCTTCATTCTGTGCCGTTTGTCACCTGTTCCTTGGTGTCCTCCAACCCGCCTTTGGCTTCAAACCACCCAGAAGATGATATCCTGCTTTCAATTTGCCCAGAATGCATGAGTTATACGCAGAGCGTCAGCCCAGCTGCCCCAACTACTCTTGACCCAGTGCCTTTTTGTGGGAGATACAAGGGGCTCAAGACTTTTTGCATTGTGCATGGAGGCGGCTGTTTGAAAGCGTCACTTTCCTTTTCTAGCCTCCCTTCCCCTTCATGTTGTTTTGAAATGAGTATTTTTGTTTGATGATGCCATGATTCCTCGTGGGATTATCCCCTCGTCACGCTGCGCGTCTTCAAGGAGCGGCTACTGCATGCCTCTGACGGTGGTTTTGATCTCAATGATATCCATGACGCTCTACAGCGTCTCGAGGTTGGCGGTCACACCATTTTGACTGATAAGCTTGTACTTGGCTAATGTATATCGTTGGTTTGTAATGGTGCTGACTTGGCTTTAAACAGCATATCATAAACTCCACCAACGGACCAACAGTCACTTTAGACGGCACCCCAGCGACTGCGTGAGATTCAAATGTCGGAACAGGATGCAAAGGGAAGCCTTATTTGCTTAGTTACCTATATTGTTAAGCACATAGGACTTGGATACCGAGCTCTTCAAGTATCTGCTACTATCGCTACATCTTTCTATCATCAGCTACTACTGAAATATATTTCTAGCGTCTGCTACTATTGCCATATTTCTCTAGTATTCGCTGCTATAGCTATATCTCTCTTGTTTCTGGCTTTATCGCCTGCTACCATAGCCTTAAACTTGACACACGGGATGCTGAATAACAGACTTGGGGTGTTGGCTAGAATTTCCCCAGTTAAAGTGATTCGTCATCTCAATACGGCTTGGAGTTGCTCTCAAGCTGTAGTAAGCTACCAGATGTTGGAACATTCCAGTTGTGATTGGCGGAAGGATTCATTTATAAGAAGACAAGCCTGGTCGAGGTGATGAGAATACATGATCGATACGAGTTATCCACTCTATTCCTTTCCAGAGCCAAGTTCTCTAAGCTCCCTCTCTGTGTCATTGACCTCCGTCCAACTGTACGCCCCGAACTGTTGCTCAGAATTTCCAAACTCGTTCAATTCATGCCAAAAATGCACCCTGCTGCCAAAGTGTCTCTTTGCAATCTTCAGAACATCCATGATATAGGGCTCAGCGGCTGTTGTCAAAGATCCACTGACCTTCGAACTGAAGCGTAGGAAATAGTTGCAATAGTCAGCGCTGCTAGGCATATGCGGACATTCGCCGATTGCGAGATGTATAAGATTTCTTCCGGAGTACTTGGAAGAATCCGGGAGGTCCAATATTTTACCGTCTTCCCGCCTTCCTTTCTCATCGTAGACGTCCTTGTACTTTGCGATGACTTCGTCTAGAAATTGTTGGTATGCTTTTTTATTTTTGTCGTTCACTTCGAGTCTCGGGAAAATGTCAAAGCCACAATCAAAACCCATTTAAATGAAATTGTATGCAAAAATTCTTCAGGCCCGAGAGAATACGGGAATATAGCTTTGCTCATATATGAGTGTTCAGGTTTGGAAGTCGATGAGGATAGTTACCCGTCTACTCGCATCTATTTGAACGTTCTATCTGCCCCTCTCTCGTACTACAAAGGACCTATGATGTAGGTTTCTGCGGGAGGCCTACATCTATCAAGGCTAAGCAGCGCATATCTAACTTAGGGTATTTGTATATACATTTTGATCTTTCGCGGCGTAATTCGTGCATAACTAAAGTATTTAATATCCCCTTAAGATATGCACACAGGAGAAAAGACATAGATGATTGCGTGAATATGATGATTCATTACAAATGACAATATAGTTCCTGCCCTCAGCCGTCAATCTGGTTTACACCGATTAAATGTGTGATATCTGGTTGTCTACAGGGTAAGTGTTCAAGAGCTAACGGGGTTGGATTGGCACGGCGTTCGGTGAAACGCACGGGCCGCATAAATTTCTTGCGCGCCCCACTATCCAACCATGCAAATATCAACGTCGAACTTTTTTTCGTGTAATTTTTTTCTGGTCCTTCTCAAGCTCAACCTTCGCAAAGTCCAAAACTTGTTATCAAATATGCCTGCAAGCTGACAGGCGGTCAATTGCTTTTGTATCCATTGGCCATAACTCAAACATGGAGACAACCAGAATTTTTGTCAAGGGCCTTCCGCCTACTATTACAGAGGCGGAGTTTCGGAAGCACTTTTCGGCCAAGAACCGCGAGATCACCGATCTCAAGCTCATCCCTCAGCGGCGTATTGGCTATGTGGGCTACAAAACACCCGAGGATGCCTCAGGGGCTGTCAAGTACTTCAACAAGTCGTACATTCGCATGTCTAAGATCTCCGTTGAACCAGCTAAGCCGGTAGGTGCTACCCGTGATCCTGCCTGTGACCTCTACATAACACGAACCTATTCTGATGGAATGATAGATCTCAGACCCAGCCCTGAACAAGAACACACGATCAGTCCATTCCGATCATCAGGTGGCGAGCCACCCACCCCTCAAGAAAGATGAGGAGGGTGGCTCTAAGAAGCGCAAGCGAGAGGACCTGGATGAGTCCGATCCTAAGCTGCGAGAGTTTCTCCGCGTGATGAAGACGGGCAAGGAGGGTGTCATTGCTGATGAAACAAATCCTGATGCCGATATGGCTGGACTTGCCACGAGTGGAGAGCCCCTTGTCGTGGAGGGCGAGAGTGATGATGAATACGAGCAAATCCCGAAGAGAAAAGAAAAGCTACGCAAGACAGAATCATCTGAGGCGACTCGAGATCTGGTGATGAACCAAAAACTACCAAGGGAGACGTCGGATCATGGCGCTCTGCCTGCGGCGGAAGAGGTTGTCGCCGACGATGTGAAACCTCAAGAGGCCGAGAAGCTTCCTCAACCGGAAGCTGGGGCGGCGACAGATGACGACTGGCTTAGATCACGCACAAGTAGATTGCTAGATCTTGTTGATCCTGACGACCTCCCACAGCCCACAGAAACAGCAGTTGAGGCTGAAACCGTCGTGCAAGACAGCGGGGATAAGGACGACACCCCGCCTTCTCCTCGCGATGCTGTTGATGAAGATACCCCCGAAGAAGCAGATGACAAGGGAGCGGAGGGCACCAGTGTGGATGGTGCGATTGCCACAATCATGCGGACGTCTCGGCTCTTTGTTCGCAATCTCCCTTATACCACCACGGAGGAAGATCTCCATCAAGAGTTTGGGAAATTTGGCACTCTACAGGAGGTAAGCTAAGCCATTTGGTTTCCTTTTGTTTCTATGAGAAAATGCAAAAACACAGGCAACATGATGAACCCCAGATAGGGACATCTTATGCTACGGCATGTGATGAGAACCTGGGCGATTATTTTAGTAGATGCTTCGACCTTTCTGATATCCTGTTTATATTCAAAACACATCTTTGCGATCCACGTTTTGTTGATCAGGTGGCTAACTTAGTCAGGTACATCTACCGACCAATGCTTCGGGAGTTCGCAAGGGGTTTGCGATGGTGTTGTTTGAAGATTCATCTAATGCCGTGAGCGCATTCCAAGCTCTTGATGGGGTAACTTTCCAGGGGCGCATTCTGCACATCATTCCTGCCGAAGCCAAGAAGAGTATGGACGAGTTTGGAATGTCAAAGTTACCCCTGAAGAAGCAAAACATGATACGCAAAAAAACTGAGGCGGCAACGAGCGTTTTCAACTGGAATTCGTTGTACATGAGCCAGGACGCCGTCAACGCCTCCGTTGCTGCACGCCTGGGCGTCTCGAAATCAGAAGTTCTCGATCCCACATCTGCCGATGCGGGCGTCAAGCAAGCCATCGCAGAAACGACAGTCATCCAGGAAACCAAGGCTTTTTTTGCTTCCAATGGCGTGGATTTGGATGCCTTCAAATCACACAAGCGAGGGGGCTCCTCTATTCTTGTCAAGAACTTTCCCTACGGCACTTCGATGGAAGAACTCCGGAAAATGTTTGAGGAGTGTGGTCCAGTTCTCAGAGTTCTGATGCCACCCACCGGCACCATTGCCATCATCCAATTCGCCCAACTGAATCACGCAAAGGCCGCATTTGGCAAGATGGCGTACCGTCGAGTCAAAGACAGCGTCCTTTTCTTGGAAAAGGCTCCAGTCGATCTCTTCAAAAAGGACGCGGCGCACGACCAGGCTAGCTTGGTTGTGGATCAGCGCACTGGGGTCCAAAAATTAAGCGTCGACGAATTGCTGTCAAGCGGCGATAAGGTCGAGGAGCCTGCGGAAACCGCATCACTCTTTGTCCGCAATTTAAACTTTGCCACGACGACAGACAAGTTGGCTGGGGTCTTTGAGCCTCTTGACGGTTTCGTCTCGGCTCGTGTCAAGACAAAAATAGATGCCAAAAAGCCAGGCCAGACGCTCAGCATGGGCTTTGGCTTTGTAGAGTTTCGATCTAAGAGCCAAGCACAGGCAGCACTCAAGACGATGGATGGCTACGTCTTGGATGGCCACGCACTGGGCGTCAAAGCCTCACACAGGGGCCACGATGCTGCCGAGGAGAGACGGCGCGAGGACGCGGCTAAGAAGGCTGCATCCCAAAGAACCAAGATCGTCATCAAGAATTTACCTTTCCAAGCCACCAAGAAAGACATCCGCACGCTGTTTGGGACGTATGGGCAACTTAGATCGGTCCGCGTTCCAAAGAAGGCAGACTATACCGCAAGAGGTTTTGCATTTGCTGACTTTGTGACCCCTCGAGAGGCAGAGAATGCGCTAAACGCATTGAAAGATACCCACCTGCTCGGCCGGCGACTAGTATTAGACTTTGCTGCCGCCGAGGCTGTCGATGCTGAGGAAGAGATCGAGAAGATGCAACGAAAGGTAGGGGGCCAGGCCAATAAAATGGCCCTTCAGCAGCTTACTGGAGGAGGGAGGAAAAAGGTTACTATTGGCAATGACGAGGATGAGCTTGAGGCTTAAGGTGGAAAGGCAGAGCCGAAACTATGCCCACGGGCTGTGTGTTGCACTGACAAGGCTGAGCTGTGCCCCCCCTTAGCCCGCGCTCTATTGAACATTATACATAGGAATATCTAATGATCCCTTGGCAAGGGGAGGGGTGTCCAATGTCGAACTTCTACAACGGCCCTCCCCCATGGACCACGGCGTGGGGTCCCATCAGCTGGCCTGGATCTCGGGCGAAGAATTCTGGTTTCGCGATGCCCCAAGGGCTGCCGCGGCGCCGTGTCTGATGTTAATCTCGTTCTACATGCCTGGGGCAGCGCGCCCAAGATGACCTGGTGCACATGTGTCTGGGGAGAGGGTGGGTGAGACCATGGCGTCCTGGCCCCGCCTTCAGACTCCCTTGCATGCCCAACGCCCCTCGTAACAGAACAGACCTCACGCTGCCATGTGCTGGTGGGTGACCTAGTTGTGCTTCATTGGCTGCTGAGAATAGTCTTCTGAACGTAGAGCTGCCGCCTGGTCGAAGTTCCACCCCCGCCGCACCAGCTTCCCTGTCCATCTTAGATGCTTTGCAGATGGACGAAATCTTGATAGCTTAGAGCATGTATCTCGGGTTGGAGGGGCCAAAGACAAGCTGCTAACCACCCCCGTCCTCCCCTTTGTCAATACAATCCGTTGGCCCTCCCGAGTCTCGAGTTTATATGTTATCGGGGCTCTCCTTAGAAAGGCATGTTCCGTTCCAATGGCTGTTCTTTGCCTCGTACAAAGCGTACATTATCCCACCATTCCACGCCCCGAATTCCTTTCCACATTTCTTGCCCATCAGGCTCTGCTCTTTCTTCACCAACGTGGGCTGTGGCAGAAGCTCTTCTCTCTTTGGGCTTGGAGCTGAGTTTTTGAACATCTTCTGTCGGACATTCCTTTCTTTCCCATTCAGGCCTCTTTTCCATCTCTGGTATCATGGCTTCCATCTACCAACCAAGGCCAGTCCTTGCCTCACAAGGAATTTCACATGCACCAGAGTACGTCGACGCAAGACGGACTGTCCATGGCGGCAGACAGCCTCTCCGTGAGGCTGCTGGCAATGCCCAAGCACATAGCTTCAACAGCAACATCCCGTGTTACCAGACCCCGGTATCTTCGCTGCCACCAACTATTCCTCCTCATATAGTACCATCACAATCCATCGATGTCATTTATTCCAGGCTTCAGACACCTCGTCATCAGCCCCGGCAAGTTCGCAAGAGCCGACAGGATATCAACCCTCTCTACTACTGGCCGGCCTTTAAACACTACCGCAATCGACAGGCTCACAAGGACACTCAAAAGGATAAAGGCGGCGTCTGGCGCCGACCCGAGCTCGAAGATGCCTTTGTCGACTGTGAGTTGCATTACTTTTTACTTTCCTCCCATGTCTATTTCCCTACTCTTTTCCACATGAGGCTAATAAGAAAATTTCTGCCCAGCCGTGCTTCTCATGCCTCACATGGGCCGGCGGAAATTTTCCATGGGGGGCAAGCTGCATGGCCGAAACATGCTCATCAGCGAATACATCTTTGTTATCTGCGTAGCGCTGCTGGGTAGCAAAGAAATCTTCCGCATTGACAACAGCAATGACAGCATTGAACAAATGGGACGCAAACAAGTGTCCAGCCACATGCAAGTTGTCAAAAAGTTTTTTGAAGATCTACGGTGCTGTTAGTGCACACTCCCCTCCTCCCCTTCACCCCCCTGCTCTTTATAGTCTATGGGTCATTAACTCGTTGTAGTTCATTTTCTGTTTCCTTCTGAAGAGAAGAAGGAGCCCGGATCAACCAACTCTGACGATTATTATGATGAAGAAGAGCAAGAGTCGTTCAAGTCCAACCCCATCTTGACGGCGTTGGCTGAGGGGCGAGTGCCCGAAGTGAGACCCAACTACGACTACTTTACCCAGCTACTGTCGCTGCAGGGATCCATCTCAGTGCGGCCCAAAACGTGCGAGATCTATGTTTCTTCGGCAGAGATTAAAATCCGGGACGACGTGGCCTACGACGCAAACAACACCCCCCTGGACCAAGCTTCATTTCCCCATTTGAACAAGTACACCAACTGCGACGACTTCCCCGATGCCCTGGGCAAGGACGTCCTGTTGCACGAATACACTCGAGCTCTGGATCGGGCAACCTCAGCATGTTTGAAGACGGTAATTCGGCGTTGGCAAAAGGATGCGCCAGCCATGTACGAGACGCTCGACCTGCCCACTCGGGACCAAGACTGCCTCTTGCTGGAAATCTGCTCGACGCTGGAGCTGCACGAACACGCCAAGTTCCCCTCAGGATCAGAACTCACCGGTTTTGTTGAGGTGGCCATCACGCAGCCGGAGCTGCAACAGCATCACTGGAAGTGCGTCACCCGATTGACACGACCAGATGAGCTGTACGGAGACGACTCCAAGCGTGGCGTCTACACCAATGAGAGCGGCATTCACCATCGGGGATGCAGCGACTCCAAAATGAACGACTGCAATTGCCACATGCGGCCCCGACAGGACATCCACGTGCCCTTCCCTGCAGTGGAGTGGGCCAGCATCTTGAGCACAGCCGTGCAATACCCAGACGTCGAGCACCAACGCAAGAAGGAGAAGCGCCACGAATCGAAGAAGCAGCACGAGCTAGGGAGGGCCGGTAGTAAGCGCAAGAGATCTGAGGACGAGGGCGATGCGGCGTCATGGAGCCGCCGCGAGCCAACGGGCAGCGACCTCATCTGCAAAGTTGCCATGTACCAAGAGCTATGGTCCCGTGCTCCCGACTCCTCGCAGTGGAAGAGGCAGGCCATCATCTTCTGGCGCTTCAACACCACGAATCAATGGTACAAGTACAACCCGGTCTTCAAGCCCTCGGGGACTTCTTGGAGATGGCTCACCATCAACGACCCCATGTCGCGATATCACCAACAAAAGGCTCTGGTCTATCCCTCGGCCGGCGTGTCAAGAGACGCCGTCATGTCACCGACACCCAGTGTGAGCCAGCAGCTCGCAGGCATCATGAACGAGAACATGAACACGGCTTGGACTAGCGGTGCGGGCGTTGCGCAAGTACCACCAGTACAAACAAACATCAACGTGTTTGACTTTCCGACAGGGCTAGCCACACCTGCCCCAACGGCGACTATCCATGGCCCTTATGCGGGTGGGAGCTTTGATCCCAACATGGCCTCGATGCCGGATGTGAACAACTACCTGCCAACAGTGAGCACGACAGCGGGCGGGGCGGCGAGTGAGCGCTCACATTCACTGTCGTTGGCTCACAACCCTTCCTACTTTGAGGGACAGGCTGGCTTCCCCGACATGAAGCCCATGACTACGGCTAGTGTGAATCAGTACCTTGCTGCAACCACAGCGGCCTCATTAGATCTGTCAACTCAACTCGTATACGACGACACCACTAGCATCACTGCCTGGGACATACCAAATCTGGATACATGGCCTGGCCCTGCCACATCGACTCAGGCAGGCAACGAATGGGCGACTGCCCCCTCGACGCAGCCAAGAGCGGATCCCAGTGACCACGCTGGGCTGTGGAATCCAACCCAATGGCATATCGCGGGTGTTGCAACCACACCGGCATCCGCGGGGGCTGAGCACGACGACAGCCCTAGGTCGATGAAGAGGCGACGGACGGAGCCCTCGATGAGCACACATGTGCCTATTCCTAATGACTGGTAGTTTTGGCTTGTGACAATCAGGTTACAGTACTGAAAAGGAACATGTTTTAGATCTGGATGGCACTTTTGAGTCATAGATGGGAACTATTTTTTTACACTTGGAAGGATACACGGCAAGGAAACAGGGGAATGGAAATTTTTTCACTACAAAATACCCGGGGAGGTGGGATCGGGGCAGGTTGATTGGATGATTTAACGGCTGAAGGATGCTGGAGAAATACGGCGTTTACACTGTCTGTGTGGTCCCTTTGGTGATACTTGGATGCGGCGTTGGGTCTTGGGTTCGGGCAAATTTAGAAACAAACACGAGTAATAATCAACACACACACTTGTTGCAAGCAACACACACCACAAGTTCAAAACCAGTGATCAGGTCATGAGAAAGGACCTTTGTTAACATGACAACTGACTTGCATATGTGGCTGAACCTTTTTGTCTCTTTCATGATCGAATGAACGAGGTGGATCGCCAAGGTGGGAACTTTGGGCGAAAGTGCATGACCGTTTGCGGAAGACGTACGTAACATGTCTCACTCTACGCTGGATTTGTTCCGCAGTGAAAGAAGACGAGAGAAAAGAAGAGAAAGAAAGAAAAGAGAGAGAAAAGGAACGGTCTCACTGTCCGAGGCGCTTAGGCCACCTAGCTAGACGGGATCCAAAAGAGCCTAATCCCACAGAACGGGGGAGGGGAAGAAGAATTCCAAGGGAGGATGAGTCTACGGTTTCTTCTTCTTTCCGTGGGTTAGGGTCTCAGGAACAGGGCCAAAACCCATTTAACGAATATTCCAAGGGAGTAAGAAGGACGCGTATATTGATTCCAGGGAACACCGCGTAAAGTGGTTTTGCGGGCGCTAGTTGCGAGCATATAAAGGATGCCGAGTTCCCGCCCTTTTGCTCCCTTTGAGGAGGAATGATGTGGAATGAGGAGGAAGGGGAAGGTATTATTGGTTGCGGTATTGGATTGGAGAGTGAGGCTATTGTTGAAGGGGATTGGAATGGTTTGGCTTGTAGTTGATGCGTTGAGCATTTGATATTTCAGGTTGAATGTGGTGGTACTTGCGGCATGAGAAGTGTTGGGTGCTGTGGGTGAGTACCATATGATGGATGTCGATCTAGTGGATATGGGAGATCTAGTAGATGCTAGTAAGCCGATCAGATGCAGGTAGATCTGGTAGAAATTAGTAGATGCTGGTAGATGCTGGTGGATGTAAGTAGATCTAGTCGATGCTAGTAGTTGCAGATAGATTGAGTAGATCTCATACCTGGTAGTAGATTCATCTTGATTGGTTTTATCACATGCAATTATTTGATCACCAGATTGCGTATACGGCAGTTCCAATTATAGCATCCGATAATCTACGGTGATCGTCTCATGACTGCAGCCCCGCAATTCCGACAAGGCTGTAAGCTGTAACCTTACATTCGCCAGGCAGCAGAGCAGGATACTTAGAGTCATTTCTCAATTACAAGTTTTGATGAATCATCATAATCACTACTATTCAAGAATTGAGCTCGGAGTCATCCTTTGCTTGTAACGTAACATGAGCGGACCTCTTAATGTTTCGACGAGTGTCGTAGCTGTGCTGCAGCTCGCGGCCACGGCAACGCAATATCTCAAAGACATCAAGCATGGGTCGGCCGATCGGTCTCGGCTCCGAGATGAGCTTAGGAGTACAGTTTGTCTGCTTGAAATGCTACAGGATCGTTTGGAGGATTCGAATGACTTGCCAGACAGTGAGAATATGTTGATGCCACAGTCTATCAGTTTGCTCGGCGGTGCAGACGGTCCATTACATCTCTTTAGACAAGTTCTAGAGGAGATTGTTGCCGAATTAGCACCTCAAGATAAACTTAGGCAGTTGGCTAAGCCTTTTACCTGGCCGTTTGATAAGAAGAAAGTGGCAGAGTTACATACTCGCTTGGAAAGATCGAAAAGTCATTTCAGTCTAGTCTTGCAGAACAATATTGTGTACGAGCATCACATCAGTTGAGTAGGTATTGCCTTTGCTGATTCAATAGTAGAGATTTGGTGAGATTAGCAAATCTCAAGCTTGATAAAATTGGCGACAAGGTGGAAAGCTCAGAAGCAAAGTCTCGAGATAGTGACTCGCAGAAGATCATCCATTGGATAAGTCCGCTATCATTCCGCTCTCGACATGTCAATGTTCTGGACAGCGTTCAGCCTGGAACCGGTATCTGGCTATTGGAACATAACACCTTTCGTGATTGGGTGAAGAGCAAGACTGGGACTCTCTGGTGTCCTGGGATACGTTAGTTTTACAACCTCTTTGGGAAGCTTCCTTGTGTATATACTAATCTGGTGCCTGTAGCTGGAGCTGGAAAGACAAGTCTCGCGTATGTGATTTCGTGCTCTCCTGGAGATGTATACCAGCAGCTAATATTTCCACAAGATCCCTTATCATCAATCACCTCGAACAAGAGGCACCGCAGGAAAACACATTTTGCTCATTCATCTACTGCGATTATAACCAACGCAGTGCTCAAACAAATGTGGCGCTCGTGTCCAGCATACTTCAGCAGATACTTCAAAATTATTCCAGTGAGGTCCTACCTTCAGAAGTGGTAACGCTGTACAACCAACATCAGAAATACCAGACTCGTCCGACATTGGCACAAATCACTGGAATATTAGGGAAATTGATTTCAACATTTGAAACGTTTCATGTCATTGTCGACGCCTTGGACGAATGCGCCGAGTCAGAGGAAGACGCTATTCGGTTCATCTCAGCAGTCTCTTCTCTGGGATCATCGGTTAAGATCTTATGCACTTCCAGGTCTTCAAGCATATTTGACGCCTATTTCAGTACAGCCTCTAGAATAGAAATATCTGCCCAACAAGCAGATATTACGACCTTTATAACCGCTTGCCTACAAGACCAGGCCAGGCTCTCAAAACATACTGCTAAAGATGTTAGCTTAAAAGACGATATTATCGGGGCAATCATCCAAGAATCTCAGGGAATGTAAGCTACATCTGATGTATTAGAAGATATATATTTGGGCTGACTGTAGCATATGACGACAGGTTCTTATTGGCAAAACTACATGTTGAATCTTTGTCTCGAAAAATTAGCCGCAAAGACGTGCGCATTGCGTTGAAAACTCTGCCCAGCACCTTGGATGCCACATATTCAGATGCACTTGAGAGAATCCACAGTCAAGATTCAGAGTCTGCTGAACTGGCTGAGTTGATTCTGTTCTGGGTTGTCTCCGCTAAGAGAAGTCTCACAGTCCAAGACTTGCAGCACATTTACGCCACACGAGAGTTGTCGGATGGGAATTCTCTTGACGAAGATGACATCCCAGACGGCGACATTTTGACGAGAGTGTGCAGTGGCCTCATTACTGTGGATGATGAATCGCAACTGGTTCGTCTGGTCCATTATACTGCTCAACAGTACTTTGAGAAATGCCACCACACGCGACTGTTGGAAGCAAAAAAGAGCCTCGCAAACATCAGCCTGACATATCTGACGTTGTCCAACTTTTCCAGCGGATTCTGTACAACTGACGAAGCCATGTCTCTCCGCTTGAAGCAATTTCCTTTTCTCCTTTACGCCGCCAAATACTGGGGTTCAGATCTTGCTGAGCTAGACTGTGCTGATATTGGGCCAAGGATTGAGAAGTTTTCTTCTGAAGCTGCTGCAGTAGAAGCTGTCAATCAAGCATGGAGTCTTAAGACCGGCAAGTTCCAATACACAAATTGGAGCCAGGAGTTCCCTAGACACGTACCTGTGCTTGTACTGATATCAGCCTTCTGTCTCCCAGAGGTTCTGCAATACCTGGTATCAAAAGGCCATAAGATTAATGCTAGAGGTAGCGACGGTGAGACTGCCCTTATTCGTTCAGCCGGTTTCGGACATGTGAAAAATGTACAGGCGCTCCTTAGACTGGGCGCGGAGGTAGACGCTCAAGATCACATGGATGAGACTGCATTGCAGAGAGCCGCCAGAGTTGGGAATGAAACCATTGCCAAAATCTTGCTCGAGAAGGGCGCAGATGTCAATATGAAGGCGGCGAGCGACTTGACTGCGCTCATGTCTGCGGTTTCCAGCGGCAATCTCGAAGTTGTCAAGACCTTGGTCGAAGCCGGCGCTGATTTCAAGGCCGAGACGGTTTGGGGAGACTCTGCCTTGAGCATTGCAACCCGAAGTGGTCAAGAAGCTATTGCTAGTTTCCTGTTTGACCAAGGAGCGATTCTACCCAAGGGACCTGCTGGGCGCCGCGCCTCCATCATAGCCTCTCGCAAGGGTCTCCATCAGCTGGTCAGGAAACTCACTGCCAACTACGACGCTGTCGCAGACAAGCCGCTGGAGCGACAGAGTTCGCGCCTCATGGAGGGACTGTCTGACATCCAAGAGGCAGAAAAAGTTGCTTCTGATGCAACAACAGAGGAAACTATACCTAAGCAGACGAGAGCTGACTCTCGGACAGAATTCCTGGATGACATGGAAGAAATTGGATACAACATTGGATTTCACAAGCGATACGACTTACTCCAACAGCTCGGCAAAGGCCATTACGCGGAAGTGTACCTCTGCGCAAACAGAGTAACGGGCGTAAGATATGCAGTCAAAGTGCGCATCTTCGCTTCTAAAGCATCCGAAAAACAGAGGTCGAATGAGTTGTTCCGAGAGGCGAAGATGCTGCGATTTCTCCAAAAGGACCCTCACCCGAATATACTGCGATTTGTCGATCTCTTTGCAGAGCATTCCTTCGAAAGGACTTACTTGATTATGGAACTTGTGCCGCACGGCGAGCTGTTCAACTATATCGTTTTGAATACGCGCTTATCGGAAGACGAGTCCCGAAAGGTGTTCCTGCAGTTGTTTTCAGCGCTGGAGTTTTTGGTGAGTTTCTTTTCTTACAGAGTGACTACATGTATCCAGCATCCAACTTGACTATCCTTCAATTAAAGAACAGTAGCAAGCGAGATGTAGAGGAAATACTTAGTATTTCAAGTATCTGTTACTGTCGCTACCTTGTTCTAGTATCTGATATTACCGCTATATTGTTCTACTATCTGCTACTATCGCTACTTCCCTCTAGTATCTACTACTATCGCCACCTTGTTCTAGTAGCTGATATTACCGCTACTTCCTCTTGTATCTGCAATTATCACTCTTGGATTCGGTATACGAGACATTGGATAGCCAACTTGGATTGCTGGTTACAAATCCCTTTGCTTACGACCGTCAGGCGATTGAAAGCGTTTCTCCGCTCAGTGATTTACTGACAGTGTTGATAGCATGATCAGGGATGCATCCACCGCGATATCAAGCCTGAGAATATTCTATTAGCAGATGAGAAAAACCTGGTCATTAAGATATCAGACTTTGGATTGGCCAAAATCATTGGTCCTGGTACTGAGAAATGGGAGTGGGTAACGACCCTTTGCGGAACACCAAGCTGTGAGACTCTCCTCATCTCCTGCGTCTTCTTTTCTCCTTCAGTCTATTCGAGCAAATAGATAGCTAAATGTCCCTAGATGTGGCCCCTGAGATACTGGCGACTGATTCAAAACGAAAATACGGGTTCCCAGTGGACATTTGGTCCAGCGGAGTCGTCTTGTACATTTGTCTATGCGGCTTCCCACCCTTTTCTGATGAATTGTACTCTAAAGAGTTTCCGTATACACTCACCCAGCAGATCAAAACGGGCAGATTCGACTACCCATCACCGTATTGGGACCCAGTTGGAGATCCGGCGCTCGATCTGATTGATAGCATGCTGGTTGTGGATATGGAGAAGCGGTTTACCGTCAAGCAATGCCTTGAGCATCCTTGGATGCGAGAAGCGGTTCCCCAGATACTGGAAGAGCCTATCAGGTCTGAAAGCCCGGAGCCAATGGAGGAAGGGGAAGAAAGAAGAAATGCTCCATTTCAAAAGAGGTCGTTAATTTCGGATCTTAATAAGTAGAACCTTGCATGGGATTGGCAAGGTTAGAGCATCTTTGTATGGTCCAAAAAGCACGAGTGAATGGGTGCATAAAAAACAACTCAACAAGTTCAAATCACTAATCCAGGCAGCACTTGTTTCTTCAGTGATTAACTCATAAGCTACTGACAGTCAACTCATTAATACCTACCATCTCATGTTGCTGTCACCCGATTCAGCCCTGCAGGTTCCTGGATAGAGCAGTGACCTGCAAGTGCCGTTGTTGAGGCGGCACTGCCCCGCCAAAAGGGCCCATAGGGGTACCTCCCCAAGCTCCCGCGGCTGGTACCTCCCTAACAGCTTCTTGGCAGAACACGGCATGCATGGCTCGTGCGCCCCGATGCTTAGCCTGTGATTCCGGTCCTTGTCAACTCCAAAGCTCGACTTTAAGGAGACGCGAACCTGCAGCTTTGCGCACACGACCATCCTCGATACCGCACGCAATTCCCCGAGCGTGACGACCGTTTACGAGCCGAGCTCAATACAGCTACAATCTTGAGGGTAAGCGCTCCCACTTCCGCAGCGTCCGTTTGCCAGTGGCGATTACAGGGGGGAAGGGGCAACGAGACCGTCTTCGGCGCCGCATTACTGTCATGGGACATGGTTGCTAATGCTCTTTTCTTCTCGTCATACACAGCGTAATCGCGTCAAGTTCATCATCAAACTATCAAATATCCTTTCATCTATCAGAAAACATGGCGGACAAGCCAGCAGAGGTCGCTGCGACGAGAGAGAAGTTGGAGGGTAAGTCGCGATCCCACATCACCAGCACAAGGGGAAGCTTGGCTAACGGTTGGCATTGCAGCACAGATCAAATCTGCAGACATGGTAAGATCAACCCGGAGAACTGGCCAACCCGAACGACCCAGCTAACGATTTCGACAGACGGATGATATGCAGCAGGAGTGTATAGAAGTTGGTACGTTGGATTCGACAACCGCCGCCATTGGCAGGGAAAGAGCCCACACATGAGAGAGGAGGAAACTAATGATGGAACTGTAGCTCAGGAAGCCATGGCCAAGTTTACCATTGAGAAGGTATTTATTTATTTACCAGACACTATGTTGCGATCGACAACAAGTACTGACAACACATGATAGGATATTGCACAGCACATCAAGCGAACAGTCAGCCCACCTGCCCTTATACGAGACGAGACGAGTTCTTACTAACCATATATGGCGGTACAGTTTGATGAGCGAAAGGGCCCAACCTGGCACTGCATTGTCGGCCGAAACTTCGGCAGCTTTGTCACTCATGGTACGTGAATGACTGCTGCTGCGCTGTGATACCCTCCCTGTTTCAAGGTCCGGCTGCCGGCTAACATTATTTGGCATCTACAGAGACTAAGCATTTCATATACTTTTATCTCGGCCACTGCGCCATCCTGCTCTTCAAGACGCAGTAAACCCTAGAGCGATGAATACACGAGAATAGAATATGACACTTGCGAGAGTTGCGACCACGGCTGTTCTTGTTTGAGGCGTGGAAGCGGCGTCATAAACATGGGGGAAAGTGTTTGATGTGCACTTTGCGGCTTCTTCTTCAGAACTTGAATTATTATTGTGTGTATTATCAAAAATAGAGATGAAGTTTTATTCTCATCACCAAGCAAGCTGCATCTAGCTATTATGCTTTTATCATGTGATTCCAAATCTTCTTTTCCCTTTCCCACATGATTAACTTTGTCACATCACAGGATCGGCATTAAATCGAGTCAATCTATCATTTCATACAAAACGGCAAAAGGGAAGAAAAAGAGGGGGCAAAAAGGAAAATGATCCAAGCTTATTAGGCGACCTCCCGACGAAACATTCTTCAGCATGGCCCCCCCTTCTCCAGATGCATGTCTCAACAAACACTTGCATGAAACTCGCATCTTCATCTCAGACAGCCACTTGCGAAGCCCTCCCTCCTTTTTTTTCCTGTGCCGCGCTATAGAAAAGAAACCGCCGCCTCGTACCCTGGATGTAGAATCTACAGTAGTTGGATGTATCAGAGGTCCCCCTCACCTCACATTTGCCCCTCCGTTGCTGCATTGGAAGGATTTTCCATCTTCCGTTGCTGTTGGGTTTCTTTGCATTTTTTTCTGTTTTTTTCTTCATGTACCCCAAAAGGATTGACGAATCGTGTTTCGCTGAAGAGTCACTTTTTCTTCTGTTTCATGCTGTGTTACCTGAGTAGTGCAGCACCAGCCTATCAAAACTGCAGAGACAGCAAAGCTGGATTGGTTTCCGCATACGGTAGGTACATGTAATAGTACCAAAGAAGATGGACATACAAAGCCCAAATAAGAGAAACCCCGAGCAAAAAGGCGCAACTTGCTGGAAATCTCTCCGAATCGCTCTCCCCCAGCCTTTTTCTCTCAAAGTTCGCTTTTTAGTTTAGCAGCTTCGCCTAGCAATCAGAATGGGACGAGTACACGCTATTTGCACCTGTTAGTCCCATCGCCCGCCGAAATGTCACTGGCAAACTGGCAATTAACGGGATAAAGCAAAGCTCGTCCACAGCCCAAATTTCCCAACCGCAGCGCGCATCCAGGCGGCCAAAGCTAGATGAAGCTAGCCCCCAAGCTTTTTTCATTCTTTTCTTTTCCTGTCCATGCCTGCTTAGCCCAATATTTCAGTGTCAGCCAGCCAGCCGAAACAAAAGAAAAAAAAAACAGCTTGCGGCCTATCATGCGCGTCCATTGCAAGAAAAGCAAAAACCTGCATTTCCCCTTCATCCAATGATCAAACAAACCAAAAGGCTGCGGAAGGCCCAATTTGCTTCCCCGTCTAAATTCAAAGAAGGCCAGACTAGCCGAGATTGGTCCGTTTTGACGACGGGCTCTTTTTTTTTTGTCATTTGTGCTTCTTTTTTTGCTTTTTTTTGCTTTGTTGCCCACACCCCGCATTTCCCTCGCCACGTTAGTACGACGGTCCAGGTTCAAACTATTTGGCTTTAGCAGCAGTCTTGTGGCTTGCGTAGCCCAAGGGAAACAAGAGACGAAAAAGATGGTGGCTGTAAGCCGGCGAAGGGAAACAGCCCAAAACTGCTCAGGAGCATATCGGTTGCATTGCGGGATCGGAATCGGGGCAAATGCGCTATCCAGCAATCAGTCGGGCCATACTCCGTACATGCATAGCGAAACTGCCAACAGCGGCTTTGCGCTTTCTCCCTCCTCTCTCTTGTCCTTCTTGTCCGTTGTGCTATTCTCCGCGTGTGTCCAAGGGTCGTGCCGGGGAGCATGGGGGCCGTCCTCTTTTATCAATGGGTCGAGTCAGCCCGGTTAGATGTCGCATTGCAGAGTCGGGGAGAAAAGCAAAATGGCACACCGATATATCGCATGTGCGAGGACGGAGCCCCGTTCCCACTCTCAGATGCAAAGTCGACGCTCTTTTCATCTCATCCTCGGTCGTCTCATCCGTCCTGGCATTTCATTCTCTTTCTGACGGCTCGTTCTGTACCTTGGCATGTATACCAGTACAGTACTTGGAGGTGGCGGCAGAACGGTGATTAAAGACCTAGGCTAGCCGTGGATCGTTGTACACACCCCCCCTCTGTTCTGGATGATCTGACCCCGGGTCATGCAATCAGCCTTGGACCCCTCAGAGAGCAAAAAAGGCACATCCATGTGGCTTCGCTCTAGCTGTTTATATATTGGTCGCACGCAGAGGGAAACGGTGCCAATGCTGGTTCACGCTGGCCGCCGGGCCATTGAACTGCTTCTTCGGAGAGAAAAGGGAGGGGTGGAAAGGCCCGAGGATACATATTAGAAAGAGACGCAGGAAGGGCTTCAATCGGTTCAATTCAGCAAACCGTCTCGTCTCGGGAGTGCCTGTCAAAGCAAATCATGCAGGAGAAATTCAAAATTCACACGGAGTACTTTGGGGCCGTCGTAACTCGGGCAAAAACAAGACAAGAATGAATGCAGCTCATACAGGTGCCTCTTGTACTGCGGGGCCCTTCGTCCAAGCACAGGCCAAAAATGGCTCCATTGCCATGACAGCGCTCGACTCACTCACCGAACAGCACCCGCAGGACCCTTGTTCATCAATCAACGATCCATAATGGCTTCTCACTGTATTGTATTGTCCGAACGGCGGAAATGTCGGGGGGCCTTGCGTGACGTCCCGCTACCCTGATAGGATAGGCAGCAAGAGGCAGTTTTTTTTCCCTTCCGGTTTCTTGGTTTCTCATCAGTTGCCAAATGACACAATCAAGGTCCACAAAATGCCGCCGGACCCTCTCCCCAAAAAGAAGACCAAGCCAAACAAGAGCTACCCCGGCGGGAGAAAAGAAACCGTTGGAAGAGGATGGGTAAGGCAAGACTAGCCCTTGATTACAGATCATCTGATGGGAACGGGACCACGGAACGAGTCGCGGAACAAGTCACGGACAGAGAGTAGTCACGGAGTAGCTGGTACGAGTACTACCTTGATATTGCATGGTGACGGTGTAAATGTACCGGAGCAGTCAGTTCTCGTGAGCGAAATATGCGTGGGGAGGGAGCGAAAGAGAAACACCTGGGCGGATAATGCCGAGATCGCTTGATCACCCATCACCATGGGGAACCAATAGAATGCGCGGCGGCCAGATGACCCAAGCAAGTACAGTACTCCCGGGTCGGGTATGTACCTACACATGTCTGTTGGTTGTGATGGTTTTCGTTCTTACGCTACGGCTCTTTTAGTTTCCTAGCTTTACCGTGCTGTTGGGTACTATAGTCGATCTCATAAATCGACAACCCGGTATATCGCGAAACAGAAAAAGAGAAACGGCCAAGAGCAAAAGAACACACACAAAAGTGAAGCAAAAAAAAGAGAGCCATTTAAAAATTTTCCACAGGTAGGTATAGACGGGTAAATCTCATGCATCTAGACTCCGGCAAAACTGATAAACGGCCAGGCCCTGCGGTCGACCGTACATACGACCTACATAGAGCAGCAAGCAAGCAGCGGTAGCTGCAGGCGACGGCGTCATGGCCGGCTGGCAAAAAAGAAATTTCCAATACATTTCCGCACTAGGCATGCATTAGGAAGTGGAATCGGTATAAATACGTGGAGAGGAGCGAGGAAGCCCAAAGAGATGTGGTTGCGTGTGTCATTGAGGCGCGGTGATGTTGCCATAAGAAAAGGCAAAAAAGAAAGAGACAAAAGAGAGTGCATCCATTTGAAGAAAGGCCCGTCAATAAGCAATCAAATGCCGGGCGCAGCGTGACTTATTAGCAAGTGAGAGAGAGAAAAGATCCCCCGGGAATTTCACTTGTGCGACATCCGGGTGTCTCAAATCGGAAACAGAGAAACCTGGAAAGCTTCGTCAGGCGATTTCCAGACGCAAGTCAGCGGTCCTGCTCATCTACCCCGTCGATGGGACGCTCATCGTACTACGAGTACTAAAAAGAGAAGAATAAATCACGATGACGGGGGGAAGAGGGTGATGCGTGTGCTCGTACTGCTGTACAGGCACAGGCATCACGCAGATGCAAAGGAGAAGAGTAACATCGCGCCATGCACCGACCACCAGAGATGCTGCACCGGGACCTGAGCGAGGCGTCCCGCGAAGAAAGCCATGGATCGGAGACGGCCAGTGGGAAGAATCTACAGTACTGTATGTACAGCGGTTTCTGCGATACCCCCAGGCAAAAGGCAAAAAAAGGCACATCATTACAAGCATACACACAGAGATGCGTCCATGCATACACCAAGAAAAAAGATCAAAAAGTACATCCAGACTCTGCGGTTGAAGCGTCTCGTATCGAAGCAAATCTGACTTTCGCTTTGGTACCCCGAATGTACTCGTACTCGTACGAAACAAAGTCCGGCCATCGGGCGCAGAGGTACCGGGTCGTCGTACCTGCCTTGCTGCTGCACGCTTGGGAGTGTGGCGCACCACGCCATGCCCGATTTGCATGACTTGCAGCGGGCCTGTCCGCCATTGCCCATCTAGCCTGGCAACCTGGAAGTAAGAGTACAGGTACTGTACTGTATTGAACGGAGTACCTGAGGCTTGGGTAAGGTCAATGCTTTGGCCTGGTCTGATGTGGCTGGTGTTTGATGTTTGTTTGCTGAGATTGGGCTGATCTCTCTTGACCCATCCCGGTTTTGCTTCCAAAAGGTCGGGAAGGGATTCTGCAGACCTCAACACACACACTTCGAGATCCGTCTGTCAAATCACTTTTATATACTCGCACATACACAACAAACACGCCCCCCAAAAATGCGGGCAAACCGCAGGGCCTCCCACATGCGCTGTCAGCGGCAAGCAACGCCAAATGTGGAAGCTGGCGATTGGGCCCCGCGACGGGACAAACAGCGGCACGTGCCAGCAATTCATCGCTCATGCGGCCTGCTATTCTCGCACGCACATGGAAGCCGGCGGTGATTGGCGAATCCAGCCTTGGGATGATCCCGTTGCAGCAACACCCAGATTCTTGGGGTGACGGCCGTCGACTTTGTGCTTGGCGGAACAGACTTTGGACTACTTTCTCTTCCTTTTGCTGTCGTGGTCCCCAGAACGGCTGTCGCCTTCTATCTCCCCGACAACTTAAAAAGAGCCAATGCGCTGCGGCTTACAGCCCGCCCTGAGCCTTGCCTTTTAATGTTTTGCCAGCTCGTATTCCCCTCCAGAGCGCCGTCTTACAAGCCCCGAGTACCAGTACGGTACTTTGTCCATACTCCAACTTCCCATGTACTACCAGGTATCAATCAGCTGGGGGCCGTCTCCCAGCGGGCGCGCGCCTGTTTGCGAATCTCATCACCGGGGTTCTAACCGCCGGCAAAGCCCTTGTCTCGTTGTTGGTCTGCCAGATCGTCTCAGGCCAGCCAGCCTCCAAACAACAAAAAGAACCTGCTTTGAGGGTTTTATCCTCTGGCCGCACGACTGTTGCATCTCCCCCATTCCGGTGGCACTGGTCAGATGATTCATCCGGTTTTTGTGTGTGCAAGATGCCTCAGCGTGAGAGCTGCCTTATTGGATTGGCCGTGAGCAGAGCGCCAAGTGGTGGGGGGGCCTTCGCTAGGGATTATGTAGCCGCGGGAGATCAATCTGGAACAGACTGCGTACCTCACGGCAGTGTCGAACCAGGTGTCTCGGGCAAGGGAGATGCTCGTCACTCACAGAACGTGCTAACGTCGATACATGGCCAACCGTGGCAGAGCCATCTCCCTTGAATCGTCACAAGCCCAACGTGCTGTATGTATGGCCGCGGTTGCCATGGTAGGCTTAGCACCACGTCGGATCAGACCTGCGATGAGATGGTTCGTGCAAGGCGAGGCGAGGCGTATCGACGTGGTAGCAAGTCGAGTAGTACGTGCTAGCCAGCATCAGATCAATTTGCTCGCTCCCAGATCCAAGTCTCGTTCAGGCCTTGGGGGGGTGCCAGTACTGTCTGTACATATTGGAGTGGGATCATTATACGTGGCTGCGGCACTGCCGGCCGTCAGCCAGCCAGCGGTGGCGAGCGACGACCTGCACCAAAGGCAGGCATTACTGCTACTTGCGTAGCATTGCGTTCCAGACATGGCAAAGGCCGTTGCGCCGGATTGCATTACCCAGCCGCTTTAGCCAGGCCAAGACGCTGGTGCAGCGAGTGAGACGACAGAGGCGTCTGTTTCTCGCTTGTTTGAGCAGAGGTACATACTGTACGAGTGCAGACAGACCGGGTGCCCATTCATCGCGTATGCGCATGCAGGGTGTAGTAGCACGATGCTAACGAATGAGTTCTGCTCGGGCTCGAAATGGAAAAGAAGCTCATTTGGCCCACGTCCAACAAACCGACTGTCTGGTCGTCCGCGGGTGGCTTGCGGTGATCAAATGTCAATATTGAAATAAATAGCCCCGGTGGAGCAGGCTAATACTGGCGCCGGCGTGCGGTACCAAAGCTCCAGGCCTTGCTTGGCTGCTCGCAGATTGCTGCCAGCTAGGGATACCAGGGAGGGATGCCTCCGTCTATCTGCAATACAAGCAGCTCTGCAGAGAGAGAGCGCAGGGCTAGCCACCGCTGACTTGAGCACAGAATGTTTCAGAGGCTAACCTGAGATTGAAGATGGGCCTCCAGCACGGTCGCTAGGAACCCGTCAGCAGCAGCTCCGAAGGATTCAGGAGCCAACCAGCAACAGCAAGTCGAAGAACGTTGAAGCTGCTTCAAGCTGTTTCTGGCTGCCTCTGCTTGCTGCTACTGTACTGTTAGCTCGGGCAGCGGAATGTACTCGTATACATCATCACTTCTACCAGCTGACGGCAAGATTGCTTTCCGGCGCGGGCACCGAAGCCGTGACGACCTGCGACTTTGACATGGGGTACGAGTGATGAACGTGGGAAAAGGCCGTTACTAACGACAGCTGACTGGTGGCCATGCAAGTCTATCGCGGGAATGTCGCACACACCCCCTCCACTAATATCGACGCCCATTTTTTTCTTCTGCTTCTTCTTCTTCTGCTTGACCTTCATGTAACATTGGCACGGTACCGAGGTAGGAAGTAGTAGACATGCATGGCTAGAGGTATACAAACATCAGCTTTAGTTAGTAAGGCGAGCAGGAAGAGGTAGCTCAAAGCCCGGAACCAGTTCGCATCTGGATGGGCTGATGCCTCCCGCAAAAAAAGCATCCAATGCGTCCTTGCACACTCCTTGCGCCGGCCGGTGACCGAGCGATGTCCAGATCCCCCCCCAAAAAAAGGCGGCCACCAGCCACGAACTTGGCGTAGTCAATGTTCACGTTCGCATGCCGGTGCAACGTCCATGTGCATGCAATGGCGATACAAGACATGCCCGTCGGCGACGTCAGCGGGCATTTTGCCTTGCAAGGCCAGCTCACAAAAAGGAGAAAAAAAAACGTCAACGCTGCCTGTCCTGTCCTGTCGGGCAAGGCGAGAGGCGGAGAGGCTGTGACGCGCTCTGCATGTACCGTTGGATCCTTACTAATGTACATGTACACGTACAGCTACACGTACAGCTACACGTACAGGTACGTCGAGTGCCCGCAAGAGCTGTGCGCTGCGTGATGTCAGCGCTCGTGTCGTGTGCCACCAAGTTTCTCGCCGGCCCCCGTGAGATGAGAAGCGCAACTCGAACTCACCGAGCCCAAAGCGGCGCCGCCATTGGTCTGCAGGTATTCTCGTATGCATGAGAGAGGAAATATCAGGTTGGTGCCCTAAGATGCAAATGGGCACAAGATGGCAATGGGCAGCGAAGATGCTCCCTCTCAATGAAATCCCGGGTTTGGGGGTTGAAACGGTACATACCCGGGTACCGTACTTTTCGACACACGTCAAGATGCGGCTTATAATAGCCTCATTTCAAGCTACATGCCGGACCAACTTACCCTGCAAACACGTGCATTGACGATCATCCTTCCAAGCTACGGGCGCTGGACGCTGTACGGAGTACCTCGCTGCTGCATCATGTACCTCTCTGGCTTTCTTTCTAGGCCGTCTGGCAAATAAACTTGGGGTGTTCTGTCGAGATTATGCTGGGTCTGCTAAAGGACGTGCAGTCGTATCGCGCGCAGCCCCCAGCTTTTTTTTTTTTTTTTTTCTTTCTCGAAGGAATTGCCCAGTATTTTAGATGCTGCTGAAACAATCACCGGCCGTAGGGCTGCTGTCAGCAGAGCGCAACCTCACACCCTCTCTGCTCGCCCAAAAGGCGTCTGTGTGATGCTGATTGGACATTGTCCTGCTACACAGATTGTCCAATACGGAGGCGCGACTGTCAGGGAAATTCCAAGCGACGCTCGCAGACGAATAAGGCGGCGTGGCAGTCACCCGGTTCCACATGACACTGCAGTCCGCTGAGAACGACGGCGGCGCTATTTGCTGCCGTAGAGTACAAAGGGTCCCTAATGGAAGTAGAGAAGAGGGATTGACAAGATGCAATCAGCACGGGATCAACCCAAGAATTCGGCCGTTTGATATCTACTGGGTGAAGCAGTACTTGCGTGTGCGTGTGTACGGACGTCGGTGCTAAGCTCCCATGTTGTCATGGCTGTCGTTGAATCTTTTACCGTCTTGCTGGGTTAGCTCCCTGCTCCGGTGATCCCCATCCAGCTTAGGCCGGGTGGTACCGGGGAGATACATACCGCTCACTCGTCATGCGGATAGCAACCTGCTTCATGTACAGGATCATGCCCGCGGATGACTCGCAAGGCTTCGTAGGGCACATGTACTCTGTAGGTATCTGCACGACGCTGCAAGGCTTGACTCTTTTCTTTTATTCTCTTTTGCTTCGCCAACTCCAGTCTGCTCGACTTGCCAGGATCAGGAGCTCGCTAGTGTTTGTACGACTGTGGCTGCATGCACGTACATATCGACAGCACTCGCTTGGCCTTTTGCCATGACCGCCCGCTGCCAGAGGAAATGGGAGGGGGCGTGGCCTGAGAATTGGCCCTTTACTGGCAAATGCTGGCGCAAAAGTGCAGTGTACTCGTACAGAGCAGTAGTTAATAGCACCAGAATCCAGAGGGACAGGGCCACGTTCGGTTCTACATCCGTTCTGCCAGAGATGTTCCCTTCGAGGGGCACAAGGGCAGCCACAGCACATTCTAGAGTTAGGGCCTGTGCGCCGCTGTGCCTGATGAAGGAACAGCAGTCCCGCAGATAGACATACAATCACGCACGCATCTTGACTGTATCCATTGCTTCGTTGGTGGTGGGCTGTTATTGATGAGCAGAAAAGGGGGGGCCTAGGCAAAGGAGGTGAAGAAAAAGGACCAGAAAAAAAGTCCAGACAAAAATCTGATATGGGGCAACTGCATCTGCTCCGTAGATGAGATGGGTCAATGCCTTGGGTAAGGAATCATAAAGTACCAGACATGGAGGCGATTGAAGAGGCCAGACGCAGGGGGGAAGAAAGATCAATGCAATGGAAGGTCTCGAGACCTGGGGGCAGTGAGTGAATCAGCGCTGCTCTGGTCTGCGCTGAACTGAACTCAACTGACCTGAATCAATGAAGACAAACTGAGGTCAATCTGAAGTGAAGTCAATCTCAACCACACTAAAACCGAACTGAGCCACCAATTGCACAGATCAACCACCTTTTGATGCCTTGCCTGCCTCGGGTACGTGTACATGTGCAGTACGAGTACAGCACAGCACCCTCCAGGTATGTGCAAGCAACTGGCTGGTCCGGCGTGTGTGTCACAGCAGATAGAGACTGCGCTCAGCGCCTTATTTTGGCCCAGCAGGAGAAGGCTCCGAGCCGGGTGGAATGAAGGTTACCCGACCTCACAGGTACTTGGCCCTTGTACCGCAAGGCTAAGCCCGGTGGCGTTAGGCTGGGAGCTCCTTGGCCTGGCGGAGTACCGCGGTGCCCTGGCCCGCCTTTTTGTCGTCCTAGGTACCGGATGAGGTCCCGTAAATGTCGACCCAGCACGTCCAGAAGTGGCCGTTGAAATCAGTCAACCCCAGCACGGCCAGAAGTGGACGCTGGGAATTCGTTGGTCGGCCCAATAGTGGTTGAGCGCTGCTGGGCATCGCCGCAACAGCGCTGGAAAAGCCTCTGCCAGCCTTGGACCTTCTGCTGGAACGTTGGCTGCGCGCTGAGCAAAGTACTCGTACCTCGCTACCTGAGCCTCTAGCTCCGGGTACCTCCTCTGCTGGCCTCCACCCGTCCGGGGCCCTGTCGATGCCCTGTCGCTGCCCTGCCCAGGCGTGCGCCGCCGTGAGTCTGTAGCGTCGAGGGACAGGCAGTAGCGCGCATGTATGTACGTGTATGTACGCAAGTACTGCAGTACAGGTACTCGCACACGTACAGGTACACATACAGGTACACATACAGGTACACTCACAGGTACTCGCAGGTCCGGCCAGTACGGGCTGGGTACAAGCTGATGCATCCACCCCCTCTGCATGCGCTGCTTTGGTGGTACTGTCCACTGTCCAGCGGTAGCAGCCACGCCCTGGGCCTTGTTCCCACTCTCCCGCTCGCCGCCATTGTCTCCGCTCCCCCAACTGGAACTGTAACTTGCCTCTGCCTCTTCTCCTGCCGTAGACCTCCAGTTGCTATTCCACAACGCCTCTCCACCGCGGGAGCTGCATCATTGCACTCTTTTCCCTCTCCCACGCAACCTCATCTTCCCCGTTGCTCGGCCTGTGCCTCTGCCTCTGCGATTGCGTGCCACCAAAGCCTCCTGCTGCGGTGTTCAGGCCGGCCTTTCGAACGCTGCACGCAGTTCCGGATCTACCCATTTCCCGTATTGCAGGCCCACCGCGCTGCCTGGATGTGACTCGCCCTTTGTCCTTGAGCCTTTCTCACTTCACTTTGCCTTCACTTGCTCAACAGGTCGTCTTCACTTTCTGGCCGCCGCCGAATTCTCAATCGATCATGTGGCGTCCTCCCTGCCACTTATAGAGTTTGTTTTCTTCAGTTGAGTCTGAGTAAACAAGCGTCTTTTCTTCCACCCGTTTCCAAACTCATTTTCGGCATCTTTATACCCTCAAGACCGCCTTCTCTCCTCTTGTCTTGACCACAACAAAGCCCTCCCGTATCCGGCTGTTGCCTGCGAACTCCCGCAATTCTCTGGCTCGTCTGTCTGCCACTGGGAAGCTGCATCACACCAACCTCGCATCCACATCCTCAGCCGCCAACATGAACTCTCTCAAAGTCCCGGATAGCGGCCTGCTCCTGGCGGGTTCTGGCTCCGAGTCAGGCCTACCGCCACAGGCTTTCCACGTTCAGCTCGACAGATCGACGATCGACTCAATAATCCAGTCTTCTCGCAATGGCGAGGACCTGCGCCTCTCGCTGGGCCAAACTCCCGTAAGTCTGCCTCCTTCAAGTGTGCCCATAGGGGGTATGGGAAACCTCGTGTGCTGACTGCTCCGGGCCTGATCTTTAGACAATCCAATACGGCTCCAAATCGCACCGCATCGCCGCTCCCAACGATTCCGCCGACTACGACCTCTACCTCACCCGCCCCTTCGAGTCTACACGCCGGGCGGAGAGAATACCCAACACAACCAACGTCTTCGCGAAGCCTGCCAGGCCATATCGCCGAAAGTCGTCCACCCCTGGACTGGACTCTGATATTGAAGCTCTGCAAAATGGCTTGGCGGCACATGACGCAGCGCGAGAGAGGTTTGTGCTATTTGCATGTCGCTGTGGTGTTGTGTATTAACACCGTTTATCAGGGCTCGTGTCGTCGGAAACTTGCCAGAGTCCAAGGCCTCGGCAAAGTCCAGGGCCAAGCCCATTTCCAACTATGGCTCAAAGACTGGCTCTTTGCCAACCTCACCCAGCCTCAATGGCATCACCTCGCCTTCGCTGAACCCGACACTCACCGCATCCCAGCAAGCTATGGAACGTGCTAAGGAGCAGAGAGTGACTCTGGTTCACGAATTGGCCGTCAAGGACCGATCGACGGAATACTTGAAGAAGAAATGGGACGGCAAGGAGCACGAATTCCGATTGACCCTCGAAAAGGTTGCCGAACACAACGCCGACTCAGATACATGGACCATGCGCAAGACGTATTGGAAGGAGCTCGACCCTTGGAGCTACGATTACGCCTCTCAGGACGAGCGGCAAGTTGTTATTGACAACGCAATCCGCCAATTTGACAAGCAGAGGCTATCGGCTTACGAGGCCGTGTGGCAGAAGCTGCTTCCGAAGGAGGAGCGCGGCAAGGGAAAATGCTTGAGCCGGCTGCAGGCAAACCTGGCAAAGGGGCCCCCTCCCCCGGCACCCAAGATCAAGGTGCAGAAAGCTGACGACGGTTTCACCTCTGGCGATGGTTTGGATAGCGAGAAGATGGTACGGTCATCATCCAACCCTCTCCCTGCCAAGGCGAAGAAGGCCAGCAGCCAGGAGTCACAAGTCAAACGGCTGCTCCAACCCTCCAAGGCGGGCGTTTCCAAGCCCAAGGCGAAGCCCGCCGCCCCAAAGGCTTCTCCCACCAAGAGCAAGGCTGGCTCCAAAGGCAACGACAAGCGTATACTATCACAGGAAATCATTGTCAACTCCGATACCTCAGGCGACGAGGCTCCAGCTCCGCCTCCTGTCAAGGCGAAGCCAAAGCCTGCGGCCCCCAAGGTCAAGGACACAGTCATTGTCGCCGGTCGTCCACCTATCAAGGCCCCGACTCGCCCAGCACCTGTCAAGCGGCCTCGTGAGGATGATGACTCTAGTTCTAGCTCTGGAACGCCACTGTCGAAGCGCATCAAGCAGAGACAGCCCCTGCCCGCACCCCGACTGAAGCACCGCCCATCCGATGCCAGCGTCAACTCTCGTGGCACAGTTGCATCATCATCCTTCAAGAGCAAGAATACCTCGCCCACCAAGTCATCCCCTCTGGCTTCCTCACCACCTACCAATGCCTCCGACCTCGAGGACAACGCACCACCCCCACCCAAGCTGAAGCGAAAGACGGATATGGAGTCCAAGCCTTCGGCGGCGAAGCGACGAGCGGCGGAGAGCGTCTCGATTGAGATCCTACGCAAGGCCAACAAATTCAAGGCCTACTACCAGCAATACGAAGCATTGCACCACGAGATCTCAGCGTTGGACAACCCTCCCCACGAAAAGCTGGCCGACCTGCTGGATATGAGAGGTCGGCTTGAGAGCATGAAGAAGGAGATTTACCGAGAGTGCTCGCCTGCATGAGATTAGGCAATGACAGCACCACAACCAAGAAAATTACAGAGCACAAAACATCAACACAATATGGGGAGGTTTACGATTTACAAGTTGAAATGACGATTCGATAATAGGACCAAAAAGGGACTGGATAATTTTGCTTTTTTCTTCTTTTCCTTGTTTTTTTACATTTGGCGTTCCGGCAAACAATGAGCTTTCTGCATTTCACCCAAGGAATTTGGGCAACGGATTTTGCATCTCGCAGCGAAGGCCTTTAGGATAGGCACGCTCTGGCGCAGGATATGGCTGATACCATTCGAATTTAGAGTCTCGAGCAAAGAGACCAGCAGAGGAACATCTGTCTGAATTGCTTAGTTGATATTTCAAACACAGGGCCCTGCTACACGGGGCGAAAATTAGTGCTGACTAGGTATAGTAGTCTAGGCTTGCAGCAACTGGTAGATACAAAAAAGATACAAAAGTCTTTGAACAAAGAATGAAGTCATCGTGTTAGTTGTGTGAAGTTGCCTAGCTGTGCTGTGCTGTGACGACGATGGTTGATGTCATGCTGCCGCGGTCTGCGCGAGGGATCTAAGCCATGCGCGAAGACGATCAGTGTCAGCATGAAGATCTTTGTTGATCACTAATGCCCAGACAGATAGCTAGATTCTAGCAGATGCTACTGTAGTGTTACCGGTTTTACGGGGCAGCCGAGGGCCGAAAATGTCAAGGAGCGAACTAACGCTTGCAGCTGAAGTTGAAACAAGACTACTCGTACTGTATTTTACTCTTTCCATTCGCCCATTGCTTTTTTTTTTTTTGTTTCACGCCTGGGGTTTGTTTGATTGATGTTTGCGGGAGATTCCGTGCAAGTCCCTTTTTTTGTCGGCCCGCCTGTTCCTTTTTGCAATAATATGGATAGGTAAGTAAGCTGCGGCGGGTGTCGGGGTAACGGCAAGCGGGTTTGCGAGGAGCGGTTTATGTGAGCAATCTACCCTAGATGTTTACCTTTTTATTTGATTTTTTGCTTGTTTCTATCAAAATCTTTTCAACTTGCTTCTAGGGGATTGCTAGAACAATCGACTGCAACTTGCATCTACAGGTAGATATATGTTTACCTACTATCTACTACTGAGCAGATACACTCGTAGTATTATACAGTAGGTCTATCAAGCATTTTCTCATTGAGGTTTAATTATAAATCTACCATAACCATAAACTACTAAGCAATTCGCTTTTTTTTTCTTTTTTTAATTGGAAGGGATCCCCACGTGGGGTGTAGCAACGCCCCACCTTTTTGTATCTTTCCTTCCATTCACATCCATGGAGTGCCTGCCATCGGTACCGCCCTTTTTCTTAGTCAGGGTCCGATTTTTTTCTTTTCGTGTGCGGGTGACATCCATGCATGTGGACTCTCTTCTTATATCTTTGCTGTGCTTGTAAAGCCTCTGTTGGAAGTCATCGCTGTATATTGGAACCGATTTTACGATACGCATTTTCATCATGATAGCCCCTTAGATTTACGCTCTCTGTTGAGAGGCTCGATTTTCTTTTTTCTTTTTTCCTTTATCCATTTGGCGATTTAGAGGCGTACTTTGGCATTTTTACAGCTTTACCGCTTATTTTTTTTTCTCTTGACGACTTTGGGGTTTGCGAGATTTCAAACATGGCGACGCTCGCTCCGGAGGATTTCCCGCAGATGTGGCAGCGGCCTAGCTACGAAGAGCTCTTTGCCATTCTTCAAAGCCTGGAACTCAGCCCTCCCGTGTGGAACCACAGACAGAAACAGTCAGACATTCTTGCGCATCAAGAGTCACTCGCTACCCAGCGCAAGGCTGAGGTGACACGCTACATCTCGTCTGTCATCAGCAGCCCCCTCGCATGGATCGACGACTACGATAAGCAAGAGGCGCTCTGGGAGCTGGCAAGCAAGCGCATGTCTGAGAGATGCGGCAGGACGGCCATGGGCGAAGTCACGAGGCGGTGGCCGTTTGACGGAGACGGAGTTGCGTGCGAGCCGTTTGAGCTGATTATCAAGGAGCCTGCTCTGACGGGTGACTCACTTGGATTCAAGACCTGGGGCTCTTCGTACGTGCTGTCGCAGCATTTGCCTCGGCTTGCTGCAACGTCGCTCTTCAAGCTCTTTGATGAGACTCTTGGTCAGCCGCCTCCTACTGTTCTGGAACTTGGCTCGGGAACTGGGCTGTTGGGTGTTGCTGCTGCGGCTCTTTGGCAGACGCATGTCATTCTCAGCGACTTACCCAACATTGTTCCCAACCTCAAAGACAATACGGAGAAGAACAAGAGCTTGGTTGAGTCCCGAGGAGGATCCATGTCGGTCGGGCCGCTTACTTGGGGCGGAGAAGAAGACGAGATTGACCAGGAGCTCTTTGGTGAACCATTCCAGTTCAAGGTTAGTTGACTATTCACTACTCGTATAAAACGAAAAAATTATAAGGACGCTCTTTCTAACGTCGTTTGCGATATGAATAGCTCGTTCTCGCCGCTGATCCCTTGTATGACGATGATCACCCGGCACTTCTCTCTTCAGCAATCTGCCAGAATCTCGCTCTCGGTTCGGAATCTAGGGCCGTGGTCATGGTGCCTATGAGGGATAACATCACGCGGACTCTTTTAGAGGCTTTCAAACAGGCCATGTTGGATCTCGAGACGCCACTGTTCTGCGAAGAAGAGAGCGAGCTCGCTGGTGAGGATGACTGGGGCGATGATGAAGAAGAGGGCCAGGTAAAGTGCTGGCTGGGAATCTTTTCGCGTGGGGGGTCACCTTTGGCGACGTGATTCATAATTGACAGTGAGGTAGAGGGATATAGACGATAGACGTTGGACAAATGATGTAAAAAATGAGGTCATGATAGACTAGAGATGGGATATAGAAGCTAGATTCTTATACATAGATCCATATGGACACTTCTATTAGACTTAGACGTAGTATGAAGCTTAGTGATGCATCTCCACGCACGCAAAAGCCGAGCACCAAGATTTTCGTCCCATCTCCCGTCACCGTAAGTCTGCTTGATGCAAAGCCAAATATTCGCCGCGACCCACCTCGTTTGCTGGTTTCCCCTAGGCAACTGACCTGCTGTCTGCCAAACTGGCACGATGATTCACTGCCTCTAGGAGTCTGACCTCACTTATATGAGTCAAACTGACCTATCATTTGACAACGCGTATCGATTCTCTTATTGTTCTCTAGCACAATAGATAGGGCTGCATCAGCCACGAGGCAACTCCCGTCCCTGAATCAGAAACGCGGCCCGTTCTTTTGTATCCGGGCCTAGAAAGTGGGCATTTACCTCAACGCACCTCCTCTCACCTCCCCCCTTTTTGTGATATCCCTTACACCTAGATACATTCTCTTCAGGTTGCTTCACTCTTTCGGTATTTACGCTCTCAAACAGTTCTTCATTCCATTTTCTCTACACAGCGTTTGCGCGCTCACAAGTGTGAGAAACATCTTCCCCTCCTCTTTCTTTTGGAGAGGTGCCGACGTCGGAAGTTCTCGTGATCGGGAGCCCGGAGTATTTCTCCGTGTCGTTTCCGGCCCGGAGGATCAGGCCGGCATTGACACCGGCATCATCTTTGTGGACGCTCAAGTTTGTCCTCATATCCTTTTCTCTTTCTTCTCCCACTCTCTCTGTTTTGCTCAAATTTGAGCTCTCTACGTGATTTTCCCATGTGATTCCCCTTTTCTTTTTTTAACCCCTGTTTGCCAGATAGAACGTTACAGATAGTGGTGGTTTCCACTTCTGTACCTCAGAGTGAGTCAGTTTTGAGCTCAAGGCAAACAGAAAAGTGACGGTTGTTTTCTGTTTTCACATTTCCTTTAGGAACACAAGAGGTCGTATAAGACGCCGAGGAGTCGGAACACTCAGGAAGAGGCTTTTATACGAGCTATACGAGCTCCTGGCAAAGTCGATTTTGCATTTCGAGACATCAGTTCTACCTACGGTAGGAAGTTCTTCTTTGGAAACCTTGTGATATCCTTGTGGCCAACTTCGTATCGCGAGAGCCAAACAAGACAAACAGAGCAGCCATGGTCGGTGCGGCGCAGTATCTAGACGAGGAGATTGACTGGGTTCTCTCTGCCGTCGTCGGCAAGAAGAAGCAGTCGTACATCCAGACGAACTTCAAGGATAAGTTTGGGCGCAGCTTGAACCATAATCAGATTCGTTACATTAAGAACAAATATGGTAAAGACCCTAGGTTTAAGTATGTGTTCTGTCCTCTCCTCTTTCTACCCCTGTTCTAGAGATATTGGGGGATCCCCAGTGCAGACGATATTTATAGAACAGTAGCTAACAAGATGTTATTTGCCGCGTTTTAGTAGCCCGTTGGTGAATACTCGAGCTCCCAGAATAGCCACATCACCCAAGCCCGGAGATCCGGACGAGCAGGAAGGCGAAAATGAGAAAGGCAATGAGATTGATTTCGGAAGTCCGAGAGAGGAGAGACCATCGAGAAACACAGGGAAGCGGCAAGATGAGTCAAAGGATGAAGTGGTGGCGATGATACGGGCGAAGCGCAAGAGAGGTGCTGATGATTCGGGTTCCGGCCGGCCAAGGTATGACCTGCTTTACGAACAGTAACCCCATCATCCTGAAAGACAATATCTAACGTGGAACTCTATCAAATTCTAGGTTCATCAAGAAAATCATCGGGCCACAACGACCACAGCTTCAACGAGATCGGGTGTTAAAGACTGTTGAGTATGAGACGCCTCCACAACACTGGAACGCCCTCGATCTTCAGCTATCTACATCGCATATCAATTCGACTTCTACGCCACCAAATTCTCTGGGACATGGCTATAATGATACTCAATATCCACATACAGAAGCATATGGTAGCACGAGGCAGCAGACGCTCTCGCAATGTCACGACATCAGTACTGGCATTGGTTGGACACCATCTGTGTCGTTGACTACCTGGGGAACCGACTCTCCCGTGTTTACGAATGTCAGCCATAGCATGAACCCATCGGCTTTGACATATCCTACTTCAACGACGGAGCAGTTGTATCGTCATTCAGCCGAGCAAACTCAAACGCTCCCCCAAACGCCCACAATCCAGTACCAACCGCAGCTGGTCCAACCTCCCTCAGTCTCATCATTCTCGCCACTTATACCGAACATCACTCCGTATCCCTATCATAGCTACCAAGAGCAGCAGTACCATCAACCGTCGCAGAGAGAACAGGATGCTTACCTTCGCCTCGGACCCCCTGAGAACCCAGACTTTCCCAGTCTCACCACATCGGAAGTGGGAGGACAGCCTTCTCTAGACACTCTTTCTAGCGTCATACCATTTCCGCTCACCCCAAACTTCCAAGAGATGCCCATCGAGCCGGCATCTTCCCAGGGCATCGCCGAGCTATCGACCTTGACCTTGGCCGCAGGAGATGTCCACGAGCACCACTAGGGCTGGGTTCAGACGGCAGCCTCTGCGGCCTACGATTGCTCGATATTCAACTCCATATCACAGCCACCCATCGATTCAACGTTTCAAACTCTCAAATACAGCGGTCTTACAGCTGATACACCCCACGCCACACGCCAGTCGTTCATCAATCACCCTGATATCGCTACCACAGGGACAATTGATCCGATGCTCTTAGTTAATAATCGTACCAGCCACTCAAACTCCCCTATGATTAAACACGAAATAGAGCCCTCGTCGAGCTTATAGCCTAGTTTTGTTGTCTCGGTAGCCGATAGTTGGCCCTGGAGCTGGGGAGATGCTTTGTAGATCGTTTCACACTACTTTTTCCTACACTCTTTTCGGTAGATTGACTTCCGCGTCAAATTGTTGGAGTAAACAAACTAAAGTCTAAGGATCCAATGAAATAGCATCCAAGTCAATTGTACTTCGCTCGCTATGCTTGACACTAGTATTAAAACCACAAAAACTGACAGATAGCCTCCACATGTGAAAAATCAAACAGCCTCTAACCCTTTTGCCTTGCGGCGACGTATCGGCATCAAACTTCATTATCCAAACGAATGATTGCACGGCTCTACCCTTCATTTCATGCCCCCTTCCATAAACGGTATTCTCCGGCGTAATAGTACTATCCCCCTTTTCCATCTCCTCCCCGACGCGCCATGATCAACTCAAAGTATAGTGTAAAGGGGTATCTAGAGCGTTTTGGAAACAGGAAAGATGGTCGCTAAATCTTTGATCATGTTATCTCACTTTTCTTTCTTTCGTATTTGTTTGTTTGTTTCTTCTTCTTTTGCGCGTATTTTTTCGTTTATTCTTCTTCTTTCGGTGCGAGGGCACCTGGGAACGTATAATGGGCCTTTATACAGCGATACTTGTGTGTCGTCGAGCTTCAACGTCCTCAATGGGGAACTTGAAGACGAATGTAAAAAGATCGCGCAAATAGGCATAACGCGGCGAGCTATTGGCCAATGTTTGGATACTCTTGGCCATATCCACCGCTGGAACTCGCTTGCCGCGAGAGGGAATCGAGTGATTCCGGGGGATAAATGCGTCCATCAGGACGGAGTTCTTAAACTGTTGAAGGAGAGCAGTCTCTCTTGGCGCAGTGCCGAACGCACCTGCAGGGAGACCCTGCACAAACCCTTGCAGCATGGCGGGCGCTGTCTTTGGGTCGGTGATGGTGTCACGGTCGAACCCAAGAGTCATGGCGGCTCGAAGAACGAGGATCTTGGCACGCGTGATGTTGGGATCCTCGGTTGCCGTGGTAGTGGTGGCGGTGCTCGAGGTCCTGTTGCTGCTGTGGGAATAGCTTGACAGGTTGGATGCACTGCTGGACCATCGGCCACCTCGACCGCCGTCACTGGAAGGGCCGAGCACCAGGAGATTGGGCATCTGAGGAGAGCGGCTTTCTGGAGAGATCGGAGTGTCCTCAAATTCTGTGACTGGGGTTTCGGGAACTGGGGGAGGCTTTCGTGGCCGCTCTTCCTGATGGGTGCTCTTTATGCTCACTTGTTTCGAGTGGCGCGATGAGCGATTTGACTGACGACTCTCACGCCCAGTTTGATCGGAGGCGAGAGAGAAGAAGCTCGTCTGGGTAGACGGCCGAGGAGTATACCTGTCTGTGTTCACTTTTGCCCAGCTGTCTTTGAATATATCGCCCAAACCCCAACATGCTTGAACCGCAGAGAGAAGCAGTTCGCCATCCGCTGGTTTACCCTCGAGTCTGTTTTGGCGCAAATTAAAGAGCATCTCGGCGAGGCCCCAGCAAGCTCCGAGAAGTTGATCTGTTTTGCCAAAGAGCTCACCGCGCTGTTTCATTAGGCGATGACATAGCGTGATATAAAAGTCAAGAGTTCGTTCTCGGAATTGCTCTGGAAGAGTCTGGTTGTCTTGTGCGCTGTATAGACTAGGGGGAGGCATTAGACACTATACAAAGAAGCGATACGTTTGTGGCAATACTCACTGGTTATTCAACTCAAAGCTAACTCTTAAAACAGAGTCTGCCAGCTCGTCTTTCTTCTCGCGTACGTCGAACAGGGCTTGGCAAAAGTCTCGGCATAGGTCTAGGTTGAACTTGACGCTTAAATATGCTGGGTCTTCATCTTGGTTGTCGTAGAGGCGGTGGCAGAGCTTCCAGCACGCTTTCCAGGCTCTTTCAACAGCATCAGGGGTTCCCGAATCTCTAAAAGCTCGTGGTCGATGCATTGAGCTCAGGTTGGCAAGGGTATTGCACAAGGTCCAGGATTCGTGAAGAAGAGTTCGTAAATCGCCAATCTCATCAGCTACTTGAGGCACGTGAGGAAAGGGTTCGTCATCGTCATCATCGCCTTCAGCCTCAGTCTGCTCGTCAATTTCTGTGCCTGGTTAGCGACGGTACGATATTGTTGAGGCTTTACAAAACCAACTCTCAAGACTGCTGGTGCTGCTAGAACGCAATCGGCTTCCATCCATGAGCATTTCTTGCAAGTCCTGTGCTCGTGGTGTGGCACCGTCTGAGCTGTATCGCACAGGCTTGACATCGGTGGAGATGGGAGGGCGAGTAGGGTGGCTGGGAGGCTTTATAGAGTTACCTTTATTAGCATTTGAAATCTTTGCAGAAAATCTTTCCATGCTGGTAGAGATTGGACTAACGCTGTTGAAGGTCCCGGTGGATGATGGTTGACTGGCGCCATCGGCCTTGGGGGACGATCTCTCCGTTGAGGTGACTGACATGGCAGAGGGCTCGCTGGATGCCTACATAAGTTTAGCTACATTGCAATTCGACAACAACTTTGTCACATGTAATGCTCACCCAACTAGCAAAGCTTTCCGGAGCGTGAATGACGGAGACGGCTTCCTCAGGGTTGCCCTGACGAACGATTTCCGGGAGATTGGTGGTAAGCATGAACATCTAGACTGGTGTCAACGCTGGCGGAATGCAAAGATGGTACTGGGTAGCCGCTACTTACATCCGAGTGACGAGGAGGTGGCCCCCCTACGTGATGGTCCAGCTCGAGATCGTCGGCAACATCGTCCTCGATCTCGGTGGTTTCAGTGCCGTTGGAAGTGACAGGCGAGGGCCCAACAATATCACTGGGGCTTAGCAGATTCATCGAATGGGATGATAGCCGATGATGCAAAGAGTCAGGCCGAAGCGAAGAAGAGTCTGTGGCGGGTGGAGGAGACGACCTAAAGTAGACGGGTCAATAGGGCCCTTGCTTTGGTGAACAAACGACCTGGACTTACATGATTCTGAACGGAGACCTGAATCCATCTGATTCGGACGTCGCAGACATGTCTCCTTGATTGAATTGAAACTGCAGGCTTCCAGTGGATGATCGCAGCGGCGCTTCGAGGGCCATGATAGATGAATGCGATGCGATGCAATGCGCAAGAGCCGACTGCGTTCAAAAGGGCGCGACGTCGAGCTGCTTTATGCAGAACCTCTGCTCTGCTTCCTTTGCGATCTGTTCTACACAGCAGTCAAGAGGCTCAGAAAGCCCTGCTTGACGGCTGACGATGCAGAATGCTTCTGATTACCCCACGAAAAGCCTTGAGGGTCTCAAGCGCGGCCGTGGCGAGGCAAAGGTGCAGCGCTCGCGATTTGGATGCAATGGAGGATCGAAGCACTAGCAGAGGCGGTCGCAGTTCGCGGGCCTCGATTGACGGTCAGCGTGCTTCCAGAATAGAAGCAAAGCTGTGCGATTCGAAACGTCCCAGTCGTAGATCAGGCGAGGCAGTTCCAGGCACGCTGGACGGATGGCGGGCTGGCTGCTTTAAGAGACGCTGCGGCCAGGCAGATGGACCAGGGGTCGAGACAACCCTTGCTTAGGACATGCAGCGCCGCCAGCTGTGGAGGAAGACGTTATTCACTTGCTGGAGCTTCGCGCCTAATCAGCTGCGGGTGCTAGTTTGCTGAGCGGGGAGAGGAGCTCGGGCTAGATCCGGCAAGTCGAGGTTTCTGTTGCAAAGAGTTGCGAGAGGTTGTTTATGTATGTACGATGATTGTGTGTGGGCGAGAAGAGACGAAGGAGTCCGTCAGCAGGCGATTGGAGGGAGTGAGAGGGAGACCGGGAAGAGAGAGTGAGAGAGACACAGAGAAAGAACCTCAGCATTAGCCGGGCTGAGAGTGGAGGGATCAAAGTGCTTCCAGGCCGGCGAATCGCAAACGAGGCTCTGGGGAAGGACGACGGATCAATAACAAATGACAGAGGGAGGTTAGCTTTGGGTGTGGGAGGAAGAGGAAGACGCAGAGGAAGAAGATGTACGAGTACCGGTAGACACATGGAAGTACTAACACCCATAGCCTGTGCCTGGCGCTGGTGCTACCTGTCCAAGCAGTACCCGTGATGTCTGCTAGCTTGTAGGTGCTAGCCAAGTATCAACACGACACGGCATTATTGTTCACCTCACCGTATTGCCGCACACACTCGTTGCCCGTATGGAGCACTAAACAAATAGTACGTGCATGCAATGGGGCAACCTTCAAGATCCTTCCAGCTAACTAATGCTAATTAATGTATGCAGCTCGAGCCCGCGGTTAAAAAAAATGACGAGGCTCGTCGTTTCTTGGGCTTCAGGCTTCAATGTGGATAAACAGACGCCAGCCGCAGCGGCCACTCTGTCGCTTAATCTGCCGTGCTCCTACCTGGCCGCTGACAATTGACCAGATCAGCCCGCGGAATCCCTGAAGAAACGCGTCTTGCGAAGCCGGGGAGTGGTGGATATTGCTGAAAGAAGAAAAGGACATGGGAGTAATTGTCTCGTGGACGTGGACAGCCGCGTCTCGCGCAAGACTGCAGATGGGATCAGCTACGGTATTACACGAAGGAACGCTGCCGGGAGGAGCCACCTGTCGAGCCGGCAATGCTTGATACCTGTACAAAGATGAGTTGCCGTGTATACATTGATGATATTGGACAAGTGAATGATGGTGACATGTAAGTATCTGTCTATTCCACTCCCCTCAAAACATATAGACATTTATTCTTCATACCTCGGTCTTCTCGTCAACCTACAACGTACAAGACCAATGCCCACTCTCTCAACAATTGGCATTGACAGCCTTGAAAAGCCCTGCCTGGGCAATGCGACACAGCAGGTTGGCCGTTGGAGGGGCGGGGGAACTGCTTTGCTGCACCTAGTTCTTGAAGAGGGTTCCGTGGCTGGCCACTCACAGACACGATCGGTCGTGGAGTGGATAGAGCCCGCATGGAGTCGACAGGCGTCGGCGCTTAATTTCAGGTGGATGACATGCTTTCCCCTGCCGAGTCACGATGTTGTTGACGAACCACAATTGTCTGGCAGTCTGTTTCTCTGTCTGTGCGTGAAAGAGAAGAGAAAAATTAAAAAGAAAAGTGACAGCTGGAGTATGGATAGAGAGCCTGATATTTCTCACTCTGTGTCTACCTCTTACATTCACCCACTTACACGAGCATCACACGCACAAAAGGCAGTGACTGCATGTAAACCGCCCCCCAATTTCCCTCTCAGCGCCCCAATGCGCCGTGCTGGGGTCGAGTCACAAATTCTCTTCGCCCTTTTCCCTGTACGGTATGTACATTCAAGCACCCGAACAAAAATGTTGTTGGTTGCAAGCAAAAACACACACAGAAAAACACGGAGCCATTTGCCCAACTCTGGCTCAACTCCCAACGTGCATCTTCGCTGTGCCGCCAACCCAGCCCGGCCGGGCTCCATTTCTGACGGCCAGCACATCAAGCACATGCTCCGCGGGCCAAACCAGAGGCCTCAATTCGCTCTGTCACAGCGCCAATCTGCTCGGTTCGTGGTCCGCGATGCCCCTCGACCCCTGCGCTTCCGTCCAGAGACACTTGTCAACCCGAGCTGATTGGCAGCGTTTGACCCGACGATCTGGTCCCGGCGCTACTGCTCAGACGAAGCTGGTTAGGCTCGGACGAGGCCCACTCGTTCTCAACCCGTCTGTGGGCCGCCGATTTTCTGTTCCCCGAAGCGTTACAGTTAGCGTGGGCGAGGTTGGTGTTTTTGGTGTTGTTGCGTGTTATACGGCCATGTTGTTATTCTTGCCTGCTGTACGAGTAGGAATCAAAGGATGCCGGTGTATTACCCGTACATGTATTACAGCAGCAGAGCCTCCATCCATCCATCCATCTCTGCTGTGCGTGTCTGTGCGAGACCATGCAAGTAGAGAAAGGGGGGAATAAGCCGGATGTGCTGCAGAAGCTCTCGACAGCACCGCCAAGTCACACCGGCCTCGTGCTTGGCTCCGGCGTAGGATTTTAGTCGACTCTTGCTACTGTACAGTCTCGTGTGACATGTCTCTTGCCGTGGCGATTGAACTTTCTCACAAGGCCGGGCTGTTGTAGTCAGTCAGTCGTGCCAAGTGGTTAGTCAATCACATTCACTGCTACTTACATACAGAGCTCTACTTACTGCATGCATACGCACACGCACACACTCTCAAAGGTCCACTCCCGAGCGCAGTCGTCGTCCTGAATCTGAAACCTCACGCCTCCGCCAACAGTTACTTTTTCTGGCGAGATGCTTCTTTTGTCTATTGTAAGGCTGGCATTCAGCTTGCAATCTGATGTCTATGTGAATCCATCTGTTCTGTAGCCGACATGGCGCAAGGCGCAATCTGCTCTATTAGAGCGTCTTATAGGTTTAGTGTGGTGAGAGTCAACTTTATGGATCGCATCAGGTGCACATGAATCTCATAGACCGCTTTCAACTAGCTTTCTATTATATCGGTAGCTTGGTTAAGCTGCTTGCTGGCATTATCGTCGTGCTGTTGGGCTGCCATTACGCATTGGAGCAGGTTCGTATCTAGCCCTGCGCATAAACGCCCATCCTGCTGTTGGGCGCAACCTTCATCTTTTGATACGACAATTCGTCCTTCGCTTGCACTAGTTCGCTCTTCTTCTATTGGTGTGTTGGGTCGACGCATTGCTGCTTCTAATGTAGCTGCTCACCGTTGATTTGCGCAGCCACGAACTTGGCTAACAAAAAACTTGTTGATTTATGCTGCGGCTATCGTGAAAGCCTTGGCATACACACGAACATCTGATTTCAGGTGAAGAACAAGAATGCTTACCAGTGACTACTAGTCCGTAATCCTCACCGGAGGTCGTTAGCCCAATCTACTGGAAAATAAGTCATGAGGATTATATCTTTTCATCATGGAAAGTAGCCTCTAGACATCTTAGGGAAATATAAGCTGGCGGACATTTTTATAATATCTGCTACTATTGCCTTTTTTTTTCTTTGTTTCTTCCGCTATAGCTATATTCTTCTCGTTTCTACTTCGTAGCATTATCATTGACTAATACCATTAAATCTGAGATATGGCATGCTAGATAGCAGACTTTGGCTAGTTTTTCTTGGAAGTCTCATTGACCTTCTCGCGCTGTATCCCTGCAAAACACCGACTCACTAGATGGGATCCAAGCGCAAGTGACCGCAAGTGATTTTGGGCGCTTTACAAATCAATATTGAAATCATATGGTGGTCCTGTTTGACATTTTCCCGAGGAAATCCAGACGACCTGGGTTGCGCCACTGTTAGTGGACTTGTGTTGGCGATCGGTAGGCGCTTTTTCTGATCCCCATTACTGCGCAGTGTGAAGCTGACCAACACACATACCGTAAAAGGCTACTGTGTAGATACTTGGGGCGGTAAGAAGCGGTGAATTGTCTTGCAAGTCTAGGTTTCTTACTCGCAGTACAGCACGTACAAGCTTGTTGAGAGAGGCGGCAATCACTTTTTGTTGGATATTCGGTTTACGCCGTCCAACCGACACAAGGATTGAGCCTCAATGGGGCGCGGGCATCAAGGCGTGACCATGGCCATCTGCAAAGCCCACCATACACTCTCATTCATGGAGAAAAAGAGCCCATCACGATAAGCAGCGGTAATTTTCTTGATTTGCAGAATCGTATAGCAGAAAAATCCTCGTTCCATTATTACGGAGTTGCCTGCGGCTTCGCCGTCATCGTCGCGATCTGATTTTTATTCTTCCTTGCGCCAAGTCACAATATAGGTAATAACAGGATCCAAAAACGCCAAACTGTGCATTGCATCTTTCTCTTCGCCCAAAACAAAACTATGCCGACTCGTTCAATCTCTGCTTCTTCTCGTTTCGTCCATCGGGAGTGTACCTGGGAGGTTGATTAGCAATCGGAGTCAGGGGTGCCTTGGGATGTCGTAAGAGTCGTACTTGAGAAGCTTCTCGATGAGGTCGACATGTGTCATGATCATTCGTCGGCAGCAATAGCGCTTAAGGCCTAGCTCGTCCATGGCATCGCTTTCCTAAAGTCAGCCTCGAGCTCTGCTCCAAAGGTCAAAGGGCTGCATACCCATCGGTCTTGCGCGGATCGGCGATCAGCTGGAGATAGCGCTCCCAGAGGTCACCAGTGACCTAATGCCGTTAGTCATCTTCTTGATTTCTTAGGGACGAAATCAAGATGCCTACCTTTCCACAAGAGAAGCAGCGGATGGGAATAATCATCTTGGCGATGTGATGGCGAATGTCGTTTTTTAGTAGTTGAACCTGGCAGCGTGAAAGAGTTTAGCTGCGGTAGCGACGCGGATGGCTGAAAATATTATGCCGCCGAACTTTTGCCGCCCGTTGCTTATCTTATCGCTGATAGTGGAAAAAGTTCATGGCGGCACCAAAATTTCTGCGGCGCATTGATCTCAGTACTTTATACCAGTAACTGGGTGCTGCCGCCTCGATGCCATTCCTCCCCAACTTCCTCACAGCGCCATTCTCCGGGATCTCTGCCAAAATGGCGGGTAGCAAGCTCTCCAGGCCCCAGGATGAATCGACCAAAAAGCGAAAGAGAGACCTAAACGAGGCCGATGCGCGATCAAAGAGGTCACGGCCGCAGCAAGGCGACGAGGAGGAACAGGCGGAATCTCCAGCTGACGGAGACTCTGAAATCGAGGATAACCTTCAAAATGGAGCGTTGTTGAGGTCAAAAAGCAATGGTGATGAGAGATTGATCGGCCGTTCTTTTGATGGAGAAACTGGCTGGAGAATCTCCAAGCCTATGGGCGGTAGAATGCTCGACATTGATCCAATCCTTACCCAAGATGACCAGTAAGAGGCCAATTCATTTTTTCCTCAGAAGAAGAGCCATTCTCATATCCCTTAGATACCTTATCTTGACATACAACACCTCCATTCAAGTGTACACAGCTAGCGACTCTCTACTCTTGAGACGAATCCCGATAGGCGCCGTCGATGCCACTTCATCAAAGGGCACATCTCCTGCGAACATTGTTGCGACCAAACTGTCCATTCAGAACCCCGAATACCTCTGGGTTGCCTGCTCAGATGGTCACATTTACTATGTGAATTGGACAGAGACCGCCGAGACACACCAGAGCTTCCAGACGGTGACAGGCACGGCTCATGCAATCACGGTGACCTCGACCGAGGTTTCGGGCTCAAAGGCCGATGTTGTCGTGGTAGCTGAATCAACCAAGTCAAATCGGATGGAATTGACCGCATATGGCGGGGATATTCTCTCGTCTCTGCTCTCAAAGGTTATTTTGAGCACCAAGAAGTCGGGTAATGGCTTGCACTTGATTGAGTCTAGCCAGGATGGCCATGTATTGGTCGGTGCTCTCAATGACTCTTTATTCCTTGGTGTTGCTTCACACAAGCAGCCGGCCGGTTTCGAGCAGCTGCAATACGACTTCTTTTCATTCGACGTGCCCGATATCATCACCACTCTCGATTTCAGAGTTTATCCAGCTTCTGCCCTGAACAAGCCCAAGGGACGACGTGACTCCGAGAACGTCGTGGACGTTATTGTTGGTGGTGCACGAGGAGCTATCTATCTCTACCATGATGCTCTCTCTCGAAGTCAATCACTTGGAAAGTCCAATTCCTCCAAGGAGGGCATCCAAGCCCAAAAATTCCACTGGCACCGAAAGGCAGTCCATGCCGTCAAATGGTCTCGAGACGGTACGTTTCCCGCATATCTTCCTTCTTGAATTATTTGAATTCCTTACTAACATTCTTCACTAGGCAACTACATGATCTCTGGAGGTTCTGAGAACGTCCTTGTACTGTGGCAGATGGATACCGCCAAAAAGGATTTCCTTCCACACCTGTCAGGCAGTGTAGAAAACATTGTCGTTTCTACTAGCGGATCATCCTACGTTGTGCATCTTGATGACAACTCAACGATGGTCTTATCCACTGCTGAACTTAAGCCGACCACGTATATTTCTGGCATTCAATCCGCCGCCGCCGAAGCTTCGACACCCAAAGACTTGCTCGTGCAGCGCGTTTGGTCAGTAGCGGATACAGTGCGACGGCCCATACCCGCTGCAATCAACGCAACGGAACCCTCAAAGCTTCACGTCTGCGTCGGCAACGGTCGTCAGGCAACAATGACTGGAGAGTTCTCGGCGCCCCTGTTGCAGTCTTTTGACCTCGAAACTTTTACGAGCATCTCCAAGCAGGCATTGGCTCGGACACAACCTACAGACGTCAACTTGACTAACAAGGGCTACGCCATTGAAGAGCCTGTCGTTACGCACATTGCCTTTTCTGCAGATGGAAAGTGGCTGGCCAGCGTCGATGACTGGACTCCTACAAATAGAGATGTTGCAACAGTTAGTGGCGAGGTCGGCGACCAGTTCCTCAAGGAGAGGCACGAGTCATACCTCAAGTTTTGGCAGGTCAATGGCGAGGATAACTCAATTGCCCTTGTATCCAGGATTAATGCGCCTCATACATCGAGCCATCCCGAGACGGTCCTTGATCTTGCATCGAACAATGCCTCTACTTGCTTTGCCACTATTGCTGGAGACGGCATTGTTCGTCTGTGGCGACCAAAGGCTCGCCAACAAGAAGGTTCACGAAGCACAGATGCCAATGTGGAATTCACTTGGGTTTGTTCCCGCATAATTCCCATTGGCGATGGACTTGGCGTCGTCGCCGACATCCCCGGCGATGCGTCTGGTTCTACACAGGCCCAAGCCTGCCTTGCATTTTCGGAAGACGGCTCTACTCTGTTTGCTGCATTTGGTGCTCTCGACACGGGAGCGGTGTATGTCATCAATGCGGCCTCTGGCGAAGTCGTCAAGATTCTGGAGGGTCTCTGGAAGGGACAGCTGCACTCATTGCGAGTCCTGTCACAGTATCTGATTGTGCTTTCCGAGGAGCTGCATGTCTATGACGTTGTGAGCGACGACTTGCGGTATGGAATCGTGGTTCCTAAGACTGGAGCCGACGAGCTGCTACAGCTTGCTGTCGACTCGGTAACTGGTCACTTCGCCGTCACTCTTCCTCTCGGAAACACCTCTAGCATAGGAGTCTTCCACCCCAGCGAACCTGAGCCGCTCATCGTTTGCAACACACCCCATCGAATCGTGAGCCTCGTTTCAGTACCCGGCACCAGTGGCTTTGTCGCGCTTGATGATGTTGCTCAGATCTGGACCATCACCGAGGGCTCCAACGCGTCTACCATCTTGGCTGCCCAGCCCCTTCAGGATTTGCGACTTGATAATGCTTCTCAGGAGGCTGATAATAACAAGTTGGCCGTCCTCTTGGGCGGAGACGCTGAGAGCGATGATGAGATGGAGGAGGCCCCGAACGCAGACGAGGATGTGGAGATGGACGACGACGATGTCCAGACCAACATTATACCCCAACAATACCTGGCAGATATTTTTGACGCTGCCCCAGCCTTTGCTGGAGCTTCTATCGAAGACATGTTTTACAAGGTCACTGGTCTCCTTGCGACCAAGCCACTGTCGGCTACTTCTGTATAAAGGTGAAGAGAGAAGAACTGCATCTTCATGGGGGAAATTGAGATGAGTGGTTGGTTGGAATGTATAAAAAGCGATGTGCCATGGTTGTTTAACCAAAATAGGGGCAAGAGGCTAAGAGAGAATATGAGTAAAATGCGCTACTTGGCGTTGTTGGTAGATCAGATGCAGGAACAAACCAAACCTGCTTATATGTATATATTGTCCAAGATTAGTGTTGGTTAATAGGTAGTCTAGGGAATCTAATATCGATTCAATTTGCATGATCAGCCCATATGCGAAACCGAAGCTCTAGAGTTGTGGTGTGTTGGATGAGGTGAGAGAGGATAACGCTGATGTGCACTGCTAGAAGGAAAAGGGGCAGCGCCAGCCGTTGTGTTTACCCAAGTGCCCGATATATCTTCTGTTGCATAGAACTGCAATGGTGCATGCTGCCATTTATTTTTTTTTCTCTTGGAATCCTCTGTCTTTTTATCTGATGTAGTACATGCATACAGTGGTAGATTACTACTACCTAGTAGGTAGCAGGTAGTGTGAAGTGGCTGTCCAGCACTCCAAGTTGGCCATCCAGCATGCTGTCTCTCAAATTAGAAGCCACAAAAAAAAAATTCAATACTAGAGAAATATATCCATAGTAGCAGATAGTCGAGAAACGTAGATATAGTAGCGGATACTAGAGGAATATAACGATAGTAGGAGAAAGTAGTGATAGTAGCAGATACCCAAGTAGCCGGGCATCTACCTACCTCGAGCAAATGCCGATAGTGATAAATGGCCGGCCTTCCTTCGCATCCTATTAATTTACTAATAAAACTTCACGCAGTCACGGGAATGCCGATTAGCAGCTTCTCCCTGCCTGTCGTAGGCCGGCAGGTGTCCAGCAGCCGAAGCACAGGCAGGCAGGTGGGCGCATACCCTAGCATGCCTCCTTCCTCCTGACTGCTGTTCCTACCTTAGGTACTCACCAGGCGTACGCGGCCCAGAAAAAAATTCTTCCTTTGAGATTTCTTTTTGCCTCCATCAGCATCCATGGGAGCGTCGGCACTCTCAGCCTCGTCAACATAAAAGGAGAATTCCTTCACCTAGCCAACGTCGTCACTCTTGTTATAATAATACTCTCAGCCTCGTCAACATAAAAGGAGTATTCCTTTACCTAGCTAACGACGTCACTCTTGTCACCATGGTAAGTCAATACTTTTTCAAGTTCCCATTCTACTCTTGTCACAACCGATAAGCTTTTTGGAAACCGTTTCAGTCTCTCGGTACCATCGTAAAGTACACTATACTAATATGTATTATATAGGCCACCGACGTTAGAATATTTTTCGAGACGACTCTGGCGCTTTTGGGCCGCCAAAGCGGCAATGCTGCTGCTGCTGCTGGCGGCGGTGGTGGTGGTGGTGGCGGTAGTATGTTACTCTTTTGTCCATACTTATATATATAAGGAAGTACACTGACCTGATTATAGGACGAGGAGGTCGAGGAGGAGGAGGATGCCGAGGGGGCGGTGGTAAGTTTCTTAATAAACCCGGCATCTATCTCAGTACTGACTTTTAAAAATAGGCCCACGCCGCAAGCGTGGTGGTAAGGATCCATCTACGGATTACGAATCGCACAGTTGAAGCTAATTATAACGAATAGGCACGAAGAAGAAGGAAGAGGAGAAGAAGGAGGAGAAGGAGGAGAAGGAGAAGAAGGGCAAGGGCGGCGGCGAGAGTAAGTTTCATACTTTTGATCTATGAGATGTACTTTATGGCTGATTACATATATACAGAGCGCGGCATCATCAAAGCTGCCGTGGGGCGTGGCCCCAATGGGATTTTATCCCAAAAAGAACTGCGACAGTATGTCGCAATGGGCCTCGAGGCCAAGGCCAAGGCCAAGGAGAAGGAAGAGGAGAAGAAGGAGAAGGAGAAGGAAAAGAAGAAGGAAAAGAAGAAGGACAAGAAGAAGGACAAGGAGGAGTCCGAGGAGGAGGAGGAGGAGTCCAACGAGGATGAGGACGTTGCCATGGCCGAGCCAGAGGCCGAGATCGTGGCGCCCCCCGAGGCGCCGGCCGCCAAGCCGTCGCTGGCCCCCGTGCCTGCCAAGGGTGTGCCCTCCGAGGCGAAACTTCGCTCTTGAGGCGAGAAAAAATAAAAAAAAAATAAAGAGAGAGAGAGAGAGAGAGAGAGAGAGAGAGAGAGAGAGAGAGAGAGAGAGAGAGATTTGGGGGTTGTTTTTTTTTCGTTTGAAAAATGGGCCGGAGAGGCCGTTTTTATTTTTTTTCGTTGCGGATTGGCCTGGGTGGCCGTTGTTTTCTAACTTATATCTGCTACTACATCTACTACATCTACTACATCTACTACATCTACTACATCTACTACATCTACTACATCTACTACATCTACTACATCTACTACATCTACTACATCTACTACATCTACTAAATCCAGAGTGTAAATGGTCACCTAGCGTATAGAATATTTGAATATGTATATAAAACATGCTCATCATGGATACAACCAGAGAGCTGATAAATATTGCAAGGTGGCGGGACGCAGAGATGGCGGTGACGTACTCTCTTTACCATTTCCCACCGGTGGACCTGATGTCTCACGGTCCTGCAAACGGCCATTCTTTTTACTATTCATTCTCTGAACTATCTAATGTTTGAATTGGCTTTTCATTGTCTGAGTCTGCGTCGTTAACGGCTAGTACCAATGCAGTCACTACTTGGAACAGTGATTTTCGTTTGGACTGTTCACGTTCACATCGCATGAGAAGAAAAACAAGCACTGATTTCAAGTATGGAAAGTGCTTGGGCAGTGCAATTAGGGTCAAATGGTAACATTGTAATTGGTCTAGAGACAGTAAAACGGCAAAAGTGTCCTTTGAGAGATGAGGCGTCACGGAACATGGATGTTCTCAAACTCAACCAATCAAATAGAGGTTCCATTGGATATATTCCAGAATAAAATGCTGGCGGCGATGGTTCAGCGCTGAAAAATATTTCCCCGTGGCCGGCTTTCTTCAATCCTGAATGTGAGTCCAAAGTGAAGTGAAGTGAAGTTGAAATGTGCATGCAGACCAGAAAGAAATCCTCAAGGAGCAGCCTTCCCGGGAACACATGACTCTGCCATCATCATCAACATCAACAGCAGCAGCAGAAACAACAATTCCAACGCGTACGTGAAGTCTTTGCGAGTATGTGAGTATCTGGGTGCTGATTGATGAAAAGCAGTTCTTCTTATTTTCTTTCTTTTTCGAAAAGACGTCTTGTTTGTAAGTTCGCCACCAATGGTTCAAAATAAGGGGAAATGCGAAACAGCTAACTTGTGTATAGAAATCATCTGCCCTCGTCGTGTTTTTTTTTTCTAAAAACAAAATGGTAAGTTCGACTCAATCACTTCTCGCAGTCATCTTCACACGGCCGAGTGTGCTACAATGCTGAAATAACCACGTAGAACATCGACCAATTTCTTGACGAAACCCTTCGCCTTTTGGGTGTTGAGGGTGGTGCGGCCGCTTCTGGTAGTGGCGGCGGCGGTGGCCCTGGGCGTGGTGGTAGGCTATGCAATCTGCTCATCGGTACTCTTTGATCTGTGAACTGATGTCTTTGTAGGCCGAGGAGGTGGTGGTGGTGGTTGTCGTGGTGGTGGGAAGGGCGGCAGTAAGTTTTCCATTCTCTTCATCTTCCTCGATCCATCAATACTGACTATCAACACAGGACGCCGCAGCAAGCGTGAGTGTTAGAATCTCCCACATACTAGGTCCTACGAACGATCGATCTTGAGATTAACTATGATAATAGCAAAGAAGAAGAAGAAGGAAGAGGAAGAAGAGAAGAAGGAGAAGGAGGGCGGCGGCCGCAGTAAGTCTCGCACTTTTGATACATGGCATACACATGTCTATCATGTTCAGTAACTAATTCACACATAGTCAAACTCCGTGGGGGAGTTTATAAAGTCCCGGCAGGTTACCGAGGGGGTCGTGGCGCTGGTGGGACTTTGTCCCGGAAACAATTACGCCAATTTTTAGCGTTGGGCCTTGTGCCAGAGGAGAAGAAAGAAGAAGAAGAAGAAGAAGAAGAAGAGAAAGAGGAGAAGAAGAAAAAAGAAGAAGAAGAGGTTGATGACGATGAAGAAGAAGAAGGAGAGGAAATGGGTGGCAGAGCCCCCGAGTAATTTTTCATATATAAGACTACTGTAAAGGAAAGTTCTGTCTTCCCCCCGTTATTATTCGCAACTTGTTCGGTGAGGGTGACGATACATTATGAGTTTGAGCGAGCAGTCTGGCTCTAGCAGTGCCCATCGCCCTTCTGATCGTTTATGTCAAAGGAGTCTCCGAAATCCGGTCAACAAAGGACTTACCTATCTGCTCATTTTATCTGAGCTCTGATAACTTTGGAAGATATAGCAAAGGCAAAGCTGCCTTGTGGTTGAGCTCCGTTCGCCTAAAGATCCCTAGACGTCGCAACTGCGCTGGGCTGTGATTCACGAAACTAACGTACAGTAGAGGGCATGGGTGAGCTTAATGCTGACTAACCTCTGGCTGGTGTAGCAAGAAAGAGCATAAAATGATCATTAAACACGAGAGACCTTGCAGCGTTCATCATCTTGGTGGTTCAGTTTCGGTCATCAGTATTCTGTTTGCTAAAGGTACATGTACTGGCGGTCGTGTAATGTGAGAAGACCGATTCAAGGAATCTGAAACCGTTGAAGACGTAGCAGAGAATGCGTAAAACTGATTGGGTAAACGATTGCCGTATGCAGAAGGCAGTGATGTGGCGCCCAATCGCCTGAAGTATCTGGGCTATCCGCCGATTTTGGACTGCTTGTGAAGTACATATGCTTCTCGTGATGGCAAAAGGGTCCAGGCCTATTCATTTTGCACTACATGTAGGTCCCTGTAGGAAGATGTGGCAGTGGTGTAGCCAGAAGCACCTGTGTCCGGTCACAAAGGTGTGTTCAAGCATGATACATGTACTTTACGGCAGTGATTATTTAGGGCCGTAAGTTGGCTATGAAGCATCTCGTGTCTCCAGTTAAAGCCATGCATACGTAGATTGTGTCAATACCAGATACTAGAGGAATATAGCTGTAGCAGCAGATATTAGAGGAGAGTAGCAGAAACTAGAGGAGAGTAGCAGGCACTAGAAGAAGCAGCAGATACTAGAGAAGAGTGACAGATACTATAGGAATATAGCTATAGTAGCAGATGCTTGAAGAAAGTAGCGCTAATAGCAGATGATCAAAGGCCGAGTTGAGTAACTCGAGTGATAAATAAATATTGAAGTTTGCCTTCACATCCTGCTTCGACGCTTGAACTGCACACAGTCGCTGGGGCTAAAAAAAAAAAAAAAAAACACTTGCTTGTCTCCCATCTCTCAAATTCTGATCAATTAGCAGGACTTTGTGCAGCCCTTTCAAACAATGAATGAAACCCTCTGGCCATTTCCCTCTCTTCTCGAGTGAGGTTGTGCCAGCCATTGTTGGTGCTATCAACAACCCATTGGCTCAGGAATTCAGTCATGCGAGCGAATGAATGGTCAAATCTCTGTTGATCAACTTCATTAGGATCCATAGGATGTGACCCATTGTATTCCTCTATCTAGAGAGCGGCATTGACCTGCGCTCCTGTGTCTATAGCTATGACATCGTCAATTTCGATATCATTAGCTTCATCGACAACATCCTCAAAGAGGATGAAACTGTCGTCATTGGTACCAAGGAAGTCAGTACCGTCTTCCTTGTCCACCTCATCCAGATGCTCATCAGATTCATCTAGAGGCTCATTAAACTCCTCTAGTGTATCATCAGAGTCATCAAGGTACTCGTTAGAATCGAGGAGGAGCTCATCGATCAAAGATCCTTTATCCAAGATCAACTGATCGGGAATAATGCTCTCATCCTCTTCATCTCGAGGCACCTAATCGTCGCTAGAATCGTCATGTGGAGCTCCACAGACGTCGTCGACGAGAGTGCTCTCATCAATAGCAGGAGCCTTGGCCTTACCCTTGGCCTTGTTTCCGGCCTTTGGCCTGGGGATAGATGGCGGTGTTGGAGGAAGCCCTTTGGCTTCCACAGCAGAGCTCATGCTATCCTTATATCTATCTTTTATAAGAGCCGTTGCATTTGCCGCGGCAGATCGACTTGATCGCCGAGGAGCAACGGGCTCGGCACCAATAGATACGAGAGGGACAACTGGTTCAATGACTCCATCAACGTTGTCACCATCTGCATCTTTGTTGGTGCTTTCAGGCCGACGGGCACTTGCGTTGCCTGATTTCGCCCTTTTGGAGGGAACCTCGTTAGAGGCGGCGATATTCTTTGTGGACCTAACGGCCCTCTTCTTGCTTGACTCTGCTAGCTGAGGTTGAGACCCGCCAGCAGCGGAGTCGATTGGCTCCTTGCTAAAAGCAAGTGACTCTCCACGGTCTGCTTCGCCAGAGGTCATCTGGGAGCTGGACACAGGATTCGCCTTCTCCTTTGCTTGCGCCATGGTCGACGCAAGCTCATCGGATGGACTTTGAACCAGCAGGTTGTAAGAAAGAAGAAAAAAAAAAAAATTTACACATGCTTGTCTCTCATTTCTTGAATTAGTTGGCAAATTCTGCGTTGCCTGCGCCGGATGGTTGACATTGATGTCTTATTATGTTGGAGCATAAATACATTTGTCAAATTTGTCCCCCGATTGTTGGATATGTCTTTTTTCTATCGTGGTTTCTCATAGTGCGTTGCCAATGTATAAGACAGAGATGCCATCTACTTTGGGGCTTTCACTTGCATGTGCCGTTTATTCGGAGATAGCTCAAGTCCAGGGACCGCATTTTTAAGATGAAGCTTGTTTGATGCCAGTAATGAGTTGTTTCAAGATGAAAGAGAGACATGTAAAAGACACATAAGAGAGAAATATCGACAGCAGTGGGGAAATAAGCATACCTAGTAGCCATCTATTATATAAGTGGGAGATACTCGTACCGAGTCTAAGTAAGTATATATATTTGATCAAGCAAAGATTATCGCCTTCCCAGATAACTTTTTCAGAATCTCCAAATTAAAAGCAGTCAACAAGATCAACCCGGGTTTTTGTCACATGAAAAACTCAACTGGAAAAGCTTTCTCGCCCCTGATCTACGTAAGAGAGTTGAGATTTACGAATTCTGTATTTAATTCCGTCAGGCATTTTGTAAAGCTTTCATGACGTTTATGATAGAAACTGTTGTTCATTTCTGCTGTAAATGTTGATCATGTTTAATTTATGGAACTGGGAAAGAATAATTTCTATTCATGTTTGTGCTAAAGTGAGAATTGTATGGGGGTTTCGATCTAGCAAGGGGTTAGCCTTAAAATTGGGAAATTACATATAAATCCCCCCTTTACCCATTTCTTATATGTCGTTGCATAAAAGATCTCCAAGTAGTATTAATTTTTAAACCTGATGAACGCACACCTTGACTTCTGATTTTTCTATATAAGTTTTATTTACATATATTCAAGACAGTATCTAGTATTTACTATAGTTGGCTCAAGTAGTCAAGTTTCTGTACAATAGTTTCCCTTCCAGGCGATTCGCATTGTGGTCTTGACAACCCAAGGATTCTGCCTGCGTCCAGATCCGAAAGGTTACTTATTTCTAAATGGTATGGCTCTGTGTCAATTTGAAACAGCTTCAACTTTCCCCCCCATTGTTGATTCTACCTCCTGGTGCGTTTTCCTTCTTTTCGTGTCCTCTCCCAGCTGCAGCAGCCCAGCTCATGGTATGGAAGTGTCCGTACCTGCGCTTACAATCGAGTCTCAAATCTTGATTCGGCCTTTTTGAGAAACTTTGCGTAGAAATTTATGAATAAAATTCCCTTTCTTAACTCATCGTTGTCCAATTTGCGTCCATTTACATTAAATATCCATCTAGCGCAGCGTGATTTACATTCCTCTTGCCACGATTATTCACTTGTTCAGTCCTTTTTCACCAGCGGGCTTGTCGGGTTTGAGCAGCTGGCGCCATCTTTTCTCAGCCTTGGCAAGTAAAATCGCCAGCTTCACCAACCGATTGAGCTTCTCATGGATCTAACGGGCGCTCATTTCATCAGCTGGCATTCTTCCTACAAGTATTTTTTTCAGCTTTCGGCACTCGTGGCCACCACGATACCCATGCCTCCCCTAGCGGTGCGTCTACTAAAACCACCAAAATCACATTATACCGATTTATCCTACCTCAATCCATCCCCTTTTACTTCTGTTCTTCCCACTGTACATTCAATCCACCATCAACCGCTGCTGTTATTAAACAAGGACTCTGGTCAGCTGTGGAACGGAAGCAGTTGAGGCAGCAGGGGAATTTTGCAATGTGATTAAGAATTATCTCTGACGGTTCTTTACTATATTAGAACATATGCATCTCCATCTCTCAGCGTATGATTCAGTATCCGAACTCAATTCCTCCTTCTCACGCTGTCTCTTTCAAATCCATTATCCTACTATCTGCGTTTATAGCTACAAGTATACCTTGCCAGAATTTTCATATAGATTACTTTATTTGCTCAGAGCAGCGTCAACCCCATCCTTTAAACAATTCTTCAATATATAAAACTGATCCTAAAACTACGAAAACAACAATTTAGTGGGGCGGGGAATGACAAAGGACAAATGTGAGGCCAAAGTGAAGCGAAGTGACGCGAAGTGAAATGAAGTGAAGTTTTGTGCATGCAGACCTCCTCAGGCGTCCACTCTCTTTCTTGCCTCCACCATCAGCAGCAACAGCACCAGCAACAACAGCAGCAGCAAGTCGTAAGTAAGTTGCCCAAGAGTATACAGCTTAGCTACTGACAGATGGAATATAGCTCTTCTGTTTCTTCCATCCCACTCGAGGTGGAATCTTCCGACACTATCGACAACGTCAAGTCCAACATCCAGAAGGAGAGCACACTTCACCTTATCCTCCGTCTCCGTGGTGGTATACAGATTTTCGTCAAGACTCTCACCGGCAAGACAATCACCCTCAAGGTGGAATCTTCCGACACCATCGACAACGTCAAGTCCAAGATTCAGGACAAAGAGGGCATTCCTCCTGACCAGCAGCGCTTGATCTTTGCTGGTAAGCAGCTGGAAGACGGTCACACCTTGAGCGACTACAACATTCAGAAGAAGAGCACACAATTCTTGTTTTTTTTTTGTGTCCAAAAAAATGGTATGTTCTCAGTTCCCCGCTCTCTTTGAGTATGAGGAGTTCTTGAGACATTGTGACAGGCTCGTCATGGCTGCGAGTATTATAGCATCCTAACTTTTATTTAATAGGCTACTACTGTGGACAAGTTCCTGGAGGTCGTGGCCCTTCTACAGGAGGCGGAGAAGAAGGAGGCGGCGGCGGCCGGTGGTGGTGGTGGTGGTGGTGGTGGTGGAGATGGGGGCGGCGGCCCGGACGTGGTGGTATGCTCCCTTTCTCATCAATAAGACACAATTGGCTATTGATCTGTAGACTGACATGATCATAGGCCACGGTGGTGGTGGCTGTCGGGGAGGAGGGAAAGGCGGCAGTAAGTTTCTCTTTTTCGTCTCTATGGGTAACGATCAGCACTAACTACTGAAACAGGACGCCGCGGAAAGCGTGGATGTAAGAAGAACACACTCTATATACACGATCGATCTCGAAGCTGACACAGATGGGTAGCCAAGAAGAAGAAGAAGGAAGAGGAGAAGAAGAAGAGGGAGATGCTGGCCTTGGGCCTTAAAAAAGAGGAAGAGGAAGAAGAGAAAAAATAAAAATAAAAAAAGAGGAGGAGGAGGAGGAGGAGGAGGAGGAAGACAAGAAGATGGATCTCCCATGAGGAAGTTTTTTTCTTTCTATTTATATAAGACTACTGTGGAAATTGAATGTTGCTTTGATCATGACAGTTTGTTCGAGCTACGACGTATTACTATGCTGGTTTTCTATCTTACTTGTGAGATTTGATCATCGGCATGAAATGGGAGTAATCGGAATGATGGCTGATGCCCATGAAAGAGAGATGACACAAGATATTCGTGAAGCATCAGAGCCGGAAAATGAGGGCCAAGATGAGGGCGACTTTCTATATGAAGACTATCTGACAGGCAAGAGCGCTCTTCTCCTTTTCATCTTCAAGGACCCAATCATCACAGCGGTCACCAAAAAGAGAGTTGCCATCAATAATAGGAGGGGCTTTTCCCTCGCCTTGAAGTAATAGTAGGAGAGTACATGTAGTAGTCGTTAGAATGCTTGGTATATGCAGGTACCTAGCCAACTCGGTGCGCTGGCTAGCAAATCCCATTAATCGTACTAGGTAGGTATCCAAGGAAGTACGAGGTAGTAGGCATGAATGTATCATACATTTTTTTTTTCTTCCTGATTGTGTGTATCGGAACCTGGAAGCACTCGGCTGCCATTGACGCTGATTACATGTACTACATGTATCCCGGTAACCTGAAGCCTCGTCTATTTCTCAGCCAGTTAAAGTGGTGAACAGTTGATTAGACCTTACATATACCTTGCAGGTACCTTTAATGCCCAATATTGCCCAACGGCGCCAACTCTTGCGCTCAAAACTCTCAACCACGTACAATCTCACGGTGTACTCTTTAAGGTTCTAATTAAAAGTACAACCAATTATGCCGAATCGTAGCGACTACACAATAGGCTGGATCTGCGCTCTTAGCACAGAGCAAATCGCCGCAGAGGAATTTCTCGACGAGGAGCATCAGGCTCCGGATGACATACCTCCAACTGATTCCAACCACTATACCTTGGGCTCTATCGGAAAACATAATATCGTCATTACTGTTCTGCCTCGTGATGAGTACGGAATAGCTTCCGCAGCCAACGTAGCTACCAACCTTTTGAGAAGTTTTCCCAATGTTAGGATTGGTCTGCTTGTCGGCATCGGTGGTGGCGCACCAAGTGAGAAGCATGATATTCGCTTGGGGGATGTTGTGGTCAGCGCAGCTTCAGCCAACGATGGAGGTGTTTTCCAGTATGACTTTGGGAAGACAATTCAAGGGGAGAGTTTCCAAAACACTGGGTTTCTAAACATGCCCCCGACGGTACTTCGAACAGCCGTATCAAGTTTAAGAACACAACACAAACGTAAAGGCCACCAACTGGAGGAAGAGATTGACAATGTCCTGAAGAGTAATAAAAGGCTACGGAGAGAGTTTGGGAGACCACAAGCAGACAGCGACAGGCTCTTTAGGCCCGGTGTGGTCCATAATCCAGGTGACTGTGCCACAACATGTGCGCAAGACGAATCAAGTTTAATAATGCGTCGCAAGAGGATTGAAGACGAAGAGGATGACCCTGCTATTCATTATGGTCTGATCGCTTCTGCCAATCAGTTGATGAAAGACGCCTCCATTCGAGATAAGCTATCCGCTGAAAAAGAGGTTTTGTGCTTTGAGATGGAAGCAGCAGGCTTAGTGAACCACTTCCCCTGCCTGGTCATCCGTGGGATATGTGATTACTCCGACTCACACAAAAATAAAGAGTGGCAAGGCTATGCAGCTATGACGGCGGCAGCATACGCGAAAGACTTGATCCGTCAGCTTCACCCAAGCAAGGTTGAAGCTGAACAAAGACTCAGCGAAGTCCTTGATGAAGGTTTGTCATTCTCAACCTATACTTCTTAATGAATAAGACCCATCTATAACAATAACCTCTAGTTCTTGACGCAACAATCGGCATCAAGACGAATGTTCAAGATATACGATCGCAGCTACAGTCGGAAGAAGACTATAAAATTCTAGAGTGGTTAAGCGATTCTGATTACAGTCGTCAGCACAATGACAACATCTACAGACGCCAAAAAGGCACTGGCCAATGGCTCTTGAACTCAAAAGAATACCAAGACTGGTTATCAACAAGTAAGCAAAAGCTATTTTGTCCGGGTATACCTGGGGCTGGGAAGACTATTCTCACTGCAATTGTGATTGATAATTTGCATACCCGGTCCCTGGATGATTCGACCGTTGGTATTGCATATCATTATTGCAACTTCAAGCGCCAAGAAGAGCAAACAGCTGTTAGCTTAATGGCGAGTCTCCTGAAACAGCTTTGTTCCTACCAGAGATCCTTGCCAGACGTTGTAAAGGCTGTCCATAAAAAGCACAGAGTCAATAAAACCCGACCATCTCTCGAGGACATCTCAATCGCTCTTCAGTCTGTCGCTAGTATATATTCCAAAGTCTTTATCGCAATCGACGCACTTGATGAATGTCAGCCTACAGAGCGATCTGTATTCCTTTCTAAGCTCTTTGATCTTCAAGCTAAGGCTGAGATTAATATTTTCGCAACTTCACGTCCAATTTTGGAGGTTGAGAAGTTTTTCAATGGATGCCAATCCATAGACATCGTTGCTACCCAGGATGATGTATACAAATACATCGATGGAAATATATCTCAACTTCCCAGTTTCCAACATAATCCCGACCTCAAGGACCTGATTGGGATGGAAATTTCAACAAGTGTTCGCGGAATGTCAGTATTCGATTCAAACTAGACCCTCAACCAAGGGCTGCGCTAACATTCTTCCAGGTTTCTCTTAGCACAACTCTACCTCAAGTCACTCGATGATAAATTAACGGCAAAAGAAGTGAGAAAAGCACTCGAACGAATCAAGCTGCGGGGGCAGAAAGAAGAAAACTTCAAAATCCTGCGCGACGCGTATGATGATACAGTAGAGCGAATCAAGTCCCAGAAAAATGGCTTCCGCAAACTAGCAGAAAAGACCTTATCCTGGATAAGCCATGCAAAGAGGCAGCTTACGGTGATAGAGCTTCAACATGCTCTTGCAGTAGATCTTGAGATAGACAACGGAGAGATTCCACGAGACTTCGACAATGAAAGTAAACCAGGAATTGACCTCATAGTCTCAGTCTGCTGTGGATTGGTCACAACAGACCAAGACATATCCGACGAAGACGGTCGAGCCATCCGATTGGTTCACTATACAACGCAAGAATACCTGAATCAAGCACGGAAAGAGTGGTTTCCGGAAGCAGAAAAAGGAATCGCCGATGTTTGCGCTGTATATCTCTCATTCGATGTCTTTGAGAGCGGCGTACTTCTGTTTGAAACCAATGCTTCGTATCGGGAAAAGTATGAAGGGGTTGACAAGAGGCTACAGTCGAATCCTTTCTATGCCTATGCAGCTATGAACTGGGGGCACCACGCACGCGAATCAAATACCTCCAGCCGGATTATACGAAAGTTTCTTGCAGATGACAACAAAATTCAAGCTGCAGCCGAAGTCATGCTTCATATGAACCCTGAAGCATTATGGTGCCAAGAATCAGAGGAACATAATAATATAACGGGGCTGTTTCTGGTTTCTGTTTTTGGAGCTACCAGGTTGGCACAAGAGCTGCTAGATACACCAACCACGAGATTAGAAGATAGCCTTGGTACGGCCCTTGTATGCGCGGCATTTGGAGGATACACAAGCTTAGTTAAATTGCTTCTTGGCAAAGGTGCGGATCCAAACACAGTGGACGAGTATGGTGATCCTCTGATCATTTATGCAGTGGAAGGTGGTCATACGGACTTGGTTCGAGCACTTATAACGTATGGTGCCGATCCCAACAAAAAATATAAACACGATGGAAGTTGGATGGCTCTTTTGGAAGCTGTTTCGAACGAGCATCTAACTATTGCTGAGCTACTTCTTGAAAATGGCGCTGATTATACTTCACGCCTGGATACACCTGGCGAGACCTACACAGCCATTGACGTGGCAATACTGCAAGGCAATAAGTGCATGGTTCAACTGTTTCTTGATAAAGTTACTCAACCAATTGAAAAGGCAACGCAAGTCAAAAGAATGGTGCTTTCTTCAGCGGTTGTGTATCAGAATACAGAAGTTGCCCAGTTGGTTTTTGAGAAGGATTCCGGTCTAGATTTAAAGGGGGATTATGGTACGGAGCTGCTTTTTCTAGCAGTAGATGAGGGTCGGAGAAATCGACATATAATCGAACTGCTCCTCGAGAAAGGTGCGAGCCCCAACGTAAACGGCTCTGATGAAACGGAGAGGCCACTGTCAGAAGAAGAACGTGCAGAGAGAGAATGGCTTGCTCAAGAGTTGGACGAATACTTGAATGCTGCATAGCAAAGCTTACAATATACATATCTGTTAGTCCAAATGTACGAATGCAAGCTTAGAGGGAGTTAAAATAGCTGCTCAAGTATAGAGAGCACTTTTGTTGGAGATAGCCGTGGATCTTTTCTATCCTTCATCTCGTCTATCGTGTACCATCTCGCTCGAAAGGCGCGGGAGCGGCTAGCGGGATGTTACCCTATGCGTGGGTGAAGCGCAGGCTTAAGCGCCCGTGAGACGGACAGGGAAATGAAACTGGGCCAAGAAGGACCAGTGTATGGGCAGATGTCGGAATATCGGCGATTCATCTCTATATTACAGTTTCACAGATATTGTGTTCTATTGTTGTCCTTGCGGCGTGAGTTTCTACATATCGGTAGTGTAGATAGTTGTTGGCGTGTAGTTTCTTCTACTATCGTCGCTACTTCGTTCTACTATCGCTACTTTCTTTACTGCTAGAAATTACCTAGATTGAGTAGGTAGGATCACATGTTGCAGCTCGCACTTGAATGATGGCTGAACACTCTCCTAATAGATGAAACTCTTGGCTGTAAAACCACGCTTGTATTACATCATGATACAAAGACGTCTCGTGACTTGAACCGACACCAACAAAGAATTTCTCAAACAAAAACTAGAGTGCCCAATACGCCACTGTTACACAGCCCAAAAAACAGATCAAACGATGCGACAACAAATTCTGAACAGCAGATCAAAAGAGTCGGCAGAGGCGACGAATGACAGCCAGTCGCTTGAGGCTGGCGATGGCGCCTGAGACGCCCAAACAGCAGCTGGTACCACCGCAGTACTAGCCCAAACAATGTTAATTTGCGCGGCGCTTAAACAGATTGGCGGTCTTGCATGAGTACATGCCGCGTACCGAGGATGCAGCACATGGAATCCATTGATGAGCTGCAGTATGCGCAATCTGCGACCATGAGATGGATTCCACAGATTTGCAAGGTATCGTTCGTGTATCCCCAGCTGCTTATCTTTACTAAAAGGGACTTGGACAGTACTTAGCACTCTCGCATGGCCAGATCGGGTCGGCCCTGCAAGCCGCGCTTGTCTCAGCCTATCATCGACTCAGAGACCCTTGTCTGCTGAAACGAGACCTTGGTTCAATTACACAGAATTGTTCGATATGGCAGCCTCTCTATGTTTTCTGCTCGCTCGTGTCGTGTCATGTCGTGGGCTGTTCTGTGGCCTCATTTCGCCAGCCGCCGCATGAATGAATGGCCCAGCGTCTGTCTCACGTCAACCGGCCGCCTCCCATGACCGACCGCCAGAGCGACCGCTTTGTTGCCGTGCTTTTGCTTGCTTGCATGCTGTCGATAGGTTGCCGTTGAAGCCGGCCGGCACTGCGACGTGCTTCAGCTAAAAATGGCTTCTGTTCCCTCTGTCGTGGTGAATTGTGCCTTGTGGTGACTCTTCTTCTCCGTTCCCACCTGCTTTCGTCATATCTTACTCATTCTCTCTCTCTCTCTCTCTCTTTTCTCTCTCTCAGCCCAAGTTACTTTTCGTGCCTGATTGCGTGGGCTTTTTTCTGTTTTACAACTGTGCCGGTTTGCCTAGTGTTGGTTGATTGTTACAGCTTCTGATTGTTCCCACGGGTGAGACGGCATCGATGATGGCAAGGTGAAGAGAAGACAACCGTTTCCTTTATCTTTTTTCTCTTTTTCTTTTGTCATTTCCTTTTTTTTTCTCTCTTGAAATAATAACGACTCTCTTGAACGATTTTCTTTTTCTCTTCTTCTTTAATTCACAGGGGTTGAACGGCGCTGGACGTGATTCACTCTCCTTGATTATCCTCGAGTTGCGAACCTACATCGACAACGACACTCTGCGTTCACATACCCGCTTCGATCTTATTCAGAAAGGACAAAGGGACATATACAAGTCTAATTGGGAACAGCCCATTCGACAATACTCTGCTTGGCAAAATCTGTTCACTGAAGAAAAAATCGGGACCCAAAAAAAGTCAACAGCTGTTCACCAGTTGTTCGTCAGTCCGTCTGGTTTAGCCAACACGCTCGCCCTGCCACCTGGCAACCCATATCTCCCTCTTCTTCTCGCGTTCTCTTCTCTCTTCTCTTTTTCCAAAACAAAAACAAAACAAACTCCGAGCAAACCCTGCGTCACGATCGTATTTTGGTTCAGCTTTTCTCCCACAGAGATCAAAAAGCATCCGTTCCTTGGTATCGTCTCCTGACTCAGTCTTTACTTCTTCGATAACTCAAAACTACCCTCTCGTCGCCAGTTCAAAACAATCAGCAACTTCCAAGAGACGCGTTCCAACCGTGAGAATGGCTCCCAAACCTCACGTCGGCCTCAAGGCCGCGGTGGTTGCAACTCTCGCCACCGTCGCCAGCGGTCACTCTTGGATCGAGCGTGCCTTCAAGGTCGCCCCCAACGGCACCATGATTGGAGCTGAAGGATACGCTCGAGGCTGGGTTCCTCGCACTTCCACTAACCCTCCCTTCGCCGACAGCATCCCTCAGTGGATTCTCCCCGCTGCGGGCCAGAGTGCTTATTCTGGGGATGAGGTGTTGAACAAGTACAAGTTGGATGAGAACCCTCCTTTTCCTATGTTGGAAGCCGCTCCGGGCGACCACATAGCCATTATCCATCTTGAGAACGGTCACACCACTCTTCCCCAGAATCAGCCCAAGAAGCCCCTGAACCGTGGTACTGTCTTCCTCTACGGCACCAGCCAGCCCAAGGAGAGCGAGCGTCTCTTTGATGTCCACCTTGTTTGGAACAAGAAGGGCACTGGCGGCGACGGTCGCGGCGTTCTCCTGGCTACCCGCAACTACGATGATGGCCAGTGTTACCAGCCAAACCCCGGTCCCATCAGCACTGAGCGAGCTGCCAAACTCGCCCCTGAGGGAGCTAACCATGACATTGAGCTTGGATGCCAGTCCACCCTTCAGTTGCCTAGCGACCTCAAGCCTGGTTCCATCTACACCATCTACTGGTACTGGGACTGGCCTGATCTGAACGCCGACGATATCAACTTTGCTGCCACCACCAACGGCCTCTACCCCTGGGCTGGCACGTTCATGCGTGGAGAGAAGGACCCCAACGGCTTCACCATGGCCGCCATCGCCAAGAATGAGAGTTATGCTAGCACCATCGACATCAAGATCACGGGTGACTCTTCTGCCACACACGCCAACCTCATGAGCGAGTTCGTCGATAATCAAGACATTTACACCAAAGCCATCAAGTCTCAGATGACCAGCAACTTTGAGGTCAACATTGATGCCAACGGCGCCGACGACAGCCCAAGTGCAGCTCCTTCAGCTCCTGCGTCCCCTGTCGCTCCCAGTGCAGTTGCTCCTGAGCCCTCCGCAGTTGCTCCTGAGCCCTCCGCAGTTGCTCCTCAGCCCTCTCAGGTGGCACCCACCTCGCCAGCTGGCAACGAGGGCAACGTTCAACACACTGTCACTCGCCTAATCACTGCTGAGCTGTCAACCGTCTGGAAGACACTCTACAGAACAGTGTCAGCCGACCAGGGACCGTCAACCTCAGCCTCGCCAACTGTGGAGCAGCCTCGTCCGACTGTCATCGAGACCGTCACGATGCATGTCCCGGTTGCTGTGGCTGCGCCTACACCCTCGACAACCACTACCACTACAACCACAACTTCGACTAGCACCAGCAGGGTTCATCGCTCTGCTTCCACCGTCATGGTGACCATTACGAAGTACCTGCCTACTGCTACGCCGCCAAGCAATAGTCCAGTTGAGGCACCGACCTCGACCCTGTCGAGCTCCAGTTCTACCGTCGAGCCCATCGACAACCGTCCAACTGTGACGCCGTTCATGCCCATCGTCGCTAGGCGCAACTGGGCTTTCGGCCACCATTAAGTGCTCGTTGAAGGGATTTGGTTTGGATGGTATCTTGTGTGATTTAAGGGGGACATGGTTTGGTAACTTGACCTTCTGTTTTATATCTCGATGCATCTTTTCCGTCCTTTTCACAATATTTTCCTTTTTTTACGCATACACATCGTTTCATTTGGTTTGATGCATTTTCGATAGGGGCCTAGGACAATCTAGCAATCCCGCGGTTTTATTTACGGTTTGGCATTTACGGAATGGGGAACATACAAAAAGGAAACCCTGGGAGGTTTTATATTCCTGTCGTTTAGGCTTTTCTACTCGCTTTCGGTTAAAGTCATATGGCACTCTATGAGGCCCTGGGAATGGACATGCATGCTTTGTTTCATTGATTTTGTTTGAAGTGTCTTTTTTGCACATGATTTTATGCGATGAAGTCATACGTTGTTCGTTGATGATGTGATGCGTGAGATGGCGTTGGATCTGATGATACCTGATTGATGATACCATGGGACGGCCTTTACTGACCTGCTATGCTTTTCGTTCCATATCTTTTATTTTCTTGGACGTCTCTTTTTTCTGCTCTATATAGTACGTACAGACTGCTTTCAATATACTCTACTCTACTCTCGACTCTAGAAATGATACAGTGCTTAATGTGATACAAATGTTACAATCAACACAATATCCAACATCCCAATAAGCTTCACCCACGCAGCGCCCATAAGCGCCTCGGCGTTTCGGAACATCCGCATTCAGCATCAAAAACGTCCCGCGCCAAAAGTGGCTTCACAAGCCCAGAGATGAAGACGCCACGAAACAGGCACCGCACGCTGACAATAGAGGATCTGGTATGGGACCTGAAACCTTGCGCAACCGGAGACAGATCTGCGCGCAATACACAAATTCAAGATTTAATAGATTACTTCTACTAATCCACTACTTGGGGGGTCGCGGGTTGGTATCAAAGTCTCTGAGAGATCCGACGTACTTTTACTTTTTCGCAATGCGTTTTGTTGGTGATTTGGTGATTGAGTCTCTGGCTGTTGGGAAGGCAATTGGTGAGGAATTAGATGAACTACATATGATGTAAGAAGCATTTAACCGCAGTGGCTTGCGATACCAATACGCAAAGGAATGGTGGTTATTCACAAGCTTATTAACGCGGCCAATTTCTCGGGGCGATTTCCATTTCTTTGGAGCAAAGTGGCAGAGCTGCCTAGTGCTAAGGAACTTACGGTTTTTCTTCTTCGTTCCCATATTTTACCTGCGGTGAGCCAAAGTGGGCAAAAGGATGGCTTGCATCTGCAGCAAACCATTGATTTCCAGCATCAAAGAGAACTCGGGCATGACACCGCTGCAAAGCCGCGTAATGGCCCACAATTGTTCCAGAGAAGAATGCTAGATAGAGAAAGCCGTGAAAGGGAAGAAAATGTCATCGGCCGGCGATAATGGCTAAGAAAACACAGCGAATTTGCAGTGCCTGGCAATTTGCGTGGAGTTTGTCCGTGGGATCGGGTTGGTCATACCACCGGCTCCATCATCGCGCATTAGTCTCATCTCTCCATCAAGCAAGAAATCAAAAACGCAGTGAGCGCGAAAAAAAAGACAAAGACAAAGCAAAATAGAGAGAATGCGTGAAAGACAAAAGCTGGCGGCTAAAAGGGCCCATCCTGGACCTGGTCAAACCCACAAAAGAGTTACGCGGGGGGGCTATCGGCGCCAATGAAAGTGCCTCTTTGTTGAAGCCAAGCCAGCGAAGCATCTGTATCTATGGAGTAGAAGCAGCACAGCCCTCTTGCGGACATCTAGAAAGACGTTGGACAAGCAAAGTTGTTCCGGGGGCCGGCCCGGCGTCGATTGAACGGAGTGATTCGAGGATGGAAATGAGCTCAAATGGCTATCACCGTTGGAGTTGTGTGTGTGTGAGCAAGTTTAGGTAATACGCCTGGCATGCTTCATGGTGAGCCTCTATGGAGAAAAGAAAAGCAGAGAGGTCATGTGCGGGAGAAGTTGACAATTATTTTATCTTTTGGTCAAGCTTTTGTCCATCATTCTGTCACAATGGGGCGGAGCAGCAGTAGCATGCCCTTTTTAGCTTCTGGTGGATGCGGGCGGGATGAGATTGACGAGCCTCAAGAGGTCAGACAGGCGGTGATGCTCAGGAACCCTTCCCAGTCAGGCTATCATGATGTCAGCCCGTGAACAATTACTAAGGAAAGTTGTACGGATACGAGCTGATAGTCGCTGTATTGAGTGGTTCAAACTTCGTCTTGCTGCATTAACATTTACTGATATCGTATTGAAACGAGGCTGACGAGCACGGTCGTCGACTGGGCCAATTCGGTCTCTGTGCTTTTTTATTAGTAGCATGTCCAATCCTCCGTACCTGGCAGAAAACGCTCGGATGACGGAAGGGCCGAGACGGCCGTGCGTTGAGGCTGGTGAGCACATGCACCAGGTTCCAGGTGAAGTCTACGTGTTAGAGATGTCGGATCAACCATGTTCGGCATGAATCCCGATCAGCGTGAAACCGAGCATCGCGTCCCTCCGCTGACAGATGCAATTCCAAATCCAAAGACCCGGATTGCAGAAACATGAGGCTGAGCATCGTCGGATTTACGGCCGCTTCAACGCCTAGTGTGTCGTCATGCAAGGCGGCTCCATCTGGCATCGTGCTCGTGCCTTGAAAAGACGGAGAGATGGATTCTGTCGGAGCAGCTCCGTCCGCTCACATCGACGCTAGATACCGTGTGGTGCACTGTATAGCACCCCCATGGATTGGAGTTTGAAGCTGATGTTGGAGCGCCAACAAAGTCCCAACCCAATATAGGCAACTGGCGGCGCGCCACTGCTGGTGCTGTTGCATGGCTCAGGGAAACAATGAAGCCGGTGTCGCTCACAAAAGCTTGTCGCGATGGACGATTGCCAATTCGGCTCAAGGCTGATTTCTGTCCTGATGGATTTGAGCTTATATTGGCGAGACATTGTCGATATGCAGAGTATCAGCTCAAGCTGGAAGCTCTCGCATGAATTGATGCTATTTCCAGAAACATCAACTCCTCACGCGCCCAACACAGACGGTCAGCGCCCTGGCCAGAAAATCAAGGCGACGCAGCATTTCAGAATCGCAACCCCCAGGATGTAACGGTACGCTCGGTAGTGACGGGAAGAATGTCACTCTGCCTGCGATGTGCGCCCCAGGAGCACTCAACTCGAGAGCGGGGGATACTTGGACCCAGACACATCAAGCAAGTCACAGGTTAGCATTTTCCAAGTCCCTGTCCATCAGATCGGACCTCCACCGCCCCGCCTGTCGCACCACAGGGCCGCATGTGAACGATTTCGCAAACATGAGATGGAAACGCGCATTTTGAATCACATGGACAGGGACGAAAAACCCGTGCTGAACCCGGTGCCTATTGCAAAAGCTTTCCAAAATGTTCTGGCTGTCCGATCTGGAACTACCCAGAGACGCTTACGCAGGAGTCGTAGCCAGCCACGATCGCCACCGGGAATGGCACGAAGCCGGAAGCATCCTGGGCGTCCTTTCGCGAACTAAGCAGGGCGAAAAGACAGACCAGGCCAGACCAGGTTTGGGGCCAGTCGCGGAGGTATGCGGCGAGTGGGATGGCGACCAAGAAAAAGAGAAAGGAAAATTTGACAGGTTGAATCTGCGAACAATGCATGTCTCAGAGCTTTGGTGGTAAAGCGGCCGAAAAGCAAGGCACGGCACGGGTCTAGACGTCTTGGGAGTGTTCAAAAATAAATCCGGGCTGGAAATTTGCTCTCCCAGCGCCCGGACTCGTTTCTTTTCCCATCTGATACGGACGGTATGTTGCTCCTATCAATTCAGGTTTTCTTTGCTTTTCTTCTTTCCCAGACCCAGACCACCCAAAGGGATTGATTCCAACGGCAGCACTAACACAGCGGCCGCCCATTAGGTCCAAAGTGGTGCCGTGTCAGCCGTAGCTTAGGCGCATGTCCATTACGTATCGAGTCTGAAGCACTTGAAGCAAGAGGGCTGCACGGCGTGGCTCACAGGCCGGAACTCTGCTTCGAGTCGACCCGCTGTGGCCGAAGCCGAGCCGTTGCGGTGTTCGGTGCCGTCGTCGGCCAGTGGATGGCATGATGTGAACTTATCAGTGGCTCTGGACGTCCGTTTAGACTACTGAGAGTTTGGTGTTGGAGATCCACATGCCCGGTTAATATGGCAGTGCAAAGGCAAGAAGAGCATCGTTTTGCAACTCTGGCGATACGAAATACGCAAGGCAGATACGGGAGATACGAATTCTGGTTGTAGACCTGGCTGGAATCCGGTTCAATCAAGGTGAGGCTGCTGATGTTCATAGCTTACGGCGCAATTGGTGATGTGTTCCAGGCACGTGTGAATAAGGTACTTGTAGTATTCAAGTTCCGAACTGTCGCATGCCAGTCGGGCCAGCTACAGGATACTGTTACTATTTGCGGGCATATTGTGAGACAAGAAAATCCATTGGGTTCATGTTGCCTTGGTTTCAAGCTATTGAACATGCCCTTAATTCACTTTCTATTCTTTTTTTACTCATTCAGCTCCAGCTCTCTTTTTGCTTTTTTGCCCCTGCCGTCGGTAGTGGCGCCACAGCTGCGGGAATCTTGGTCTTGGTGCTGACTCGCCCATGAATTGAGCACTCCGTATTCCGTATTCCGCACTCCGTAGATGCAAATGAATTGACGGCTGCAGTCTGGTGGTAGTGCTGCGACTCTGCATCTGCATCTCAATTCCTGCCTGGATGCAGCTCGTAATACGCAATGCACCTGTGGCTTATTCGCACAGACTGAACAGCCGCATACATGGACTTTAATTGTCCGAGCCGCGCGCACACACTCGTATACAGTAGCTGCTCCTTTTGGGATGCGCACATAATACAGGTCTGCCATGTATCTACTGCAGCTGTCATCAAAGCCCGCATCCTCCGAATGAGCAGACATGTGCGCATGATGATGTCGAACTGCGCCGCAAATCCCCCATTTGATATCCATCAATGTGCGCATCTGATGGACTCAACCTCAACGTTCTATTCAACCCCCGGCTCAACTGCAACGCCGACGGCGCTCAAGAAGCCCAATGGTCTTGCACAGCACCAAAGAGCACCAATTCACGCCCCGTAATACCGGCGCTAGCCCAGTAATACGCCAGAAACCAGCGCGTCGCAGCAGCCACTAGGACGCTGGGGATTGTGGACCCAGCGCCCTCTGGAGGCCCTCTAGACGGCGTTGGTGCATGTTCCGTCACAGCACCTGCGCACACTGTGCCTAATTGAGTTCAAATCAATGGATCGTGCAATGTTTTGCTGCCAGAGGGGGTGTGGCAGCCAAAGAGGGGGGCCGGGGGGGGAAGAGCCCTTGCCTATGTCGCTATTGGGCTGGGCTGGTGTGGGTTAGCACAGTCGCAGCTCGAAAAGCGTCTGGCCCGTCTGCGTACCCCGTACCTCGTCGTGCGGCGCAGGCCCACGCTTCCCGCAGGTCACCCATACCGGCCGCTGCCACAACTAGCCCGAGGGAGGTGGATGCTGCTGAATCGCCCTCCAGTGGTCTTTTAAACAGTCTAGCCCACCACCTGCACTCCGCACTTGAACCATTGATCTGTTCTTGCTCTGCTCTGGCTTCGTTTCTTTTACTTCTTCCCTCCTCCCACGCGCGTTGCTTGCCGCTGTTCGTGAGCCGCGCAACAACACCTGCACGCAGCAATCCTTTGATAGCTGCCTGTTCAGCGTCCGGAGCTGCCGACTCACAGCGCGGCTTGAGGTTTTTTTTTCTTGTATGACCTAGATGGTACACTGAGCAAGGGAAAAAACGACACCCGGGACGGAGCCGGAAAAGAGAACGACGTTCCAGCAAAGAGCGCTTGTAGACCTACGCCCGACTTCAGCCTTGCATGGTGCACTCCCTCCGCTCGCCGACGACTCCGAGCCTGTATCGCTCTGGACTAGAGAACCCAACCGCCGTCGCACGATCCATGCTGCCTGTCTCGCCTGCAATCTAGACGTCGAGTTCACGACCTGCTATCGCCATCCTGCAAAGCCGCCACAATGACTGTCATCGACCAAGTCGCTCACGTCGTCGCCCACGTCGTCGTGAGGGCTGCGACAGAAACTGCTTCTTCGACAACGTCAGACACCACCAGCCCGCAGACTGCTATTCCCTCCAACACAAATAACAGCAACAACAACAACAAGGGCGGCGGCTCCAGCTCGCCGCTGCTCTTCTTTGTAGCCCTCGGTTTTGGTGTCGTCTTCACAAACTTGTGGTGAGTATTTGCAGTCGGCCTAGAAACATGATTTACACACCTCCTTCCCAATTGATCTCCTCCTACCACCCTTGCTAGTATCCTCGTCTAATAACGTACCTGTAGGATCATCGTCGGTGTCAAGTACTGCTTTAGATATAATGCTCGCAACCGGGCGCGCATGACCAACGAAGATGGCGAGCCCATCACGCTCGAGAACATGCCTCGCCCTCACCGGAGAAGGCGAGAAAAGAAGCTCATGACCATGGACGAGGTCAACGACAAGTTCCCCATGATGAAGTACAAGACTTGGGTTTCACAACGTGCTCGAGAAGGCTTGCCCACATCTGGAGGAGTTGAAGCGCCCAGTCGGCCCAACAGCGTTCACAACGCAGACGGAGCCATTCCTGACCTTGCTCCGAAAGAACGCGCCTCGGCTGAGGTTCGTGCCCTCGACGAGGCTACACCTGCCACCAAGACCGAACCCGCCAAAGAAACCACCGTAAAGGAAGATGACGACAAGAAGGACGTTACGGTTGTCGGCGAAACGGCAGAAGACGGACCCGTGAAGCCCCATGGCAACTTGAAGCGAACAACAACCGAAGAAGAAGAGGATGAGGAGGACGACGAGGACGACGAACAAATCACCGCCGCTCTGCCACCGGAACTTCTCAACACATCTGGCGATACTTGCGCTATTTGCATCGATACCCTCGAAGACGACGATGACGTCCGTGGACTGACCTGTGGCCATACTTTCCACGCAGTGTGTGTCGACCCTTGGTTGACTAGCCGCCGTGCATGCTGCCCGCTGTGCAAAGCCGATTACTACGTCCCGAAGCCCAGACCCAACCCTGAAGGCGATGCCGCCGCCGCTGGCAATTCCGCCAACCTCGATCCGCGCCAGAACTCCCGAATGAACCTGCCCATGGGTCTATCAACAGCCTGGTTCCGGTCTTCAAGTAACCGCAACAACAGCAACAGCAATAGCAACAATGACAACTCAAGAGCTCCGTCTTCTTTGCTACGGTTCCCCCGGCGACGGGTGCAGGAGGTGGCGCTTGATGCGACATCACAAGCTCAACAGGCTCAGACAGCAACCAATGCTACAGAGACATCTCAGCCGTCTCCTCCCGTCACCATGCTTTCGTCTGTCCGACATGCCATCCGCTTTGGACGTACAGTCGAGCCGTCACCACGGATGAACGCGGAGGCAGTGACCCCAGCGCAGCTGGAGGCCGGCACTCGTCCAACAACTACTGCTACATAATGCAGCGGATTGCGCCTTTGCATTTATTCTTTTTTTGTTTCAGTTTAACGTCCCCACACGATCTACTTATCACGCAACGATGGTATTCTCTCTCTTACAACATATGTGTTGAGCACACCCGTCACCAGCTCGAATCGTATCATCCACCCGGTTTGGAATTTATCTCGCATTATGACAGCATTTCTGATTTTTCGCCCCCTTTTATACGTGTATTTAGCCATGCCAAGGCGGATGCACAAACGTCGTCGAAGTGGACTGCAACGTATATATACGCTCATAAAGGGGCACCCAAGGTAAGACAGTTCTTTAAAATATGGTTAGCTATGGGAAATAGGACGGCAGGGAAGGGGGCGACGCACGGTTCTTATGTATGAAGGAGCCCATGTACGAATGGTTTTTTGCTCTCTGCTTTTGGGCCCTACATTGGGCTGGTTATTTTTTTTTTCTTATCCACGGAGCTCCGAGCGTGTCAAAGACGGAGGTGAAATGGGACATGAGCGGCGGAGTTGGGCGGCTATAGTGGCTTCTCTTGGCAGCTCGATGTTAGCAATAAAGCATCAGTGAAGAAGTGTTGATGTTTCGTTGAAATTGTGACTTGTGTGATGTTGTATTTCGTATATGTTGCCTTTGGTATGGCGACTATACAAGTATCGGTTCAACTTGCTGTGACCGATCGACTTTAACGTATGAGACTGATGAGATTCTAATTTTGAAGGACTGAACCTTTCATATACCAGCACTGCTTATTGACCAAAGATACTAATTAAGAGTGCCTTGTCGAAGATGATATTCGTAAACTCATCCAAATTGATAAGACTCCAGATTCTTGGTGCCATGGTTTCCTAGCTTTTTAATCACATCTCTATATTATCATATATGAAAAATGCTTTGTAGACCCAATGCCATTGCCCAGGCTCTTGTTGACATTCAAAATACCATCCTGTATCCAAAGTCTCATCACACAAGAAAAACGCAAAAGAAACTCGCTATAAAAACGACCCCTTCTGAAACCTGCCCCCGAAATTCGCAGACTTGTTAATCAGCTCCCTCCTCTGCGTCGACGTGATCCTCCCACCGACCGCCATGTCCTTTTCCCTATCAAACGCCCTCTTGCTCGGATCGTCCTCCTCCTCCTCATCAGGTTTCCCGCCGACCGCTGTCGCGGCCTTTTTTCCTCCTTGATGTTCTTCGAGGAGCGTCTTGCCTCGTTGAGCTTGGATGTTTGCCGCGAGGGCCTCGTCGCGACGAGCTTTTCTTTGTTGTTCCTCGGAGAGATTGGATGCGCCATCGGACGTGGATGATGTGCGTCCGAGGACGGAGTCTTGTAGACGCTTGAGTTTCTCTTCTGGTGTTTCGGTCCATATGGATGGCGCGCCGGGGACGGTTGAGGAAGAGGGTTTTGGTTTGGAAGAGAATTTGCGGGCGCGGATGCGGGTGGTGTCGCGCTCGGAGAAGGTGGATGAGGAGGGCGGAGGAGCGAGCATCCAGTCGTCGCGCTTAGGAGCGTCGTCTTCGAGAGATGCAGGGAGTGATGGCCCGATTTGACGACGAGGGGCGGAGGCTGATGGGAGGGATGGGCCGAAGTCGTCGTCAGAGTCTGAAGAGTCGGAGTCGAGGTTTGTGTTGGCGCTGGGGTTTGGATTGGCGCCGGGAGGAGGAGCTGGGCCTGTATCCGAATCGGAGTCGGAGAGGTTGATTTCGTCGTCGTTGTTGTTTGCGGCGAGATGTGGTGGGAGAGAAGGCCCTACTGTTCGTGCCGCCGCCGCGGCAGCAGGCATTTTCGGTGCGTAGTCGTCCTCGGAGTCTGATCCGGAGGCATTGAGGTCTATCTCGTCTTGGTTCTGTAGGGAGTCTTCGCGACGGGCATGTTTGTTTGATGTGGTTGACGTATCATCGTCTGTGTCGTCGCGGCTCCTTTTTAGTTGAGGCGGGAGTTGGGGGCCTATAGACGACATTCTCTGATTTGATTGGTTTGTTCTCTCCGTTTGCAGTATTTTTATTTGTTTGTTGGAAAGGAATTTGATGGAGACGTGGTTTGTAGGTGAAGGAGTTGGGAAGCTTGGAGCAGAGACGATGTCATTTTTGGTGGAGCAGACGGGTTTGCGCGGTGCATGTGATTGGCCCTGTGGATTTCCTGGGGGAGACTTCACGTCTGATGGCTTGTAAGTTCCCACTATGACAGAGAGTCAAATATATGTTTAATTAATGTTTCGAGCGTGTTGTATTTCAGTTGTCACAAGTTCAATTCTTTTAGAGAAAGATTAAGATATGCACTCCATGGAGTCGAAGCCATTTCACACAAGTAGATGTAACGCCTCTGCTAGTAACGGCGAAAACATATAGCAAAGCACATAGACAAGATTCTAATCAGTCATGCAAATCCAAAGGCTGTTCAATGCTACAGAATCGAACCCGTCTCATCTACACTCTTTGCTGGCACGTCTTCCTTCTCTTTCTGGGCTTCCCTCTCGGCTCTCCTCGTCTTGACCCAAGAGCCCAGCTGGTTCCACACTGCCTGCTTCTCAGCGGGAGACATGGACGCCGCAAGGCCGCTGGTGCTTGTTGCGACAAACACTCTGGCTCCCGCCCACTCGCCCTCGATTACGCCCATGTTCTCAGACTCATCCTGCCAGCCGTACTTGAATGCCTTGCCCACAGGAGAGCCGTGACGCACGCGCCAGATGCTCTCCCAGATGCTCTTGCCCACGACGCACATGCTCTCCGGCCGCCATTTGCGGGCCTTGTCTTCCAAGATGGAGACTCCATCGTCCATCTCCTGCTTGCTCAGCTCGGCACCGTTACGGCTTGGCCGCGCAACAATATTGGTCAAGCCAAGGCTGTATAGCTCCGGCATCTGCCTGTCCTCATCGGCACGGCACGGACGGGGCGTCACGCCGCTCGAGAAGAGGAGCTTCCAGAAAAGATTGGAGGGGTGCGCATAGGCATGGCCCGATCGAGCAGTCTCAATGCCGGGATTCAGCCCGATGAAAAATACCAAGAGATTGGGTGCCACGGCATCGGGGAGCTCAGGGAGATGCGCATAAGTAGAAGGCGGCGCATATCCAGCTTTGGGCCGGGTCCGCTTCTTCTTCTGCGGAGACGAAGATGCTGAGCTGGGCGTTGCTGACTGACGCCGCTTGTTGGACGATGAAGAAGCCGTCACGCTGGCGGCTGAAGATGACGATGGCGACTCGGACGCGGCCGCAAACCGAGGGCTTCTGCGGATGGGCTGCTGCGACGTGTACATGAACTTTTTCAACTGTAAGCGCCCCTCGAATGTCGCAGGCTTTCCAGAGCCTACGCCTTCCGCCGTATCTGGAAGTTCCTCCCCTGGCTCCATGTTGATATCACTCAACCCACAGCCTGGTGTATCATGCGTGAACGTGTGTAAGCTGAGCTCTCTGCTCTGCTCGATTTGACACCGATAGCGCTTATCAAGCCGGAGTTTTTTATATCTGCCTTGGCGTTTGGCAGCGCTATGACACGTTGAGAAGCATGTTTCAAGGTCACAATGAAGAAAACGCCTTGCAAATTCCGCACGCTCACTTGGAGGTTGAACAACGTTGAACACTTTATAAAGGATTGCCACCGGGCTATTTTTGCGCCGGCTTAGTAGTCAGGCACGGCATGTGGATGCACTACGAACTGTTTGCCTAATTCCTAGCAAGGGTTCGAAAAGAACTGCAAAGGACTAGCTACCTCAGTACTGCTGGTATTCTGTGCGGCTGAATAAAGCACGTTGCAAAAAGCAAACATGGAAGAAGGGCGTCGAGAGCCTCGGTTGGCGATTCATTCAACACTCGATGCAGTGCATTCAAGCATTCTAGATCCTTGGTGGAACGGCTGATGCTGAGGTCGATTAGCGCAGGCACAGCCACAGCCTAGCTGTTCGGTTTGCCATGGCCCGCGCACGGGAGATCGCGCATCATCTTTGGCTCAGGATTGCCAGGTACGAGTACCGAGTCTGGAGTATGCAAGGCAGTATGCACGGAGCAGTTGAATGTACGATTACCTACAGTGGTAAAGGTTGTCGATGCTCTTGCAACGACCTCGAGAGTGGTCTGGTGTAAAATTCCTCCTAGAGGGCAACAGGTGCCCCTTGGTATGGGTATGGATATGTCGAAAAAAGCAGCCAAGAGCGTGTATTTCTGTGACCAATTCCATGTGCTCACAAAGACCAACGTGAAGAGATAGAGACGCCTTGGCCTCCTACTTTTAGGATGTCGGTGAGCCAACCACCCGATCATCTAGGCTTGGATGCTAGAGATGATCTAGACATCAAGGAACGCTTCAGGGGTCGGCCGACTTGTACTTGCACCTGTACTTGTACTTGAACTTGTACATGCACCAACTTGAATTGAGGTGGACAAGCAAGTTGCGGTGAAGTCCGGCATCCCGCAAGGCATTTCGAGTTTGTAAGAGCATCTCGTTGAATCAGAATCAGCGCCAAGCCGAACAGAAGCCATACAATCGTGGACACGCCTCGAGATGCAAGCCCTTGAATCTGCAGTAGGTTGGTGCTTGTGAACCAGCCCCTTGCAGCCATCCTGCTTGCTTTCGTGGCCTGCCAACGACCACTCAACCGTGTCTATCGTGCGGCTGAACCAAGCAGCTGCAGGTCTGTCACCTACTCTGCTGCCCTGCTCTACTCCGTGTGATGCTGCCAGCACCGCATCTTGTTAGGTATGTGTGGAGTGCGGAGGGCATGGTGCTTGGATGTGAGAAGCCGACCCTGCACGAACCCTGCGCCCTCTCACCGTCAAGCCAGTCTCCATGTCTTGTACTGTAAAGCCAAACCAGACAGACATCAAGACCCGTGGTGGTGTACGTATTGGTTCGAGCAGGGGATACCATCTTTGGAAGAATTGCCGACAAACGGCAGCACGGGGTCCGAGGGCGCCAATTGATGCGGCATGGAATCAATCAATCTTGATACGGGGTGCGGCATCAGTAGGTACATGTACTCGTAATAACCACGGCGGACGTCATACGGCATCCGATGCCAGCAATCATCTGTAGGGACACGCACACATGCTGCTTGTAATTGATGCCACACGGGGCACGCAAAGAAAGGGGCTCCTGACCTGTGCTACTGCTACTGCTAGCACCCACACGAAACCATGTGCGGCTCGAATCGGGAGGTCCGCTGCCCTGATGGGCTCGTATCCGGCCCATGTTCAATGTTGACAATGATCCATACTTGGTACATACGGGGAGATCGGCTCCAAGGCGTGGGTAGCCGGGCATGCAGTCGGATTGCGGATGCGCTGCTGCAGCTACTGTACTCGTGCATTTGTCGAGGCCCAGTGAATTTTACAATGAATGGAAGAGCCGATCCTGATCAATCTCATCAAATCATGTCAACACGGGTATCAATCAATTCCATCACATGTCGAGATGTGTTTATTTCTGGCAAGGCATCCTCAGGCAGTAGAGTAATGTTGACTAAGACGACCTAACCTACAGACAGACAGCTAGACAAGAAATATCAGCTTCTTACTCCTTCTTACGCAACACCAACAAATCAATCCGATCAATGCATCCATACAGAATTCCCACTTCCCAGGCGCTGAACCCACAGCTACCGTTAGGGGGCTCCAGCTGGCCAGTTAGTGCAGAGTCTGGCCTGCAGCGTTCCTGCGAGGCGGAGGGCTGACAGTGATGCCAGTGGATGCCAATTGCCGCACCGCCTCCCCCCAAGCTGAAAATAGCAGCACCATATTTCCGCCTCAGCCTGGTCTGGTGCCACTTGCGGCGCTCGTATGGGATGTGTGTGTACCCTAAGGTAATTAATCACAGAAGTGAATTGAATTCAATCGAATTGTTGTTTTTGCCGCCAAGATGCTATCTAGCACGAGTAAGTTGTAAGTCTACTGGCAGGTATTTTTATACGAAAGTGCCACTGGTGATGCTTGGCAGCAGCATCCATCGCAGATATACTCGTAGTAGCACAGATATGTATCAGTACTTGAGTAACAGGCTCACTCTCACTCACAACGGCAGTACACGTCCTGTACCTGTACCGACAGCTGCCAGGGTTCAAGCCTGTTAAGCTCCTCTCACTAATGCGCTCCCCTCCCCCCCTGATGGGCTTTTTTTCGGTTTGGAGGGGTGGGCGGGCCACAGCATGCACGGCTAGAAGCACCACGACGTCAGCCAGGAGAAAAAGCCCGTCTTGCTGATCATTAGGAGGTACGGGCTGGATACTTGACGACGACCCAAACAACAATACAATCCGGCGTAGTCCAGTAGGTACTTGCATTGTGGAGAGCAGGTCCGTTTCCATCTGCAGTATAGTACCAAGGCCAAGTACCTGCGTATGCACCAAAGCAGAAGAAGCTTCTCTCCTATTGATCCCTCCTTGGTCATCGTCTCCTTTTATACTTCACTGCAGCTTTCCCTGCTTCCGGTTCTTCTTCTCGACATCATCATTTCTTCTTTTTCTCTCCTCCTCCAGCTACCGCACTCAATTCGCTCGCTTGAGTCTCCATATCATCTTCTACCATCTATCAGCCTATTAATATCTGTTCTTTTTTTCTGCTTGTATTCCATAGATATCCCCAAACCCACAAAATGGAAGCCGTCAAGAACATTCTGAGCAAGGCCACCAATGGCGCTACAAAGCCCGCCCCTTCGGCCGAGGCTGTTTCCCAGCTCAAGGAAAAGTACACCAAGGCTGGACAGGAGCACGTCTTCACATTCTACGACTCCCTGAGCACTGCCGAGCAAGCTACCCTCTTCGAGCAGCTCTCCGGCTTTGACCCAGCCTACATCAACGAGATCACCGACCGAGCGCTGCACCCCCCGCAAGTCGATGAGAGTGCTGCCAAGCTTGAGCCCTTGCCCGAATCCGCAACTGCTAGTATCCTCGACTCGAGCTCTGACGATATCAACAAGTGGTACGAGTCTGGCCTTGACCTCATTGGCAGCAACGAGGTTGCTGTCGTGCTCATGGCCGGTGGCCAGGGCACCAGACTGGGAAGCTCTGCGCCCAAGGGCTGCTTCGACATTGGCCTGCCCTCGCACAAGCCCCTCTTCCAGATCCAGGCCGAGCGCATCCGCAAGGTCGAGGAGCTGGCTGCCAAGAAAGCTGGTGTTGACAAGGTCGTTGTCCCCTGGTACGTCATGACCAGCGGGCCTACTCGCGGGCCTACCGAGGAGTTCTTCTCCTCCAAGAACTACTTTGGCCTTGCCAAGGAGAATGTCATGATCTTTGAGCAGGGTGTCCTGCCTTGCATCTCCAACGAGGGCAAGATCATCCTGGAGAACAAGGGCAAGGTCGCCGTCGCCCCCGATGGCAACGGTGGACTCTACCAGGCCCTCGTCGTCTCTGGCGTCCTCGACGACATGCGCAAGCGCGGCATCAAGCACATCCACGCCTACTGCGTCGACAACTGCCTGGTCAAGGTTGCCGACCCCGTCTTCATTGGCTTCTCCGCCTCGTTGAACGTCGACATCGCCACCAAGGTGGTCCGAAAGCGTGATGCCACCGAGTCCGTCGGCCTGATCCTCACCAAGAACGGCAAGCCCGACGTTGTCGAGTACTCTGAGATTGACAAGGAGACTGCCGAGGCCCGCGACGCCAACAACTCGGAGCTGCTCAAGTTCCGCGCCGCCAACATTGTCAACCACTATTACTCATTCAGCTTCCTGGAGAGCATTCCTCAGTGGGCGCACAAGCTGCCCCACCACGTCGCCCGCAAGAAGATTCCCGCCACCGACCTGGAGACGGGCGAGCTGATCAAGCCCGCCAAGCCCAACGGCATCAAGCTCGAGCAGTTTGTCTTTGACTGCTTCCCTCTGCTGCCCCTCGACAAGTTTGCCTGCATGGAGGTGAACCGCGCCGACGAGTTCTCTCCCCTCAAGAACGCCAGCGGCACCGGACAGGACGACCCCGAGACCAGCAAGGCCGACATCATGAACCAGGGTCTCCGCTGGGCTCAGGCCGCCGGCGCCACCGTTGTTTCAGACGGAGGCATCGAGGTGTCTCCCCTGATCAGCTACGTAAGTAGTCACTTCATTCCTCACGGTCAATCCAGCCTGATACTAACAATGATTCGCAGGGTGGCGAGGGACTTGAGCACCTCAACGGCAAGACCATTGTGGCCCCGGCCGTGCTGGAGCTGGAGAAGAACTAAACGAAGAAAAAGAAAAAGGATATCGGAATATTTGTTTTAATGATTTTTTATTTTAATATCAGCGTTGGTTAGCACTAGAGTAATGTTTTAGTGGCACGGGCCTGGATGAATTTATGAGGCTACTGCGGCGAATAAGGCCGCATCTCCTCTGTCGAGCAATCTGCAGATGAAGTTGAAGCAAGACATAAAGAGTTTGGAATCTTGTTGGCATGTGGAATATGATATGATTCCCTTTGGCTGCTTGATTGAAATACAATTTTTTTTTTTTTTTCATATCACATTTCATGATCGCATAGTAAAACATTTTGGTCAAATCTGGTGTCGACTGTAGTCTATTTCTACTCTGTTCTTTTGTTCTTTCGCTTCAAGAAAACAAACCTGTCACTGCTTATATACATGTATGATCTAGATTCTATCCTCCTTTGTGGTATAACTTTTTTACTCCATCTCGGTGATGTACTTCTCCGCCTCCAGAGCAGCCATGCAGCCCGTGCCGGCGCTGGTAATAGCCTGGCGGTATCGCTTGTCCTGGACATCGCCGGCAGCGAAGACGCCGGGGATGCTCGTCTCGGTGGTGCCGGGCTTGGTGACGATGTAGCCCTCGGAGTCGGTATCGACCTGGCCCTTGACCAGTGCGGTGGCCGGGTCGTGGCCGACGGCGTAGAAGAGGCCGTTTGCCTCGACCGTCTCCTCCTCGCCGGTGACAACGTTCTTGACGACCAGGTGGCTCATGAGGCCGTCTTCGCCGCCCTTGACCTCCGTGGCGACGGAGTTGAAGCGCACGGTGACCTTGGGGTGCTTGAGCAGGCGTGCAGCCATGGTCTTGCTAGCACGCAGAACATCACGACGCACAAGAACAGTGACGTGGGAGCCGTACTTTGTGAGGAAAGTAGCCTCCTCGGCGGCAGAGTCACCGCCGCCGATGACGAAGAGGGGCTTGTTGCGGAAGATGGGCACGGCGCCGTCGCAGACTGCGCAGGCGGAGATGCCGTTCTGCCAGTACTTGTCCTCGCCGGGGAGGTCGAGGCGGCGGGCCGATGCGCCGGTGGCGATGATGACGGAGTCGGCCGTGTGCGTCTCGTCGGGGTTGAACTCGGTCGAGAACTTGAAGGGGCGGGAGGAGAGGTCGAGCTTGGTGACGGTGTCGGTGACGATTTCGGTGCCGAAGCGCTCGGACTGGGCGCGCATGTTGTCCTGGAAGACGAAATTGCATGAGTATATGTCCGTATATAAAAGAAACAAGACAAGAAGAGAGCGTCTTTGCAAAACTCACCATCAGCTCCTGGCCCATGATGCCCTTGGGGAAACCGGGAAAGTTTTCAATCTCGGTCGTCGTCGTCAATTGGCCACCGGCAGCGGTGCCGTTTGCCATGAAGCCCTCATACAGGACAGCTGTTATCCCCCAAACAGTTAGTATATACCAGTCTATTCCATCGCACCCCACGGGAGGAGCAAACTTACGCTTCAGTTCAGCTCTGGCCAGATAGATGGCAGCAGTATGGGCCGCGGGGCCGGATCCAATGACTGCAATGAAAGTTAGCCTCGGTATCGCAAATTCATAGACGACTCTCCCCATGGCCGCCTCAATCGCAAAACGCTAGCGGAGCAGACATACCGACAACCTTGCTATGCATTTTTCTTGCTCCGTGTTCAACAGGCTTGGTAGGGTTCTTTGTGAATGTGGTGGCGGCAGCGGCAATCGAAAGCCCAGCACTCGAACGCAGCGTTCGTCGGAAAGTTGAGGCGAACAGTTTGGCGACTTTTGGTCTAAAGATACGGGAGAAAAAAGGTAAGACGAGACGGCGGCAAAGACGGGTATATATAGCGGTTTAGATTCTATGGACGCGTTCGCAGAAGTGAATCCCTTATACAAGATGCAAAAGACAGAGATGGAAAAATAGCACACGGACGAGTTCGGCGCCATGGCGGGGCTCGGCCGTGAGTTGCAGAACTGGACAGAAGCCGCATCTTAGTAACCCTGGCACACCAATTCTCGGGCGGTCAGCCGCTAATACTCAACGTACCCTCGCTTGCCTCGCCATAGTTTACTGTACGGAATCAAGACAAGGCTGTGTGCATCGATTGGTTTGGATTTCTAAGCCCCCCCGGCACCGCAGACGCCGCTCCCGACTCGTCGCATTAAAGTTGGGACCTGGAATCGCAGCTTGTCAGGTTGACAAATCCCAAGTGCCTGGTGTTTCGAAGCTCAAAAGATTTGGGCTCCTGGGGATGCGCTGCGGTCGGATGACGTCCCAGCCCGGAATCTGGAATCTTTTTGCGATATCCAAAACCTCCCCCCTCCCCCTATTTTCCCCGTTCATGTGCTGCCCCCTCATCGCTGCCCGTCCTCGGCACCGTCGCGCATGCCAAACTTAAGCCCAAGGCCGCTTATATCTCGTTTGAAGAACTTTCCAAAATTTCTCAGATTCTCATTGATCGTGGCCTTGTCTGAACCGCTTTGACCAGTGTTGCTAATGTCCCTCGCTGCGCTCAGCAGTTTCTCGCCCAACGACCCCGCGTCGAACCTTGCTGCCGAGCTGCCTGCCAATGAGGATGATGCAGTATTGATGGCGCCCATGGCACCAGTACTGCTGAGACTCGACGTCAGCATCAATGGCGTCAGGAGCGGCGAGTTTTGTGCGAGCTTCTCGTTGGAGCTGCTGTCGCGATGGATGCCAAACAGCTCAATCAGGTGAGCCTGGTCTATCTTGCGCACCCCCTTGAGATCCAGGATCTTCTTGAAGTTTGTATCTGAGCGGTCCGCAATGTGAATGAGGTACGCCTGCACAAGGCCTTCCGGAGGCGATTGCCGAACTTGCAGCGTCTTGAGCAGAGGATCCATCCGATTCATGCTTTGCTCAACCCTCCTTACGAACGTAGCAGACGGTGCTTGCTGCGCTGGTGATGGGTTGTGATAGGACAGCAGATTCCCAAACGACTTTGTGAGTGCATACTTGTCAACAAGCATCTAGTACGACCCTTGGTTAGCTCAAATTACGAGGCAAACCCCTATACTCCCATTCTCTCTTACCTGCTGTGCCCCAACCTCGGATATTGGCCGACACTGGACAATATTATTGATAAAGGCCGTCACTAGATGATCCACCAAGTTGTCGCAGAACGCTCTTGCGTACTGCTGCTTGGTAACAATGGCCAGGATCTCCTCCGTCTTATCATTGACATGTTTGACAAGCTCACCCACCCAGGAGCTCTGGTCGCCCGCGCTGTCCATGGTGCTCCAGTTTGTATTCTTCATCTCCCGCCAGACGCCCTCGCAGTCCACCTCAACAATGCGTACCAAAGCCAGTACGGCAGCGCTAGCCACACCCAGGAAAGCGTCCGACTGTGAGGATAGGTCGACCTTGGACACCAGCTCATGGTCAATGCGCTTCTTGATGTTCTCCTCCAGTTGGTTCGTGTTGATGTGCCAGAAATCCGCCGTGTTCAGGACCAAGACGGCGTCCTGCATGGAGGGACCCTTCTGCCCGCTTGACTGTAATTTCCGTAGCAGTACCTGCTGAGCATACTCGTCCAAGTATTTGGCTAGTGTCTTTGAGAGATCCAATAAGCGGTCGCTCGTGGATAGCTTCGCGCATTGGGATAGAGTTAGTTTGTAGAAATGGAAAAGCTCCAGAGCCGAGGAAATGACGGCCTGCGGCGTGAATTCTTCTTCTGGGGGAATGAGCGGCTGCGTGCGGTACTTTGGTATCATAGTGGCCAGCTGCTTGTCCTGCGACTCGACCCAGAGACTCAGGTAGGGCTCAAAGGCCACCGATATCAGCCCATTAAATGTGTGCGACTTCTCCTCTGTCGAGCTTAGCGTGTCGATGCTGGCCCTTGGGTCGTTGGAGAAGTGCTTCTCCAGGTTCTGTTCGAAATTGAGCGTTTCTTGCAAGCACGCGAGGAGCAGGTTGACGTCAATCTTGTTGCCGTCTGGGCGCCGCATGCTACGCTCCAGGATGCCCTTGAAGTCGTCACGCGTGCCATCGCAAAAGGCAGTGGCCAGAGTTTCGTTGACACGCCAGTGCGCGGGGAAAATGGCGGCATGGTCGTCCTCGTGCGTCTTCATCATGCGCTTAAACCACGCATATCTCCGTCCGATGTTGTCTAGATTGCCCGCCTCGTCGTTGCCCCGGAATACCTGGCGGTACTCTCGCAGCTCCGTGTTGATGTACCAGCCGACAATCCTCGATTTTGCCGAGTCTCCCAAAGCGTCCATGACGAGGCAGGCTTCCACCAAGGTCCCTCTCTTGGCGCTTACCTCTCCCTTTGTAAAGGCCATTTCGAAATCCTCGCAGACCTGCTCCAGCAGCTCCCTCTGCAGTTCGGACACCTCTCGACTTAGCGTCGCGATCTGCTCGATGCTCCTGTAGCTGTTGAAGTGCTTCATCAGCTGCAGCACCGCCTGCAAGAGGCCGGCACACTCCCGATACTGCCTCGTCTTGGCAAGGCCCCTCAGCTGCTCGTACGCCGTCGTGAGCATCTGCAGCCGCTTCAGCGCCGTCATGCTGAGCGTCAGGTTCTTCTTGGTATTGTCCAGCCTCTTGATGTCCGCCGTCATCGAGGTGATGTTCTGCTCCGTCTCTATCGCTCGTGACCGCACCGTTTCAATCTTGCGAAACAGCTGCGCAAGCTCCGTTTGCGCGGACCGCATTCGCTCCAGGCTCGAGTCTGGTTCGTAGGCCTGGGCCGATTCGAGGGTGTTGATTTCGTAGGAAAGGTCATCTTGGCGGTGCTTGAGGGCCTGAGAGACTTGGCTTATGGACGAGACGGCAGACGGATGCGAAAACAGGAGGTTGAGGTGGTCAATGGGGTCGTAGTCGACTGTGCCACCATCTTCATGTTAGTTGCGAACAGCTTGTCATTCGGCCAGCGACTCACTTGCGTCGAGACTTGCGGCAGATGTCCCTGCCAGAGAGCCATTCATAGTTATGAGTGTTTGTTAGAAAATGGATGATAACAGTACAGCAAGATAAGAGATGGCAGCTGCGCGATGGATGATGCGAATTGTGTAAAGCCGGTGTTAACCTGGGCAAGGTTGTGTCTCGTTTATCAAATGTCTTGGTACCAGGTACGGGTAGCTCCTGATGCTGCAAGAGCCGGGGCTGCCAAGAGTGGATTAGCCTGGGTGTTCTTATTCAAGTTAAAGTGGGTCGCATTTCCTGTTCGTCTCAAGCCTTGGAGATGGCATTGGGAATGGAACCAGACATAGGTATACACATTATCAGATATTAATGAATAGATTATTATCCAATGAGACGCTTTGGAACCCAAAAGTTCATTGGGACTCAAGTGTTAAAATAAAGAGCATATGACAGTTGCTCTGTATGCTGTATTGACTACCTGGTAACAGGCTACCTTGGTACGTGTATTGCCTTGACCTATCTCGCTGGATGGCCTCAACTACTCCTGATGCGTTTCTGGAGTACGCTTTTATTCCTCCTCGGCATACTTGTCAAACTCGGTGCTTTCCTTTTCCTTGACCGTGTCCTTGCCCTTCTTCTTCATGGAGAAGCGCCACCCGCTCATCCGACTCTCCCTCGACTCTCTCGATTTAGAGGGGCCTAGCGAAGGGCTGCTTGCCAAGCTGTCAAAGCTTCGGCCAAGCTGAGAAGCGTCCTCGCCTAGGTCGTCAATGTCACCGATGCTGGACCGATGGTCTACCGACATATTTCTGTCCGAATTGGTTGCGCTACCGGGTCCTTTCTTAAATAGTCCCGAGTCTTTGCCTAGTCTAGTCGACAGGCCAAACTTGCTGGAGCTTCCCTTGCGGAACAGTTTCATGACGACGTTGTCTTGATCTTTGGCAGCCGAGTCGGCGTTGGAATTGAGATCAGATGGCGTGTTGGATAAAGTCGAGCCAAGCATCAGCGATTCATGAGACTCGGCAACTGAACCCTGAGTGTGGATGGAATTGGTGTCCCGAGACATTGACGCTTCGGATGGGAAATCATCCAGTCCATGGGGGTATTCTGTGTCCTTGGCCTTTTCTTCCTTGGCCTTGTCTTTGCTCTTATCTTTGCTCTTAGACTTGTCAGCACCGCGGAAGAAGTTGCCCATGAATGTCGGAGCTGTCGGATTCAGACGCTGGTTGATAGATTTCAACCCTGTTGGCGGGCGGGAACCGATGACACCAATCTGGCTAGGCGACGTCTGCGGGTCAAGTAAGTCATCATCGTCGAGTATGACATCTTCGGCGGACGCTAAGGTGGTGGTCAGTATGGATGGCGATCCATGGATTGACGGGCGCCTAGAGCCGCTCCTAGAGGGCCATCGATTGTCAGGCGACCACAGCCGGTTCTTGGTGCTGAGCAAGCCTCCCTGCTCTCCCTGAACTCCTTGCACTCCCCAGATGGAGCCGCTGTCTGTGGACGGCCGTGGCAGGTCGATGGAGTTTATGGAAGGCGGCCTAGATCCATCAGCGTCTCTGTCGGCAAACACGCCACCGCTTGAGTTGCCAAATGGAATCAGCCGGCGCGCCGAGAACGGTCGAGATGTCGAAAAGGGGATTCCGGCAAAGCTATCGGGCCCGGTCGAGTTGCGGTTCATCCAAGAGGAAAAGTTGATCTTTCGGCGATTTTCCAACACCTCCTGCTCGTCCGTTCCTCGAGGGAAAGATTGGCTCTGCCCGGGCTTGAGCGAGCCAATGGCAGGCCCCAGTTCATCCGCAGGCTTTGCGCCCCTATTACGTAGCGCCGCCAAAAGGTTGGACAACCTATGGCCGGTGGCGGGAGGAGAAGTCGCAGAGTGATTCAACCCCAGAGAAGTCAAAGACGGCCGCCTGTCGCGGGTTTCATTGTATTGGGGGAACGGTAAATTGCTCGAAGAACCATGAGGGCTTGCGAATATGTTAAAGGGTGGGCTTGCGGAAGCCGGTGACTGAATGTTGTCGTCGTCATCTGCCTGAATAGGCTCAGGCAGGAGATTGTCTTCGGGGCCCAGGTCAGGCTCCTCCATCTCGTCAAAGATGTTAGAAGGGAGAAATGAGCGAGCTGCCGACGGACTCAACGGCCCGTTGGCCTCCCTAAGTTCAGCTTCCGTCTGGGGTTCGCCTTGGCCATGGGCCGCCACGTCCATAAACAGGACTGGGCCAAATCCAGCATTGGCGAAGCCGGCAGTCGATTGAAAGGTAGGGTCAGAGGGAACAATCGGGCTTGGTGATGACAGACTTTCGGGCATCGGGACGCCGTGTTGGCTTAGACGCCTAGGTCGAGCGGGCGGAGACATGTCAAACTCCGCGTTGGGGTTGGGAGCGACCCCTTGATTGAAGAATTCGAGGTTGGCCTGCTCCATCCTCAACTGTTTCGTCACCATGTTGATCTGCTGGTCAAGCTCGTAGGATCTCTTGGCTTCCGCCACCCACCGAGCATGCAGCTCCTTTCTCCTGGCCTCCCACTCCCTCCTTAATCTCAGGTCTTCCTCTTTCCACTGCTCATCGTGCGCATCAGGAAGCTGTTCTCGAGCTGCCTTGAGATCCTGCAATTGTTTCCCTTTGTCTTTCAACTCCGCCTCAAGTTCAGCACACTTATCCAAAAGCTCAGCATTGATCTCGTCAAGTTTTCGCACGTCCTTATCCCTCTTCTCTGCTAAGGCAGCCTTTTGCGCCTCAAACCCTTCACGATCCCTCTTCATGCGCTGGATCTCAGACTCAAGTTTGGAGACATTATCTCGCACTTTGGACTTTTTGGCCTCCTTGTCCCGCAATTGCTGCTCCTTTTTTGCTCGCTCCTTCTCCGCCGCTCTCATCTGCTCCATCGTAATTCTCACCATGGCCTTGAGTTGGGCCGTCTGCTCTTCCTTCTCCTTCAACATCTGACGCTTACGCTCCTTTTCCTTTTTCAGCTCCTCTTCCTGTTGCTGTGCCTCGGCCTGTTCCTTGGCATACACGGCCAATGTATCCTCGATTTCCTTTCTAATGCCTTCAAATTTACAATTCAACTCGTCAAGCGACAGTTCGGGGCCATCGAGAATTGGGAGCTTGATGTGAGGCTGGTCCATGCTCGCGACAGAGGGCGAGTGGCGGCGGTTTATTGTGTTGCGCCTTTGCCCCGGCGCAGTACCGTTGGCATCGCGAGTGCTGGCCGAGTTACCGTCGAGAACAGGGGCGGCCTCGACTGATGGTACGGGGAATTGGGCATCGTCAGAGTCGTCGCTTTCATCATCACCAGGGATGGTTCGAGGCTGGTCCGGATCCGTAAAGTTAGTAGGCAGTCGTGAATTGCCCAGAAGTGGTCTCCCATCCTTGCCAAACGTGCGTAATCGTAAAAGGGCACTGCCGGCTTGGAAGTTGTTCGGGCCCACGGCAACAACGCGAATGTTGTAGAAATGGTTCGGTTTCAGCCCCGTCACGGTAATGGCCACCTCGTTGCCTGGAGAATCGCCCACTGTTGTCCAGGCAAAGTCAGATCACAGTCACGGGACAGATTGGAGTATTCTCATGCCAGCGAATACGTACCATGCACTCCGTTGACTTGGATAGAATATTTCTGTACAGGTCGATTGCTCGTCGGGCGCGTCCAGCTGAGAGTAGCCGCATCGGATCGAATTCCAGCAAGACTGACATCGGGAGGTTCAGGGATGTCGACACCTAGGATGTTGATGAGTTCGGGAACGGGTTTCCAGAGGGTTTGCCATCCCCGGTGAAGCAGCCTGGACAAGTCAGCAACAGCAACAGCTCGAAATAGAATGGGTATCAACGAACCAGAGCACGGCTCCGAGAGTGAGCGCCATCTTGAAGTGCTGGGCTAGCAGCGCATCGAGCTGGTAGTCGACAATGGCGTCGTGGGCGCTTGCGTACATGCGCGCGGCGAGCTGGCGAGGATCGATGAGGACGGCGGAGGCGCTGACGAGGATATACAGGGCCTTGCGGTGGAAGGGCTGAGGACTACCAAGCCCCCAAAAGCCAACAGCGCTGAGGGAGAGAAGGGTCAGGGCTGGAAGCTCCCATGACATGTTCTCAGATGGACTTAGCCAGAAATGCCGACCCAGGCGGGAGGATGTCGGTAGTTGGAGGTTTGGAGGCGGGAGAAAAGAGCAGCAGGCGACCCCAGTAAAGCCGGGGCGCCGATTGGCCGGCTAGCAGAGGGCTGGCTCTTTTTTTCTTTCCTTTTTTTCTCTGCTACTGTGTAGACGCCGTGCAAAGATGACAAGCTGGCACGGACAAGAAGCCACCTTCAGTACTCCGTAAATTCAATCCGAATCAGCGTAATGTACTGTAATGCACTCCCAGCGCAGAGAGCTTCGGTAGAAGCAGTTAAAGACCGCACTGTGCTGCTAATTGAAAGAATCCTGGCAGTGAAACCAACGACTTAGTCTCTGCCAAGGAGGTTAGCAGCCTACTGAAGGTGCTAAGCTGGGGAGGCCGTAGTCGAGCTTGAAGATAGACGCTGTACGGGACTTGGAGTCTGTGGTGCAAGGCGCTACTTGGTGCATTCAGGCTGAACATCAATGTGCAAAGTAGCGTGGCGTCGAAGAGGCACTGTGAACGGTATGTTGTAAAAGACAGTGCCGGCGCCACTCGAGCTTTTGCTGTGGGAAAAGGAGTTCTAAAAATGGATCCAAGGTTGAATATTAGTGTTGTTCGCAAGGAAAATTAAAAAGGGAATAAAAATTGACGTGCATAAGGCCTTATCGTATCGGCAAAAAAAATAGCTGAGCAAGACCGCCGCGAATGGCACCAGGAAATGTATGGAGTGGACCTTGTGTGGCGATCCTTGCTAGGGCAATTGGAGGCTGCTTGTTGATGAGTTGGTCTGCGAGGTGAGTCTGATAATTCGGCAGCTGTTGCTTTGGGAAGCCCTCGAGCATACAAGGTAGCAAGAATTGTAGAGGGAAATGCATCAAATTGATGTGATATCTATCGTCATTGCCCTATCGTAGCGAGGAGGAAACGTGGGAAGGTTAAATACATGCACTCTCTCTCCACTGGGGCAGCCTGCATATCCGACCGCTTGAAGTCAATGCGAGTTTCACGGGACATGATGCACACGGCTATCAACATACACGGGAGGGGAAGGCCGAGGTGTATTCCGTGTTGCCACATCATTTGCCAGCACGGTCTGAGCGGTGACTGCGGACAAGCAACGACCCTGGATTTTGTTGATGATTTGCTAGAGTCATTGGTTAACTTCGAGGCCGATCTGTAGAGGTAGAAAACTCAATCACAGAAGAGATTTGTGAATATGCCGCAGTTTCTTCAATCTACTTCTACTAACGTTGTAATCAAGGCCACCATGCCTTAGCCATAGAAGCACATGTAAAGACCAGTGCAATCTACGATTATGTACTGCTAAGGGAAGACTGGACTCGGAGAGAATTTCTGGGTACAAGTATATGGGTGGAATACAACGGCCGTGCACTGGCACCTAGGCGGACACATACTTCATCGAATAGCACTGCTATACATCAAGTCCCGAGCTGTGTAACCTTCGGAAGCAAATGTGTCAATGGCATGAGGCTAAAGTCGGTGAATACCTAGTAGCTAGTGTACTAATATACGTATCTGAGGATATCGTCAGCTCAGCTCTACGTTCGATGCTTTTTGTCTTACATACCAAACCAGCTTTCGCAGTTAAAATGTGTATGGGACCTTTATATAGGGAGTGCTGGTTATGGATAAAGTTTCAATGTAAGTCCAGCCACGGCTTTTGTTTGGGCCAGGTATCGTGGGGTTGCTCGTCTAAGTCTTTCTCCTACAGATGTTGCTTGCTCACCCGGCTGCAAGGGTTAATATCCCCCTACATACTGCATCTGCATCTGTCTACACACTGTAACCTGACTGACTGGCCCTCTGTAGAGAAACTCTTCTATTGACGTCAGCGAGCCTGTTTTAGGCCATTATTTCACGATGATGCTTGTGTGATGGGCTCTATTGAGATCAGCATGCGAACTAGATCAACATCCATGTATAGCCTCTCATTACCCCTCCTAATTCCCTCATCCATTTGGTCTGGGGAAGCAAGCCCCAAACAGGGAAAAATCAAGAGAAAAGTCTTGGTAGGGAGATGCTGTCTTACACATGCACAAATGAGAAGAGACAATGGCCTCCACAAGCATGTGTCAAACTGTATGCCCCTTACCTTAGTGCTCTTATTTATGTATAAACACCACCATTGCGCTGCACATGTAGTAAGCTGATGATATTGGCAGACCTCCTTGGAGTCACCCGCGAAGCCCAGGCTCCAGCCATCTACGATCTGAGCCATACTACTCGTAGTCGATAACCACAAGGCCGGTGTTTGGGGGGCAACAAGTTTGGCAAGCAAAGGATCAGGCCCCGGCTCGACGACTCATCTCTGGCATGCTTGGTCTGTCAGGTGAGCCTCCTCGTAATACGGAATGGCCCCGTCACGGATGCTTGCACGAGAATAGCCGCTAGAATCCTTCAGTGTGAGCGTGTGAAGCCAGTCATCAAAGAGGCAAAAGGCCAATGGCAGCCTGGAACCTCGGCTTGTTGGGGGTTGCTTTTATTCCGCGAACTATTACGTTGTTCTTTTGCAATTTTCTCGCCTGATGTCCCATGGAAATGGTTGAGCACATGATGGGCCGTGGTTCGGCAACGCCAAGTCCCCAGTACTTGGGGGTAACCCCGGATTCGCCGCGCGATGTTCCGCCTTTTCCAAGGGCCTTCCATGGGGCCTCAGGGCTGCCAGCGATGCCAAATCTCGCTCCCCCCTTGCTCCCCCGTCAGCGGCCTGCCTACTGCGGTAAACCTCCTGAAGGGCTGCTGGAGGTGCCAGCGGAGCGAGTCAAACCCGGAATGGAGAGTACAGCGCAGGTACCCTGTACATTGTCCTTGCCGGGCACGCCCCCCACAGCGCTTGTCAAACGGATGAATTTCGCCCAAGCCTTGGATCATGTGCCTGCAGCCGAAGCGCAGCTTGTTGGATCAACGGACAAGCAGCACGTTCTCAACAATTGGCGGCCCGCTTTGCCACCTTTTCCCCGTGGGATTCCTTATATGTGTATATGTGTATTATAATATCGCGGTTTGCCCTTCCTCGCCCGCTTAAACCTCACGATCCTCTCGATCTGCGGCGCATGTTTCAGCGGCCATTGCGTGCATTTCTGGTGACGGACCGCCGACGCATCGCCCAAAAGTGTCCATAATTTCACATGCCAGGGAAGCGCGCCGTCTGAAACCGACGTCACCACCGGGCATCCCAACAAAGATCCACCCGTGCCAGGGTCCCCCCAATTCTTCTCCGTTTGCCCTCCGTTTGCTATTTCATACAAAGTCAACCGAGTGCCCAAAGAGACCTGCAGGCCAGGCAGCTCGCCCAATTGTCCCGTCGTCCTCTCGGAAACGTGTTTCGCAAAGTAAAAGATACCAGTCTAGGTAGCGTTTGGGGCGGATCGATCCGTTAGCAAGTCGGCACGATGCAGTACGTGCGAAACCTCAGCGACTCGGTTTCCACGGCCTGGAATTCCATCAACCCGGCCACTCTCAGCGGTGCCATTGACGTGATTGTCGTCGAGCGTGATGATGGTACCTTGGCTTGCTCGCCCTTCCATGTCCGCTTTGGCAAGTTTTCGCTCTTGCGCCCGTACGAGAAGAAGGTCGAGTTCCGCATCAATGGCACCAAGCAGCCCTACTCCATGAAGCTGGGCGAGGGCGGCGAGGCCTTCTTCGTCTTTGAGACTTCTGATTCTATCCCGGAATCGATGCAGACATCCCCGCTGGTTTCTCCGGCAAGCAGCCCGCCTTTTGGACCGACAGATGCCTCAGGAGCCCTGCAAGAGCCGGACACTCTGGAGCTTGACGGAGAGCCAGGAAAGGCCCGTCGCCCGTCACCCGCCATTATCCAGCCCGATGAGAACGGTACGTCTTTTGCTCTCCTTGCTAGCTACCTCTAAATGGTGAGGATTCCATTACTCATTATAATCACAGGCATGATTACGCCTCTGTCGTCCTCCCCTCCACTCTCAAGCTCACATCCTGGCCCTGGCGGTGACTGGCGCCAAGCCTTTGACCGACCTCACAGCGACGACATCTTGAGAAAAACCACACGACATCATGACGAAGCCATTTCGGACAACGAAAGCCCTTCCGAGTCTGAAAGGTCAGGTAGCCCTCCGATCCTTGGACCCACGGAGGCCATTGCACGCGCTAGGGCGTTATCCAAGGGACTGTCTGCGGTCAACATTCCAACTCACATTACCGAGACGGGAGATCTTATGTTGGACATGACGGGCTTCAAGAGCAACGAGGAAGACATGCTTCGTGCCGAAGTCCTTGCACGAAACATTCTTTCCGAGGAAATGGACGGCAACTATGACATCGGGGCCTTGTTTGGGTTTGATGAAGAGGGCAACCTCTGGGTCTACAGCAGCGAAGACGCCAAGCAGGCCGCTATGAACAAGACTATTGAGTCGTCATTGCAAGCACACCGCCGTGCGGTTGCTGCCGACGCCATATCGGATCCGGGCTACCAAAGTGATGGCAGCGATCTCACCACCGCACCACACATTCCTTCTCACCGGCGTTCAGAGTCTGATGCCGGCCCTGGCGGCATGCACACGCCCCCTCGAAGCCCGACCGGCTCCCTTCAGCCCCCCAAGAGCTACGCCAAGACCCTTCGGTTGACTAGCGATCAGCTGAAGGACATGAGCCTAAAGTACGGAGAGAACTCGATGAGCTTCACAGTCAACCGAGCAACGTGCGCGGCCAATCTGTATCTGTGGAAGCACGATACGCCCGTGGTCATTTCGGATATTGACGGCACCATCACCAAGTCGGATGCCCTTGGTCATGTGCTCAACATGATTGGCCGAGACTGGACTCACTCTGGCATCGCAAAGCTCTATAGCGATATTGCCCTGAACGGGTACAACATCATGTACCTGACGAGTCGCTCCGTCGGACAGGCCGACACGACTCGGGCCTATCTGAACAACATTGTCCAGGAGGGCTTCAAAATGCCCCACGGCCCAACCATTCTATCTCCCGATCGAACCATGGCTGCGCTGCGTCGTGAGGTCTATCTACGAAAGCCTCACGTGTTCAAGATGGCAACCCTACGGGACATTCGAAACCTGTATGGACCCGACGGCGGTCCTTTCTATGCCGGCTTTGGCAACCGTCTCACAGACCAAATTTCCTACCGAACGGTGGATGTACCGCGAACCCGCATCTTCACCATCAACTCCAACTCGGAAGTATCGCTTGACCTCCTGAGTCTTAACAAACTCAAGATGACCTATGTCAATATTAATGAGGTTGTGGACCACTATTTCCCCCCTGTCGATACCCTGGTCAGGGGTGGCGGGGAGGATTACACCGACTTCATGTACTGGAGAGATGACCCCCTCCAGATTGATGATTTCTCGGCTAGCGATAGCGACGATGATGACCAGGGCAGCACTTACACTGATGAGGAAGGGGACGAAGAGGAGGAGGAGGAGGAGGAAGAAGACGATGAAGAAGTTGGCGAAGGGCTCGCAGACAGCTACATCTCTCACGAGGGCTACGAGGGCGACGACATTCTCGAGAGCATCGAGAATGATTATGCCGACGACGAGGAGAATTACGAAGATGAAGATGCCGAGGCATCGGACGATGAAACCCGGGTGGTGGAAGATGTCCCAGCCGAGATAATCACTGGGGTCAGTCACTTATCCATGGAAGAGAAGGCGATGAATTGAAGAAAGAAAGAAGGAGAAGAAAAATAAAAAAAGAACAAACAAAGCTAAAAGAAGGATTTTTCTATAGAACGTTTCCGGCGCCGTCGAGCAGGAGCACGACCTGCCATCTGTCGAGGTACCCGTCGAGATTCGAACGCCCACGATTTCGTCGTAACGAGGGCCTTTTTGTTTTGGCTCGCTTCTTCATCTTTTTTTTAAATCGCTTCAAATCCTTTTTTGGAACGATTCCAGCGATTGGGTTCATCACTTTTTGTTTTTCATCAACACCTTTTCGAAGATTCGGATTTTCACCTCCGCGCAGTTTCACGCCGTTTTCCGTCTTGATTACACTGTAAAAGGAGCAAAGGGGGAGGGGAAGCATGGCGATGTATTTCGGAGCAGAAACGAAGGTTTGCTGGGGTTTTCACACATTATATTGCAAGTTGGGCATTACATAGCGAGGCGTTTTTGGCATCATGGAATCTGATTAGGGGGAGTTTTTCATCTCAACAGTAGTTGTGCAAAACAAAAGCAAGGGCCAGCAGAAAAAAGTCATTTTTTTCTTGCATCAGATTTTCTGAGCTGGGTTGTAGCGAGTTTTGTTGCGACGGCGATGTTGTTTTACTGAAGTTGTTCGTCCATTTGAATTTCGAGTTACTATAGATCATCGGCATCAAGCAATCGTCATATCACCATAGATATAAAAAAAAATTATCAAAATAAATATCCAATAGTATATTTTTTTTACTCTGTTCTCATAATGTTCTTGCCTCATATTTATCCTGCTAATTTTACAGACCCATTTCCCGGATATATCCTCCCCCAAGTTTATTTTTGCCCATCCATGTGCTTGATACGAATCTCCACCGCTCTCCTGTGAGCTTCCAGCTCCTCGACCTTGGCCAGCTGCATGACTGCTCCGCCCACGTTGCGAAGACCCTCGGCTGTCAGGTTGGAGCTGGTGATGTGCTTTTGGAATGATCCGAGGTTGACGCCAGAGTACTGCTTGGCGAACCCGTATGTTGCTATACATCCAGTTAGCACAATAACATGGTAAAGGGGGGGGGATCCTGAAAAAGAATCGAGATGAATGTATTGACTTACGTAGTGAGTGGTTTACACCAGCAGAGTAATCTCCAACGCTCTCAGGTGTCCATTCGCCAATGAAGACACTGCCGGCGTTCATGACGAGGTCAACTACCTTGGCGGCATCCTTGATCTGCAGGATCAGATGCTCCGGCGCATATTCGTTGCTGATGCGCATGGCCTCGTCAATAGTCTTGACGAGGACAGAGACGGAGTGAGCGATGGAGCCGCGTACAATGTCCACTCTGGGCAGGGCAATGGCCTGGTTGTGAACTTCGTCCTCAATGGCGTTGAGCTGCTCCTCTGTAAGATCAACGGCAATCAAGATCACTTGGCTGTCAACGCCGTGCTCGGCCTGAGAAAGCAGATCCGAGGCCACAAAAGCGGGATTGGCATCCTTGTCGGCGATCACCAGGACTTCAGAAGGACCAGCGGGCATGTCGATGCTCACTCCCGCATTGGTATCGTTGCTGACGTGCATCTTGGCCGCGGTGACGAACTGGTTGCCGGGGCCGAGAATCTTGTCGACCTTGCTGACGCTCTCCGTGCCGTAAGCCATGGCAGCAACGGCCTGTGCTCCACCGGCGAGAACGATACTCTCAGCGCCGACCTTGTGAGCAGCATAGACAATCTCAGGAGTCACACTGCCGTCAGCACGAGGGGGGGAGGCCAGGACAATCTTCTTGCAGCCGGCAACCATGGCAGGGACACCGAGCATGAGAGCTGTGCTGGGCAGAACAGCAGTACCGCCAGGAACATAGAGACCAACACGCTCAATCGGTCTTGAGAAGCGGCTGCAGACAACGCCGGGCATGGTCTCAACCTGGAGCGTCTTGTCGTCCTTCTGGGCGGCGTGGAACTTTCGGATGTTCTCAAAGGAGGTATCGATCGCCTTGATGGTCTCAGGGGAGAGCTCCATCAACTCCTTAGGGAAAGGAGCCTTGAGAACTGGAGATGTAAGTGAAGTGGCCTTTTCAAACTTGTGAGTGTAAGAGAGAACAGCCTTGTCTCCGTTTGTGCGGACATCGTCGATGATAGGGGTTACAATCTTCAGGATGGCATCGGGAGACTTTTGTGAAGGTCGCTTCAGAGTCTCGAGCAGCTCTGCCTCAGTAGCGTTGGCGGAATCGATTCTCTGCATGAGAATCCGATCACTCTTTGGCTTTTCGGCTTCGACAGGCTTGGCCGGGGCAGCGGGAGCAGACGGCTTGATTCCTTCTTTCTCGGCCCATTTGCCCTTGGCATCACCCGTCCTCCTCTTAACCTTCAAGCCCTTTGCGTCCAGGCTGGCGGCGATATCAGCCACGCTCACGCCAGCGCCGACAGCTCTTGTAAGAGCGAAATAGATCAGATCAGCGGCTTCGAATGCAATCTCCTGAGGAGTCTTGGCATCGCATAGCTCCTCGGCCTCTTCCATAATTTTTGCCCTCAAAAGCTTCTCATCGGAGAATAGTCTGGCAGTGTATGAACCAGCAGGAGCAGATTCTTTCCTTGACTTGAGGGTTTGCTCCAGTCTTGCAATGCCTGTCAGCTCACCAAAGCAGCCGAATTGCTCGAGGTGGCAGAATCGGCCCTTCTGATTTACAACAAACTTGAGTGTGTCATTGTCGCAGTCCAATGCAATGCGGACGAGCTCCTGAGTGTCGCCAGAGGTAGCTCCCTTAACCCACAGTCCTCGCTTACGGCTCTGGTAAACGCCCGTCTGAGTCCTCAAAGCTTCCAAAATGCTCTCCTCGCTTGTATAAGCCAGTCCAAGCGCTATTCCGTGGACGTCAGTAACCACCGTGGGGATGAGACCATCGGCGCGATCCGACTTCCAGTATGTCGCAATGACCTTGGAAAGCAGAAGCTTGCTACCGTCGGACTTATCGGTCGTCAATCCGGTCGAGGGCAGGATCGGAATCGCGTTGCACTTCTGAGCAACCTGGATGAACTGCTCGAGAGCGACTTCCGGCACCGGCTTCAGATAGAGAACCTTGAGCTTCTTGGCTCGGGCCTCTTCGGCAAACTTGTTGACATTGGCAGCTGTGGGGTCAAAGTCCTTGATCAAGAGGCCGTGCTCGGAAGCAGCAGACAGATCGAGCTTCGAAACAGCGGGCAGGACTCTCGCTCCAAGCTCGGCATATTGCGAGAGCGACTCTGGCGCAACGAATGCCGTGCGTGCCCCGCCGTCAAGCAGCGCATACACATCGTCTGTGGACTCGATGGACGTGGCATCGATGTGGGCGTGGAACTCGGAGCTGTGGCGGCTGAAAAATCGAGAGAGCTTTTCCAGGATCTTGGGAGTGGCCTCGAGGAACGGGCTGGCGAGGATGGAAACCTCTTCGCGGTTGAGGCCGTCGAGGTTGGCCAATCCCGGAGGAATGGCCACACTGACAAGGAACGGCAGGGGAAGCACCGTTTCCATGAGGGGCAGAAGTGGGATGTCGATGTCGATTGCAGCACAGCAACGACGGGAGATGTGAATTGGTGAATTGAAGGAATTAATAGAGGCAGAGAATCAAGAGAAATATGATCCCGAGCCTGGCCATCAATGAGTCAAGCCTATCGTCTGAAAAACAACTCGAATGACTGGGACCGGCACCTGAATCGGCGGCAGTTCAATTTTTTGGTGGGGTCGCCACCAGCTGTCCTGCTGCAAGCGTGCGCTGAATCTTTTTTTTCCAGAGCCTCGAGCCCCTCCAAGGCCACTGCAGGCGCGGCGATTACAGCCGGTCACATCCACTGAATTGCGACGCTGCCATTGGGCTGAATTTAAGGTGTGGTCTGTGCACGCCGAGCACAGCAATTGCGCTGCCGGATTAATAATGGTCCGAGGGCGACTGCATTGCACCGCGACCGACCGCGAACCATCCAATTGCTCGGCTGCGATTCTTTAAGCTACAGCTCGCGAGATGCATTGCAGAGTCGCAAGTTGATTTGTTCGTTGTTCTGATATGTGTTGCCGTGCTGATACCCAAGGAGAAGATTATTTTTGATACCAATCCTCCCGATATCCCTTGTTGCTGGAGCCTGCACTGGATCTGTGTCGCCTCACTTTCACTTTATATCGGCCAGCTCCAGCTCTCATTCAGGCCGGCAGATCGCATAACTCTTCGCTCGCCCTATTCCGATACCATTTCCGACCATGTCTTCGAGTCAGCCTCAGACAAATGGCGTGACAGCTTCGTCCGCCAACACATCTCAAACAATCCCCAATACTCAAACCACGACCACAAGCCAACCCCCGGCCGCTTCTTCTTCTCAACCCCCACAGCCTTCGACACATCAACCGCCTTCTGCCGCACCCAAACCGCGCGACGCACGCCTTGTTGAGCTCCTGCTCACTTCGCAGGGAGTCACATCCTATGAGCAGCGAGTGCCTCTCCTGCTCCTGGACTTTGCCTACCGACATACCTCTTCCGTCCTCAGCGATGCACTGCACCTCTCCGGCGATCCATACGTTACACAGGCTGGATCTAAGCCCTCAGCCTCCGGCGCAGGTGCCACTGCTGCTCCGTCAGGCGACGCCAGCGTCAGCGCAAATGCTGTCAAGGTTGCCATCGCCGCCCGCCTAGGCTACCAATTCCGCGGAGGAAGCAGTGGAGGCGGTATCAGCAAAGAGTACATGCAGGAGCTGGCGCGAGAGCGAAACAAGATTGCTCTGCCAAAGATTGTGCCAAACGAATGGGGTGTTCGGCTGCCAAGCGAAAGATTTGTTCTCAGTGGGACAAGCTGGGGACTCAAGGACATGTGGGATGAGGATGATATGGATGAGGATGAGGAGAGCTCAGCTTCTCAGCAAGGCGATGCCATGGAGGGCATTGAAGGACCAGACCCTGAAGATATCGGCGGTGATGGCGTTGAAGGAGGGACGGTAGACGATGTCTTTGGTGACGATGTGGATGCAGAGATGGCCGAGGAGAGCTAGGCCCAGCACTGCATTTTCATCGGATGGCTCTGAACCTTGGATCTTTTGCCAGGATTGTTTGATGTTGGGCGTTTTAGGCGTTGGAAGAAAGGATTGCAAGATGTGTAGAGGGTTTACATGCCCCTCTCTCTATATATACCTGGTAGTATCTATATCGATCCACCTCATAATAAGAGGATGATTACTTGCCTGGCTCTATGAAGCATATGCCAACTTACAAAAACGTAGCAGCATGCCTGATTTACTTACAGGTGAATGCGAGCCGTTCACCGTTGCATATTGCCACTGGTAGCTTCGTCTTATTAACAATTAGGATCTAGAAGCTGCACCATTGTCCAGACGGAAACAAAACCTTCATCACATGCATCTCTGCGCGCACAGCACCTGGTTTTAATAATGTGGGAAATTTATGGTACACTAGGCCTGTAAAACGGTATCTCATACACTCTATACCCGGGTCTTTGCTTTTTTTTAGACAATTCCTCCTCCCCCTTCTTCGGTTTTGTGTCCACTCTACCCTTAGAACTTAGGCTTCATGGTGTTCCTCAGTCGCTGGTAATCGAACAGACCCTCAATCTTGCCGACGGCGCTGATGGCGATGTCCTTGTCCCACAGGTATCGGTTAGCAAAGTCGGTGACATCCTTGTCGGTGATGGCATCGATCTTGCGCTCGATCTCGCCGGGGCTGGCGCGGCGGCCAGTGGTGATCAGCTGGCGACCGATGTCCTCGGCAACAGCGGTGGTGCCGTCCAGGGACAGCAGGATAGAAGCCTTCAGCTGCGCCTTGGCGCGCTCGACCTCGGCTTGGCTGACGTTGGTGCAGAGACGCATCCACTCGCGGATGGAGAAGTGGACAAGGTCGTCCAGGCGGGTGGTGTTGTCAGTGACGAGGTAGATACCCCAGAGACTATCAGAGCAGTTAGTTCATCATCTTTTCTCTTTCATTCGCTGCTTTAAACTTACCCAGTGTCGCTGTAGCTGGTGGAGAAGCTCATGAAGCTGTTGGCCAGCTCATGCTTGTGGACGTAGCCGCTCAGCTTGCTGCCCTGGTGAGGGGCGTTACCCATGGCCTTGTCGTAGTTGCCAACAATGGCCTGAGCGACGAGAGCAGTGTAGTAATCCTCAGAGTTCCAGCTAACACCCTCGACGGCGATGGCAACGTTGGCAGTGGCCATGGTGTCGTCACGAACACGGACATCAGAGCCAACAAAGTCAGCCTTCTGCTTGGACAGGAGGTAAGCCTCAGTCTGGGGTCCCTGGCTGGCAAGGCCGGAGAAGTGCTTCTCGGCAAGCTCAACCAGCTGCTCGTGAGGAACGCCACCGGCAGCAGCGAGAACCATGCGGTCCGCAGTGTAGTTGTTCTTGATGTAGTTGGTGAGCTCGGTGCGGGTAATGTCACGGATGTTCTGGCGGGGTCCAAGGATGGTGCGGCCAAGAGGCTGGTGCTGGAAAGCAGTGGCGTGCAGGTGGTCAAAGACAACCTCCTCAACCTGCTTCTCAACCTCCTCGGACTCTCGGAGAATGACGTCGCGCTCGCGCTCGATGGCGGAAGGCTCGAGCTTGGAGTTTTGCAGGATATCGGACAGGATGTCGACGGTCTGAGGAACATCGGAGTTGAAGGCCTTGGCGAAGTAGACGGTGTTCTCGCGCTGACGGTCGTGTTAGTGGTTCGATTTTTTTCTCGATGCGCTTATTGCGAGTGAGGAAAAATAAGACCAACCGAGGTGTAGGCATTCAGGTGGCCACCCATGTTCTCAATCTCGAGCTCCAATTGATGCTGCGATCGCTTTGCGGTACCCTTGAAACAATTGTCAGCCTTTCCGGGCTCTTATGATGCCATATTGGGACATCCCACCTTGAAGGCCAGGTGCTCGAGGAAGTGGGCAGTGCCGTTGGTCTCGTTGGTCTCAGCGCGGGAACCAGCGTCAATCCACATGCCGACGGTGGAAGTCTGAGCCCATGGTGAGTACTCGGTGGCGACCTGGTGCTCGTACGTTAGCAAGACGGGTGTTCATGACCACGATACACGGCCAATTGGCCCTCGGAGTTGGCGCTCACGGTCAAGCCGTTCTTGAGAGTCGTCGTCTGGGTCTTGCCCACGGTCGAGGGCGTAGCAAAGCCTCGTCGCAGAGATCCGGCGGCTGAGAGGCCCGAACGGGCTCGCAGGCCTTGCGACAAGTTCAAAGCTAATCTGCGGGACGCCATGGCGGAGGTTTGGGGGATTAATGGTCAATTGAGCGGTTTGATGAAATCTTTCCACTGCTCGGCAAGAAGCTTTACTAGGCGGGTTGTGGCCTTAGTTTCGAGGTTTCGGCCTGCTTAGTCATTCCGACCAGCTCCGATGCCCGACCACACCGAAGCAGCAGGCCAATCAGGAGCGCGAATTTACTAACAGCATCATCCGAGCCAACTCCACCATGAAGAATGCACGTATATTCACGATGATACAAAGTACACACATTCCTACACAATGGGGCAAAATGGACTGCGAAAGAACAAATTACGACTTTCAGACTAATTATTTAGAGTAGGAATTGAAAGTGACGATTTCAAACAATGGTGTTCATCTACTGTTAATGAATGCCCACTTCGATGTCTACACGGGCTTGCGTACCTGTACCTTGGGATGTGTTGGTACCTAATGGCACGATTAGAAGTAGTTGCCCTATAGAATTAAAGTATGGGTTGCACAAGTTATAGAGGGAAATGACCAAAATGACGCTGTCATCATCTTATTTACTTCTTATGCCATAAAAGTTCAGGGGCTTTCTTCTGCACTTCTTCACCCCTCTCTCCGCCCCTCCTTAAGGCCTCCTTGCTGTTTCTTGCGGGGAAGCCATCGTCACTGTTAGTGTTTCCTCACTGCATGCATGCATCTCACTCTCCCATGCCCAACACTTATATGCCTTTCTCTAATAGTCAGTCAAACTTGTGAAGTCTCTCTCTTCTGAATAAAGAATTCTGCCATTTACTCGTCTGACCTAAACATCTTCGTTTGAACGCAACCTGCTCCACCCAACAACAGGAACCAAGCGTACCTTCACCCAGCTGATCAACTAATCATCTGCTACCTGTGTAGAACAATCCCAATGGCGCCTGAAACATATGATTTTGCAAACGACTTCAAGACTCTTTATATACCAAAGCAAAAACCTGAACCAGCTCCTGTGGCCGAAAACATGAAAGCGTTGATCCAAAGCTACCCACCTTTGAGCCAGGTAACGCCAGTGGAAAGCTCTGACAGCGTCTCATTCACTGCTTTGTTAGAGATACCAAAGTTTCGAGCTGAAGAGAGCTGGGAACTTTCTCTCTGGCATTCAATTGATGGAGCGGACTGGACCGACGGTGAAATACCTAGGATAAAGAGCACCGATGCGCCTCAAGCTCTCCATATCGAATCAGACGCCGTCTCTAGGATATACTTTGCAACAAAATTGTCTTTTAAGAAATCTCTACAGTTCACTATCAAATTTCGCCCCAATGTCAATGACCCCTGGAGATGGATCCGTGATGAGCAAGGGGTGGAGGATGGCCACATTGTGCTACTCCCCGCTCCCACCGAGTCTGACAATTTGGCCGACCTTATTTATGGACTTGATCCAGCATGGAAAGTTACGTCTCGCATGAGCCAAGCACCAAAAACTCAACTATGGTCTCTTGAAACTGCAGTGCCTCCCGGAGAAAACGATTTATCTTCGTACACTGATGTTGAGCTGGGAACACCTTGGGGTTCTTTTCTTAGGTCAGCAGTGACAAGTCTTTTCTTCAAACTATTTCCTCACTGTTTGGAAATGATATAGCAGTGCCTAACCCGGTAGATTTTAGGTGGTTTGCTATTGTTCGACTTTGGTCTCCATGGTTAGCACCACGCCATGGAAAGACACACTTCTCGCTTGATAAGGATGCTATACTATTGGCTTTCCAGAGCCCAGAAGGCAGAAATATGGTTTTGCTCGCTGTCTCTGGTATAAATGATTTAGTGCCAGTTTTCCAACACACTTCCAGTGGTGCTGTCTCGGTAAATGTACGAAACGACTCCCTTTCGGATGAGAAGGTTGTTATTCTCGTGTCCGAAGGAAATGATTTCGAAAGAGCCGTTGCAGCTGTGATGTACCACGCAAGGACACTTGTGATGAGATCACGAAGCACAAACCAAACTCTAGAAACCGAATTCAAAACTCTTACTGACGCAGTTCGACCGGAGTGGCTCGAGAATTGGTATGATGGGCTTGGCTTCTGTTCGTTGTCCAATTTCTTCCCTTCATTTGGTTAACATAGGCTAATGGCTCTCTAGGTACATGGAATGCACTTGGTCAGAGGCTCACCGAGGAAAAGATCCTTGATGCAATTGACAAACTCGAAAAGCACCACATAAACATCACGTCTCTCATAATTGACGATAACTGGCAGTCAATTGACTACCAAGGTCCTAGTCAGTTTCAATACGGATGGGTCGATTTCGAGGCCGAACCACAAGGCTTTCCAAACGGCTTAAAGGCAGCTATTACCAAAATCCGCCAAAGAAGTCCCAACATCCAACACATTGCGGTTTGGCATGCACTTTTGGGATACTGGGGCGGTATCTCACCCGATGGAAAGCTCGCTAAGAAATACAAGACGGTTGAAGTTGTTCGCGAAGAAGCTAAACGACGCAATCTACCACTGGGCGGCAAGATGACGGTGATTGCCAAGGAAGACGTTCCCCAATTCTATGAAGACTTTTACAAATTTCTTTCCGATGCTGGCGTTGATGGCGTCAAAACAGACGCGCAGTTCATGGTCGACATGTGGCTCAGCGCTTCCGTCAGACGCGAGCTCATCAACACATATCTTGATACGTGGAACCTCACTTCTCTTCGCTACTTCAGCGTCAAGGCTATATCCTGCATGTCGCAAATCCCACAGGCGCTATTCAATTCTCAGATGCTGCCGAATCGGCCTGCTTTGCTCGTCCGCAATTCAGATGACTTCTTCCCGCAAATTCCCTCGTCTCACCCTTGGCATGTGTGGACAAATGCCTACAACAGCATTTTTATGGAATATTTAAACGTTCTTCCTGATTGGGACATGTTTCAAACGGTGCATGATTACTCTGGTTTCCACGCTGCCGCGAGATGTGTTAGTGGAGGGCCGATTTATATAACAGATGTTCCTGGGGAGCACAATATTGACCTGATAAAGCAAATGACGGGTGTGACTCCCAAGGGGAAAACTGTCATCTTCCGGCCAAGTGTCCTAGGGAAGTCTATTTATCCTTATATTGGCTATGATGACGACTTACTCCTCAAAGTGGGCAGTTATCATGGTACGTGAAATATCCAAAGCGGCTGAACTCGTTTCACTAACTTCGTTTAGGAGCGTCGGAGACTGGCACATCAATGGTTGCCATTTTCAACATCTCAGCACGTCCTCTTACCGAACTCATACCCCTTTCCTGCTTCCCGGGCACAGTACCCTCTCTGCATTATGTCGTACGAGCCCATGTTTCAGGAAAGACGTCGAGTCCTATGAACCTTGGAGACCCAACTTCGCTTATCACCGGATCTTTGGATGTGCGAGGATATGAGATTCTCACAGCATTCCACGCCGTACCTCTGACAGGTCAGAAACATGGAGACATGTGGGTGGCGAATCTTGGGCTTATTAGCAAGATGACTGGAGGTGTGGCCATCGAGGCCGGCAGTGTTGCCCTGAAGGAGAACGGAAGGGTGTTGGTTGATGTCAAGTTGAAGGCTTTGGGTGTTTTTGGTAAGTGAAGCAAGACAAATCTCAGTTAGAGCATGGTTTCTAACAAGAGTTCCCCTTCAGGTGTTTATATCTCTGCATTACCCGACCTGGTTCTCAATGAAGATTTCATAGTTATGCTTCAGGATCAGGCGATTCCAGTCGGGGCTGTGCGTGTCTCGCAAAATGATGGGCATGTACTTGAAGTAGACATCGAGAAAGCTTGGGCGGATATGAAGCTGGAGCCTGGACTAAAGGACGAAGTCGAAGTCAAGGTCAGCTTTGCCAGTTGATATTGACGTAGCTTGTGCTTGGAATACAGCTATTGAGTAGAAGCAGTAGAATTAACGAAGTGATGCCAAAATGCGCCCGCCTCCAGCCTACATGGTAATAGATAGACAATGATTCATCATGTTGCAAAAAGTAGTTTTTTATGATCTACGCATACCTCAGGATGTCTGATCAGGTTTTAGTTGCAGGATCCTCCTGCTCTCAAAATACATGTAGTTACATAGCATTAACATCTCTCTTCCAACTCCGTACGCCATTATCCTCCACCAGAAACATAGCCCCCAAGATTAGGAATTATCCTCTATTTGCATCGCTTCTCGACAATGCCCGGTCCGTTTTCCTCATACTCCTTCTTGGATATCCACATCTGATGGAAAGTACCCAGACTGGCCAGAATGCTGCCGCCGATCCAAGCACCGAATCTACGCTCGCTCGACAAGCCGGCCGCGTGAATCTTGATCTTCAATCCCGGATACATGGCTGTCAGCTCATTGTTGAGTCGGTCGTTGAAGCCGTTGATCAAGCTTGTGCTACCAGTAACGACAACATTAGCGAGAAGGTTGCCCCGAAGATCAACATCAATGGCGTTGAGAGCAGAGCGGATAAGCTCAGGGATAGTCTGAGCCTTGGTGAGACGCTCCGCCTCGGGAACGGGGTATCCGGCGTTCTCATCCCACATTCCCTCGGCCACCTTGAATCGCTGCTCGCGCCACATCTGGTTGTAGCCATCGGGCATCTCAAATACGCGGCCAGGCTGTGACTTGATGTACTCCTCGTTCCCAGCGGCACCATACCGTCCGGGGCCACGCCAAACCTCGACGACGGACTCTTTGAACTCGGTGAGCAGTCGCTCCTCTTCGAATGCTCGGAAGGAGTCATGAATCTTGTATGGGAATTCGCGTAGTCGTGCCTGGGCGGGGGCGAGGGCATCGACAGGAGTCTTGTTCTCAACCATGAATGTCGGGATCAAGTCGACCTTGGGCTCAGAGGTTTCCCACATGTTGCGGATCTGCGAAGACAGCCACAGGCCACCTGCAGGTGATCGCTGGATAGATCTCTTGAGAACCATGCCGTCGTGGATAGCTGTGACGGAGGTGTTTGCGCCACCGATATCGATGACAAGAGCCGTCGCTTTGCCAGCAGCGAAGGCAGATAGAACAGGTGTCCGGCTCAACCAAAAGGCCGGGGTCCCCCAGCTCTCCATGCTAAGCTCAATAGCCTTTTCACGCGCCTTGGGCGAGTTCCAGGGAGCTTCTGTCATCAGCAATGGAAACTCCTCCAGAGGCTTTTCCTGACCCTCGATCTCCTCCATCGCGACATCGCCCTCGCCATCCTGGTCTTTCACGTCGTCATTCAATCCATTCTTGGACGGAGGCGTCTGTCTCTCGGGCTGCAGGCGCTTAACCAGCATAAACTCCCACATCTTGGCGGCGACATCCCAATCCTCCACAACGCTGTCCTTGTTCATGTAGTTGCGGACCTCGAAGTCGCCGCGCGGGATGATGCACTCATCGCCAAACAGGTCTCGCGGGGGATCGCTGGTGATGTGGCCGTAGAAGGACGGCAGGATTGATTTGGGAACATCTTCGCCGGCAAAACCTGCTCGCGTGTTACAGTAGCCGGGGTCGAGAACGAGGGCAGAGACCTCATCTGTACTCCAATACCATTAGCTCAACTGTCTTGCTCAACTCGTCTGGATTTCGCCCTGTCAAAAGGCAGTGTCGGTGTCACTACAAACGCACCTCCGCCGTAAATGTCGGTTGGCTGCGCCGACGTGGGCAAAGGCTGCTGGGCCATGATTGCGATGCTTGTGATAACGGCCAATTGGTCGAGATGGCCCAAAAGTTGCGTCTAGTTTCTAGTGGGAACGTCGCGCTTGTGAGGGAGGTTGGAGGTACAAGAGGAATGGCGCGTCGGAATAAATTTCAGCCTGGCCTGGCCTTTGGTTGGTGTTGCGCTTGGCTCAGCCAGTGAGCGTCATGCATTTGGCGGGGTGTCTCCAATTACGGGGGAGCTCGGCGCTGGAGAAAAAAAAAAGAAAATAAATATCGCCCACACAGTCCGGACGAGGCACAAATTTGCATCCTGCAAAGCATCTGGACTCCAGATCTTTGGATGTGCATTGCATCTATACCTGCAATTGATTTTGCGCGTGAGGCATATGGTGCAGTGCCGTCGCTATGTTTGTAAGTAACTGATTCATTTTTATTTTCTATTACTCTTTCTTTCCCATCATGATGAACACGCATTCTCGCTTCAGAACCGCTGCGATTGAAACGGCTTCGGCTGTTGGAGATAAACAACTTGCTATTTACTGATCCTCTCGAATTATCATTCATTTCTTGGAACTAAGCCCTTACCACGTATGGCAAAAGCTAATTCGTTCTGATCAGAAGAGATGAGGTCCGCCAGTTGCATGAGACTGGCCCGCCAGTCTGCTGCGTTGAATAGTAGCTCAAGGTCTTGTGGCCCTAGAGCTACACTTGTTAGTGCACCATGGAGATGGGCTCTCAGCAGACAACCAACCCGAGCTCTGTCCGCCAAGCCTGGTATTCGGATTAACGAGTCTTCGAGGTTTGTCAAGGAGGAGCAGGAGGAGCATGACGTTGTCTCGCCATTCAAGAGACATCGCCAGAAGGAGCTGCAAGAGGACCAAAAGAGCGAAAATCCGCTATACCCCGAGGCTTATCCTCGATTAGAATCGTCTTCCATTAGGAAGAGCGTCCCTGAGTTCTTGCAGGCGTCTCAACATGAGCTTTCGAACGAGCCTGTCACTTTGTCTGGGCGGATTCGGTCGAAGCGTGTTGTGGGAAGCTCGCTCATCTTCCTCGACATTACCAACGAATTCCAAAAAGTTCAGATCATGATCAACAAGAGCAAAGTTGCTTCAGAGGAAGAGTCGCGTGTTCATAAATTCCGCCTTCTTAAAAACTTGATTCAAGTTGGAGACCATATATGTAGGCCTATTGAGCTCCTCTTCCTGTCTCTTCCGAGGCTAATTAATTGGTAGCGGCCACTGGTGTTGCCACTCGTACAAACACGGGACAGCTCTCGCTAGAGGCTCGAGAGTTGCCTGAGCTGCTGTCCCCATCCATGGAGCAAGTCCCTGAGAAGCTCACGGATCCCAAGACCAAAATGCAAGAGCGCCATGTCGATATGTTGGTGAATCGTGATGTCGTCGACATCCTGAGGCTGCGTGCCGAGATCATGAAGCAGATCCGGGATCACTTCCACTCCAAACGATTCCTTGAATTCCAAACACCAATTCTTGCTGAGAACGCCGGCGGTGCGGTCGCCCGGCCGTTTGTGACCCGAGCTACAGAATTCCGAGGCAAAGATCTTGCGCTCAGGATCGCGCCCGAGTTATGGTTGAAGCGCCTTGTCGTCGGAGGCGTAGACAAGGTCTTTGAGATGGGACCTGCCTTCCGAAACGAAGGCGTCGATGCCACTCACAATCCCGAGTTCACAATGTGTGAATTCTACAGTGCATATACCAATTTACCTGATCTCATCAAGGAGACAGAAGAGTTGATATATAGCCTTGCAAAGCACTCTCAAGAGCTGATATCAACACAGCTTACTACTCTGCCACCTATCGATCTCAGCAAGTTTACTAGGCCCTTCAAGCAAGTGGAATTTATCCCTGCTCTAGAGGAAGCCATTGGGATTCGCTTCCCGAAGCTTACTGCGGAAGATGGCGCCCTTCCCGAGCTCCTCGCAATCCTGAAGCTCTCAGGGATTGAGATTCCCGGCGAGGTGCCCACGTCTCTACCAAAGCTCCTTGATCGACTCGCCGCGACGTATCTGGAGCCCATGTCCTTTACGGAGCCTATCCTGATCACGCACCATCCTGCCTGCATGTCGCCCCTTGCAAAGAGCTTCCTTTGCCCAAAGACATATCAACTGGTGTCTGCACGTGCAGAGCTCTTCATCGGCGGCCGAGAGCTCGCCAACATGTACGAAGAGGAGAACAACCCGGAGGAGCAGAAACGAAAACTTGCCGTCCACCGCAGCCTCGTCAACAAACCTGACGGCACTGTAGGATTCGCAGAGCCGGCGGCTTTGGACAGTGACGCCGCCGATGCCAACGCAGAGATTGTTGAAGTTGAAGAGGATGAGTGGGAAGCCTCCCCGCTTGACCAAAGTTATGTAAAGGCCCTCGACTATGGCCTTCCCCCCACTGGTGGTTGGGGATGCGGCGTCGAGCGTCTGGTGATGCTCTTTTCCGGCGCCAACCGCATCAGCGACTGTTTGAGCTTCGGCACGATACGGAATGTCGTTGGGCTGTCAGCTGATGAGAAGGGTAATGAGAAATAGACGCTACGATTCCCATGAATAGACTTGGAATGTGCGGATTGTATAGGTACTACAGTAAATACCATGTAAGAGTATGAGGAGAATATTTGTACAATATGATAAAGGGACATAGATTCTATTGCCAAATGGATCCACAAGATGTGTGCTGTATATTGGATATCGTGCTTAAACTAATCGTCAAATCCACCCCATTCACCATCTCCCTTGCCCTTGGCACCATCTTTATCATCATCGACCTCCAACTTCCTCTTCTTGCTTCCCTCAATAGCACCCTTCCTGTTATGCTCCTTGCGCCGCTCGTATCCGCTCTTGGATGTAATCATGGCCTTGTTTCCACTCCTTCTCGACTCAACACCCCTCTCCTTGAGCTTCTTCCTGTCCTCCTTGCCCACGTTCGGCAGCGCATCAAGCAGCCATTTCTGCACTCCAGCCTCGTCCCCTGTCTTGCCGGCCTGCTTTTCACTCTCGGCAATGACATTGGCCACAGTCTTGACAAAAGGAATATCCTCCTTGGTATAGAATGTGACGGCTATGCCGCCCTCTCGACCAGCTCGCCCCGTCCTTCCTGCACGGTGCACGTAGGCGGCACTCGAGCCGGGCACGTCGTAGTTCAAGACTCCGTTGACGCCAGCAAAATCAACACCTCGGGCTAGGACATCAGTCGTGATGAGAACCCAAATCTCGCCAGCCCGGAACTTGCGCATGATGGCTGCTCGGGCTGCATCTGGAAGACCACTATGCAAAGCAGCTATTCTAGACGAACCGCCTGCCTCAAGCGGGATATCATACTTGAGTTCCTCTTGCAGTGCAGTAGCTCGATCAATAGTCTGCGTAAACACGAGAAAAGGTGGCCGCAATGGCGGTCCCGAGTCAATGCTCGAAGTAGGCCGCAAGAGCTGCCGCAGAGCGAGAAGCTTTCCCTGTTCGCTCGCAGTGTAAATCAGCCTGTGCACAATATTGGGCACGGCCGTATCCTTTAGGCCGACAACCAAGCGAACCAGTGGCCTTTGGGGAATGCTCAAAGACTCAGCCCTCGAAGCCAGCCTTTCCGTAACCAGCGTCTCGATATTGGAGCCCATGGTTGCGGACCAGAATGAAAGTCCAAGATCTGGGTTGCTGCAGGCCGTCCAGATACCAAGAGTTTGTTCGCGGAACAACGGGTCGAGGAGAACATCGGCTTCGTCCAGTATCAGGTTTCGGACGGTGGGTAAGACCTTTTGAGTGTTCGCTGACCCAGACGTTAGGAAGTTGAGCAGCAGAAGAGGTGTTGTAATCAAAATGTCCACTTTTGACACCACTTTCGGCCTCGCATCTTTTTCTTCTTCCTCTTCGTCCTCTTCTTCGGACTCCTCCGCCTTTTCTTCTTCCTCATCTGAGCTGTCTTCGCCGATATCTTGGCTCTCGGCAGCAAGAATCATGCCCTTTCTCATGCCGACCACCTTGAGTCCAGTTCCCTTCACCAACTGATTGCCAACATTGACAATCTGGTAGGCAAGCTCTCGGGTTGGCACAATGACAATGGCCTCGAGCTCATGAATACCATGTAGCTTATCCTGCGCTCTCCTCCTCATAATGTTGTTGATTGTTGGCACAAGAAAGCTAATCGTCTTTCCGCTTCCAGTTGGCGCAACAGCCAGCAAATCAACACCATTCTCCAGTCCCTGTTCCTCACTCAAGGCCACGTCAGGCCGAATCAGCAACGGCATGCTTCCCATCTGGACCTCCGTCGGTATTTTATAGCCCTGATACGACAGGTTCTCAGCCACCCGTCGAGAGAGGTTGTATGTGCTTCGCAGTTGGCCAAAAGACTCCAATGGCTGCGGCGCCAACTGCGGCTTCTTGTCCTTCTTGACCTCAACAACAGCCTTCTTCTTCTTAGACTTCTTGACCTTGTGTTGCTCCTCTCGCTTATACAGCAGCGTGACCTTGAGTCGATGCGATCGCAGCAATTGGCGACACTCATCCGCACTCAGCAACTTGGCCGCCTCAACGACGGGGCTCGCCGCTCGCTTGCCCTTTTTCGACTCGGCCTTTGCAGGTTTCGACTCGGCAACGTCCTTGGGCGCAAAGAAGTCGACTTCCGGAAGCACCTCGGGGATCTTGTTCTCGGGCTCTTCGACATCGCGCTTTCGCTTGTGGCCGCGAACTTCGTCGTGGTAGAGCTGCGGGTTCGTCTTTGTCCCCGAGGACGGGAGTTTGCCCACGGCGCTGCCGCCTGAGAGCGAGGATTTTGCGCTCTTTTTGGTGCCGCGCGACAAGACTTTGAGGATATCCATTGTGTGGGAGGCGCGACAAGAAAAGAAATTGTCGTGGTTTGCGCCTGGTTTACCAAGGATGCTCAAGGATTTTTTTTGGGCTGCTGGTTTGTATGTAGAAATTTTGTAGCTCAGCCGTGCAACTTTTTTTACTGCAAGGCTGTAGTGGGGTGAGCCGCTACAAGATGGCGCTAAACCACTTGGGCTCAGCAATGGATGATTGAGCATCAACATGTGCAAATCCAGCTCTACTTGAAATTGGAATTAGCAAAGCTATTAATTCCAAAATAAAGAGACCCCGTGTACTCATTATCTGCGTTGATTTCATGTAGCATATATATGAATTCGTTTCATTAGATAAGTATTGAAACTCCCTTCTAATCTCAAGTTGTCAACACTCATTCGAGCCACATCCATCATGGGTATCCTCTGATATGCAGCTGTAAATATTAATGTCTAAACCCATTGCCCGCTTGTTCTGCCAAAAACGCCATAAATCATCAAACTAGAATCCCCAACCTGTATCAAAATCTCAAATCCCCTCATCACTATCAGACAACTCCCTCCCCTCCCCATACAACACCTCACACACTCCCGCCAGCGGAATATCCAGCACCGCATCCGTCCCCTCGTTCCAAATCTCCCTCCACCTCAGCCTCCCATTGCTCTCGACCTTCCTCTCCCTCTTACTGCTCCCCTTGAGCCTCCCCTTGGAGTCAATCACCGCCAGCTTGCCCGCCCCGTCCACAATCGTCTCCACGCTCGTCATCGGCACCGTCAAAATCTCCAGGTTGTACGCCGCCAGCGCCACGTAGATGTACACCAGCGTCATGACCAGGAACGCGGGCACGGCCAGCGCCCACCAGCGGTCCGGATAGTAGTATATGCCCAGCGCGTGTAGGAACGGCGACGGGAGGTAGCTCCAGAGGAGGTACATGAGGAAGATGAGGCTGCTGAACAGGTACAGCACGAAGCCGTAGTACTCGTATGTCGGCACCCTGGGCGCCGTGCGCGGGACGGGCGCGATGTCGTCGTCCGATGCATCGGGAGTCGTCGGACGGGAGGGCCGTAGCAGCGAGGTCAGAGACGGAGATGGAGGCAGAGGCGTGGGTGGTCGGCCGTAGAATGGAGGCGCAAAGTAGTTCTGCGAGAGCGGCGGCGGCGGCGATTCCTGGTCTGAAGAGCCCGAGGATTGGTTGTCTGAGATGTATTCGCCATCAAAGCCGTCTTCGTCGGTGCCAGACATGGTTAATTGCCTGTTTAGCTGAGAGTGTTGCAGCTGGTAAGAGTTGCAACAGATCAAAGATGGGACGGGCTGTTAATTACAGGTAGATGCGGAATACGGGATTCGGCAGTACCTCCGCCACATTTGATCGCAGCTACATACAGCTAACGCCACACATCAATTCAACCAGAGTCATCGAGAATATTTCTGTATTAAGCTGTATGCGAGGTATAATTAATTCGTCAACTTCATATCTCTTGTCTATTCATATACCAAAAACAAAAAAGCAGTGGCTGCTATCTCAATTCGCCATGATCAACAAGACATTAACACCTCTCGCCCAATCGCTTTGCTCGCTGCTATGTACACGCGGATAGCCAGACACATATAACCTTCTTGCTTCATTTCCGTATTTTATCCATCAATAGGACACTTATAATCCAGTTCCCTAGGCAAGACGCCATTCTCCTGCTTCTCTTGCAACGCATCCAGACAGGTCTGGTGGTAAATGTGTCGACAAGCCAGCACGACGAGCGGCCCCAAGACTTGGTCTTTATTCGACTTACCAGCGATTTGCTCAATGAGCATGCTTGACGGCCGCATATCCAAGCTCTTCCCCTTGCTCCTACGATCTGACACTCTTGCGTGGCCCTTGGCTCGTTCCGCAACTTGCGTTTGCCTCTGCTGTCTGGCCACCTCCTCCGCCGCTTGCTTGTCTTCCCAAGCCTCAAACACCGTCGCGCCGGCGAGGCCTGGGCCCCATACTCTTTTGCCGCATGCCTCGCATGTCGAACCGCGCGGCCTCCATCCACGCTGTCTAAGTTCGACAGATGTGTCCACACTTGTGAAGAGACTTCGTTCCAAGAGGCGGTTGGACAGACGAAGAATAGACTCCTCGTATGCGTAAGCTGAGAAGATGGACGCAAGCACACTGCGAAGATCAGCCAAGCTTGGTGATGATGCTGCTGCCTTTTCAAGGAACGCTCTCAATATTCGTAGGAACGAGAGATTGGACCCTGCACTTGACAGAACATTGGAACCCAACTGGCCATTTGCTTGATTTGAAGCTTGGCTTGAAGTAGAAACAAGTAGCGAGGTAAAGGTATGCTGCACAAGTGATCGCAGCTTCGCCAAGAGCCTCTCCTCATCAGAGGCACTGCTGCTCGCAGCAGCTTGTATGGCCGGTGACAGATTTTGAGTAACCTGTACACAAGCACCAATGAGGCTCAGCCAGAGACTTTCATCTGCTGACAGATTCTCTTGGGCAGTCTTATTCTTCGATACCACACTGACTCTCCTTGTAGATTTTGTCTGCTCCTGACATAACCAAATCCCAACATGGACATAGTTCTGCAGGCTTTCAAGAAGAGCTTCGGCTGAGGCTTCCAGCGACGGTGCACTGCCCTCTTCGCCGTCTTGTGTGCTGGACGAGCGCAAAAGTGCTTCCATGGCAGATTCGAGCGTGCCCAAATGACGGACTAATCGATCCATAGCCATGGCAACTTGTCCTGCTCGGGCCATGAGCACAACAGCGGCATCCACCACACCCGTTTCTTCCATAGTGGGTAACAAACTGTCCAGTTGAAGATCGACCGATTGGACGAGCCCAATGTAATCTGACACGTGCTGTGCATCAAATCTACACATCAGTCGAACATATCGCTCAACAAGTAGCCGCTCGTGCGTCAGCTGTCCATCTGCCAGCGGATCTTCTGGCTCTAGTAACGTCTTTAGATAAGCATGCTGTAGCTCAGGGGCATCCTCTGCGGAATTGAGAATATGCTGGTGTAGTTCAGTCGTTTGTAGCGCAAGAGTTGAGGCCGAGCGCTCGGGGCCCAATTCAAGCAAGTCTCTTGCGTGGTTTTCGACAATGGTCAAGACTTCATGCTGTTGTCGCTGACTCAGTTCACTATGGGGTCGTAAACATTCCGCAATACAGTCGAACACCAAGTCCTGATCTTCTGGATCTTCAAAGAACGTCTGTACGAGCTTTCCGAACTGTTTGTCAACTTTGTATATTCGTTTCAGAATTCGATAGAAGCCTGCCTGCTTGAACAATGGCATTAACGCAGGCATATCTGAAGGGTGGTAAACTGATAGCAGATATTCGGCGCTCAATTGCGCATCCTCGGCAAGATCAGAGCCAGGATAGTTGCAAAGCCCGGTGAGGACTTTTGACAAGGTCGTACCAGAGAAGAGCAGATATTGGGGGAACTTGGGAAGATTTCGAGCAATGAACATGTCGAGATAGATGGTATCGGCCGGCGCAAAATCTGACGGATTCATAACGTCGAGCAAGATGGATAAGACGTATTGTCGGTTGATTGTCAGGCCAAAGATCTGCTCTTCTGGTATGTCTGCTCTGGAGCTACTACCATTAGGCTTCTTCTCGGAGGAGTCGTTTAGGAAGGAATCTTCAAATGCTTCATTAAGGGCGCTGAGGAAGCTTGGGGCGTCGAATTTGAGAATCATCCTCAAATAAGGGAACGCAGGCTCTGACTCTGCGTCGGGTCTAGTGAGAAATTCTCCGCCACTGCCTTTGGGCCATGAAATGGTCTTGCCAGAAAAGTAAAACCAATAAATCTCGGCCTTGGCTCTATTCGCCGTCTCTTCGTCCATGATTTCACCGCTCGGGTAGACCCGACCGGTAAGGGTGTAAGAAAGGTAAGGGAAAATCTTGACCGCATTGACACCGTAGTAATCGTCAGCCGTATTATCAGGGACGGAATCCCCGTTCGACATCAACGGGACGAGGAGGCTAAGTAGGTCGATCATTGGTGTAATGTAATCTTGCAGGGCTTGGTTCCAGACATAGGTAAGCGCGTCATACAGATTGTGCTGCTTGCAGAGGATTGTGAGCTGATCCAAGTCAAGAGTGGCAGTCTCCATATGGCATATCAATTCCTCAAGCCTGCTTTCCCAGCCTCTGGTGACATAGTAGCTGACCATATCCTTGACCACCGTAGGCGGAACAATACGAATTGTTTGATCGAGGACAAAAGGCTCAAGAGTTTCGAGAAATATGCCCTCGGCATCGGCATCGCTATACCATTCATACAGCTCGTCAAACAGATAGTCGGTATTGCCGACAGTTTGGCATGCCACAAAGCAAGTTTCAGCAAGCTGTTTCAAATGGTCGTTATCCACAGACGCCTTGTTCTTCTGCCTTTGTGCAAAGGCGTACTTTAGAGAGGCACTCGTAATCTCCATGATCTTGTCGCGAACCATGCTGTGCCTTTGCTCAGTATCGTCAGGGAGGCCGACTGTCAGTTTATTGGCGTCGCCAGTGTAGTATGAGGTAGCCAGCTGGATAGCCCCTATGTAGTCACCATGCTCCATTGTGGCAATCAGCCGATCTGCCCAATTTGACAACGCCCCTATAGCCACATCGTTGAAACCTAAGAGGAACATTCTCCCTTTGTATGCCTTGAAGCTCATATAAAACGCATCGGCTACAACTCCATGCATGGACACATCATTCTCATCTAAATGCTCCACAAGGGTATGCAGCTGCTGGGAGAAAAGATCAGTATGGTAGATATATCTTTCCAATAAGTCAAATGCTTCCGTCATGCGCATGGTTCTATCCTCCAGGACAATCAGTCTTTGAGAGATGGTCAAAACTGTCAGCACGGAGCGGCTGAGCCACTGTACCGCAGCAATAGACTCTTCGCATTTCCACCTGCTTCGAGCTTTAAATCTCAATGATGGCGGATCACTATCGTCGCCAGGAATCTCATCCACATCCAGTACTGTAAGCACATTAGACCAACAATACGCCAGCTTAGCTTTTGAGGTGGTTGAGCCTGTGTGTGTATCTGCAGCCTTGAGATTTACGGCAGGGAACCAAGCCAAACAACCCGTCATGGCGCTATGAGCCGGAACATCCTTGGGCCGTGCAGACTTGTGTTGCGTCTGTGCCACTGGAGTAGTAGACACAATAACGAGCAAATAAGGGGTCAACATCGCTGTCAGCCCCATCTTGTCAGTCTCGCGCTCAACGTTTCCCAGCGGAAGAGGCGCAAAAGCGAGGACAGTACTGGGCTTTATAACTTTTCCCGGTTGCATAGGCGCATTCGGATATCGACCCAATATTCTTGTAGTCTTTACCGTTCTTCCAAGAGGCCCAGTACCCCTCGTGGCAAGATGGGAGAATGCCATGCCATGGCCATCAGCAGACACAAGAGCTGTGTGTCGAGTGCCCAAAAAGCCCAGGTGAATAACAGGAGCATCAGGCATGTGGCCATCGAGAGTCCTGTTTTGTACCTGGGATTCATCCAGATGTGAAATTGTGAGAAAGGGCCGTGAGGGACGTGCTGTGTCCCAGGTGAAGATGTTACCATTCGCATGGCCTCCGGCTATAATGGTGTGATCTGCCGATATAGCAAGAGCAGTGATGGGCCCAGATTCGATAGCTATCAGAATTAGCATTGCACATTTACGCATCTCATTCGGCACATACCTTTGGTACCAGGTCCTATGATCGTTTTTAGATTCTGACTGTAGTCAAAAACTAAGATGATGCCTTTAGAGGTTCCCAAAACAATGGATGCGGACACAGAAAGACAGGTAGGAGATCCAAAATTACGCCTCCCTGATTCCGAGAACGCATAGCTGTTTAGCTTCTTCAGCCTTGTCCACCTCACAACCTCCCATGGGGGCGACGGCGTATCAGTATCGGCTTGTTCTGACGGGAAATTGGAATTAAAGGAGGCATGGCGGCTGTGATTTGGCACAAATGTAGGAGTCGATGGACGAGGGCTGAGGGTGTTGAATGATGCTATTCGGGATTGGAAACGTCGATCGAAGGGTCGGAAGGACGGCGTGGGACTGCTGATGCCCGGACGGGAGGCAAATGACGGCAACACACTGCTGCCCGGTGAGGATATGCGCGAGCCCTGTGCCTGTCAGACGGCTTCCCTAACCATGAAGAAAGCATCTCATACCTGGATCGAGGGAGAGTCTCCTGGCGCAGAAGTGACGGATTCAATGGGACTCCCTGCCCTCCGCGGGATCGCATCGATGGAGCTTGCATCCGCCGACGTAATCTCGGAAATATCCCCATTTTGAATAGGCGGCTCTAGGAGGTTGTCATCTATGACATGGTTCTTCTCCTCTTCCTCCGCATTCACAGAGCTTGGGTCTTCCGGTGTTTCTGGCTGCTCGAGCTGGGGGACATCGGCATCGTCTTCGTTTTGGCTTTCATTTTCTACGGCAGGGACCGGGTTCTCGTAGTCGTCCGCTCGCTCTCCAGTAGGAGAGGCTTCTTCAGGGTCAGACATGATGTCGCAAAGTCCATGACATTGTCCAGCATGCAGCACGTCGACAAAGGGCTATCGAGGCAGTGTAAGTATGCCCTGGAGCTCCGGCGATGGCACGGGCCAGCTAAGGTCGGCAGTTTAGCTATCGCAAGCTCATGAACTGAAGGACTCTGGCGATGCGACCTTTGATCGCCCTGCAAGGCAAACCAAGCCGCAACTTTCGATTCGCAATCGAGAAAAGAGCTAATTAGATCTCAAGGTCGATACTCTGCACAGCTTCCCCATCTCTCATGGCTAGTCCGCGTATGCACATGCATGCAGACTGTACCGAAGATTCTCCGCCACACGATCGAGAAGTGACGTACTGGAACCCTGGATGGGCCAATTTGTGTAGCACCGGTACGCAGTGGGCAGGGTACAGGTACCAGGATGTACCTGACGGCGGCAATGGAGGGGCACAGTCGCAGCCACAGGTGGGCTTAAGCGTTACCAGCACTTGCAGAACATGGACATGAATGCCTTTGTCTTTTGTTATCACATCAGTATATGAGGCGGACAATAGATTTAGGGATAAGGGAAATACATATTTCTTCAGAAGACACTCACAAGCGTGTTCACGCACTTATCCGGCCGTCACTTGTGGGGTCGGATAAAGTGATTCACATCCATTGGAGCACGAGCACACCCTCAGAACGGAAATATGGCAGAGAAACATTTCCAATCATGTACGAAGCCACAAAAGGCATTTCCGTACTAGCCAACAAAAAGTTTTTATTGAAATGATAGAGAGCACACAAAGTTCAGCGAAATAAAACATATCGTAATTATAGTACAAAGTCAATCTACTGTAGCAGTAAACGAAATCCAGTGAAATCCAAAAAATTCAGGGTAGCCTTGATTAACAAACCGCTTAGACATCAGTACCTGTAATTGATTCTAATTTTTTAGCCCCCGCATTGGCGCTGCCCCTCCTCGCAATAGGTGGATCCCAGGTAGGCCCTTAAAAAAAAAGTTTCGACTCGAGAATTTTCCTCTTTTTCTTTTTTTCTCTCGGGAAAAGGCTTCGATCATTTTTTTGACTAGATTTGATTCACAGCCTTTATCCTCGCTCTTTGTCTGCTATCTATTCATTTCAATTTTTCAAAAAAGAAAACAAGAATAGATAAAATGGCCACCAACGGCTCCGCCAAGATCCTCGACCACACCACCGCTCTGGAGGTGCTGGGAGAGTACAAGTCTCGCGATGGCCTCGACAGACAAGAGCTTATGGACACGGCCAAGCACGGTGGCCTGACCTATAACGACTTCCTTATCCTGCCTGGCTACATTGGCTTCCCTGCCTCTGAGGTCACCCTCGACTCGCCCATCACCAAGCGCATCACCCTCAAGACTCCCTTCGTCTCCTCCCCCATGGACACTGTCACTGAGCACGAGATGGCCATTCACATGGCTCTCCAGGGTGGTTTGGGTGTTATCCACCACAACTGCTCTCCCGATGCTCAGGCCGACATGGTTCGCAAGGTGAAGCGTTACGAGAACGGCTTCATCCTCGACCCTGTTGTCATCAGCCGTGACACCACTGTTGGCGAGGCCAAGGCTCTTAAGGAGAAATGGGGCTTCGGAGGTTTCCCAGTTACTGGTAAGAAATTTTTTCACTTGGTTCTAAATCTCTCATTTCACACTGCAATGATTATAAACCTTTTCAATTATAACTTTCGTTCCACCAAAAGACCTTTGTCCTGAGGACCACCGTTACTATGACCAGCACCTGTCTCATTCTCAATGTTGTCCAAATTTGTAATCGACAGCATCCTGACTAATTTGACATAGAGGACGGAAAGATCGGCTCCAAGCTCCTTGGTATTGTTACCAACCGAGACATCCAGTTCGAGGATGACTTCAGCGCACCTGTCTCCAAGGTCATGGTCACTGAGCTCATCACTGCTCCTAACGGTGTCACCCTGACCGAGGCCAACAAGATTCTGTCCCAATCCAAGAAGGGCAAACTGCCCATCGTGGACAAGGACTTCAACCTGGTTGCCATGATCTCCCGCTCCGATTTGACCAAGAACCAACACTTCCCCTTGGCTTCTAAGCTTCCCGATAGCAAGCAGCTCATCTGCGCTGCTGCCATTGGCACTCGCCCAGAGGACAAGATCCGTCTGCAGAAGCTTGTTGATGCTGGTCTTGACATTGTCATCCTTGACAGCTCCCAGGGTAACAGCATGTACCAGGTGGAGATGATCAAGTGGATCAAGGCTGAGTTCCCCAACCTGGACGTCATCGGTGGTAACGTCGTTACCCGCGAGCAGGCTGCTAGCCTGATTGCCGCCGGTGTTGACGGTCTCCGAATTGGTATGGGCAGTGGTTCAGCCTGCATCACCCAGGAGGTCATGGCTGTTGGCCGACCCCAGGCTGCTGCCGTCCACGCTGTCAGCACCTTTGCTGCTCGTTTCGGCGTCCCCTGCATTGCCGATGGTGGTATCCAGAATGTTGGCCACATTGCCAAGGGTCTTGCTCTCGGTGCTTCCAGCATCATGATGGGTGGTCTCCTGGCTGGTACAACCGAGTCTCCCGGTACTTCCTTCGTTTCGCGCGAAGGCAAGCTGGTCAAGGCTTACCGTGGCATGGGCAGCATTGATGCCATGCAGGACAAGAAGGCTGGTGGCGGTGGCAAGGACAGCCAGAAGAGCAACGCCGGTACTGCTCGTTACTTCTCCGAAGGTGACAGCGTCTTGGTTGCTCAGGGTGTTTCCGGTTCCGTGGCTCACCGAGGGTAAGTTTGACACGCAATTCGCCCCCCTTTTCTCTCTTATACGCGTGAATCTCGAGCTGACATGTAACCAGATCTATCTCCAAGTTCGTTCCCTACCTTGCTGCTGGTCTGAAGCACTCCATGCAGGACTGCGGCATGAAGAGCTTGCAGGAGCTTCAGGACTCTGCTGCCAACGGTGTGTTGCGATTTGAGCTTCGCACTGCCAGCGCTCAGTTGGAGGGCAACGTGAACATGGAGTCGTATGAGAAGAAGCTCTACGCATAAAGGAATGATTGATGAAAAAAGGGTTTCCGGATAGGGTTCCGGTACAAAAAGGAGTGGACAAAAAGGGAAGGCATGTATTTGATTTCTGGAGTTTGGGTATAGGATGCGTGTGGTGATAAGCTTGGAAGCTATCGAGTAAACAAAAAGACCTCCCAGCAATGATTCTAGAGGCAGGCTTGGCGCGTTCGATGACATGAATGATGATTTTTCATAAATTTAATAAAGAGCGGCGGCTCCCCCGGGGCATGCCAAAATTCAGAGTGACTTGGAGACACATGCTGTGAAATTTTCTGCTTGACGCTCGGACTTGATCAGAGCTTTAGAGACTCGAGCTGCGGCTGATGCGAGGATTTGATATTGTATAATTCATTCAAACGCTTCAAATCTCTATACATCTGAATCACCATCTGAATCTTCGTCCTCAATCGTCCTCGACTCCCCATCCAACCCTCTATGTGCAGTCTCACGACTCAGAATCACATAATCAGGACGCACTACTTTCCCACCTCTTAAAGTGCGATCCCTAGGGGAAAAGTCATCTTTCGTGAAGCCAATTTTCTCGTAAAACTTGAGGCCGTTGAGGTTGCTTGTGAAGCAAGTGAGCATTACTTTCTTGGTTGACGGGATGTTTTCCGCAATGGTGATGAGCTGGTTCATGAGGTGCTTGCCAAGACCGGATCTAGTAATATATCGATAGGTAAGCTTGAGGTAGAAGCATGAGTTGAGAAAAAAAATAATAGATCTCGAAAGAAGAAAGTAAAAAATGACAGGGAAATGACTTGCCCTTGAAGTTCAGGAAGCAAATGCACTTCATAGCAATACAGCACCGGCTCATGATTCTCAAACGTAGGCATCAGCGATGTAAAGCCCTGGACCGCGCCGCCGTCATCTTTGACGAGTATATACCGGAGATCCGGCGACTTCATCTCTTTCCTTTTCATGGCAGGATGCCATCCCACAGACGAATTCTTGTAATCCACGCCGCTGGTCGTCTCGATGATGCCAAAGCACGTCCGGAAGTCATCTTTGCTGAGCTCGTGTGAGGATAGAAACTCGAGCGAGTAGCTTTTCTGTGTGAGTGGGTGAGTCCATGTTGTCCAGTCTTGGCTATGACACAAATGAACATTATTAAATTAGTAAAATGTCTTGACATAATGTGATGGGGCATGTATGACATGCGGGATGTCTCTACCTGGGCTTTATATAATCTCTGATGAACTCTTCATCCGTCTTCCCGTTGGCCGCCGCGATTGGGGTAATTTTCGGAGGTTTCCTTGGGATGAATCCTCGAATTTCTCTTCTTTTTGGTTCTTCAGCCATTGTGCGTAATTTTGTGTCTTTTATTGGACCTAAATGGCAGTATCCTGTAGGTAGTGTGAAGAAATGCTAAAAGCGTCGCGTGTAAATCGAGATGGAGCCAAAGGCCCAGCCGGCACTACTGAAATTATTCCACTGACTGCTGGTTTCTAAAAGTGAAGCCCTAGTGATTCTATAGTGATGAAAGTCTCAAGTTTTGACCCGCAATAAACAATTCAAGAAATTATTAAAACCTCTTCATGATAGAATTGATCAAGCCCGTAAAGGTCGGTGTACCTTCCTCACTCATAGAAGCCGTCTACAACCCACCACCCCTACCCGAGGTTTGTCCGACCCAAGCTCTTTTTCTCAATATATCGCCAACTTTTCTGAGTTGCCTCATCTGATTAGAAATCCACATACAAAAGCCATTTTTCCTTTTCCTTGTACAATAGTTTATTTCAGGCTCAATGAATAATCCTTAATGAATCCCGGCATCCGCCTGCTGCCCTTCGGCCGTGGCTATGCCACCCAACGGCCAGCCTCTCGGCTCAAACCGACGATAAGCCTCGATCACGTACGTTCAACAGCCAGCCTTTTGAGATCCCCGCCACAGCAGCAAGCTAACAAGCCAATTGCAAGTTCCTCCAACGGACAAAAGCCCTGGCATTATATAGAACTATCTGGAGAGGCACACGGCGCATTGCAGATGCTCGGACAAGAGCCGAATCCCGCAAATATGCCCGGGACGAATTTGAGCGGCATCGCAACGTCCAAGATATCGTATGTCACTGTCCATCCATTCTTTTCTCCTCGCATAGAAAAGAAAAAATTACTCTGCTAACTTGGAATCCCTCCTCGGCAAAAAAGTCTCACATAAGATATCTTTTATCAACAGGCAAAACGGAATGGGAAAGCATGGAGAGGTATATCGGGGGTATGTAACACTACATAAAATTGTACATTTTTACGACGGCAATCTGAACCGTCATTTCTCGAGCATGCAAGAAAGCTTCTTCCAGAAATCAGTCCGCACTTGAGGCTCGTGCCACGTCCTCCACGTCTTCGAAGCCATTGCCGTAGTATCGTCTATCAATTGCTTTTGCCAGACCGTTGTGTGTGTGTTTGTTCGTCGCTCCCATTCGTCACCATTTATGCGCCAATAATATACAGAATGCCCACTCGTCAGGGTGTCATCGTCGTCGTCGTCAAAAAGAGAAGAACCATCCTCGCAGCCGCCTTAGCTCTGTCGCTGCTTGTGTCGAGGGTTGGCCTTGCAGATAATGTACAGGTATCCATTGTGTCGCTTGCCAGCCTTTCGTCGAACAACCTGCAAATTCAAAGATTTAGACAAAGACTCGCTGAAAAGAATCAATCCGAATTCAAACCCACCTTGCAGTGCTCACACCTCTTCTTCACCGAGCTGTGAACCTTCATGCCCCGCGTCTGCTGCAGGGTCCCTCCAACTGCGGGCTTCGACAGCCATCCCATCCACGAGGAAGCCGGGCTGCTCGTTGCCGTCGCAAAGCTGCCAGCCGCAAACGGCTTGACAACCTGAGAAGAGCGCAAAAGCCCTGCGGCTAGAGAGAGCGTGCGCAGCAGGGATGCCATTGTCGATGTGCTGATTGTGCTGGGCTGCGAGAGAGATAAGACATGGGCCGGTTTTTTTCGGGACTTGGAGGTTTGCGATCTGCTTTTACAGGTCACGTGGTTTGCCGGTGTTGAGCTTCACCTTCAGTACAACATTTCCATTTCGAAAAGGAAAAAACAAATATTTTGCTCCAAAAAATATAGCCAAGTAATAATTTCGGCTCTATAATGATTTTGAGTGTCTTCATAGGAGCGCATTTCATTGTCACGGTCCTGGCACAAAGCCCGTCTTTGTCTCCATGCATGTTCACAGTCCATCTCACCAAGTTGGCGCAAGTTGTGTATATGGTTCAACAACAACCATTTGTGAGCTACCTACGACTATCTAATAGCCAGTTTTCATACATATTGTTCATACATAAGCGCAATTCCTCAGCATCCATAGATATTCAAAGCCTCAAAGCTTTGCCCTATACCGTATTGGTCAGGGATGATCCAGCAATTTCCTTCCTCCCAGCGTCTCAGCTTCACCACAGCTTTTTTCACCCCTTCCTGTCCTTCTTAGTCAATCAGTGTAACAGCCACCGATGCGGCTGATAAGCAAGCAAAACGAAAACAAAGAACACAATGTATCAAAGCAGGCCGCCCAAAGAACAGTGTCCAAATCGTGGGTAACCCAGAAAAGAAAGAAACCCAGAAAGACGTCGTGAGCTGTTCACCAGCTCTCCTTCAGTAGCTTACGTGCCGTGTCCAAGGCCTTGCTGTAATCAAAAAAGCATCGCCTCTCGTCTGGAATTGGAGGCTGGATCTCATCTAGATCATCTGGCGCCCCTCCATCCTCTCGCGTGGGGCCATATGCGGGAATTCCCTTTCGCTTAGAACCAGTCGGATAAGTCTTTCGAAGTTCCAGGATGCCCAGACGATGGACGTCTTCTCTGACGGCAGAGGCAATGACATCTAGCCAACGGCGTCCGGTAGCTTCGTCGAGGGCGACATCTTCAAGTCTGGGGAGTTTAACCAGCGAGTCATGTGGCAACTTGGCGTCTCGCATAAGGCGCTGCCAGTAAGGAGGCCACCTATAAACACCATCAACGCCCTCAGCAAACACGAGGTTCGGCATATGGCGTACAGTTTCGGTCGAATGAAGGCGAATTAATCCCACTCCGCCACGGAAAAGGGGTGCATCCTGGTTGAATGCCTTTTGCTCCCAGTCAGGGCAGAGCTTGTCCAAGAGGCCTTTCTTCTGCGCCTTCAAATGGTCTGTCTCCGCGTCAAGGCGTTTCTGCAAATGACAGGCGCAACAGATGCGTCTATGGGGTTGCAATAGATTTATCGAATCGGCTGAGAAGAACTCCATAAAAGTTTGATAGCCGCAAGAGCAGCAGCAGAAGAAAGTCGTTGCCATCTTTTTAAGATAATACTTGGGCCAGTCGTGAGCCACATGCTTTTCCACCGCTACTCGAACTGGCTTGAGCATGTCGTAGATTGCCTGGAGTTTAATGTCGCCACGGTTCCAAGCCCATCTGTCCACTTCTATATACCGATATACGGCATCTAGAAAGCTATACACGCCCAGTGGGATGTTTGGCACCTTGGCGAGGTAGTCCATGAATGCATGGTCTTTGGAAAATAACAGGTCTAGGCCTAGTCCCTTTGACTTCAGGACGGCCTTAAGGATAATAGCATAGAAGCCTCGCTGGGCAATGTCCATCTCGATTGGCCCCCAAGAGATACCATACGTCGCCGCGTTTTCGTGTGCATACGGAGTGCCCTGGTTAAAATGGGGAAAGAAATCAAATGCCTCGATCTTTGGCATGTTTTTCTTACGCCGATCATTGTTGATCTCATGGATGAGATCTAGAATCGGGATCACGTCGCCAAAGTGGATGAGAGGGCAGTTGTATACTCCCACCATGGTCACATGAGGCAACCCACGTAGTATGATGGCGAGCATCCGTCGGTCGAGAAGGGGCACCTTGTGAAGGTGCAGAACCTCGATATGCGAACGAGCCCTGTGTAATTCAGTCACTGATGAAGACGTTAGACTCGATGTTCCAGAGTATTCAAGGTGATGCCCGCTGCACTTACTCAATTTAAATAGACTCTCCATCGCGAGACTGATGGGCATCTTATGCAGTTTATCTTTTGTTCCTTCAAATTGATTTGCTGACCACATCTTGTCGAGTGGCTCGAGAGAACCCATGACGTTGATGCCATTGGCATCGTCTTTCCACCATTGCTTGGCACGATCAGTGGTAAGAGGATCAATCTCTTGATCGTCTGTTGCCCAGTAAGGTCCGGCAACTCGCAGGCATTCAGCTCTCCAAATCCGTGCCCATTGGAAGAAGACCTGTTCCATTTCAATGGATCGCAGTTTATAGTTATCAAAGTCCTGCAAAGATTCCAACCTTTGACGAGTTTCTTTCCACTCAGGCGAGTCAAGTCTCAACTTATATTTCTTCTGAGCTTCGAGAATATCTCCAATGGTGTGTTGGGGAACCTCTACAATCATTACAGAAGAGGGAACCTCGACGACATAGGCCATGGCACAAAAGTCCCACCGATTCTGTTTTTCTGTCAGACACTCCTTGAATTCTGTCATGGTACATGATAACTTACCACATTGTCGCCAACCAGCTTGAACATTTTGCTCGAGGTCAGAGAGAGCCTCATGGCTGTCTTGTGACCATCACGGAAGACATCTTCCATGATTTTAGGGCCAAGATATAGATGTCCTACGACAGGTACAATCTCCGGGGGGATAAAAGGCGCAGTCTCAATTACAGCCGCGACAGTTTTTGGGCGACTGGCTGCCGCTTTGAAAGCCGGCCTATTGGAAAGGCGTTCAGTGACAAACCATGGGCCCTATACTGTCATCAGTTTTCTATCCCAAGATTCTAGTGTCGTGCAGTTGCTTACCTTTGTGAGGCGGCGAAGTCTGTAACATATCCGACCGCTTGTGATAAATGTTTGCTTTCGAGACTTGACATACTTGCTTCGATCCGGTCGGAAAACTCTACTCTTGAGGTACCTTATTGTCTCGTTCTCCAGCTGTGCAGCCGTCTTCGTGGTAACATCTGGATGGAACTTTCCATCTGATAGACGCTTCCTGGATTCAGACATCCCGTAACGGGTGACGCGGCCTGAGATGGACATTAGTACATTCCAAACATAGTTATGAATTTGAAGCACTTACAACGGAAATCATCATCGTCAAAATCCATTGGGTCAGCAGGGAGGGCTTGGTGTAATGTTCTCTGACGAATCTTTTGCGATAACAGAGACTTGGTTCAAGTATGTGTCTATCGCTTTGAGTGTGAGCCAAACGAGCTTTGAATTTGATTTCTATCGTTCGTTCATCTGTTTACCAGTGATCAAAACAGCAAAGAGGTTATCAAGAAGCGGCAGTATATATGTTGCGTCAATACATAGTCATAATCTCAAAGATGGATGCCCATGAATATGGTTTCCAGAAGAGACAAACGTGAGTGATGATATATGGAGAGCAGGCACTCAGTCGGGATGGAGGAGAACAGCCTTTCAACAATACGCAGTGGATATGTGTAGCGTCTTGTGGAAGGAGTTTTCTACTCCTTCATGAAGTGCTTGGTGAGAAAGAAGAGAGCATTGAGGTTGAATTGAATTTGTGGGAAAGACAGCTCTCCGGCCTGCAGTATTCAGAAAGATACTGGAAAGGACAACAAGGAGATGGTGGAAAGGCCAGGTGCAGTAGACAAGAGGAGACATGTGCGGGTAAGTTACATCAATTCTTTGGCTTGTGTTGGTGATGAAAGAGAAGATTGATTGATGGAAACAAGCAAAGACGTGTTATGTAGAATAAAGTCAGAAGATCGAGAAAAGCTTACCAAGTTGAAAGAGCAGAGTGCTCGAAAGAAAGCATCGGGGAGGAAGCTGATATATCCAGCAAGGATGTTTGAGAGCAGGAATCTATCTCAAGTGATGTGCACTTGACCTGAGAGAAAAGAAGCAAATTGTGAACTTGTGTGTGTGTTGGGTTGAAGAAGAGGAGTGTGAGAGGAGAAGAGGAGGAGGAGAGGAGGAGAGGAGGAGAGGAGGAGAGGAGGAAGAGGAAGAGGAAGAGGGGAGTGAAAGGGGGAGGGCGTTTTGTAGCCGGCTGGAATAACAACTGCAAGGCACGTGTGGGCCGCACACGCACTCGCACTCGCACCTCGAGGCCACACATCACTTGCAGCTGGTTTTCAGGAAGAGCTAATGGGAGAGGCTCATAATTCACTAAAGTGCCGGTTGTCTGAGCTACAAGGCATCTCTCCAGGTACTAATTCATATCCACCTCCCTAGCCTTGTGAGGTCTGATTCCCAGGAGCCAACTAATGCCAAACACATCTGCATCCGTCCTCTGTTGTCTCTCAAATAGTTATTTCCCGTCTTCAGTTGTCTCGAATAATTACAAAGCATCAGGTGTGTAGAGCTTGACAGTCTTTTACTATAATTTTGCGAATCATTTTCCATATATACCTGCATAGCACTTAACCGTTGTGCGCAATGCACCTGCTGAACAGAGCATCTTTGAATCAGCAATACCATCAGCTTTACTTTCGTACTTCTTTGTTTGTTCTTGTTCTGCCGGAGAACAGCAAGCGTGTTCATGGTAATGTCAGTTCGGGTTACTTGCATTCAGCGCTGCCCCAGCCCCTGGATGTTTGATGCCCGTCACTTCCCCCTTCTCTTAGCAACATTGCTTGAAGTTTAAAGTTTTAGAATTTTGCAATTCTTCTAGTTACCCGATGCACCAGGTCAACAATGACTTCCCTTCTTCATTTCTTCACACCCGAGCTGGCTCCTATCATGATGCACTCCGAACCCAAATCGACTGCCAGCAACAGTCCAGGAGAGCAGAACCACGATGCGAGGTAAGCATCTCCAATCCCTTTTCCTTTTCCATCACTATCCATTACTCGCCATTAAATATCCAAGTCGTTCAATAGTTTCCTATCGAGTATAATCATCCTGGCATTGTTTATACTTTGGTTCGCCCTTCATCTTGGACAGCACGACGCGAAGAGCATCGCAAGATTCTCGGCACCCAGTTGTTCATGCCCCTCCTACCACCCTCTGAAATGTACCCTGACAGATAAAAGACTCAGCACCTAGCTTAAACAAACCTCTCCATACAACAGCTTCCATTGGCAGGGACACGATACCCACTTCTACAAGCACGTTGTGGATGATGCATCGCGACTCAAGAAACGACACCCTTGAATTACTAACTTTCCAGCACGAAAACTGTCAAAGTACATTTTGCTAACTTCTAGGAAACATTGAGTAGGGGTGCGATATTGTGGGAGGCCATGCGCGCGCGCCTTTGTTATCAACACTCTGAAAGGCGGCTTCAAAGACGTGCTAACTCGCGGTAAGTATTTCTCTCCTTTCAAAAAAGCTACGCTCCCAGAAATTGAAACATATTCTTACGATCAGTCATTTCTAGGAACGCAAAGCTAACAACGAATATCCTCTGCCTAGAGAAATCTAGCACGAAGACCGTCATTTCCCGATTATTAATATCATACGACACTCCTAAAGCCGTCGCGCTTGAGTACAAGAGAAATGAAAAGGAGATAGACATCAAGAATATCTGCATTTCTAACAGCTAGGAGAATTAGGACCGTGCTGCTGAAAGATTCCAGAATGAGAGAAAATCCCAATACGCAAGCATTCTTGGAGCTGAGACTGCCTTCAAGGTTCTGTTTCTTTGGGAGAGCTCTGATATCCTTAGAGTGGACAACATGACGATGCAGAATGAAATAGGACAGCTAAAGACGTATATTTAGGAGCATTATTGATATTCGGTCATGATTACTCGTCAACGAGAGATGCTTCGGCTTGTCTCGAATTTCGTTATACGCGAACGAATAATGGCCCGGCAGAGCGAGTTGGAATCTCTACCTAGCTAAAGCCACTTCAGTAACAAAAAATGCTATCTACAACACTTGAAGCCTTTCCTATGAAGCGGAAAGCAAATGGCAGAAACTGCCTAGGTATGCAATGATTATCGACACATCCCCCATCGGAAGCAACTCTGACAGCAAAACATAGATGCAAGGCAACCGACTGCCTCTATCGTTGAGTTAATACATTTCTTCGAGAAGAGATACACATATATTACAAAATGACCAGAAACAACAAGTTCGAAACGCAAGCTCACTGAGCTATGAGAACATCATACCCAAAACATCCAATTCCCGAATCAAAGGACGAATACGGCCGAGTGAATGGTTAGATTACAAGCACACCGCAGCGAATCGATGTTGTCTATTCTCGAAAGACTAAAGCAGAAACGAAATGAAGGTGTATATACATATACATATATATACTGCAGATGTCACTGGAGACTTTCCGTATTGCGAACATATGTAGCTATGGTATCGACATACATCCGTACGGCATGCCATCCGCGCCCGAACTATGCTCGAATCCAGCAGAAATATGTTACATGAATAGATTCCAACATATGCGATATCTCACATCGAGCAGTTATGTCTCAAGCGTAATTGGTAATACGAATTACAAGGGACGTCAAAGCGATATTACTCTCGCATCCTGCAGAGATGCCATACACGATGACCAACGAATAACACAGTCAGGGACGAATCAGGTATAACCATCTAATTAAACGACATTAAGCGACACCTTGAGTTCTTATTTATCCTTTCGCATCATGAGTCTGTATCTCATTTCACCGTTGCTGGCTCATCATAGTGACAGGGCATCAAATGAGCAATACAGGGACAGTCAGCATTGGTGGTCGTCAAAATCCCTGAGACTCCCACAGCCCCATGAAAGCTCAAGAAATTTCGATCTTCAAGTGTTTGCCGTCCCAAGCAATCGTCTATGCGTGGTATCCGACATCGGTCCCGCCGAGTCTCGCCTCCAACGTTTCTTCTCCGAATCGCGAATCAAACCCGATATCTGCTATCAGCACCGATTCAGTAACCCATCAAACAATACCCATATGGAGATGGAGACAGAAAGTAGACATGCTGGAGGAGGCAAACGATCACAATGCCATTTTGCGTGCTCGGCTCTTGCGAAAGCGTAATTACGCTCGCCTCGCGTGGGTGCTATCGGCTCTAGGAATATGGGACATGGTCAACCATCACGTCAACCCGCCTCACTCCAGCCAAGGCTTAGCCAAGATGGAAAAAAAGTTCTCGGCACCAGTATTTATTACAAACGGGCATGCTAATCGCGATCCTATTCTTAAAGTAGAAAGGGAGATGGATCACACGACTCGATATCTAAGACCATGTCGGATCTCAGCTACTCCAACGGCGCACCACTTTGGTCACTTTGAGGTGTCACTAAGAATTACTAGTATAGTTACACGACCTACGCCCTACGAAACACAGAGCAGGTTTTTTTCTTCTTCTTCTTTCTCCTCTTTTCCCTCCCACCGGATATCCTCGTTATTATAGGGTAACATTGACAATCAACGATTGCCAGGCGGGAAGATATCTTCCCACACACACTGCAAAAAAATGTGATTACTCACACGGGGCCTGCATACATGTAATATTGGTCGTATCATGCGTGACCCATCACTTGTAGGGAGTACGAGTATCGTACATGAAAGAGGACCCAAAACACTCCCCAGAACCAGAACAATGAATGACATCAACTGGAGACCCGCCAAAAGCTGCATCCGAAACGGGGGGAGCACAGGCAAACGGCCTTCCTGTATCGGCCAAAGGGATCTTGTTCCGGGCAGCGGCATGACAATCACTTTTTCTGGCGCTTTCGCTCGCTGCAGATTTTACGTACATACGGAGTACAAGGGGACAGGGATGAGGCTGCTGCTGATGCATCCCAAAAAAGTCCGGTGCAGAGTCACACCACCTTTTGGCCACTGGGGAGCGGTCGTGCCACTGCCAACTTTTGAAACTGCTCAAGCCGCTTTGATACGAGAAAAAGGTACACGCTGTTGACAAGCTGCGGGTTCTCTGAGTGCTCCGGTGCCGCCGGCCGTTGCTGCGGACCGAGGAATCACTCGTGATGAGATCCGGGAAATGGCGGCCTCCGCCGGGATTTGGATTCTCTTGTTTTTGTTTTTGTTTGTTTTTTAACGTCGATGACCATTCAGTGGCGGCGGCTATGAAGGATATGAGGTGGTGCTTATGCCGGTGTGTATCAAGTAACGAGCCCGCCTGCTCCAGGCATCATCATACGATCCATCGATCATAACAAAGGGGAACACAGAGGCAAATCTTCTAAACTGACTGTACTGTACACGTATCCAAAAGTGTCAATGACCGTTGAAAGCCTGTATATCCGTACGGATATGTATTGGGAATCATGTCAAAACAACTCAAAAGCCTCTGCCGTCCCCACCGCCTTGAAGAGCGGGGTGAACTTGGCGATCAAGATGCGCTTTTGGAGATCACAAAGGCGGCCAAAGAAAGCTGTGTGCTCCCTTTTTGTTAGTGCAACTCCCGGCCAGTGGAGTCGTGGCTTGTCGTCACAAGGCCTCTTGGCGCCGGCCAGAACAAATCCAATGAATGGACGAGGCTTCCAAGGGGCGTTGCCGTATCGTTACATTGGCAGCCATGGTCATCGAATCTATTAATACTCGTACCTATGAATGGGAAGAAGAAGTCGAGCGGCTACGTACTGTATACTCTGTTATTACTAGCCCAGTGAACCAGCCACCGGGAAGAATCTAAAGTGTCCTAAACCTCGTGTTTCATTTGTCCCCCAATATTGAGACTGGCCAAAAAAAGATTTAACGAAAAAAAATTCATTAATAATAAAATGTTTCATCTGGCTTGGGGGGAGGAGCCGCCAAAACGTCACATTTCATCTCGCGCCCTAGCAGGAGTCCCTATTCGCCGGCGTGCCTGGCTAGGGTGCAAAATAGTTCCATGTTGTATTTGCCTTTTCCGCCGGTAAAATGAGTCAAGTGAGTCAAGGAGGGCGGGAGGGCGAGCACGGCCCTCATCTCGATGCTGTCTGTACTCGTACAGTAGATTGGCGGGCGTGAGCGGCCGACCATTTGGGACTCAGATGAAGCAGCCATTCAGACATCAGATCATACCTAGGTATGGTAGGTATTGCATGCGGTTTCAGAGTAGCCAAGCCCTGTATCACAAGAGCGCAGCTGGGAGCATTTACACGGGCCTGTGGGCGGTTGCTGAAACCCTGATGCTCTTTCAATGCGTGCCGAATGTGGTGGTAGGTTCAGGTTATTACGATGCTCACATCAATACTTCTTTACTTGAACACGTAGCAAGTTAATTCTTCATCTTGCCTTGCCAAAACAGTCAGTGATGGAGCCTGAGTGGTGCGCAATTCCTAAAGCAAATTGGCTTTGTATTACATGTATCCAAATTCGGCACAGGGAAGCACATGCTTGTATCCAAGCATACGAGTAGCAAGCGACTGATAACAAAGAAATCCTTCGCTTGGCAAACAATAGGGACAAGCTGCCCTGGCCAAAGAGATGATCACTACTACAGGTATTACTCCGTACATGCATGCAATATTTGCAACTTATTGTACGAGCACTTGGGGAGAGAGCCTTGGAATTCAGAGCAAGTACTCCGTAAAGGGCCCCGAGTCCGTTATAGTAGTCACGGACTACCACCGAAAGAGGTTTTATTTTGCCCGTTCTTCATCGTTACGGTTTGGACAGATTCAAGGCGCACGAACTTATCAAGCGCCTCTCATTTGATGAAGATCCTTGTCGCATGGATGAAATCTCTTCTCTCCGGCTTTATTAGCAGCTGCTAAAAGAATGGGTCGGGTACCCTGTAATTTTTTGGTGTAGTTTTTTTTTTTTTTTTTTTTTTTTTTTTTGGCCTTTGGGTTCTTTCACATCGGAGATACAGGTCGGGGCATTTCTTGGCTAGTGGTAATAATATCCTCGTATCACGGCATCTCTCGTACGAGCTTGCATGGTCAAAGAAATGATCCAAGAAGGGTTGAAGGAAAAAAAAAAAAAAGATGAGATGAGCACAGTGCTCTCCCCAGCGTCGTGATAAGGCAAGGGCTGGAGAAATACATACTCGTACTAATATAAGAGGCTGGCAGGTATCAAATCAAATCAAATGCTGAGTGGCTTGAATTGAAAGGGGGTGATATTGGAATAGGCAAACCGCCATGCCAGGGACGCCTCTCAAACCGGCCTGTTCCATGAAGGAAACCCTGCAGCAGCGCCGTTAGACTGACCTGACCTGAGGAAAGCACCGGTCGAGACAGGATGAATTTGCGCAGCCGGGCATCGCATCCGCACCCGCAGCGCATCGCATCGCATCGCAGCGCATCCAAGGCAAGGCCGGTCCGGGTCCGGTCCAGCCAGCTGCTTTTTTTTCTTCTTCTTCTTTCTGTTTCGGCGCCCCTCATGATATCAGTCCAGTGACGCTAGAGCAGGTGTCACATGGCCGATGACAACAACGTGGTGGTGCAGCTAAGCTCCGGCTAGCTGTTATCTGGCGACGGAATGTGTGTGATGCCATTGGGTGGTGTTGCGAATGGCTGCTGGTTCGCGCGGGCTCACACTCACACCATCCATCACCAACAGCCCAATGACCTGTTCAACGACCCTTGCCCCGTACTGTACATGTATGTACTCGTGCAGTCCAGACAATCTCGCTGACGGAGGGGCGCGCCACAAGTGGAATCAATGGAGTGATCCAATGTGAAGGCATTTTGTTCTTCTTGGGCGGGCAGGGGTAGCAGTACCTGCACGCACTGCAGCGCATTTTAGCGCCGCTCCGTACTTGTACATGAGAAGGGGGTCCGGCGCGCCACTTTTGTGCAGCCAAGTGCCATCTCGGTACTTGATTGCGAGAGGCTACTTTTGGTTGGTTCCCTGCCAGCCCAGCGTCATGCGAAATGTGCTCCATCCTCCATCCCATACGCAATGTTGCCGCATCGCAGCAACCCCCATCGCCTGTCCTGGTGCGTTTTCAGCAGGTAGTACTCCGTAGTTGCACTGTACTGTAGCGGTCGTCAATCATTTCACCCTCAATCTCATGCTCGTGCTCATGCTCATGCTCAATCTCACTCACTCGCTCTCACGTGGTAATTTGCATGTACATCCACGGTACAGTAGGGAGGAGAATAGCCGCGGGAGGAGCATCGTGATGTTCCCCTCGCTGCATCAAAAGAGGCAAACAGGGCCAGAATGAATCGAGATGGCCATTCGTCCCACACTGCTCCATCCAGTCCAGTCCAGCATTCTTATGGGTGGCCACGACTGACTGACATGGCATACGGTGCTGCGCTCGTACTTGTACCTGTTTTGCTCTGCAGCTGCTGGTTTGCGAGCATGTGCTCCGTATGGCTGGATCGCCCTCCAATTAATGCTGCGCTGGAGTTTCACCGCCACTCATCAGGGCGGCTTCTTGTTGCAGGAGAATCAGGAGGTCGAATCACGGCCCCCTTTGATTGATGGGCGCTCGAACAAGACCTTTCGTTCTTGTGCCCCCCTGGCACCCCCCCCTGCCCTGCTTCTGCTTCTGCTGCTCTCTTCTGCGACGTCGAGGTGGTACTCGTACTATTCGTACTTGCAGAGCACTAGCACGGGCACAGAATTAGCAGCATGAACCTGTGGCTGCAGCACTCGTCCTTTGTACCTGTACTGTGATCCACCACTCAAAGGAAAGGACAAAAAAAAATCGATTCCATTCTAGCATTTTGCTGTGGTTCGTGCCATGGCCAGGGACCAAGGCTGGCGCACTAGTAGCCTCGAGACCAGGAGCGTTTCGGTGGAAGTGGACATTGTGGTAATAAACACTGAATGGAGCGAGGGATCGACAAGGCAGTTGGACGGGTTGTTGCCCGCAAGGTAAATGCCGCGGTTTACCCGGACGAATGACACATGGCCGGACAGTGCTGACACTGGGCTGGTCCAAGTACTCCGTATTGAACGACTGATTAAGATGAAATGGCCGAACGGCGGACAGGTTCACCTTGATGGATGAATAGGGGACGGCGAGAATGAGACTGTCGTCGAGCTGATTGTCTCGCCTACCTGATCTTCATCTTCCTCGCCCTCTCCTTTCGCCGAGTGAAGATCGTCTTTGCAGTTAATTACGCGTAACGAAGTCTTGCAAATACAATACCACTCTGCACCGCGAGCCGACATTTGATGCCTGACCTGCCCGTCCACTTTTTGATCACGGTGTAATGAGGCAACATTGGATTGCAATGCGCACTATCGGTTTGTACTTTAAACAAAGCCCAGTATACCTAGTTTCAGGAAAAGGGGGGCCGGTCCAATACTGCAATTCCCAGCCCTCACTTCAAGTACTTGGCAATATTTGTTGTCAAAGGAGAAGCAGTACTACCTAATAATAGTATCATTGATATGGAGCAATACCGTAGAATATTGCTCCTTACCGTAGCTATACACCACGGCTACGACTACTAGCGGGAGCACTGACTTGACGTCGTCTACAAAGGATATTAACGTACGAGACACCGGAGCAATATGCGCAGCTGCAGCAGGCGAAGATGGATCGTGGGGCAGGCAAGATAATCTTAGATGGCCCTCGGCCCAAACAAGCACAAGCACAAGCATCCATGGTTCACGGCGATCCATGTTGACCAAGCTTCCAGAGGTTCTACGCGGATTCCCGAGTCAGTCCCCCGTTGCTCGTACCGGCAGCCAGCTTATCGGCGGCCATGGCCCAGACGGGACAAAGGAGAAGGCTGTTTAAAATGAGGAGTGGAGGCTGGGAGTCATTGAGCGGAAACGAACGAGAGTGACCGGCCGGGCCGTGCGAGCAGCCGTCGAGCCGCACGGCCGCCAAGTACCAGTGCCAGGCCTGCCAGGCTTAGGCCCGCTGCCAGCCCTGGTGGCTGCCGAACATTTCTGTCCGCCACTAGCGCAGGCCGGTCGACGGGTCTGCAATTTCAGGCCCACTCGCTTAAGGCCCGCACAGACCACGCAGGGGCCCACCGCGCCCCCGGCAACCCAAAAAGAGAGCGCCAGAGCTCCAGGTCTCAGGGCATTCACTGCTCCGGTTAGCGCTAGCGGGCGCCGACTGCAGTGAGCTTCTCCCGCCGTGGCGTCACTGGCGATGGCACAAGACAGCATTGTGAGAGAGTTGGGTTGAGCCACTGTGCTGTACTCGTACGGTACTTGACAGCGCTGCTACAGCTGCTATCGCATCCATTTGATGGTTGATGCCCTCCTCTGCAGGGTTTGATTCCAGGCCTTGCCCGCTACGAAGCTGTCACACAATCTGCGCCAGCTCTTCCCCCTACCCTTTTTTCTTTTCCCGTGCGTGCTCACAGGCAAATAAGTAGCCCTGCCACCCCCTTCTGCTGCTTCTTCTCTCCTGCTCCTACTTCTACTTTCTTCACACACCATTTCCATACCACATCCGAAAGGCCTTTTCTGGATCCTTCTTTTTTTTTTTAATACCCTTTGTTTGTTGTGATACCCCCGCGCTTTAAGATACCCTTTTTTCTATCCAGAATGGCTGAGGAACAGAAGCCCGTTGAGGTCGCCGCCCCGGTGGCCGTTGAGGAGACCGCTCCCGTTGTCGTTGAGGAGACACCCGCCGTTGTCGAGCCGGTCCCTGTTGTCGAGGACAAGCCTGCTGAGGAGGCGAAGCCCGCCGAGACCGAGGAGGCTGCTGAGGCTGCCAAGGAGGAGGATAAGAAGGAGGAGGAGGCGAAGCCTATTGAGGAGGGTTTCCTGGGCCACAAGGCTCAGGGCGCCAGCTTCCCCAAGTGAGTATAGCGAGAGCTTATATTGGCTTCGTGTGGCTGTGTCAATAGGAATCCAGGGGCGCTAACCAGTTTGACCTGCAGGAACCTCATCGCCAGCAAGGCTTTCTTCTTCTTCGGCTCCGATGCTGTCGAGGCTGAAGTTCTCGCCGCCTACAAGAAGGCTGAGAAGCACGTCGAGGTTGCCCAGCACAATATCGCTTGGGCTACCCACACCGGCAAGGGTCTTCTGTTCATTGGCGACAAGAAGGCCCCCCATGGCGTCATCAACCTGGTAGGCATCCATTTGCAAATACCCCCTATTGTTGAGATATATGTAGCTAACCCGAGACATCATAGGCTGATGCCACCGAGCCTGAGAACGACGGTTCCAACAAGTTCCACTTCTCTGCCAAGGGCAACAAGCACAGCTTCAAGGCCAACTCTGCCGCCGAGCGTGACAACTGGGTTGCCCAGCTGAAGGAGAAGATCGCTGAGGCCAAGGAGCTTGCCACCACCGTCACTGAGTCTGAGATCTACAAGCAGACCATTGAGAGCTTCAAGCCTGCTCCCAAGGAGGAGAAGGTCGAGGCCCCCAAGGAGGAGGCTGCTCCCGCTGAGGAGGCCGCTGCTCCCGCTGCTGAGCCTGCTGCCACTGAGGAGACCGCCGCCAAGGAGGAGACCAAGGATGAGCTGAAGGCCGAGGAGCCCAGCAAGCGTCGCTCCGCTAGCCGCAAGCGCGCTTCTTTCTTCGGCTTCGGCAAGAAGGAGGAGAAGAAGGAGGAGGCCAAGCCTGAGGAGGCCGCTACTGAGACCCCCGCTGTCGTCGAGCCTGTCCCCGAGACTGAGGCTCCCGCCACCGAGGAGGTTGTTCCCGCCGTTGAGCCTGCTGTTGAGGCCGAGACCAAGACCTCCGATGAGGCTGCTCAGCCCGAGTCCCCCAAGGAGAAGCCTGCTGTCAACAAGCGCACCAGCTTCTTCGGCAACGTCTTCTCCAAGAAGGAGAAGAAGGCCGCCGATGTCAAGCCTGAGGCCGAGTCTCCCAAGGAGGAGGAGGAGGTCCCCGCCACCACTGAGGCTGCCCCTGTCATCCCTCCCGTCGAGGCCACCACCCCTCTGGCCGTCGATGTCAGCAGCCCTGCCACCGTCCCTACTGAGACTACCGAGGCTGCCGTGACCAACGGCGATGCCAAGAAGGAGAAGGAGAAGCGCAAGTCTTCTCTGCCCTTCACTTTCGGCAAGCGTGACAAGTCCCCTGGCCCCGCTTCCGAGGGTGAGGAGAAGAAGGGCGCGTTCTCCAAGCTCCGTGCTACCATCAAGGGCAAGGGCGCCGCCAAGTCTGAGGACAAGCCTGCCGAGGAGACCAAGGAGGAGGATGCCATCAAGGAGGAGGAGGAGACTCCTGCCGCCGAGGAGGCTGCCAAGGAGGAGGTCAAGGAGGAGGAGGCCCCCAAGCCTGAGGAGCCCGAGGCCGAGAACAAGCCCGAGGGCGCCCCTGCCGCTGCCCCCGTCGTCACTGCGGCCGCTTAGAGAACTCGCCGACAGTGAGTGTTTTACGACTAAAGACACACTTTGCAAACTTTCCTTGATATAATTGTCACAAAAAACACGCATGAGAGGACTGGGAATGGAAGGATCTGCATTTCTTCACAAGATACCAAGATACCCTGTCGAGACTGCTTTCACTGATACCACTTTCCATTTTGTTTTTGCACGTCGATGGACGAAAATTCAACATCAAAAAACTTGAAAAAATTCATGTTGCTAGTATACAGCATTCGCGTTCTGCTTTGTTCGATACCCGGGAGGAGGAGATAATTAATACCTAATATACAGATGATGTGTGTCTAATCTTATTACTACTATCATTTCTACATTGTGAAGTTGCCTGCTCTTTGTTCTATTGTTGCCTAAGCTGTATTGTTTTGTGTCTGATGTTTACAACTTGGTCTTTGTAATTTGCCAATCAACTCCCATGCTTGTACCAAGTTGTGGGAACTTGAAACAATCTCTCTTCTTCCCTTGGATGTTTTTGCCACCATTTCTTCTCTTTGACAAACGAAGTGACGCCAAGCTCACTCATGCAGTTGCTGTTTGAGTCAGACAATGGGTATCTCCATCCCCATCTGAATTCCATAGGCCAGATTTATCACGGAGAATCACGGCATTCGGGATTGTCTCAAACTTTCTTTTCTTCTCTTCTTTCTATTGTCAAAATCACGCTAAACTCGTCCTTTGAAGTGGCAAATCTTGTCAATACTAAAAAATAGTCTATAGACAGACGTAAAGCCGGGCCCTTTGTTTCTTTGAATTATGGGTATCATGTTAGACGGCGAAATATAAAGCAAGAAGCGAGGATTTTCTCATCGCTCCACTATTTACGCTTAACATCTACCGGCGTAAGTGGGCTGCTGCTCCGTACAGTATCTACTTTCTCTATTCGAAAAAAAAAAAAGCCCGTGTCTACGCGTATGCATGGACAATGTAAATCCAATCCCCATCACAGCCTTGCGTTAAGAAAAAAAAAAAAAAAAAAAAAAAAAAAAAGTGTCAAGGGATTCTGAAACCCCCGAGAGATCCGGAATCTGGAACTGCAACTGCAACGTGGTGAAAATTCCCGTGTCTGTATTTCTTTCTAATATGCTATAATGGCCGCCATTATTAATATCCCCGCTTGACGCATCTCGGCCTTTTTGGTGTATATAAAGAAAAAAACAAAAATCCCATCGTGATATCGCTCCTCTCGGGACATAACTCTAGTTGTATTTATGTCCCGGCCCATCCTTATTCGCAATTGTATGCAAATGGAGACTTGTCTAAAAATAAACTTGGTATCTGAGGAAAGCCGCCTCGCAAATACTGACAAGTATCAACATGAAAAACAAATAAAAAAAGAAATAGAAAAGAAATCCCTGGCTGGCTATTTTCGCATCCGACTCCGCCCAGTATACTTGAAGAAACATGAAATAGAAAAGATAAAAATCCCAATAAGTCACGAAAGTTATGTACCGAAACGCCCTGGCTGGAAATGATACGCTGGGCACCCACATGTAGGTAAACCTAGAACATGCTGAAAAGATAGAGAGGGGAGAGAGAAAGGGAAAAGGAAGCGGTTGGAAATACCGTGGCGTGTCGTATCCGTGAGACATCAGACGGAGTGTGCCTTGCAGAGCGAGAGAGCAGAGACATGGTCGCATGACCGTTTCTGTTTCAAAAGGGAGATTGGATACTGTTGCCCTTTATGCATTATCCGACACAGAAAGGCTCTGGCACTTGCCCACGAGCTCCTCAATCTTGGGGAGCAACTCGGGAATGCGGAACGGCTTGGAGATAACATCATCCTGTGTAATTAGTCAGTCAGCAACATTGATCAATGGCGTGTCTATAAAGAAGTAGGTCCGAGACTCACAATTCCGGCAGCCTTTGCATTTTCAATCTGCTCAGGCCGTGCATACGCCGTGACTGCAATGATGGGGATGTGCTTGATAATTGTTCCCTCCTTTTCAAGTTCGCGTATCTTTCTCGCGCAAGTCATGCCGTCCATGACAGGCATCTCCAAATCCATCAGGATGACGGAAATATCGACGCCTTCCTTTTCTTGGCCCGCCCAGAATCTCGATTTTGCTAGCGTCTGCAGAGCCTCTTTGCCGTGGTTGGCTACGAACGTGTTGTTGCCGTAGTTGCGCAGCTGTCGCTGCAAGACTTTCTGGTTAACAATGTTGTCTTCGACAATGAGGACGTCGAAAAGGGGACTGCGGCCTGCATCTGACTGGCTTCGCGACGTGGGACAGCTCGCGGGTTGGCCGCTGTTGTTAGCCGGAGATTGAATCTTGCGTTCGAGCTTGAACGGCGTAATGTGTTCGTACTGAGACGGAGGGTTCAAGCATTTGCGGCTCTGAACATAGAAACTGAACTTGCTCCCAGCGTCTTTCTGGGAAGAGACTCCGATCTGCCCGCCTTGCATTTCAGTCAAGATCCTCGAGATGAACAGTCCTAGCCCAGAACCTCCGTACTGCACATGCGTCCGGGGAGACGCCTGCTGGAAGCGTTGGAACAAGACCTTCATTTCCTCATCGCCCAATCCGGCGCCCGTGTCCTCCACCGAACAGTGGATGTTGAAGCGCTCACCGGTGCCCCATTCCTCTTCGTTGTCGATATCCATGCCGACTGTCCGCTGTATGTCGTTCCGCTCAAAGTAAAAAGTCCCCTGACTCGTAATCTCGGAGATGTCCTTGGTCGCACACATGCTTACAGTAATAGCACGCTTCTCTCGGCCCTGGGTGAACTTGATGGCATTGGTCAGGAGGTTGATGAGTACTTGCCTCAGCCTTGACGGATCCAGCTTGGCCCAAGTAACTCCATAGGTCTCGAAGCTGTTGTCAACGCGGAACTCAAAGTCTATATCATGAGCAAGCAATTCCGACTCAAACATCTTCAAAGTACGGTGAACAACTTTAATCGGCTGTTCATCGACGGGAGTAACGGCAAGCAAATTGGAGTCGAGCTTCGATAGCGTCAAAATGTCGTCGACGATACGCTTCTGGTGGCTGGCGCACAAATTGATGGTATTGGCGGCATCGAGACAGGATTCTAAGAGGGCGTCCACCTCTGTTCTATCCGAATGGGCCGTGAACGAGGCTATGCTATTGGCGATTTGATCGACACACTGAAGGATAGCCGACAAAGGGTTCCTCATTTCATGGCTGGTAATATCGATGAAGTTTTCCTGCTGCCGCTTAAGCTCTACAGCCTCTTCACGCCTTTGGCTCTGTACCTCTTCGGCCCATTTCTGAGAAGAAATGTCTGTGATACAGCCAAAGATGGACGCCAAGTTGCCATCAGCATCCTTCTCCGGAAATGCGCTCATCAGAACCCAGGTGTCGACAGTGTGATCTCCACACAGTTGGCTGCAGTTGAATCGAAACTCCACCGAGATGGTCAATTTTTGCTCAAGAAGCTTTGTCCAAGCTGTCATCAACCCTGGCTTGTCTTCGATTCGTACACTATCCATCCAAGCAGTGCCTATTTGTTCAGACCGAGAGTGTCGAGAAATCTGCCACCACATATCGTTGCAATAGTTGATATGACCACTTGGGTCGGCGATGAACATTCCGACCGGCGCGAACTCGGCCATACGCGTGAATTTGGTTTCCAGCTCTTCTGCTTCTTGCGTACGCTGCCAAAGTTGCTCCGAGAGCTCCTGGCGGTCTAAAGCAGCTAGGTGAGCCGCTCGCTGGCCACGTCGAATCTCTTCCTCGAACAAGAGAACCGAGGCCATGGAAGTGGCCAACTGCCGTGACAAAAGGTGAATGAACAGTTTGTAGTCGTCGTCGTATGGCCGCCGGGGGTTTACGCCTAGCACAATAAATCCCGTCACAGCTTCGCCCGTGGTTGTGGGGACGACTGGAAAGACGACGATTGTCCTGCAAGGGTCACCGAAACCCCGCCACTCAAATCCTTCTATGAGATGCTTTGGCAAGGTACCGTCTTCTTCGGAAAGCACAACAGGGGTGCCGCCTCTTGCCAACGACTGCCGTACATATGGCGCGAACCCTTCTTCTGATGTACGTAGGTCCAAAGTTGGTGGGGCTGCAATATGGCCCTCCGGAACACCAGGAGATCCTTCGAGAATAAGCTGAGGGGAGTGCGGGAGGCTGCCAGACTGTAGCGATGACACTTCGCTTTCGGCATCATCCTTGACGGAATAGATCATGCTAAAAGGAAGATCGTACTCGTTGAACGCCAAGCCTAGCCTAACCTGCGGCCAAAACTCACTGATGGAAGCTGCCGACGCCGTCCGCTCTCCAATTTCGCGCAAAGTAAGCATTCGGCGTTCGTTGATCCTCCGCCTGGTGTTTTCGAAACTCGGGTTGAACAGGCCAACAACCTCGCCTTCTTCACCAAGAAGGGGAATGATGGACCACGAGAAGAAAGTCTCTTCTAAAAAGCCATGTCGGTTGATGAAGAGTTGGTCATCGTTCTTCATTGTGGCTTGGCCGGAATCCCAAGCCGCCTTTAATATGGGAGCGAACTCGTCGTTGAGCTCGAACCAGGCATCTGCGTACCGCTTGCCCATGAGGGATGGATGTTTACTGCCTGCCAGTGCCACATATGCGGCATTGTAGATGCTGACGTATTCACGGCCCCAGTACACGGCAGCCGGATTGGGGCTCCCCATGACTAAATTTGCCATGGCTCTCAGGCTGTAGCCCCATTCACTCATAGGGCCAAGAGGCGTGGAGGCCCAATCTACTGACTTTGCTAATTTGATGTGCTCGGGCAGGTTGTCGCTGTACGGAATCCTGGTCCAGTCAAAGGTTGATCTTACAGGCTGTGATTGCAGCACCTGGTTAGTAAAGTCATCTGGGTGGCGTCGGTTGATGTCATATATTGGCTCTATGGTGCCAGTTGCAGGAGTTATTTCGGTTGTGTCCATAGGTTCAATCGTGTCCTTCGCAGTCGCGGTGCCAAAGTAATCTTGTGGCTCGGGGATGTCAGCAGCAGGTGTAGCTGGAGTCGATAGACAGTCGCCACTGCCATCTTGCCCCGGTGCCTCCTCCTCCTCTTCCTCCTCCATCATCACATTTGGTGATGCCTGGCGAGTGGTTTGATAGGTAACATTCCCACTGATGAATCGAAATCGACGCCTCAAAGTTGTGCACAGCCACGTAACTCCCCGGTATTCGTACGTCGACGAGGGGGTATCAAGGGAATCAACAACACCATTAGTCAAAACCCAGGATTTGAAGTTATTGAAATCATCCATCGGGTCGGGGGTATCAGGGTCTTCCTGGTCGGGGCTCAGATGACCGTGGAGTGACTCAGACGCTCGGAGAGAGGCGTTGTAGTACACTATAGGCAGCCCAGGCCGTTGAGTGTTTACTGGGTTTGCTAGATCGACGAGGAAGGTGGGCCTGTCGTCGTGCTCGAGAAGCTCAAGAACACCAACACCCTGAAGCATCTGCAAGCTGGGAGGCAGGCTGCGCACGTCAGGGCTCAGGGACGGCGCAGACATGTCCATGGAGGATGGCGTGCTGCCAGAAAGAGCGGCATTGGTGGAGCTGACGCTTGCTCTGGGGAGCTTGAGAGTCGTGATGGGGTCTGCATCGTCATTGCGAGCGTGTGCTAGAATGGCCGAAGCCACATCTGAGACGGGAACGCTCTGGGGGCGGTTGAAGTGCCTCGCAGGGGCATGGGAGAAGAAGAGAGGGGAGACTGCGTCCTCGCGGTTTACTTGGAGTGCGGCGGCCTTGGTGGATAAAGGGAACATGGCATCGCTGAGCATTTCGAGTCTCCTAGGGGGAGAGGCCCCGGTTCGAGCCTTCTTGACTGGTGTCGACCCCATGGCCTGGTCGTCCTTGACCTTGCGCGACTGGCGCTTCCCACTATCAGCCGACGATAGACTTGCGGCCAAGGCTTCGTTGAGGCTGGGATAGCTCCTGTGCGACGGCAGGGCTGTGATTGGATGCGCAGGGGATGGTGAAGAGATGTGGTCTGGACTGTTACTGTCAGTATGCCATGGTGCCGCCGATAGGCCTGCCGAATGGTGTCTCGAGTGCTCTAGATGGCTGTGGGCAAGGTGAGAAGAGCTGCTGCGGAACGGCGAAGAAGAAGAAGCCGTCTCCAACACCGCAGCAAGAGGTCGAGGAGAGGCGGCAGCTTCGTCTGGAGAGGCCAAGGCGGGATTCGGCAACCCGGGGTCAAAGGCGCCGGGTGCCCGAGTCGAAGACGCTGCTGAGGACGGATGGTCGACGGGAGCAGCAGGAGGAAATGCAGTGGCAGGTCCAGAAACAGAGGAACGGGCAGAGGCGGAGGCAGAGGCGAAGCCAATGCTATCGGCGGAGATGTCGTCCTTTTCCTGCATAGAGGCGCCGGTGGGGGGGACGAAGATGCCAGAAGGCGAGGGAGGGTCGTCGGTTCGGCTTGATTCGAAAAGCTTGGAACAAGGCACTTCCGATGAAGACCAAGACCCAAGATGCGGCTTGCACTGACTGACAGCGGGGTTTATGGAGAGGGTGTTGCGCTACTAGGACGTCGAACCTTGCACGATAGCGTGGTCTCGTAAGGGACCTAGGCCTAGTAGGGGACGAGATCGAGATGGCGAGGGTGGATGATGGAGTGGGTAACGGAGCGTTGATCCTCTGCCTGCAACGTCTTTTCTCCAACGGCTTTGGCTCTGGAAGCATGCGAGCAGGGCCCAAGCACGGCAGACGATGGCGACGACAGGCCGGGCTGTGCTGTGATATGATGGGCGAGAGCTGAAGTACCGGTGGTATTTGGATCGGCGCGCCAGCACACGGGAGGCGAATCCGGACAGAGAGACATGCAGCTTTCCCGAGACTGGGTAGGGCTTATCAAGTCTGAGAGCAAGACCCTCGAGGATTAAGCAGGCAGTGGGAAAGGAGAATAATCGTAAGCAAGCTGTGAGCGGGCGGAAAGACAAAGGATTAGGGGAGATTTGCGCAGCGCAGAAACAGAGCACCAGACAGCTGAAAGCACTCGACAACTCTCGCAGAGGGGGTTGTTGTCCGGCCCCGAATCAACACACAAACATGTACACAACGGCCACAGGCGGCGAGTGCCGGTCTAGAGCTTCGGCGCCCAAGTTTGAGAGTCGTCTGAGGTCCAGAGTCTTAGGGTCTAGAGCCGGGGATGATTGACGGACCCGGCAATAAGGGTCGCCTGGTGGTGGGACTGCTGATCTGATCAGCACGGCGAGTTTGTCTGTGGAGATGGGCAGCTGTTGCTAGGTGAGGACGAGGCAGAGCGCTGATCAACCGCCAAATCCTCGATTCGAGCATGGCGGGATTTCGTATTATGTGGTATTATGCCGGCACCTCAACCGGACTGCTGGCAGCTGAAGGAGTGTTACCATGCCACCTGTGCTGTAATGCCAATGCTTGCACGGGTGAGATGGATTGAAAGCAGGGAGACGAACGGGTGGGGGAAGCAAAAGACCTCATCCGCCCAAGGTCTGGCCATCACGGGTCATCCTTGGCTTCAGACAGAACCCCCCAACTTTTCTTTTTCTTGTTCCTTTTTCTTTTTTCCTTTTTACTCTTCGGTGACTACTGTACCTACTATACGATACCCTTCAACCCTCAGGGCTATGAACGGGCTGTACATACGTTGCACCAGCCTACAACTCTTCACGTCAGGCGGACCGTCTTGCGCTGTACTTGTAGCTGTAGCATAGTGCATACACAAGACTATGCGCACCGTCGTGTGTTTCCAGCACCGAGATGGATCTCCTCGGGTAATTCCCACCTAGCAAGGCTTGGTCAAGGCTTGGTGTCTGGCCTGGCAGGGATTCGCGGAGGGGCCCCTCCGAAGCCCACAGCCTTTTCTCGACTGGAGCTGGACGAGATTCCAAAGTTGGGACGTATAACGAACGGCTTGTCTCAACTACATACGACGAGTACGAGGACATGCAGCGTTGAGAGATGACCGATGCTCTGCGCTCGCGATTCACAGCATCGAGATCGGACTGCGAGGGTTATACCGATACACACCCGCGTCATTCTGATCACGCCGGTGCGGAGTGCGTTCTGTGTCGTTGTACTCGTACATTTCATGGCCGGGTATGTACAGTTGTGCGTATAAAGCAGGATCCCTGCCGTTGATTTTCGATTTCTGAGCCAGAGGCAGAACTGAGACTCACGCTTGCACTCACTACCGCCATCGACCGGTCTAGATGCCTTTGCGCTGCCCGCTAAAACAGGGGCCGCAGGGTTGGTTATTTGCCGCTGAGGGACTAAAAATTTGGATTTTTAGGGCGCTAGCTGGAGGCAAATTGACGAAGAAGATGCCGATAGAGTTGGCAGCTTGACTTCGATATTGTTTAGTTGTCCAACCAAGAGGCTTCAGGCATGCCTCGGCATATGAGCAATCCACAGCTTTGGCCACCGGGCAGGCAGTGTAGAGGCAGTGTCAGAGTGCTTGATATTTTTTCTCCTCACCGGAGGCTTGAGAAAGCGGGAAAAGAGAAGAGGAAAAAAAGGCAGATCCACACCTCCCAACCGGAAGTAACCTATGAGTAAAACCCGTTAGATATCCATATGAAGTAAAGCATTTGCGTCACGCTGCATGTGATATGATATGTGAAAAGAACGGATGCGAATATCTTGGAATCGACCTCCCACGATAGCGACAAAAGAACAGCCGTTCCACGGTGAGTTCTGTTGACAAAACAGCTTAGTAAACAAGATTTGAATATGGCACATACTGTACACGCGTAAAAGAGTCTGGAAACACTACAGATCAGTAATTGAATGTTCTTCCATACAGCTGAGTACATGTACTCCGTACTCCGTGGTTCGTTCGAGCTTTTAGCGCCGCGGATATTGTCGCCGGCCCTTAATCTATTCTGCATGTGCCTCCCAGGCACCTTTGCGAATTAAGCCCCCTCCTACCCGTTACCCCCCATGTGAACCTCGCTGCAGGTCGCTCAAGACGCGGCCATTTCACGCAATGACATGGGCTGATCTTGTTACGCGGCTGGTAAGTCGTTTAATTGTGCACCTGGGATGATCATCCGGCTTCAGGCAGAGCATCGCCGCATGAAAGGTTATGCGGATGCCGGGTAGCGGGTTGGAAATTGGTCCTTGATTAAGCGCTAATACTTTGGAGATAGATAAACACATATATGAGAGTACTATTCAGTACCCCAATGACTGCGTGAGTTTGGGTGTTAGAATAAGATGTGAAGAAACGTTTGGTATCTGCTGCTATAGCTACTTTTTTCTGTTTAGGATTATCTGTTGCTATGGCTATATTCCTCTGGTACTTGGTGTTATCACTACCTAAGCACATAAGGTAGGTAGCTTTACATTCAAGACATGGGATGCTGGATAGCAAACTGGCGGTACTGAATAGTCGCTCCCTAAATATACGCTATATACATCTTGGTGTTGCTTCTAAGAAGTTGGCCGATAAGCCATTGTAGTCATTATTAGACAGTATGGTTAACAGAGCTCCGGTGACAGCAAATGTCCCTTGCTGATCGCTTGCTGACATACCGTACATGTACAAAGAGTTGATGATCTGGAAGACTTTATGGCTGGCTAAAGAAGCATCAACCAAGCTATCGATACAGCACAAGGATAGCTAGACCGCAGCACCCGTACGAGTATGTTCCTGGACTCAATATTTGTTTCATGGCGTTTATGCAGAGTCTCATCTTGCCGCCTCAAAAGGCCGGATCCCGTTCCGAGCGGAGAAACGAGTGGAGCCTCTGAATGCCTGTATGAGCGGGTTTAAGGCTGTCGCAGACACTGTCGTACAACGTGTACCGCATCTGTAAGGATTGATGAGGCTCGCTTCAACATGAAATGACTAAGGCCTGGTGGCGGCGACTCAGACAAGAGACGGTCGCGGCGGAAGAGGCGTCGCCGCCTCAAAGCCAAGGTGAGGGTCAGCTTACTCAGACTTTGGCGCACGACACACTTACACAGCAAGAATGAAGAGACGAAAACTCATTTACACGTGCAAATGAAGAGTAGAATTGGCGTCTCTTGTATGGAGTAGACAGGCGAATTCAAGAATCTCATTAAAAGTCTGGATACTCCATATGTACAGAGAATATATGTACTCGCAGCGTGTTAAGATTGGTGGCGCCCAGGCAAAACAGCTTCAAGCAGACACAAGTCCAATCCCATCCATGGCAAAAAGCTCGAGTCGGCGCACTAATGGCGCCACCTGTTGACCCCGTCGCCGAATAAGATTCCAGAGCAACAAGCTGTGCGAGCGTCACCTCAACACGCGAGATGGCGTCAACGTTGCTTGAGCGGAATGCCGGAGCCGGGCGCCTTCATGTTGGTTGTACCTGTACAGTGACAGTAACATGTATACGAGATGCCAGACATTCCGACCTGCAAGAAACGTGCTCGGCATCACCAGCAGCAAGGGAATGGGCGCATAAACCACGAGTCGACCCGGGTTTAAAACCACTTTCAGCACTTTCAGTGTCCAGGTTTTCCCTTTTCCTCTCGAGATTCCCACTCAGCTGTCCAAATCCCGCAACGAACGGCAGCCCTCGCAGCGCCGTGATTGGCCCGTCAATGTCCGGGCCGGCCAATCGAGCCATGCATCTCCGATCTTGGGCGCTTAAACGTCCTGTCGAGCCGCCGCTGCGATTGGCCCGAGACATTGCTGTCACCCGCGCTCGGCCCAATCACGAGGCGCGTAGCCCATCACAGGCTCAAGCGCCCGCACCTTGCAGAAGCTTTCCCCACCTCCCAGCGAGTGCCAATGAAGCCATCAGGCTATCAGTGGTCGCTGGAAGGGCCCCGTTCGCAGAGCCAAGAGGCGCCGGTTCCCTCTCACAGGCCCTTTAAACGGCCGCCGCCCCCCCAACGGGAGCGATGGGCAGCGTGAGTTCAATTCAAATAAAGCTGTGCTGTGATTTTTTGAACGGATATTACAAGGCTGGTCCGAGTTCTTGGAGTTTGAAGCGCTGGCGTTGTTTCTTCAAGATTGCGACGTCGACCAACGAAAGTCGGAACTTATACGTACGGGTGCATATGCATATGCGGACATGAGCCTGTAAGCTTCAACTGCTTCGCTGCCAAGCCAAAGCGCGCATCCGAGCTTCAATTCTCGACGCCCTGCATACGGATTCGATATCGCGAAAAACACCGAATCATTAGCAACCGCAGTCGACAAGCAACCACAGACTATTCTCGATAGAAGATAAAGAAAAGACAGTCGCCAAAATGGGCATCCTTGACACCAAACGGCCGTTCACTTACCACATCTTCCATCGAAAATGGCCTAGAGTCCCGAGACTGGCCATCCGCTGGTTGATGCTGCTGGAGTTCATCGGCCTCGTGCCCATCCTGACCATTTTTGGTCTCTCTCAGCCTGATCTGTATCGATCTGCCATGTGGAAGATTGGCTGGGACCACCGCCTCAACTCGAACCCCGATGTCATCCTCTTTGCCTATGCCAACCATGTGGCTCAACCAAAGATTCCTCTCATCTGGTCAAGAACGTGAGTGATAACTCACTCGTTGAAAAGGGAAAATCCTTTACTGACAGCTTCATATCAGACTCACTGACTTCAATGTCGCCATCTCCGTCATCTCTCTCTTTTTCCTCCTCACGAAACTCATCGCGGTCATCATGAGAATCTGGTACCCTCTCCTGTCCACTCTGGGCAGCTTGGCGCTGGTTGTTCTCTACGTCGTGAGCGTCTACGGACAGGTTGGCCCCGACTACAGTGATCCGAGATACCCGGCCCCGGCAGCATGGTACTTTAGATATGGCTGCGATATGGCCAAGCCGTATGGACAGTACACCAACTGCCAGATTGCGCAGGGTTCGCTCTTCATCACGTTGTACATGCTGTAAGTCTCATCCGATGTCTGCGCCACGGTTTCTCTGCATGTATGCTAATTCCATTCACAGGACCATATATGTGATTGTCCTTGGCTTCTCGCTCTACTGCATGTGGCCAAACCCCCTCAACAACCTCGAGACCGACGAGGATGAGGATGACGAGGCACCAAGCATCAAGGAGGGCAAGGGCCTGGAGATGTCCGGGTGGCCAACCAACATGAAAACCCCAATGGCATCGGGAGCCATGCCTTTTACGCCGAGAACACAAGCCTTCCACATCCTCGACCGAAAGCTTCCGCTAAGACAGGAGCACGAGGCGATGGTATACTCTTAGACAACCTCTGTCTACATTTCTTGTCTATTTATATACCCCCTGACAAATGAGGGGTTTGGGTTACTCGGCGGGAAAAATCGGCGCAAGGCGTTTCCATGCTTTTACGCATGTAATATGACGGTTAATGACACCAAGGCCCTGGAGGCTGACAGGCACAGGCACATGGAGGAGGGACGAGAAGCCACCTCCAAGAATTGCCACCGTCCATCTATATGTTTTCTTTTCTCTTCCTTTCTTTTGTCTTATATATATACCCACATTTGATGAACAATCCAGCCAAATATAGCAAATTCTCCTAGCAACCTTGATTCCAAGCCATGCGTCGCCGTATATCGCAGATAACGAAGATAACAATCAGAGAAGTTCCGATTCCAGGCGGAATCTTCCGTCCCGGCCCAGTTCCGGAGTCGCTCCCCCAGAACCGGCCCGGCCTCTGCACATCAAGTAATGGGATCCATAATGAACACCATCAATTGATTCCACCAAAAGAACCCACGCCTTCTTGGCTTCTAGCGCCTAGAAACGGAATTTGGACCCTGGCCAGTGCCGGCATTGTGCCCTGTGACCCCGCTGCTGCACTCCCGCGTTTTCGAGACGTCAGAGCTGCGCTGCATCGCCTTCGCCCTGTTTTCCCCCGCCTCCATCCGCACCTTTTGACCCGGCCCGGTCTTTGAAGGCTGTCTCCTCCGCATTCTGCATTTCCAATCACATCCCGAGGAACCTCCCCCCAATTGACGGCTGCCGGTTTCATTTCGCGAGTCGTTACTCTATATTAGGTTGACCCGTTCTCTTTTTTTCGTCGACTTCTCCCCTCTTTTTTGTTTGTTCCCATGGCGTTACTGCATAGACTCGCTTCTCCCTCGACATTTCGCTTCGCTCCCGGTGTATCGTCCATATTATACAGAAGAGCTTCAACCATGGCTCCCAAGGTGCGTGCGCAGTGGCGCAGTAGCTCAAGTGTCCAATTTCCAAAACTGGCTGAAGGCTAATCCGAATTGACAACGTGCAGCTCAGAGATCCGTCCCTGCTGAAGCAGGATGTCTGCTATGTCAATGGACAGTGGGTAGCTGCCAAGTCTGGCAAGACATTCAAGGTCAACGGTTAGTCACGCCTCATATATCCATATTCTCAAGAGTCTCTATGAAAGTAGCTAACCCCTCGAATGCCAGACCCTGCCACTGGCGAATTGATCGGAACTGCCCCCGAATTCTCCATCGAAGACACCGAGTCAGCCATCACTGCTGCCGCCGATGCTTTCAAGACCTTCCGCTCATTGACCGGCCGCGAGCGCTCCAAGATGCTGCGCAAGTGGTACGACCTCGCCGTGGAAAACGCAGAGGATATTGCCCAGCTTATTACTTGGGAGAACGGAAAGCCGCTTGCCGATGCCAGAGGCGAATCTACCTATGCTGCCAACTTCTTTGAGTGGTTCAGCGAGGAGGCGCCGCGCGTATATGGTGATGTCATTCCTGCCACCGTGCCTGGAAACCGAGTGTGGACTCTCAAGGAGCCCGTTGGTGTCTGCGGTCTGATCACACCGTATGTTGGACCGATTACTCATTGTATGATGTAGATGCTGACACAAGTGACCACAGTTGGAACTTCCCCGCCGCCATGATCACACGAAAGATTGGCCCTGCGCTGGCAGCCGGATGCACAGTCGTGTGCAAGGCTCCCGGAGAGACACCATTCACAGCCCTTGCGCTCGCCGAGCTGGCTCACCGCGCCGGTATCCCCAAGGGTGTTGTCAACATTGTGACGACATTGGACAACACCGTGGCCATTGGCGAACTGTTGACGACCCATCCCACCATCAAGAAGGTTTCTTTCACTGGCTCCACTGGTGTTGGCAAGCTCCTTATGAAGCAGTCATCCGCCACACTCAAGAAGCTGTCATTGGAGCTCGGCGGAAACTCCCCTTTCATCGTCTTCGACGACGCCGACCTCGATGCCGCTGTGGCCGGCGCCATCATGTCTAAATTCCGATCCTCAGGGCAGACTTGCGTGTGCGCCAACCGAATCTACGTCCAGGAGGGCATCTACGAGGCCTTTGTGACAAAGTTTGTCGAAAAGGTCAAGCAGTTCAAGGTCGGCAACGGCTTCGCCGAGGGCATCACCCACGGCCCCCTCATCCACGAGCGCGCCATCTCAAAGGTCGACGCCCACGTCCAGGACGCCGTCAAGAAGGGCGCCAAGCTCCTCGTCGGCGGCCAGAAGCTGCCCGACGTCGGCCCCAACTTCTTCCAGCTCACTGTCCTCCGCGACATGAAGGCCGACATGGCCATTGCCTCGGAGGAGACTTTTGGCCCCGTTGCCGGCCTCTTCCCCTTCAAGACCGAGGCCGAGGTCGTCCAGCTGGCGAACAACTCCGAGGTTGGCCTGGCCGGCTACTTCTTCTCTCGCGACTTGGAGCGGGTTCACCGAGTTGCCGAAGCTCTCGAGGTCGGCATGATTGGTGTCAACACGGGCATCATCTCCGACCCTGCGGCGCCATTCGGCGGTGTCAAGGAGAGCGGTTTCGGCCGAGAGGGATCAAAGTATGGTATTGCAGAGTACCAGATCACCAAGATGATTACCTACGGCGGTATGGGTAAGCCGCTGCAGAGCTAAGTAGTTAAAAGCGAGATAGAGTAGCCAATGGTTTTTAATGTCCCACGATTCAATGAAATAACGATAATTACATACACATGGAATGAATCATTACCAGAAGTGAAACTCTGCCTTGTTTTCCGTTGTAGAATATTGGCATCGTAGTCCCAACTGTGCTTCGTTTCAGTAAATAGTGGTTCCAGGAACACATGTCATATCAAGACAGCCAAAAAGGGCAAAAACTAGTCCTATGCAGTCAGAAAAAGGAATTAGACTTCTGGTGCAAATCCAGTCATCCGCAACTCTATTTACATACTGCACCTAGTAAGAAACAGCAGTAGGATGACATCGATTCAAATTCTTGCTCTGAAAGTGCCCTGAGAGAGTAAGCTTTATAGTATCTTCTTTTCTGCAAATCCCCAACAATTAGTAACCAGACTATGTGGCGCAGTGGTTAGCGCAGTCGCCTTACAAAGTAATACCGCGAAAGGTCGCAGGTTCGACCCCTGCCATGGTCATTTCTCAATACTGAGATTTCTCTTTTTGCCCTTGTTCAGGTCCCTTTCATCATCTATTATTCTCTTTTTGACGCTGATGGTTTGTGGGATGTTTACTGCTCCCTTGCAGATGTCATGTTGATGTTACCTTTTTGGTCTGAAGATCTAATAGCGGGGTAAGAGGTATTCGAGGTTATGGAAACCACTACAAATGGCTTTGTTGATGAAATGATCAGGGTAAATAGATTAGGACAAGATATTAGCACTCTATCCAATTCTCGAATCTTGTTTCTCAAGTATATCGCTTTCATTTTGCAGGCAGTAAGCTCGATAGGTAGGTAATCTGTCTTGCAAGGTGGGACGGTCATATCAACAACATGCCATCCACCGTAATAATGAACAGGTACCTCAGATTAACTTCTCTCGTATATTTTCTAGTACCTATTTCAGAGTAGGGAATCAAGAAACATAATTAAGATGTCTCCTATATGTAATTTCAATTACTCCCTCTACTCATCAGCTCCTCAGGCCGACTTCTTGTGACCGTCAACACTCTTATCTTATCAGGAAACAGCAGGTGGGGTGACGTACTTGGTACCTCGTGCAAGCTTCTGCAAGCTCTTACACGAAACACGAACCATCCATCACCATCATCACCAACAGATCCATTGCTATGGCACTCTCTCGTACTAGCACCCTTGCCAGCCATGGATTGCGCCTGCTGGCGCAGAGAGAAGCGTAAGAGCATTCTATCAAACCAATTGCCATTCCCACGGATAGAACAGCTCAAAGCTAACCTTGGCATTCAACTTCATGCAGGCGCCAACTCTCCAGCATCCCCTCTCTCCTCCCATTGACGAGCGTTACACACACAACCAGGGCCTCTCACGCCCCCTCATCCGTCCGTCCATTCAACAACTCCGCGCCTCTCCTCAAAAAGCGCAAAATCGCCGGCGCAAGCAACAGCCCCTCCTCGCGAGACGCAGACTCAGCCGCTCCCTCACCTTCATCATCATCATCATCATCCCCCAGCTCCTCCAAGGCCGACCACGGACATCCCAACCCCGAAGACCCCCTCGACTTCTCCTCCCTCACCGCCGCGTACGTCTCCATCGACGCCCACTTCAAGACCCAGCTCCAGGCCGTCCTACACGGCGGCCGCTTCAACCCCGACGCCCTCGGCGCCCTCCCCGTCGCCATCAAGGACGACGATGGCTCCAAAGTTACTTTTCCCCTGCGCGAGCTCGCCCAGATCGTGCCTCGCTCCGGACGCATCATTTCACTCCTCGTCAACGAGCGCGACTACCTCAAGCCCATCATGTCTGCCGTCCAGGCCAGCAAGGACTTCAACCAGCAGCCCCAGCGCTCCGACGACAACGAGCTCGAGCTCCTCCTCAAGGTCGAGATGGAGCGCAAAGAGGACCTCGTGCGTCGTGTAAAGGACGCTTGTCAGGGCTGGAGGGATCGTGTGCGTCAGGCTCGCACAAAGCATGAGAAGGCGCTCAAGGACTGGAAGAAGAACGGTACTGTGTTGCCCGACGTGGTGCGCAAGGCGGATAAGGAGCTGCAGAAGTTGCAGGACAAGAAGATGAAGGAGATTGATGGCGAAGAGGCGCAGGTGATTAAGCAGATTGATCGCAGGTAGATTCCCGGTGCGTGCGCATAAGAAGCCGCCCATACCCATTGTATAGTACAGATTTATATATCACACAAGGAATTTCAGCGACTAAGAACATGTATGTTTCCCATTCATGAAAATTTTTACATCAAACAGCAGCCATCTTTCTAGCGTCCTTTTAATCGTACAAAATACATTGTTTCTTCTTGTCTTCTTCTTCAATTTCTCCCACCTCAAGCCTTCGCCTGAGCCTTCACATTCTTGCCTCCCTTACCACCCGCCCCCACGCCCAACAACGTCGTCAGCTTCTTCTCAAACTTCTCCACGTCTCTCTGGGTGTACGTCCCAGACCTCAAGTGCCACGCCCTCGAAATACCCACAGGGTCAGTCGCAAACCGCGGCGTCTCGTGCTTCCCCGCCACAGCCTGGTCAAGGATAGCCTTCTTAACAGCCTCCTCGGCGTCCTTGATAATGGGCTGCTGCTCAGCAGGTACCTCCTTGCCCTCAGCCAGCAGCTTCTCCCTTCGCTGCTCCTGGAGATACTCCTCCGCCGCCTCCCGAGCCTTAACATTAGCGAAGAAGCGCGCGCCGTTGCCCTGCACCTCTTCGGCGTAGTTCTTGGCCTGCAGGCCCTGCGGCACGCCCACGGGATCCGCCCTGCCGCCGAGGATGCTGAGGTTCTCCATGACGGTGGCCAGGCGGCCCTCGGGCGTGGCGGGCGTGGCCGGCACAAACGTCGTCAGGGCCTCCTTGGTCAGAGAGGGCTTGAACTCGGTGCGCGTGCCGAACCGCACGGCGTCGTCAAACTGCTGCTCCTGGGGGTCCATTCTCTCAAAGGGATCCTGCCTCTTGCCACGAGGGCCAGCGGCACCGGCTGCTTTGTTGCCGCCCTCGCCTTCGGCCTTCTTCGCCGCCCTGCCCTTGCCCGCGCCGGGTCTGCCTCCTGGCCGTCCGGCTGTTCGTCCTCCTCGTCCTGCTCCAAGCGCAGAGCCTCCCCTCCCTCTGTTAGCGGCCGAGAATCGGTTCCCGGTCGGAGACGCAGTTCGAGGAGCGCCAGCAGCATTTGGCCCGCCTGTGCCCGTGCCCGCACCTGTACCTCGTCCTCGCAGTCCGCCCGGCCTTCGAAGCATGCCTCCCTTAGGAAGACTCCGCACATCGATCACTCTTGGCTGCGCCGGCGTCGCTGAAGAGTCTGTCGGATTCCGTGCTCCCTGGCCAGGTGTCCGATTCTTCACCAAGGAATTGATCTCGCTAGCCGCCGCGCGGGTGCGTTGTCGCGCTGTAGGTTTGGCATTGGGATCGGCAGGTGCCTCGTCGAGCTGCGATTGCGTCGTGGAGAATTGGCGGAAGTAGCCTCTTAGGGCATTTCCGGCTTGTGCCAGTTCTGGCCTCGCTCGATATATCGAGCGGAGAGATTGAGAGCTCATTGTTGCGGCTGGTGGCTCTTGGGGATCTTCTTGTGGTGAAGTGGGATGGTTTGGGATGCAAAAACCAAAGTCTGTCGTTGGATGACTAAGCCGAACGAGATGGATTCGATACAGCAAAAGTGCAAGTACAGAATTGTGTGTCCAATGATGGAGGAGACAATTCCTATTTCTAACTGCAAATTTCTATTTAATTTTTGAGTTGATTTAGACAAGAAAACTATGCAGAAAGAAACTGACTGGAAAAAAGATTCCCTAAATCCTCCACTTCGCTTGCAGTCCCTTCCAGCCTCTTCCTCTGTCTTAGCTCCCGTTTCTCTTTTCGCTCATCATCTTCGCTCTCCATTGATCTGTTTGCCCGGGAATAACCTTGAACAGATAATATGTCGCCTGTCGGCAGTACCAGTCCATGTATACCAGCGACGAATTGATCCATTTGGTCTTGACTTCTGAATGTGAGATAAGCTATCTCCTCAGACATTATCCCAGCAGATTGGGGTGAATAATCGAAGAATTGGCGGGCCAGATTCATCCCCGAATTGATCGTAGATGGAAGTGCTCCTTGAGCACAAATCGACACAGTGAATCGATCCCGCACATCCGGAACCCGGTACCCTTTCCTGCCAGCAATCCGGCTGCATTCCTGTCGAAATCGCAGTTTCTCATGATTCTCCGAATCTAGGAGAGCGCTGGCCAACACGCAAGTAGCCACAGCATCATCTCCGGCATTATCAGCAATACCACCGCCAAGATCCCCTCTTCCAGGCTGAATGTCCTTCTAATAATATCCAAAAATCTTCAACAAAGATACCAACCCAGGAATCACCCCAACTGACGAACTTATATCTTTACCGATATCCCGAAGATCTACCCACGCCGAGAAGAAAGGTACGGCACGAGAGAAGTTTCTGGATAAATACGTCCACTCGGCTGCCATCTCAAAGCCCATCAAAACCAAACTTCCCTTGCCCTCGCAGCTCTGTATGAATTCGATAACGGTCTCTTCTAAATTTTCAAGATCCACTTGCTGCTCTCTGCCAAAGCGGTGCCGACGGCGAGTCGGCACGCCGCCTTCCCCCTTAAGACGAATAATTCTCTCTCGCTTTTCTTGACTGATATTGATGTTGAGAGCTAGAGCCCGGATTTTGTTCTCATTGTAGAAATCTTCAAAGCATGGCCGGCCAGTACTGCGTGATGTATCGTTCGTTTGAGATAAATATCGTGTTAGGCTCTGAATATGTGCCAGGCCAACCTGATGGAGGATCCGATCCTTTCCGCTTGTGATGGGAAAATGCTCGGTGTCGATTGCGATAAAGGTCGAATCCTTGAAAATGTTATATATATCTTGCAGTGTTGTGATTCTCTTGCTGAAGAGTTCCCTGAAAGCTGGCTCGCGCTGGAGTTGCTTGTAGGTGGCCATGCCGTTCAAGTTTCCGAACTCGCGAAAGACACCAGTTTGCTTCAATGTCTGTCAATCCCTCCAAAGCAGTAACAAAATCTAGATGAAGAATAGAACCGCCAAGACTCTTGAGATAAGCAAAGGTTGAATGTTCTCGTAGAAGTTTATAAGGGTGGGGGAAGTTAAATACATAGGTACTCTGGCCTGGTTACCTAAAAACTTAAAAAGGGGATATGCATCACTCCAATGTTCAACAATATTTTCTCAATTTAATGTATTGATCAGGAAATTCCCATTATAAATCTTCTACTCCAAGCCAGCCCAGACAAAAAGACAAAAAGGCACATCATCTAACGCCGCATTGGATGCCACAGACTTCCAGCGCGAGCCCATTTTGTATGAAGCTCCAAACCAATGCTTCCCAATGTCCTGATTGTCGACCTCTCTCGCTACAAGACCCAACACATCTACCCATTGATCCTCCCATGCCTGAGGCGCCAACTTGTATTGAAAAAAAAAAAAGAACAAAAAGCGAAGAAAAAAAGTGGTGATTTCTGCCGTGCCCAAGGAAAAATGAGGCCCATAGAAAAGGGCGCAGTGCCAAGAGACCATTCCAGGTCTTGGCTCAGACAATTACGTCTTACTGCTCAGGTGAAGCCAGTCAAACTGCTCGGCACGGTTGTTACCCCGTGGCTGCGGCAGCCACATGCTGTGTTGTCTTGCCATCTTGATCACATGGACTCGTAGCTCCTCTTAAGATATGTATAAGATGGATGGCGCTGTCTACTGACAATCTCAAGCCTTCTCTTTTCCATTTTTTCGGAACATTAAGGAACGGAAATGCGAAGAGAAGGAGGCCCAGAGTGGACAAGGCAAAAAGAGAATATATACCCAACGGGTGCAGTTTCTCAAAGCTCTCGTCATCAGACACTCTGTGGTTGAACCATCGCAGGCTGTTTATCGTTAGTCTCCAAGTCATTACAAAATCGGACAGTTCACTTACCGGACTGTTGAGCATCTGCTGGCGCTTGTTACGGCCTTTCTTAATATGGCTCTTCAGAGCGCTAGAGTCGAGAGGTTTGAGGAGCTCAAAACTGCACAGGAGCTCGGAGGATACAGACATGACTGCTCCCCAATTATCGAATTCGCCACAATACTACGGGAGGTTAGTCAAAGTTTGAAAAGCGTGGGAGATTCCGCGACACAGGTATGGGGCAACTTACATTTGGCGCACTGAAAACAGTGACTAGGACTCGATCGTTGAAGAATTCATAGCCATCTTCGACCACCATGTGGGCGCGGCAGACCAGATCAAAGTCGTGGGTGGCAAGGAAATCGGTAATTACTCGTTTTCCAAAGCAATAGCTTACTCCTCGTTCATTGGCCTCCCAGTCTTGCTCCATATCAGCCGGATCTGCCCAAAGCAGGTCATTGAGCAACCCATAGTCAGGGACATCGGTAGGCCGGGCAATGTTGCGGATGTCATCCATGTGGCTCAGGGCAGGCGACAGGCCTCCATGGACACAGAAGATCTTGCCGGCCACAATGGCAGCAATGGGAAGTGTGTTGAAGCAATCAATAAATGTCTTCCAGATTTTGATGTTGCATCTTCGCTTACACTCGTCATAAAAGCCATAGACTCGGGTAACGTTGGCGCATTCGTGGTTTCCGCGCAGCAAGAAAAAGTTCTCGGGGAACTTGAGCTTATAGCAGAGCAGTAGCAGGATCGTCTCGAGGGACTGCTTGCCTCTGTCGACGTAATCTCCGAGGAAGAGGTAATTCGACGTCGGAGGGAAGCCGCACATTTCAAACATGCGAATGAGATCGGTGTACTGGCCGTGAACATCACCAACGATCTTTACAGGAGCATCAAGCTCCAGGAGAGCAGGCTGAGAGAGGAACACCTCTCGGACCCGTGCACATATGGCCATGATTTCCGCATTCTTGAGGCACACGCTCTTGGTGACCTTGCCAGCGTATCCAGCATCGAGGAGCCGCTTAATGTAGTCATCGAGGTCCATCTCCTTTATCTCGTCCATGCCCATGGCATCATTCTTTGGCTTCTTTGGCTTGGTCTTCTTGACTGGGGCATCGTCGCGCTTCACCAGGATGGACTGGCCCGGGGGAAGGAGATGCGTGTTGAGGCTGGCATTGGCCGACGGAGGCTGGTCAGAAACGTGGTCAACCTCGCCCGAGGCTTGTGCTGCGCTCACGTCGTGAGTGCCGCTTTTAACTGATTCGGAGACGGGTGATGGCGGAGGTAGTTGGTCGTCATGAGAAGGCGGCTCGGATAGATCGGTCGAGTTGCCCCTCAACGGGATTGTATCGGTACTGCGGCCGGAGCGCGAGATGCTGGAGCGACCGCTCTTCCCAGACTTTACTGAGGCGGCATCGCCCGAGTCGCCGACAATCGAATTTCTCGGGCTGTCGACCCTACCACTACCCGGGATTTTGGACCGCAACCCGCGAAAAGAACGAGTCGAGTCCTTGGTGTCCGACTTGCTGAATGAAGGGTACGACGAGAGAGCTTCACCCGAGGGAGAGCCGTTTTTGGACGAGGCACCGCCCTCCTTGGAAGATTGGTTACCCATTGTGAATCAGGTGTGTGAAGATAGAGAGCTCGCAGGGCGAGAGCTATGCTTTTCAAAGACAGCAAAGAGAGAATGGGGAAAAAAAGTGGCGAAAGTTGGGGATGCTAAGGTCTAGGTTGCCTCTCTGGCGGACCCTTTTATCAGGTCGCGGCGGGAGACTCGTTCAGGTATCGTTGAATTGTTTAGGTATCGTTCAGCAGCTCGTGCGATTCCGTGGCAAAAGTCGTTGGGTGTTCAAAAAGTATGGATGAGTAACAGCAATCCCAGCCAATCTTAGGGAGGATGGAATCGTCGACCGAGGTCGGTAAAGAAAGAGGACCGCTGACTCCTTGGAGCGTCCGTTTTGGTTGTCTTAGGCGAGAGCCTAGGAAGACAAGCCAGCTTGGAGGAGCTTTAACGGAGCTCTGCGGATGACGTCGTGGTAAGAGCTCGTGACTCTGGGTCGAGACTGGCAGCTCTGGAAACAGCGCTCCGGCTTTGGAACCGCCAAAAATTAAGCCGGGGATGCCACGGTCGAAATGGTCTCGGCCGTGAGCAAAAAAAAATTCTAGACGGCGAAATCAGCGCGGCCGATCCGGAGCGAGTGTGTCTACTGCATCCGCGGGACTGCAGCAGGGCGCAGGAGCGGGGTGGGATATAGTATGGATGGGTACAGGTATTGGATAACGCGGACAAGGCAATGGGAAGCAGAACGGCTATGGCGGATGGCAGCGCCGCAGCGAGTGACGCGGTCTCGAAGGCAGGATGCGATGGTGAGACGACGATAGGAACGATGCAACGGGTTTCTGCCAGAGACAGCCCGAAACTTGATGCGATGGAATTGGAACAAGAGGTACCTTGCAGATCCAGGGCCAGCTCACGGCAGGGCCTTAGGTCCAAGACATGGATCGGACGTGCAAAATGGGGTTGGAGGGGCAAGGTCTCGGGACGGCCTGGGCGTCTTAAGACGTTGGTGTTGGTTGTTGTTTTTTCCCGGGTAAGGTTGGGGGAGCAGTATCGCGGGAGATGAAGATGGAGATGGAGGAATGGGAGGAGACAAGAAAACAGATTGGATGCAACATACATCAGCAACAACAAGGTGCGTGCGGACGGCGTGCCAGGACGGGCCCGGGTGGTGGCGATGCTCACTCGGAGCTCCTATCTCGGCAAGCTTATGGCGGCGTTAGCACGTATTTACACTCGCCGCCTCGCCTGGGCTAGCTGGGAGAGTCAGAGCCGGGTTTATGGAGCTGTGAAGCTGGCAATAGACAAGAAAGGCCGATGCTTTGTAGATACGGAGCAAAGAGCTGGTAACGCCGGCAGGCAGCAGTTTATGTAAACTTTGTCTCGCCTCGTCTTTACGCCTTGGTCGTGGAAGAAGAAAAAAACACGATGCAAGAGGAGGGCCGGTTATCCAGGCGTCTACCGTGCGGATCGGGCGTTGGGCAAGGCTGGTGGGGCGCGGTCCGCAGATGGCTGGTGGAGGTTGGCTATTCGATCCAAGTTTTATTCATGTGCCGAGTCGTAAGAGAATATCCAGAATGCTGATGGCGATAGTATATATAATACATACACACTCGTAAGGATGGCGATGGGCAAAAGGAGCAGGGAGGAATGGGAAGACGGAGGCGAGAAAACCTCCAACAGAAGCTCCAGCTGTGAATAGCCGCGAAGCTGGATGCGGACGAGGCCAGCCCGGGACCTTGTGACACAGCCGCCCGGGGCAGAAAATCATTGACCCACGATTAAGGTTTCACACCCATCCACAACCCCCTCTTGGCTCTCTTGGGGCTCTTGGGGGTCGAAAAGGCGACAGACTCGAGAAGCTGTCGGTTCCGGAAGGGAGGCACTGGATGCGGCGAGGCGGAGCGTTTGCCCGTCAGGCGCGGACACTGAAACTTGGAGGTGTACTCGTACGGAGAGTGCTTAGTCAGGATTGATGGATTTAATAGGCACCACGTGCTTACTTGTCTAGGCCAAGTCTGGTATCAATCTGAAGCTGAACACAAGCTTACAAGAGTATGTCATAGTAGAAATAAACAACGACGACAGCACACAAAAACAAAGAACTTTTACTTGACCCGCAAGAAAACAGCAAACAAGCCAGCAAAAACACATGCGATGCCTCCAACGCCGCGCAACGCTTCTTGCAACCCCCGGTCACTATTGGGCATCTTGGGCGCTGACAGCCAGCCAGGGGACCCCCTACAGCGCGCTGTAGCGTTCGCCCTAGTGGCCCTAAACGGCTCCGGGGCCGCCTAATCCCAGTCCGGCCTTGCACTTTCGCAGACCGAGTCCAGCCCCCACGAGCCCGGGGAGCCACTGAAAGGCCAGCAGCTCGTGCGTCCAGCTGGCCCCCTGCAGTTGAGCGCAAGTCGACCGACTCGAAAGGGCACGTGCCGGCGCCGCAACGGCTTTCTGGATTCAATATTTCGAATTGATCCATTGATCGCAAATGCCATCAACGATTGCAACAGATTGACTGCGGCTCGACACATCATCATCTGCCGTTTCTTGGAGCCCGAAATCTATTGTGATTTCCGTGTGCAACGAGTGATATAGTGCCAGCTAGGCAGCTTCGTCCCCATCCTCGTGCCTAAAATGTGCGGCTCCAAGTGACATGATACTCCCTCAACCACGCACAATATGAGGCTCCTTGTTTGGTCTCAAAACAAAAACCCCTTCCGTTACAGAACACAACCTTACCGTACCTTGTCTTCCCAATCACACAGAGGTACGGAGTAATACCAGTAGAAAGAAGTAGGGACATGTCATGGCCTTTTTTGTTTCCTTGTTTTTCTTTTTTTCCTTCGTCTCATGCGCGGTCGCTCTTCCATGGCCTCCCATTGGCTGCCTATGTTCCCGGTTGCCCAACAGCTGAGCCTCTGTGGACGGTTGCATCCTTCGGAGGACGCTCGGATCGAGACAAAACTTCCGTATTTCCCCGTGTGGCATCGCATATTTATTTCTTGTGAGATGATGCCAGCGTGAGGAAACAGACCCCAAGGAGACAACAAGCAGCTTCCGGCACGAGTCAGATCCGCATGTTCAAGAAGTGTATTGGTCAGCCGGTGCAAAGTTACATACATATATCGGTTATGCTCTCGGCCGATCCACCACTTGACTCTACAAAATTGATCAGTATTGATGAGCAGCCAGTTAGATAGTCTGCTAGCCAACAATATATCATAGTAGTCTTCCAGTAATCTAGAATGCGGCGAGTGAGACGAGCATTGTGTCGGGGCAAAAGAACCATGCATGATTCGTCCTTACCGCCTTTTTGATGATTACCAAGTCATTGATACTAGTACTACTTCATGAATACACGCGGTTACTGACAATTCCGAATTTCTGGAGGCTATCTTTCATCTGTAGGCAAAAACTCATTTGAAAGACAACATACTTCGGACAGCTCGGGCGTCAAAACAGCCAACCGATACAATGCTTGCTCGATGGAACGAACCAAAGGTTAGTCCAAGAGATATACAGGTAGAGGTATGAAGTGAACCAAAGGATGGACGACAGCTGTTGTGTCGTAGATCAGCCTAATTGATGCATTTTCTGGGGAAATACTGGCCCGCACCCCAAGTCTGTTGACCAGCATCCCGTGTCTCAATTATGAAGCCACATATTATGCAGTGACTGATAATGTAGAAACTAGAGGAATATAGCCACAGCAGCAGACAATAGAATAAAGTATCGACAGTAGCTAAAGGGAGTGACAGTAATAGATATATGTACTCAAAGAGCCGGGCATCTACTACTCTCTTGTAGATAAGTAAGTATACAAAGATTCCCTTCGCATCCTATTCCGACACTGGATCTTTACGAAGCTATTAGATAGGTAGTATTTCCCATGCTCTAACTACAAATCCAGCTCGTCATCCTTTTAAACTAAAATAACCAAGTGCACACTCAAAACCGAATGTCATGATACAAGACCCAGCAAGACGCCGACAGGCAGACTTGTATATTCCCAACGACTAATACATGTTGGAATGTTCAAGCAAACGGTAGATCGTCGTATGTGCTTTCTCCAGTAATAATTCGAATCAAGATGTCTCTAACCCTCTCTTCATCGCTTCTAAAATGCCATCTGTTAATTTCCCGGGCAGCATCCTCCTTCTCCAAAATGCCCCGGCCTGAGAGCGGTTGCTCATCTGGTGGAAGATCCATATATTCTCCATCATCACTCTTGTCGGCGGCCGCCTGAAGTCAAGCCAGAAATGATTTCAAGAACATTTGTTCGCAGTCGAGTTGGCCCATTTTCGCGGTTAGCAATGCGACACAGGGCAGCAACTGCAACCGACAGAGGCACCGTCTGGATAGAACTTGGTAGTGGTGGGTAGTACTCCTTGGAGTCGGCGTCAGCAGAGCGTGGCACGATCTCCCCACGCGTAATCCCCGTCCAGAACATGGGCAAAAAGACGAGCCTGCGTCGCGGTTGACCTTCTGTGGAGGGAGATTCATCGATAAGGAAGCGGACTGCACAACGGAGCATCTCGCACGGGTATATTGAAGGTAGGGTGTCCTCATCTGCGGGGGATAGTCCTGTATCCATGGCGAGGTTGAGGACTTGTTGGAACTGACGGTCCGGAACCAGAAGAAACAGGCTCTATCGACATGTTAGTCGGATGTGTATTGGCATTTGGCAAGCCAGGAGTATTGACGTACTCCGTTCCATGCAAGAGCTCGGTTACCTAACCGGATCCAAAGGCTAGTCTCCCACTCGACAAGAAGAATCCGAGACGCCTTGAGGCGTTCGAAGAGCCTGATCACTCGATCTTTGAGGCTACTCATGGTTTTATCGGGAGAGAGAAAAAGGATTGAATGTGAGGACCTGTGCTCTTATCTCACGAAATTCCAACCAGGGGCTTATATATACAAGTATCAATGAAGCCAAACTTTATCTGGTGGTACAACTCATTCACTGTTTAACTTCGGGCTCAACAGAAGGTTTTACTCAGGTACTTGATAAGGGTAGGTATGTTACCTGGTATGGTGTTTACCCCATCATGTTGTCTGCCTTTTCCCTATGTAACGTTTGTTACGTTTAAATGCGATCAATCCCTTAACGAGAGATACTCCTAACAGTTGAAGACTCTTATAAGAGGTTAAGATAGAGAGCACTACATGCACCTATTCAACACTCTGAGTTGGCTACATGTATTTAGAAACCTAGTGACTGCGTGAAATTTGAGCATTAGAACCGGCAAGTCGTTTACTTACTATAGTAGGTACTACGGGCAAGCATTTGCTCAAATCACACTAGGTAGATACCCAGTTCTCTAAGTATCTGCTATTATAGTTATAGAATTTTAAGGATTTGAGTTTGGTCTTGAACCTTGATGCAACGGTCATACTTTGTGGCCTGAGTCTTCGAGGTTTGACTTGGTCGGCTGTGGCGGGTTGAGCTACGGATTGATTCTGGATTTTGAACCAAAGGCTGGGGCGTAGCCTTGCTCTGACCTGGCTATTACAGCTTTACTGACCCTCTTGATAATAAATACAACCTCCATATAATTTCAATATTCACTACCTCTATCACTGTATTTGTCTAGTACTCAGTATTTTTTGCGACACGGGATGCAGAATAGCAAAATTAGGGTGAATAGGCGTTCCCTTGAGATATTAGGGTAGGGACCTAAATATGTCCGCGTAAAGAAGGGTAAGACAAGTAGCGAATAAGATGAGTAATCATCCATGATGTAAATGCAGGGGAGTCGCAGGAGAGAGAGCTTAAAAAGATGGACGATAATGGAAGTAACCAGTGAGAATGAGGAGGATTTGGAAATCGGCAAGTGGAGAGTATCATCTCTGCTGGAAACAACGTTGTGAAGCAAAAAAAAGCACATGGATGCTTACTAAGGCAGCTTATTAGGAGGAGACCTCGATCTTACTGGACTCACAAATTTGGAAAAGCGAGGAATCGTGCGCATGAGCTTGACCCTCGCACACACTCGCATTCTTAGTCGAAGCTGAGTCCCTGCTTATCAAATTCCGCCTTGGACACTTGGACTATTGAGTACGGGTACATGTAAGCAACCCGAGCAGCTTTGTCCCAATCAGTCCGGCTGAAGCGTTCCGCGTTTCCATTTGACAAGATTGAGAGGCGATGGGACATTCTACATGTGCTCCGTGCCCGTAGCCGGCATCACAAATCCAATATCCAACCTTTACTCAAGATCTATTAAATAGTTGCGATAGTGGTCGCGGTGTAGCTTCCTCGCATTGACGCTTTAACAATAACATGCATTGTACTGTACGGAGTACCGCAGCCGCTGGGCTAGTACCGAGTGACACTCCAAGTCCCAGCTAACAATCGGGATGTCTATAATTAGAAGCCCTCATGGAATGGTTCGCCTCACAGCCCAGTGTCGGGCAGCACAGCTCCGACTTAGCGCATCAAACTATCCAGAGCTAGCCTTGGGTTGGGCTGTGTCATGATTGCCAAGCGACGGGATTCCACTACCCTGTACGTAAGTACGTACGAAAGAAACATACAAACAAGGTCAAGGCAAAAATGAATGAGCATTCGGGGATATTTACGGAGAAGATGCCTCGACGTTTGGGCACGTTTGCCAGGAAGGCTTTTTTTACCCCCTGGGCCTGCAGAATTAGACGCAGCTCGACAAAGAGCCGCGCTGGGGGGGTTGGAGGCTACTGTCGGATGCCATTTTCCGTGCACAGTCAGAACTAGGCAAAATGCTTGTCCGTGCGATCAGCGCCAGGAACCACACACACTCAGCTGCCGTCGTCAGCAGCTCCAGAAAAAAAAAAAAGCAGCACAGGAAAAACCAAACCAAGGAAACACGAGTCGTACGCGTATCACTGTGGTTATTCAGTTTGTCTATACGGACTACATCCCAGGCACAGTTTGAAGAGTTGGTCACTGAAGATCCAAAGCCACTTTGCTGATGATCTACTCGGGAATTGATGGACATTGATCAATTCCATGTTTCCCAAAGAGGGGACACCAGCCACCGCAACGCCGCCATCTCAAGCTATGACGCGGGGCTGGGTCCATACATGTCCATACCCTTGGATGTCGTTTGGGTCGTTCAATCCTCCAGCACCTCCAGCGGGGCGCGGGCTACAGGTACAAGTATTATTGATAGTAATCCATTGATACTGTATTACACCTGCAATCATATCGAGTCCAGTCTGGTACCTTACTGTGTCTATCCTGACCGACCCCTGGAGGCCGCCACCACAACCCAAACCCAACAGACAGTAAGTCTGGGGCATTTCCTTCGACCGTGCTCGTCGTGCCTGTACAGTAAGAAGCATAGGCACGAACACAATTTCAAGTTAGCCCCAAAGATGACCAACGGTCCTTAAGCGGTTGTGCCAAAATAGCACGGCTCTGTTTCTTTCCAGTTGGCGTAAAACATGTGCTTACGGGCCAATTTATCATGGGGTAGCTATTTGTATCACGACAGGGAAGCCCAGCAGTAGTTCCGCGCCTTAGCACGCCCCGGGCTCAATGGCAGCACAGATAGCACGAGCGCTATCTGCCTTCGTACACTGAGCCACATTCGAGGAACAGCTCTCGATAGGTGCTGGCTATTTATGGAGCTGTGCGTGTGCAGATTAGTAACGCCACTTGTTGGTCAGTACAGGTAACGTGCATCACAGTCCACCCAGCTGCTCATCATGGTTGATCACAGACAGCAAAACCATCAACATGCACTCCGTACTCGTACATACACCATACATAGAGTCAAATATAGTGCTGTAGTATTTGGCACCAACCTCGTGCCAACGTCCCAAGATCCCCCCTGCAAGACCCTGCTTAGCCAGGGCTTACTCCAGTGAGAGGTCGGTCCAAGGCCCATCTGCGCGGTTTTAACCATATCTGCCAGGTTGAGGCCATCCGACACTCTGTCAGCACCGGCTGGATCGTCGCAGCTGCACCAGAATCTCGCACTGCCCGCCGAAGGATCCACCCCACCCTCGCACAGTGGTCAACCCGCCTCTGGGCTGGGCTTTGTTTCAACTGCGCCACCCACTCGCCGCATCTTGCAGCCCACTACCCAAGTAAGCAAACGACGCTTCTTCAGCCCGCCTCCAGCTTTTAAACCCACCTGGTGCCCAACTAGATGCCACCGTCTATTTCGTATCTCATCCTCATCCCGTCTTGTTTTGTGTCTTCTCACCTTTTTGCGTGAGTGCGTCAGCTCGACTTTCGTTTTGCACCGGTCGACCTTTTTACCCTCTCTTCTCTTCTGCTCTAGAGACATCGACCAGTTCGCTCGTTGTCAACCCCTCCGCCTGACGGAATCCCCCACCGATAAACAAAACAAACAAACAAATCCAAAAAATCAACCAGAAACAAGACAGCATGGGTGCCGGTCGGTTTTTCTGCGTGGCTCTGCCACTGCTCCTCACAATTGCCTCCATCGGCACTCTGCTCTACGCAGTTCTCGCTGGCGTTGCCCACGAGAACGTCAAGCTCATCCAGGTGGATCTCAGCAACCTGAGCATCAGCCCGCTGAGCTTAAAGACCCTCACCTCCCGAGCCGAATTCAATATGAAGGAGACCCAGACGGATAACATCACCGCCGAAGCCCTCGGCCTCCACAAGTACTATGACCTCACGCTCTGGGGATCTTGCTCCTCCGATGACAACAAGAAGTGGACTTGCACCAAGAGCCAGTTCGACTGGGCCAGCAAGCAGATCAATGCCGATGACATCAAGGAGGGCAGCACCACTATCGAGCTGCCCAAGGATATCAAGGATGCCCTCAAGGTCTTCCAGAAGCTCATCAAGTGGTCTGAGGTTGCCTTCATCATCGCTCTTATCGCCCTTGGCCTGGAGCTTCTCATCGGCATCTTTTCAAATTTCTCTCGGGCTGTCTCCTGCCTGACGTGGTTTGAATCTGTCATCACCACCATCCTTGTCATCATTGCTTGCTCTCTCTCCACCGCCACCGCTGCCATCATCGCTGGTGTTGTTCAGGGCTCCAAGTCGCTCTACGGTGCCAAGGTTCACCTTGATGGCCGCTTCCTTGCCATCATCTGGATTGGTGCTGCTTTCTGCCTTGGTGCCAGTCTCTTCTGGATCTTCACCATCTGCTGCTGCAAGCCCGAGAAGCGCCAGAAGAACCACCACCACTCCAGCGATGGCGAGAAGCTGCTGCCCGCTGGCGGATTTGGATCTCGTGGATACGCTCCCCTGGGCGAGCAGACCGGCTACACTTCCGCTGCTCCTCGCTTCGCCGCCGGCTCTGGCCGATCCGACCTTGCCTACGAGCCCTACTCCCACCGCGCCTAAATGGACGGTGTGACTCGACTTGGTAATAAAAAAGGGCTTAAAAGGCACCGACCATTTGTGGTACATCTAGATACATAAACGACCGAAGAAGTACTTGGGTGCTTGTTGTGATACGTTTTTAAACATTCCTTTGCGCGGCGTTTGGTATTATATTTGAGTATGGATAGGATATGGGGTGGCACAGTCAGTGGTTGGTAGTTGGGATACCCAAGACGGTGGGAACAATCTGTACATAGAGTATGGAGGATACATTTATGAATGAACGACAAGAAAATTATTGAAACCCATAATTCATGGCATCCTCGTATTTGGTAAATCTTGAATATTGTTCCATGGTGTTGTGTCGTGCTCTTGTTGAGACTTGCTCAATGGTGATTTTGACATGTGCTAGTAAGATGGTGGTAGGTAGCCAAGTAGGTGCATGCACAAATTTTTTTGGCACCACATATTTCATCACGCACGCAACAACACCAGCAGCATTTAGTAAAGATCCGTCCACTCAACTGAAATTGGATGTCTGTATAGTGCATTTGTTTCATCGAGCCTGCGGCTCATATTATAAAAGGGGCTTCTACCAATCTGCGACCTCGAATACATCGTCATGGTTCATGTGCGTCTTTGCATGCCATTGTTAAACTGCCCCTCCTTCTGCTTTCGATAACCATCAACCTCGTCCTTTTCACCCCTCCTCAGCCCTTCCAAGTATTGCTTCTGACAAAGGCGTAGCTAATCAATCATCCAAGGCTATAAACCAATTCAGATTAAAACGGGATCTTTCCCATGTCCCCATCACAGCTCTCGCTTTATATCGCGCCCCATCCGGAAAACTCTTCGTCTTAGCCGGCGAGGACTCTGACCTCGCTGTCTACGAGGCGAAACATGGGCAGCACAAGGGCCGCCTCGTCTCTCGGACAAGCGTATTTACGGATCAGCCCATTCATGGGATTCATGTGCGGCATGGGCGGGTTCTCGCATGGGGGTTTTGCCATATAGCTATCCTACCTGTTGACGCTCTCACTGAGAAGCATGATCCGGCGCTTGTGATATCCAGGGCGACGGCTCCTGATTGGATATTTCATGGAGCTTTTTCAGACACGGATCCTTCTGTCGCCGTTCTAGCTACGGCTCACAATGAAGTTATCCCCTTGAAATACTCTCCCGTTGCCGGAGAGATTATCCTCAGCGCCCCCATTGCGCCTTCAAGACCAATGCTCTACTCTGCTCATCTTACTTGGATATCAAATGATACCATTCTAGTAGCCGGTGGGACTGTCTTTGGGCATGTCGTTGTGTGGAAATGCCGGCTGGAAGAAGGCGGTAATGGGATAACTGAAACGTTATTCAACTTTGAAGGCCATGAGGGCTCCATCTTCGGCGTGGACATTTGTACAATCACACTTTCAGACGGCAGCACGGTACGGATACTTGCCAGCTGTAGTGACGATAGAACGATCCGGGTTTGGGATATTACGGAGCGAGGAGAGAATAGTGTCCATTCTCGTGCGTCTCAGACCACCAAGGTGATCAACACTGGCTTCGGCGGTAACGACATCAATGACGGCGATGGTACCCAAGACTCTAGCAAAGGGAGTGCTCCTGTTGCCGCTGCCATGGGCCACGCATCGCGCATATGGGGAGTTAAATTTGGCACATCGTGCGGAGAGAATGCTTTGTCTATTTACTCCTTTGGGGAAGATGCAACAGCGCAGAGATGGCGTCTCCAGATTAGCCACGCCGCGTCGACTGGAGAGGCTGATCTCAGCGCAAGTCCCCTGACAGGAAAGCTGTCTCATGGTAAAACATTCTCCCTGCATACTGGGAAGCACCTGTGGTCAAGAGCCACGCTGCTTGAAGACAAGGCTGTGCTCGTTGCCACCGGCGGCGCCGATAGCCAAATCTGTCTCATCGAAGAGTCCACCTTACTCGACGAACGACGGGGTAGTCTTGACGGATCGTTGACTCTGGACACTAAAGACATTCTCAAAGGTCTCATCGACCCATCAGCGTCAGCTATACCGTCAAAGGAGATTATTAGTCGCTACGATTTTCTCTCTCATGACCATATCCTCGTCACCACCAGCTTCGGAAGGCTTATTTTAGGCCACTTCAAGGATGCTCAGATTGAACCAGAATGGGAGCAGGTCGAAGTTGCTGAAGAGCTACGAGGGGACATGAAACTATGCTATGTTGTAAAAAGCATTGCGACTACAGCAGCTCTATTGGGCACATCAAGTGGGAACATTTATCATTTTGATATTTCCTCACGGAGAACCAAACTAGTTGACTCCATGCCAGGCAAGATCATCGAAATGAACTGTCTGTCAAACAAAAGCAGGGATGAGTCGGACAATCCTCTGGCTGAGGTGCTGGTCTTCCTTCATGGAAGGGCAGAATCTCACTACCTTGCAATCGATGTCTCTACGGGGGATCTACGCAGTCAAGGGCTGGCCAAAGGGCTCGATCCTAGGTTCGTCCCTACAGCGGCTGGGAAAATGAATGACTTGCTCTTCATCGGCTCTCGGCACGGTTTTCTGTCCATCCTTGAGCGGAAAGAGGATGGATCGTACTACCCAATCCTAGACATCTCGACTCGAAGCCGTGATGCCATTACGGTCATTCTCCCACTCCCTCCGAAATCAGGCTCACAACAGGCCTCTCGCTATATCCTCGTCGCAAGCCGCGATGGAAAGTACAGGATATACGAATTAGACCAGCACCAAGGGTCTACTCTTCTTCATCTGCGACACGAAACCTCACCACCGTTCGGACCCCTGATTGCTGGTGCGTGGTTTACCCAAGACAAGGTGCCTGAGCTTGTATTATACGGCTTTAGAAGCAAGGATTTTGTCATTTGGAATGAGACACGCCGTGAAGAATTGGCCACTATCGAGTGTGGTGGAGCTCATCGCACGTTCCAGCTAACATACAACGAGTCAATACCTGGTCGGTATCGTTTCGCTTATACTAAGACTTCCAAGCTCTCCATCTCTTCATCAAACCGCATGGCGCACGAATGGGTAAAGGCTGGGATTCACGGAAGGGAGATTCGATCACTCAGTTCCAATGGTCGTTTGATTGCCACGGGTGCTGAGGATACGACTATTCGGATATGGGAGTATCAGCCTGTAAGAGAAAGTGCAGAAGCAGAGCTGCGGTGCGTGGCATCCATGAAGACGCACATCACGGGCCTCCAAAAGCTTGTTTGGCTGGGAGATGACTACCTGTTCAGCAGCGCTGGCAATGAAGAGTTCTTTGTATGGAAGGTGCAGAACCTGGAGTCCGATTACAAGGGCCTGGCCGTAGTCTGCGAGGGCGTCTTCACCGACAAGAGCGCGGATGCCGATCTCCGTATCATGGATTTTGACGTCTGTCGATCTGATGATGGATGCGGCATCGTGGTGACAATGGGGTTCTCGAACTCGGTGTTAAAGACGTATCGCTACACAAGCGACGGTGGCCGATTCGAACTCCTTGCCAAGGGAACTTACACAGGAGCATGTCTCACTCAAACGCGCCATCTCAGCATGCGCGATCAGCTGCCACTACTCCTCACAGCATCCACAGATGGCCATCTTGCCCTATGGCGGAGCGAGCCAGACGAAGGGACGCAGCGCAAATATGTTCTAACCCAGGTGGTGCCGTTGCACCAAAACAGCATCAAAAGCCTAGACATGATGGAATCAGGAGAAGGGTATCAAGTCTTTACTGGAGGCGACGACAACAGCGTAGGAGTAACATTGCTCGGTCGGACCTCGGGCAGCACAGACGATGCAAGCTGGACCTTCTCAAAGCGAAGCATCGTTCGCAACGCTCACGCGGCAGCTATTGCAGGCGTGCTACTAGTTCGTCGACGCACAGGAGTCGTGGGAATCAGTGTCAGCAACGATCAGCGCGTGAAGCTGTGGAGAATCCCCAGCAGCGGAGATTGGAATGTTGAGCTCATCAGGGGAGAGTGTATCGGCGTGGCAGATGCTGGAGATATCGCAGCCGTTGGCGGGTTGGAAAACGACGGCCCGGCGACTGTAGTATTCGCGGGTGTAGGGCTTGAGGCTTGGAGCCTGGAGTGAGCAGCCATTCTAGTCAACAAGGGAGCAAAGTTGACAATATTCACGGGTTTGCAAGAAATGCCTTCATCGCGTAATCGGTAATACGGCCACTCCGTACACAATGTTCACGCAGATTATTACACGGCTTCCTCCAAGCTACTCCCTCCCTAGCCCTTCCTCCCCCCGGCCATTCAATCAGATAGGGAACCCAAAGATGGACAGGCTTCGACCAGGCATTTCGGGGTTTCGTCTCGGCCAAAGCTGCATTGAGAAGGAAAAGGGAAGCGGCGCGTTAAATAGCTGGATGGGCACAAGGTGGGCTTTATGGAGCTTTCGTGAAGACTGCAGACCAGGGGTCCCGGCTTAGGAGCTGTGATAGCAACGGCTGTGTCGTCATAATCGGGGTCCAAGTCCAACCTAGACGAACAAGAACCACCGGGGGTCGACTAGCGGGTGGATGTGCGGCATCTGTTAACATGAGATCAAACGGCGGCCTCGAGAGACTTTTTGATGGGATAGGATAGGAGGGTGCTGCGAGTGTACCGAGTACGACGCTGACGCGAGGCCGCTGAAACAGCCGTCTCTCGACACAAGGGACCTTTTTAAATTATTATATTTCATTTCTGAAATGAGTGTGAATAGAGAAAGACATTAGGGGAGTTGGGGACAGACAGTTTCGTCTCAGCTGCCAGTCACAAGCGGACCATCTGGCGCAGCACGCGAAAAAAATAGACAGCTAGCCTTTTTTTTTTCTTTTTTTTTTCGTGGTCCACTATCACGATGTAGATACGGCGGCCAACGCTGGAGATGCTCGTACTGTTTGCCCACCGCCTTCTTCGGATGCCTTATTTTTCTTGGCAGAACTCTTTAGGCGGTGCCGCCCAGAGATAGAAGGGGAGAGCGCAGAGAATAAAATCTTGCGTGTTTCAAGGCGCTGTGATGACCTCATCAACCACACACAAGCAGCAGCACAAAATCCCTGAAGTGTCTCTCTTAAGGGTGCCGACTAAGATCCGACAAGCGAGAGAAACATACTGCATCTGTACATGCCTGTGCAGCAAGGGCAGAGCGCAGCCGAACAAGGATCTTTCCTGACCAGCCACAGAGACAACAAAACTCGTATTCAGAGAAGCCCACGGCAGCGGGTCTCGGGGGCAGAATTTAGCACAGCTATCGTGACGCAAAGATAGATACAGAAAGTGGAAACGGCGATATAAGGTACGAGAGGCACTAATATGGCGCCCGCCCTCCCTCCCGCGGTGCACAAAACCGCCGTGTTTGTCCTGCTCGACGGCAATCAATCCCCTTCAGATTCGATACTTCATTCCACTGCGGCTGCTACCCTCTTTCCCTAAGGTACCTTTGGGGATCTTGTATATACTTACTGCTGGGGGTTAGTACGTTGTAGTACCAAGGGGGGAGCAACGGCTGATCGATATTACCAAGAACATACCTGCATTGCGGTAGGCGTCACATCCATTCTAAAGGCTGCGGAAGAGCTGAGAAGCTAACGATTCAGGATATAGAATCCATCCTGATTGGCCTTGGCCTGATAACGACTGCAACGACGTATATGATATATGTGTATATACATACCTGAACAAACAGAAGCACATCGACACATAGGTACGATTTACTCGCAGATACTTAATCATAAGCCCCGGAACCTACCTGGATCAAAGGTTCCTTCCGCCACCCCCTCCCACAACGCCGTCAACCCATCTGCGCAACTCTTGCCGAACTTTATTTAACTTGCTCGGCTCCTGATCGTCAACGGAGTGAAACGGCGCACGACTTTTCTCGGACATCACCTTTGGGGGCTTCCTCTCTCCTCTCTCCCCTTCCTCATTCTTTCTTCTTTCCAAAGATCTATCCTACGGGGGCTCAAGGGCTTCAACACATAATCTCTGTCACGGGATACCGACCCACGAAACCTTGAGACAAATACTTTCGATTCTTCTCCTTACCATCTACACCATGAAGTCAGTACTTGTATGGACAGCCTTTGCGATCCTGCAAGGCATGCTCGTTGCGTCGGCGCCTGTTGGTCCCTCGGGCCCGTGTCCAGATGTAAGAACTTTGATGCTTTTGCCTACTGCATGATGGCTACTGACAACTTTTCTAGATCAAGGTGGACGCCATCCTCCGAGGCGATATGGATCCATCTGCGTGTTGCTCCTACGGCAACTGCAAAGGCGATGTCGTCGTCTCTGTCGGCAATTAGGGCACAGCCCAGAACCTCTAAATATCGAGACGGCGTCAAGGACAGGCAGCAGTGCATTATTCTTATACCCAGACAGCGGCCACAGAATCGACGCTGGATCATCCAGAGACATTACAGCAACATGAAGTGCGGAGCATATTTTGGAGCGATGGGTATTGGCGTTTATGGGGGAAATGTGGCATCGGCGTACGAATGGAAAGAGAAAAAAGGGAAATGAATGAACGATAATTGTTTTAGAACCTTTGCCTTGCCACGGCAGGTAGGGCAAAGCCAAATTTAATAAGAAGTATTCGGACCAGTTTTGATTGCTAAACGGATTGTATGATGGGCACGTCTATTCAGCACCCCAACTTTACTATCCAGCATCTTGTGTCGCAAATAACACCGAATGCTAAATAAATGTAGCTATAGTAGTGGAAAGTAGCAACAGTAGTAAATACTAAAAGAAGTCAACTGGTTATTCTTACCTACTAAGGCGAGTGTCTATAGTAATAAACAAACGGCTTTCCAGTTCCAAAAATTAAACTTGACGCAATCCCTGGGGTGCTGAATAGCCACTCCCCTGTGTTACTTTTGACTGATGCCATACGAGTGCTTGTGGTTGGACGCCACCTTCAGATGTTTGCCCAGGGGGCCGCAGAAGATCGAGACGGATGTTGTTTAATCCTGGACGATCGATCTATGGATTCATGAAGCTTACCAGTGATCAACATGGAATATGATTACGGGTTGGTTGTCCATTGATGTGAGTCAACGATGCGAGGGAGCGAGAAGACTGGAGGCTGGCATTGCAAAGCGAGTAGTGATATTTTGTAAAGTAAACCATGTTACCATACAGAAATTATCCTGAATGAAGTATTTACAAGCGGGATCAGGAGACACGGGACTCGTTCGTTATATGTCTTACTTTTGCTGGAATACAAATATGGAAGTGGGATCACCTGGTTATCGTACTTGAGTGGTTCATAAATAACATCAATTACCGTTGTAGATGGCGGCTTGCTGCATATAATGTATCTCAACAAGAATGTTTGCGAGATTGGACATGCATATCACAGTTGATACACCAGGTTCTATCGAATGTTACAACGGGAGCTGTTTTGGAAATTTACGAGGACAAGCTTTCTGGAGGACAGCCGAAGGTTTCGTTCTGTAGACTACAATTCATAGATTGAATTTTGAACATAACCTTTCACCAAGAACCAGCGTGAATGGTTTAGTGGTAAAATTCTCCGTTGCCATCCGAGCAACGTCGGGGAGCCCTGGGTTCGATTCCCAGTTCACGCATTAAAATTTCCTTTTTGCATCCATTATCAAGATGCTATTGTTTTCTTTTTCTTCTCTTTTTTTACGCCTTTACGCCTTTACACATTGAAATGTGTGTGTATGTAATTTTTCTTCTTCTCAAGGAAGCCAGGCAGCTATTTCATCTAACACAAAGTTCGTTCGATAAGCTTCGTCAAGCCACTTTCGCAACAAAGCCTAAACGGAACCGACAACGGAGCTCTCCGTATCTGCCATTGAATCACTTCCCAATGGAGAAAAGGAAAAAAAAGATTAATGAGATAAAAATCGAAATAATACAAAGACGCTCATGCATGTTAATCGAGACCCCAAAACGCTCAGGCAAGGGCAACTCCGTCCGTTGTTGCGACCACGGGACTGTACGAATGGAACACGCCTAAAATCAAACGCAACTTAGATCCACCGAGTATATATCCGTACCACTCACAGCTCGAGTTTTCGCAATGCATTGAGGTGTGGGGGAGAGGAGGTGGCCAGAAACAGGGTGACGAGAAGCCGAATTAGGACTCTCCAGAATTATTCCGAAGGGTGTTTTAATGATCAACTAGCTGCTTTGTCGTATCGTGGCATGTGGCAACTTGGTTGAGAATAGGTAGAAGAAGAAGTCGTATTTTGCAGCTGGATTTGTTAGCCTTGGTATCTCCATTCAGGCGAGAAAACCAATTCGTATTAGCTTTACAGTTTCTCATTGAAACCTGTTTGTCATAACTAAAAGTGTTCACCTCTCAGCATATGCGCAACTGGTCATCACCTGCTCACATCTCCCACGGAAAAGGTTGCCTGGATCACTCCAAGTCTCTCGGTCCACATATGTGGCGGCGGATTGGTTTGTTCGTGCCCCCGTCACCGTGATTGGCGCGGGTCAGGATCGGACCCGTCTAAACGGCCCCGGACCGTCTTGTGTGGTTATAAGTGCGCTTAGGCATTTTCCGGGTCCAATATCGCTCCGGAATGGGGGATTGGAGAAACAGGACATGACCGTTGGGCATGAGCCACTTATTTCATACGCAGCTATACCGTATAGCTAAGCATTTAGCAGTCGGGGATGCTCGCATCAAGTACGGGAAGCTGATAAACCCCCACATCATCTTCGCATGGGTGACGAAGAGGGGACGAGAACGCTTTCTTGTAGGTGGAAATTGGTCGATGCCTTACCTTTTATAGCCGCCACTGCCATTCTAGACCCTGAAGAAGAGTGGGAGAAGAAGAGACGGCGAGTATAAATATACAAACTCACATCTTCTTTGTTGCTTCTCCCTCCCCCATCGGTATAGACATTGTGTGTTTATTTTGAAGCCCGACATCTTTTCACGTTCCTAAGCTCCTCGTTACACGCTCGCACGCATACAGCTCGCAATGTCGCCTTCCGCGGTTGATGACGTTCCCAAGGCCAGAGGGGCGGCCATCTCAGTCAAGCCTAACATTGGCGTCTTCACAAACCCCAAGCATGATCTTTGGATCAGCGAAGCCGAACCCAGCGCCGATGCCGTCAAGTCCGGAGCTGACCTGAAGCCCGGCGAGGTGACCATTGCCGTCCGTAGCACTGGTATTTGCGGGTATGTGGTATTTTTATACTTGTTCCTGTTTGGCGCCCAAGCGCAATGGAGCAGCCAGCTAATAAAGAGAATTCATCTAGATCCGATGTCCACTTCTGGCACGCCGGGTGCATTGGACCCATGATTGTAGAGGGCGACCACATCCTCGGCCACGAGTCCGCGGGCGAAGTCATTGCCGTCCACCCGACTGTCACCAGCCTGCAGGTCGGCGATCGGGTTGCCATCGAGCCCAACATCATCTGCAACGCTTGTGAGCCCTGCCTCACGGGCCGCTACAACGGCTGCGAAAAGGTCGAATTCCTGTCCACACCACCGGTACCCGGTCTGCTGCGGCGCTACGTCAACCACCCCGCCGTGTGGTGTCACAAGATTGGCAACATGTCTTGGGAGAACGGCGCACTGCTGGAGCCTCTGAGCGTAGCCCTGGCTGGCATGCAGAGAGCCAAGGTCCAGCTCGGTGATCCCGTCCTGGTCTGCGGAGCTGGGCCTATCGGTCTTGTGTCGATGCTCTGCTGCGCCGCCGCCGGTGCTTGTCCGCTGGTCATCACCGACATCTCTGAGAGCCGTCTGGCCTTTGCAAAGGAAATCTGCCCCCGTGTCATCACGCATCAGATCCAGATTGGCAAGTCGGCCGAAGAGACAGCCAAGGGCATTGTCGACTCATTCGGTGGTATCGAGCCGGCCGTGACCATGGAGTGCACTGGCGTGGAGAGCAGCATTTCTGCAGCCATATGGGCTACCAAGTTTGGAGGCAAAGTCTTTGTGATTGGCGTGGGCAAGAACGAGATCAACATTCCCTTTATGCGGGCGAGCGTGCGAGAGGTCGACATCCAGCTGCAGTACCGCTACAGCAACACATGGCCGCGAGCCATTCGCCTGATTGAGAGCGGCGTGCTCGACTTGTCAAAGTTTGTCACTCATCGCTTCACGCTGGAAGAGGCTGTCAAGGCGTTTGAGACGTCGGCAGACCCCAAGAGCGGTGCCATCAAGGTCATGATTCAGAGCCTGGACTGAGAGTTGAGCTGCCCATTGTAGATGTTGAGGCGGAGAGAAGGATCGTGCGTAAGAACTGGGGGGAACAGGGACCGGCTGAAGGGGTTTGCAAGCATTAGATACTGGGTTGGCTGACTGTTTCTCGGAGTATCGTTTTTCAGTGTTTATTTTCTTTTCCCTTTTCCCTTTTTCCTCTTCCCCTTTCTCCCCTTTACCCCCCGGTCTTACTTCTTCCAGGATGACAGGATGCAAAGAGCATAAATATGATGATGATGACCTGGTGAACGAGAATGTAGATGAGTCAAATCAAATAATCACTCAGAGTTGGTGCCTTTGGGAATATATAATTAAATAAATAAAAATATATAAAGACAACTAAATAGCCGTCTATTTGTTAATATGTCTATAATAAGATTAGTGGTGCTTTTTATAATCCAAGAACCAAGTAGAAATAGAAGGTGGTGTTGCGAGAAACAATCGTACGAACTTCTTGAAGCATGCACGCACTTAGCATTAAGAAGGAGTAGCTGGTACCTAATTTTCTCGGTCTTCTAACGCTTGATAACAAGTACAGGTACCAGGCCTATGGGCAACTGGAAAGCAGCAAGCGCTCGCCTCCGATGTGCTTTCCCGAAACGGGCCAAGCCCCCACACTTCACACCTTTCGGCTTTGCGACCTCACGAATTCTCCCGAGCTTTTTTTTCTCCCTCATACAGAGGATCCAAAATTCAAAAACCCCAAAAAAATCGTCATCAATTGCGCCCCGGCCAGCGATTCCCTGCCACCGAGACGAGCCTCCTCGAAACCCGCCGCTTCTCCCTAGAGCCGACCCGGTTTCCTCTCTCTCACTCTCTCCTCCCTCTCCGGTCCAACCGCCAGACTTTCGCTCCAGCAGCCATCATGGCCCCCTCATCGCTTGCTCGCCCCATGCTCCGCTCGCCGGCCCTGCGCCAGCTTGCCTTCCGCCGCTTCGAGAGCTCTGCCGCCAACAAGGCCACCGAAGCCGCCAAAGATGCTGCCGGCAAGGCCAAGGAGTACCAGGCAAAGGCTGCGCAGGGGCTGTCGCGCGTCGCGGGTGCCGCTGGCCCTGCCATTGCCGGAGCTGCTCGTGGCCTCACCAACGCGCTCGGCAAGGTCGGTGGACGCACCGGCAAGCTCATCAGCTTCGTTGAGAGTACGTGACGCAACCGCCATAGCCCAATCCCGCGCATTTGCTGACCCGTGTTTGCTATCGACAGAGCAAACCCCTCAGGCCGTCTACTACGGCAAGGTTGCCGTCGAGACTAGCAAGATTGTCTTCCACGCCCAGAAGATGAGCCCTCCGTAAGCGACTCCTCTTCTATACACACTCGAACAGTGACACTAACCATCCGACCCGTAGTTCCATTGCCACCTTCCAGAACTTCTACCAGTCCCTGTGGAAGTCCATCCAGAGCGGCGCCATTCTCAAGTCTCCCCAGAACCTTCTTCAGCAGGCCCGCAGCCTGACTCCTGGCCAGCTGGTTGCTGGTGGTGTCATCTTCGCCGAGTGCCTGGGTTTCTTCACTGTTGGCGAGATGATTGGCCGATTCAAGTTGATTGGCTACCGCGGAGAGACTGCTTCGCACCACTAAATGTGTCTGCGAATGCCCAACTCCTTTTGATTTTGTCAAAGGAGGTCAAAAATATCCATAGCCTAAGCCTGGCCCCACCCGGCCAAGTTTGGTTGATGCTCGAAGAATGAGAACTGTCTGTGGTAGAGGAAGAAAGAAAAAAATCTGGAGAGTGAATGAAGAAAGATGACAAGCACGCACACATCACACGCATACCATATAGGGGGAAAACATGAAAAATCGGCATGTACGGATAGACAAAGAGGAACGGAATAGAGGAAAACATGGCCGGGTGTGACAAACCCCGACTGACGAAGCGAGGGATTTCTGGTGTGACCAATTGGTTGGCAGAGAAAAAAAAAGAATAGTGAGAGAATGCGTGGCGGGCGAGACGAGGCGAGGGACGGGAGGGATTAGGAAGAGGTTTGGGCTTCGACATCTGGAGAATCCCTCTTTTGCCTCGTGTGTATACGTGTGAGCAACTTGGTTTGAACTTTTTTATCTTTTTCTTTGTTACAACCCCCTTTGTCACGCATACACCACCCACAACCATGTACATCAGAGAATTGCTTGATGCTATAAGAGCAGAAGCAGCAACTTAATCCATGACGAAATTCTTCGGATGGTCAAGAACCAATCTCCTTGTGCTCCCCCCGTGGAAACCGGCTGTCGGCCAACAGCCTTGTGTCAACTGACATGTAGCATCGGTGCAACCTCGTGGCTTGATGGGCTCGAGCCGACTGGCCAGAACTCTTCCTTGCCCGGCTTCTGCTTGTCTTGTTGAGAGAGACATTTCATCTCGGGATGTGCTGTCCGCACGAATCGCATGTTGTGAGCTGTTATAAGACCCTTATGTATGGAGTTTAGTCTTTTAGCCAACCCCTGGTCACGGCGATCCCCCCTTGCCGATATGTCACTTTCTTTGACCCCTGACGAATACATGTACATGTACTCGTACTCGTAGAGTATGGTTCATGTCTGTCAAGATTTACTGTAGCAAGCCGAAGAAACCCGCATTTTGCTGTTCTTATTGTGCATCTGTTTTCAATGAGCAAAGGACCAAGGAAAGCTCGATTCATTCATTCATCCTAAATATGAACCGAGAAACAGCAAGTTTGCTTTCAACAAAATCCCTAAATCAGTAGCATCAAAAGCCCTCACTTAGTCTCCCTTTTCCCACATTCTTCTTCTTCCATTTATTTGTCTATTTTCTTCCCGGTTTGCCTTCATCCCCATCCCCTGCTTCCTGTGGAACTAGCGGATCTGCTAGGCTACGGGTTCACATGAACCTTGCCCCATACGGGGGGGAACTGCATCTCCTAACATTTTCTCCCCTCTCCTCTATCTAAAGCTCTGGTTGATGTCCTTGATGCAAAGTCGTACAGTACATAGTAATGTTACCAATCAAAGTGCGAGTCAAGGAGAGAAAAAATGGTGTGTTTTTTTGTCCCTTTTTTCCTTGCTTCTTCGTTTCGTTTTGTTTTGCTATAAGGCATCCCCCCGAGGTAGAATGTTGTCCATCTTGGCGCCTTACAGCCTCGTTCGTTTTTACCCCCTGTCAACCAACAACACAAAAAACCAAGTCACAGCTACTCCATCCAACATCATCACTCACACTATTCCGGACAGAGAACCCGAGGAATCCAATCTACCATTCAAATAAGCAAAAGCTACATAACATTGCCCTGTAACACCAACCATCGCGTAACACCCCCATCCCCAGTTCTTCATAATGGCCCTTCCAATAAGGCCACGGATGCACTCTCAGGCGTTACGTCCATTGGTTTCATTTGGTACCTTTGTTTCCCATTCGTCTAAATCCGTACATTTTTACCATTATCCCTTCCCCTTCCCCCCCTTTCGTAAAAAACATATACCATACACTAGAGAGCCAAGGAAATGTAGAGGCCGAGCAAGTAAAGGAAAAATGCCGCGAGACCCCTTCCCTCCTCAAGACATCTAGGCAAAAAGGGGAAACGTTGTAAATGTGCAAGAGGTATCATATCAACTCTAGGCTGCTAACCCCAAAACGCTAAATTTTCGCGAAATCACTGTGCCATCAATCAGAAGAATGCTCTTAATATCGTGACATCTGGCGGCTGTCTTGGCCGAAAGATGATGCTGTCAAGGGTTTGAGCCCTTGCAAATCTCATATAGACTTTTGGTCTATACTTCTGTATGATGGTGATGAATAATTGACCCTTCATGGCGTTGATGACGGGCCATATCCGAAGTGGCAGTTCCAGCTTTGCAAGTAGCTTCTCTAGGCACTTGTCGGCGACGGTACAGGCGGCTGTGACGCTTGCAGAGGGGGTGGCAGGGGTCGTCCACCAGGTTTCCTGGCTGTCCAGATGTGTCTGCATGAGGATTAATAACGACTCTGCCGAAACATTTTGATGGGTCATGGGGGCGATAGCTTACAGAGTGCAGTAGGCGTGGTAGCGCAGAATGCAAATCTCCTTCTTGACTCTGTTGCAGAGGTCTTGAATGTCTTCTTTTGTCATGCCGAGTTTATCAATCATAGGCATCATGCTCATGGCCTCGAGGCCTAGACTGAGGGCGAGATTGAACCAGCGAGCAGTTTCCCGGGTGTGGCGCTCGGGAGACCACGGATTCACGTAGCACCGCATCGTGGTCTCAGTAAAGTCAGTGAAACCAGCGGCTTCCATATTGTCTCGGGCGACTTCACATGAGACTGTGACGTTTCGTTGGTAGCGGCGCATGGCACGCTGGAACAGATGAGCCCACTCGCGCAGAGCCGAATGCGTAGGGATATTATCATCCTCCCACTGTGGTGTCCAGTCTACCTCTATGTGCTCGATATGTCCCCCGGGCAACAAGTGCCTACACTACTCGTTAGATGTAAACAAGTCGCGGGGCATAGCAGCTACTTACTCAAAGACTTTGTGATAAATAGCAGGCCAGTTACTGTCCTTTATACTACCGTAGAGCAATCGAAGATGAATCAAGTCGCAGTCTCGAAGCAGTGGCTCCCATGAAGGCTCCTCAATGTCAAACTGCATAGTAGTCACACCGCGGGGAATGCTGTTGACAATGCGTTAGAGCCCGGGAAAAGTAAGGGTTTTTTTGGATCGCAGCTTACAGAGCTGGCTGAATCTGGTTGAGATCGACGGCCAGGACTTGGGCATCCTGGGCGAAGCTGGATATTGTGAGCACGGCAATTTAGTCAAGTTAGATTGATGCACATGTTGAGACTTACTCTTCTACTAAGTTGAATGCCCAGATGCCTGTACCGGTTCCGAGATCCATAATCCTTGGCTGCCCTTCTTTGTCCAAGGGAGCCTCGGAGATGCGATCTTCTCTTGCCACCATGAAGAATTTGTGAAAGATGTCTAGTCTATTGAGCTCCTCCTAAATGATGTTGTCAGAATCAATACGTGGGTGCTGACATGAAGTAGAAACAAAAGCAAACCTTGTCAATGGGGAAGAGGTACTTCCCGGGCTTCCAAGAACCATAAAAGCGGCCGTGCTCCCAAAATCCGGCCTGAAGAACTCGCTCTGCAGGTTGACTTGGCGACTCACTGGCCGGATCCCCAACAGTTAGTCGCAGACTTGCGTTGGGCGAAGGCGGAGCAACAATAGCTGGGGAGGGTGGAACACACCCATTTCGAGCGTTGAGCGACATGGCGACCGTGTGATGAGTCCTTTGGGAGATCACGGAGGGCTACGGGAGCGGCGATCCAGGTCCGGGAATGGAGTTGGCGAGATCCAGGCAATTGTTCCAGGGTCCAGGAAAGAGAAATGGGTAATCTACAGGGAAATGTAATAAGTCGACCAATCGAAATGTTATCCAGCTGCAACGAATCATTAGCAACAGATCATTATTTGAAAAGGGAAAGTAATTGAGAAGAAGACTTGAGACATCCCCCGATGAGCATACTAAAGCTTCAGGTCGTACCAAGAAGGAGGAAAAAAGAATTGAGCAAGGAAATGGGTGAAATCTCAGCCGTCATCTGACTGTCGGCAGGACGAAGTAGAAAATTATAAAATGATGTAGGAAAGGAGAAGCCGTGAAGACACAGAATCGGGAAAGGCTTCACACTTAAAGGGAAAATGGCAGAGTGATTCAACAAAATAAGAGAATGCAGTGAACAGTCATATGCTATGATTGGCTACCAAGGAGGAAGTCATGTCGGCTGGGCACAGCAACTCACGCCCGGGCCGGACACAAATAGCATGCACGGCGCCTTTTCACACACATGACGATAGTGAGACAGGATGGACAAATAAATCAAAGGAAAATAGAGCCGAGCCGGCGGGCGGGCGGGAGTAGGGCAACGAGATTTATAACAAAGATAGATAGCGACTTACATGAAGAAATTCCACTGGTCGAAATCCCAACGACGTGACACGGATGCCGATGTATGTATCACGAGAGTGCGCCGTGCAGATGTTGGAGGTTAGATTAAGCGATGATTCGATGTTCGTTCGTGATGTGTTTTAGGAAGCCGCTGGGCTGGACTCTGACGGGGCTCCTTGGATGAGCTCGAGTACATGTATCTCAGCTCCAATGACCTCAGCCACCTTTTGTCACCAAATCGTAATAACGAGAAGCAGCAACAAGTAAGGGGGGTAAAAGGTAGGCAGTGATGCAAGTCGAAGAGGAAATGGAAAGGTCTTTTAACGGCGTAGTAGCTCCGTTTGTAAGACACAAGCGAATGACGTTGAAGGGAGCGGAGAAGAGCGGTATCGAAAGTATCACGACTCCTAGGTTGAGGTCGGGATCTGTTGTTCGGCAAGCAGGAACAGGAGAGGGGGGAGGACGGCTAGCCCTTTAAGACTGGCGCGAAACTCGGGCCCGGAGTGGACCAGAGAGGAGGGTTTGGCCGAGTCGACGGAGGCCGAATTGAGAATCGACAGATGGTCGTTGTGAGCCGTTGGGTCAATGGCGAGTGTCGCGAGGTTCTAGGGCTCTTTGGGGTTTGGTGGATTGACGCGAGCCCGGGATGAATGGCCTGCCTCCCCTACTAGCAAGCAACGACGAAGCCAGGGCTCTAGTGAAATTTTGGCTTCGGTTTTCCCCCCCTTCAGTCGCTCTTGGGTCGACGGGCTACCAACACGGGGCAGAGAGGCGTATGGTGTAGGTATAATTGAGACAGCAACGGCGCGAGAGAAAGGACGGGAGCGATTGTGCCGAGCCCGGTGTGTCTGGCGTGGCGGGTAAAACAAGGGAGAAGGGACACAGCGAGAGAGATGGGTGAAGCAGAGAGTGAGCGACAGAAGGGGACTGAGAGAAAGAAGGAGAGAAAGAAGGAGAGAAAAAGAGGCGAAATGGCAAATGGTATCCCGAGAAGCTGGGACGGCAAGGCAAAGCAAAGGAGTGCGAATAACAACGGTCTGAATGCCTCGACAGACACAAGATGATTTGCTGGAGCGGTTTGGCGCTAGAGCAAAAGAGCTCCGAAGCCAGAGTGGAGGGAGGCTAGACGAAGACGCGGTGGGCAGGTTTTTGGTGGCCCAGGGCGGCTCTTCTTCAGTCTTCCTTGGTCTTCCCTGTCTGGTGTGGTGTCTGGGCTGGTTTGGTTTGGTTTGGCGGGGGTTGGTGATGTGGTGAAGGCGGCTGTTGAGAGGCTGGCTGGCGATTCAGGGCTCTGGTTCCAGCACTCGCTCTCGCATTCGCTCTCTCGCTCAAGCACGGGCACGAGCATGGGCATGGAGGTTGACGGGACGAAGCAAAACAGAGCAGAGCAGAAAAAAGAGCTGGGCAAGGCGAGGGCCAGCGCCAGACAGAACTGAACAGACCAGTATGAAAGTCAGGACATGGGCAGCGGTCCCAGTGTTACCAGGAAAGCAATTAGGTGGTGTGGCGCGTGGATCCAGATGCAGGCGCCGGGCCTGGCCTGGCTTACTTTCCAGTTGGTACATGCGGCGGGTGTACCGCTACGGACGGCGGTGGTGGTGCTGGTATCGGTACCTCTGGCCCTCGTCCCTCCCAAGCTGTTGAAGCCGTCCATCCCTGCACTAAGTCCGTCCCGTGCGGCCCTCCCAGTCAACTGGCCACTGCCGCAGTCCATCTCATCTTTTCTCGGGCCGCTCTAGCCACTGCCATGGCCTTGTACTTGTAGTGCTTGTCTCGGCTGTGCTCTCACATTACTCGGCCTTAATCCTCCGCAGCAGCCGGGGGAAACTCCCATGCCAGCGGGTTTTGCTCATGCCGGCAGGATGATGGGCGTATGGGATGGGATCGCGGGACTGTGGCGGCTGTCCCGGTGGTCTGCCGAAGGGCCAGGAAAGACGGGAGCATTCCGTGGCATGACATCAGCGTCAATGCAATCGACAGACGAGACACCAGACACCAGACACACATCAAGCACCGTGGCACTTCCAGCATTGAGACTGGTTAGCATGTACGAGTACTCCTAGGTAGGTAAGTGGTTAACGTTCTGGTGCTTGAGAACGTGCTAGCAATGCACCGAGCCCAGGCGGGAGGTAGTACAGACTGCAACGTACTTGTACAAAGCAGCCCAGCTCAGCAAATGCGTTGATGACCAACAGCCAACAACAGCCCCAACGCCAGGCCATCCCCCGGCCGCTGTGTTGGACGCTCGACGTCCTTGCATGGATTTGCAGCAAATGATATTGATACAGGACACACACACTCGCGCAACTCGCTCGCCACGCAGGCCGATGGATGCAGCATCGTTGTCTTGCCTTACTGTACGTGCTTGGCTTGGCTGCGTATCGCATGCTTTGCTTTTGCTTACCGTGGTCGATTTTGATAGTGATAATCGATGGATCTTACTAAGTAAGGCACACACCACGACGTGCTCACACCTAGTTTAGATACCTGACACGCATATGGACATCCATTACGGCACATTACATTACATTACATACAGCACAGGGCCTTGATCGATTGCCTCTTTCAACGCCGCTGGACGAGGCGCCAACGCTGATTCGACTAGTGGCGTCTGCATCGCCGGCTCCGTAAGTGCGCATATTCCTGCAGGTCCTGGGCCACTGCAGCTGCCCTTCACCACACCCTCACGTTTCCCTTTCATTACAACCCACCTCGAATCTGCCTTGAAATTATACGTGTCAGTCCAGTTCTTGTTTCTGGTTCTCATTCTAGTTCTAATTCTAGTTCTCGCTTGCCCAGCCATCCATCCATCATTCCGCAGCGCCGGAAGCCACTCCAATCCTCCCAGCCGCACCTCAAACTTTGCGACCGCCCCACGGCCCCGTTCCCCACGCCCAGGCCGCGGCCCACCTGCCAGCGCGTGTACCGGTACGAGCACTCGTACATCCACCAGGACCGCAGCGAGTACCCGATACCTGGACTCCCCAGTGGCTCGTATACTTTTACTGGTCGTGAAAGTGGCGCGGGTGTGCAATGTACCTACTGGACCGTACTCCGTACCGATTCGCAATCGTCCCCTGCCCAAGGCCCTGGGGATCCTTTTTCCTGTCCTCTGCCCAATCCTACGTAATCCCATGCCTGCGGCTGACCCTTATTAGTGCCCGCTGCTAGGGGGAGGGTGTATCAGATCAATGCGCTGCGCTGCTCAGTGCACTGGAGCCAGGCTTGCCAGGGGACATGCGCCAGCCCTGTCTGTCATCAATGCCTGAGGGCCTTCGCGGCAGCTTTAGACGAGCATGTTAGTGCAAGATCGCTGGCTGGCAGTCATTTGATGCTCTGCTTGTCCTTGCCCTCCCTCCACCCCTATCCATGTTTTGCACGACCTTCCGCGGTGCCGGGCGATGCCTCTTTCTGCCTGCACTCGCATTAAAACTTCATGGATCCAGGCAACAACTGACTTGGTGGTGACTCGTTGTGGCCAGACGCGCTGCTTGCTCGCTCTTGGGGGCCCACCCTGCCGAGATGCTTGCACGTCCTGATAAAAATTTCGACGCTGCCTGGAGACTGGAGTTATTCCCCGTCGACCAACAAGCAGAAATGCAACCTTGAGCCTTTGAGCCCATACCTGATTCTCTCACTGCGGCGCCGGGATCGACCAGGCGGGCATCGGCGACCCTGCTGGGTAGGGCAAATGGACGTCTTGCCCTCGGTACAGAAGCATGGAGTCGATACAACCTCTTGATCTTGGTGGTTGTTGGTTTTTTGGTACCGACATATTCCGTACATGTACGAATAGGAGTATGGAGATGAGATCTGCGAGTGGCCTGATTACTGCTACCCAGTAGTACTAGACCATTTACTGGTACTCCATCCTCCTTACTTGTAGCGCCAAAGCAAAGGCGGAGCAAGCTTGTGTCGAGGGCTGCATCGTGCGCTGAATCCGACGACTTGGTTCCAGCGGATTCAGATGCGGCTCCAGTTCAGTCCTTTCCAATCCTCTGGCTCCCGCACGTCCGTCAGCGCCTTGTCCGGGTGTATACTAAGATAAATTGCAGCGCTTCTCTAGCACCCAAAGGTTACATTTCCTCCATATCCATAATATCTAGTTCCCCTCTGTACGGAGTATCGTACTACTATACGAGTACTTGACGTACATGGACCTACGAAAACGGTGGAAGGGCTATGCTGAGGTAGTGTCGCTTATAGGATTCGCTGGTGTGACAGCACAAGACGAAACAATGCAGAAAGAAACGAGGAGCAGAAAAAGAAAAGAAAACATTATACGAAATAGAGAAATGAGACAAGATATTCAGCTTACATTGGACGCTGTAAGGTGGCCGGATTGGTCGCTAGCCCGCGTGGACGCAGTAATTTGCCCACCCTCACGATTCGGACTGGCCCCGGGGATCGGTGCGGCTTTCACGAGCATCACTGCCAGGATCCAGTTTGGCCGGGCCGGCGTGTACGAGCACGGAGAATGCCTGCAATGCCATGAGCCCCGGTACGAATGGCAAGGAGCCTTGTGCAAAATTACAATTACAGCATCGTCCGGTCCTCGTACTAGACGGATACTCCGTGCTTTTTCCTCTTATAAGACAAGCTCATCACATCAGATGCTCTTTTGCGCTGTCCCGGCGCGACCCGCCGAGGCCCCACTCGAAACGGGCAAAGCGCAGTCAAGAGTCAACCAACAGCAAAGAGTGAGCACCGAGGCAGAGAGCGAAACCGATCCTGTGGCTGGTGATGATGCATTGGCCTATATCCGTCGGCGTGCGGTTCAACCAAGCCCAACGTCTCTTCATATGCAAGGGATCTCTAGCACGAGAACTAGCACATACTCTTAGTACTTGCCTGTGATACTCAGTACTGACGAATACTGTATCTTAGCTGCATACTGGTACTCGTATGGGTTATCAAGAATACAAGTGGCTGGTTCCCAGCCCGTCCAAGAGACACTATCGTCGACGGCGACTCTGCATCTACAAGGGCCAAAGCTGCCCATGGGATTTGGGCTACTCCATGGCGCTGGTCTGATTCTATCCATGGCTGTAACCTTCCGCATCGCAAGCCTACCCACGACAGATTTGGTAGAGTAGTAGGCTTCTCATGAGGTAGCATTGCCGGAGTGCGGTGTAGGGAGCACACCGGCATCCGTGCGTTTACCTGCTTAAAAGAACCATCATTTCACACCGCAACATGTATGCCGTCACCACCTCATACGAGTGCTCCAGCAGGCTAGGGAATACCTCTACTTCTCAACCCGACTGGCGTCTGGAGATTTGTCCTACTATGGGGGTGCAAATTAGGCTGCTTGTATCAAGTATTGCTCGTACTACCCCCATTTCCTTAGGGTGGTAGATACCACCCTCTCTACCTAGCCGACATCAAAGATGTAAATGGGCTGAGCTGCACGCCTCCCTTTCTGTATCACTACAGTAGCACCAGACTGCTACCAACATTTCGAAATGAGAACATCTTGTTACTCAATGGGTGGCTTTGCGGTGTCTTATTCGTGATGCACTTGGGACTAGCCTCAAGCTCACCAACTCGCATTACCCGCTTGAGTAGCACACGCCGTAGATATTCCAATGGATCCATCAATGTCAGGATTTTAAAGACACCCATAAGTGTACCGTATTAGGCACCTGCAATTACCCTAGAGACTATGTGTTGAAGGAATAATTACGATCCATTGATGCTCCTAGTATTGTACTTGCTCAGTGAGGGCTGCTCTGGGTAGGCGGTGTCCCAGTCCATCGATACAAACTTGGTTGTACCTTCTCTCAGACTCTTTCCATCTCCTCAGACTCAACTTTTGTTCCACCTCCATCCTCAACCCAATTTTTACCAGCGGCGATGCTGCATCTACAACGCGGCCCAGAATCATGCGCCTCGGCCAGTTTCACGCCTCCGTTGAGAAAACACGCCCGAGACGTGACTGCATAAACCTCGTACCCAACGAGTACTAAATTTCCCAAGTCCTGGGTCCGCCCCGAGGATACCGCAACAACATTCGAGCCTCTGAAATATCCGCCGCCTTACATCATGGCCTCGATATCCTGGAACCAACAGCCAGCTCCACGGTAGTCATGCCCACCTGTACATGTGAATGGCTGGGTCGTTCTCCCAAGTGGTGCAGGCGGGGCTGCTCGATAGATACGATGTAACTGAGACGAGTATTGCGCGCGCCCACTACCGCAAATTTTAACCACCCTCGGGGGAGCTGCCATGCACATCCTACCCACGCTCCCAGCAACGTCTCAGCGAAGCAATGACCTACTTGGGCTTTCACCTCAGCGACAATTCAACTCTACGAGTATTCAAGACATCGTCCCCAGTGCCGTCGGGAGTCCTACTGGGGATCTTCCCCTGGCCATGAAATCGGCTAGTCGCATGACACCCCGCCCCATGGCCGTACCATGAAGTTTCCAAGTCTCGCCCACCCATGGCAGTATTAACGCCTGGTTAAAAGGCTCTTTGGGGAAAGGCGATTTGAAAAAGAGCCACTCTCGAGTCCTTGTCGCCTTTGAATATCTTTGGGTAACTCACAATGTCGTATTGCCCAAAGGAGGTGCCACAAGACACACCAAGGACGCTCCATAGGAGGGCGGAGCTAGTATCCTTTAGCCAAACGCATAAAGTCCAAGAACCAACAACACACCATCTTGACGAGGTCTTCGCCGACCGAAACACGGTCTTCCAGCTTTCATTTGTTTGTCTTCTCACCTCAGACCTGTCTCCGTAAGTTACCTGTCACTTCCTGCGTTTTCTTCGCTCCCCCTTTTCATCCTTTGCTTTTAGTGCTGAATCTCAAACAGTCATGCCACTTCCCAGCGCTTCCCCGATATTATCCTAATGTTTGCAAATTCGGGGAATTTCGCTTGCCGTCTATAATCATTGGTAGATGACACTCATTGGCACTACCTTCCAATTGGCAACGCTCTTATCCGAAACCACTGCTCTGGAGAATGCTGAACGCTGAGCGCTGAACGCCGAATTTACGGATTGGCTTCCTTACAGAAATTGCCGCTTCTCCTACTGGCTTACCCTTTAGTCGGGAGTGGTGCTAATTAAGCATCCCTGAACCCTGTCAACATTGTTTCATTCGCTGCACTAAATGCTGCAGAATCGACTTCTTACAGGGTACTTGGACTCCATACCTGTGCTCCCCCCGTGCGGCTGATTGTCGCTGTAAGAGGCAAAACGGCTCCTGGGCGAGTGAGCCTCCTTTGAGCTTCCAGATACGTAAAGCCGTCGCCAGTGAAGAAGAAAAAGATGTTCGCTACAGATTTCAAGCTCGGCCAGTATAAATCATCCGCTCATAATGTGGACAAAGGCAACCTACCGACTGCTTGGTTACTGCTCGGTAATTTGATTGCCGGGCGGGACAAGATTAGGGTGACGTCCGTTGCGACGGCGAACAAGGATACGTCTTTTGATCCCTCTTGCAGCACCAACAACTTAACACCATTACCACTGGGATGAGAGAGAGTTGCGCAAGGCTTTACGTCACGTCTGCAGCTACTTTTACTCCGCAATCTGCATTACTGCAAGTCCGCATATCATGAACTGTCAAGTGATGCCATTCAATTACTAGTCTTGGCTCACTAGCCCGCAAACCGAGCAGCCAGCCTCTGTGTAGTGCAGAAGTACGCGGATGGCAATATGGTGTTGTGGTCGGTCCGTCGAAGTTCATTCTACTGGCACGCAATCCTCGTCCAATGAACCGAGAAAATCCTACTGGTACAAAGCAAGGGCCAGATTGCATCAGGGGCTTCGGTGAGTCGGAATGCCACGTTGCCCGTACTTGCATGCGACAAAATGACTAGACTTTCAAAGCTACGTTTGTATGGCAGACTAAATACATGCTCATCAAAACGGACATAGCAAGGAGGAAGCTCCCCTAGCCTTCACCTCGGTCGTGGGCTCCTATGAGCAACCCCATCACTCTCTCTGGCATCTTAGGGGCGGTCCGGTCTACAATTCACACGCTAGTGGAACGCAGATCACATTTACTTGGACGATTCGGTGTCCCATGTCACGAGCGATACGCCCAGATTCAACCTTGCAGGCTTTGCAAGGAAGAGACGAATCCAAGTTCCACCTGGCAACTCCCCTTCATCCCCTGTCGTTCTAGACATCTGCACGGCGCGCCACTAGTCGTTAGCGCCTCTCGGTGAACCAAACTGTCGGGTCGAACGAGTAGGGGTGCGAAATTGCGGTAAATGCCACGGGAATCCTCCGCTCGTACGTTTGGAATCGTGCGCACAGAGAATCCTTTGGACAGCACAGCCACCGGACAAGTACCTCCGTGGTTTGGGAGGCATCATACAAGGTATTATCAAGCCAATTCCTCGCGAGCCCTTCTTTATGCGGTATCACTTGCGCTGCTTCGTGTCCTTGGAAGGCATTTCCCAAAAATCCAGGACAGGGTCAAGGCGAAGATGGCCTCCTAACCCCGCGCCCCATCCATGTCGAGAGGAATGGTGTGCTGCCCATCTATCCTTACCGAATGGGCTCCCACGCCGCACCGGGCCCCCGATTGTTCAGCCTTTGCAGTTAGGAATGCCGACGCTTCGTAGCCTGAAGCGGGGCCTGTCTCCTGTCTCCTGTTGCTCTCGTTGCTCTCCCACCGTAGCCAGGCATTCGGCGGCTCGGCATCGGGCCAAGCGAAGGTGTCGGCGACAAGGACGAAAGGATTCGTGACCTCGACGCCACACAAACGCGCGGAAGCGGATCCGCGGCAAGCGATCGTTTACTCGAAGCCATTTCATTCGAATGTGCCGTCATCTGCGTGGACTAGACGCTTTCCGGTAACCTCACCCCTTGTCTTGGTAAATGCCTCAACTGGCTTTGCCGCGGCCCCCCAGAAGTTCCTTGTGCTTTTTTGGTTTTAGCATGGTCAGCGGAGGTCTGGAGAGGACTCCCTTCTTCGGGGTGTGAGCCAAATATCTCAATCCGGCAGGACACAATCACGGAGCGGATCGCCCTTTACGATTAACGCCGAGACGAAGGTCTTGGTCGGCTCACTTCACCTGGGATCATAGGCTTACTATTGCTACTACCATGATGAGATAATGGCCCCGAGGCTAGGCTCTTGACGCAGGTGGGTTTACTTTTACTCTCTTTCTCTCTCTCGTTCATTTCCACGTGCATCTGTCAAACCAGCTGGCTTCCGGCAAATGTCATTCTGAAATGTATTTTCTGCTTTGAGAGTGTACATACATATCCGCAGTGCATACTGTGCGCCTGTCCCCGTCGTTGTTTTCAACGTTGAAGAGGTTCAAAGGGGGGGAAAAAGAAGAGAGAAAAAGGAACAGCCAAACCATTCTGGAAAACCTCGCCAGCCTCTTCCTGGCAACCAACTACTCCGTGACTCTGATTTTTCCTTTTATTTTTTTTTTATTGATGTTTTTTGGAGAACTTTTTTATAGCAAAGAAAAATGCAAATGACGTAAAGGAAAAGTCGTGAGCAAAAGCTAAATTAAAGCAGACATGTAGGTATAATGCCATGATGGCGCAAAGCAGCACTGGTAAGCCAATTTTCTCTTCTGTGGACTCACTACCATTCGTATTCGCCAGTTGCCTTGTTGAAGACGTACTCCTTGCCGTTGACGGTAAGGACGCCGTCCTTGAGAGTGCACTTCCTGTTCAAGGAGTTAGCACAGGTCAAATGTGTGATCTATATCTTGGTACTCAGGCATTTAGCTCGCGGGTTTGCACTTACCACTTGTTCTTGACCCTTTGGACCTTGTCGTACATGCAAAGCATGATGTGGCCGAGGCCTTCATCATCAACCTCATCATCATCTCGATCCTCATCGGGGTCATCCAGATCGGAATTG